TTATAAGGTTTTATAATTTTACCTTTTACTTTCCATATTATATAAAACTTAAAGAAATAATATTTACTATATTGCTTTACTAACCATTTCTTAGTTTAAAAGATACCTTTAATAATAAGGTTATTAATTTTTATTTTATTAAACTCTTTAAATAATAAGCCTAATATTATAATAACTTTATCTTATCTTAATTTAATTACCAAGTTATAGTTTTTATTTTCTTTCTTTAAAATATATAATATAATAATATAGTTTTTTATCTTTAATAATAATAATTACATAATAAATTGCATTTAAGGTTTTATAACTAAATCTTTTACTTATAAGAATTATATTTTCTCATCATTATCTTAATAATATAATTAAATAACTATTAACTTAAACATTATAACTTTATTTAATATATTTAAAATTATATTATAGCCATTTATAATAATAACCTTATATAAACCCTTTTATTCTTTTTTTTTTCTTTATATGCAAACTTTGCATTATAGTAAATATTTTATATTAAAAATAAATTCAACCTTAATATTCAATATATTTTATACTTACCATTTAATTATAGTTTTTTATAATATCTTTATAGTCTTTAAAACAGCTTTCGCTTACTTTTATATTAATAATAATAATAATAACTCATGCAATACTTATAAGTAGGCGCTAAAAACTAAAAGCATAGGAATTAATTTATTTAATTTAGCAATATTATTAATAGCTTTTATAGCTATTTATAAAATAATATTATTATCTATGCTATTATATAGTTTAATATATAAAATTTTATATACTTATTTAAGGGCTTAATAATATCTCTTAACTTTCCTAATAAATCAATATACCTTTATAAAAACCTATTTATATTTAATTCTTATTATTTATGCCTTTAAATAAAATTCTAAGAATATAAAGTTTATTCCTATATTATATTTAATAATATTTAATAATTCTTAATATATATTAATTTAAAGCATTTATAATATTTATTATGCAATCTTTATAAATATAGATTTTAAGAATTTCATTCCCTAAAAAGCAATAACTTAATTTATAATATAAAAAATTAAATATCCACTTAAATATATTATATTAATTAAGATTTTATAATTAAATTCATAATTATTATATAATATAAACTTAAAACACCTAAGTATAAATCCGTTTATTTAATAATAATAATATATTTTCTTAATCTTTATTATTACTTATTTATTAATATTTAAATTATTAGCTTTTTTAAGCATTTAGCATAATTAATTTATTAATAAATATTTAAAGCAATAATAAAGTTTCCTTATTTTTATTTTTAAAAGGAAATATATAATATTAATAATTTAATTTAAAAAAAATTATAAATAACCCTATTTTTTAAGTATTAATATAATAATTGCATTATTAAAGAAAACCATTTTATTTATAATATTATTATAATATACTTAAAGCTTATTTATATTTATTAAGTAAAGTAAAAATAGGGTTTATGCTTAAATAATATAAAAGTTAATATAATTAATTAAAGTAAAAACTTTTATTATGCTAAGCAAATTAATAATTATCTTATTATTAAATTTAACTTTAGCTTTTCTTATAGCAATTATATTAATTTAATACTTTAAGTTTTTTTATTATAATATAAGAAATTGCTTATATTTAGCTATAAATATTAATAATGCTTTTATATTTAATAAAATTCCTTAAAAATAAGTTTAATTATATTTATTCTTTAAAATAAATTAATTAACTATAATAATTATTTTTATTTAAAAAACATTATCTCCCATAATTTAATATATAAACGCTTTATTAGCTAAGAAATTAACATTTATATAATAAACCTTTTTATTAAGTCCCACCTTTATAATATAAATATTACCATTATAATTATTATCTTAATCCTATTTATCTTTATATTTATAAAATTTATCTTTATTATTTATTTTATATCCCTTAAATTTACTTAAAAAAGTATTAAAGTTATTATTATAACTTTTATATTTATATTATATTAAATAACTTCTTTTTATTAAATATTACTTATTAATTAAATATTTAATTAACTAGCATCCCTTCTTTTTATAAATATAATATCTTTTCTTTTAAGATTATTCTCTTTCTTTTTTATAAGTATTATTACTTTAAGCTTTATAATTAATGCTATAAAATCTTAGCTATTTAAAGCTTAAATAGCTTAAATTTAATTAACTAAATCTTTAATTTCCTTAAAATACTTAAAACTATAATTATTATCCTTTTCTTAGCTTTTAATCATTATATTTATAATTAATATAATATTAATTTAAAACTTTATTTATAATATAAATTATAATTATATAGCTAAGCTATATTTCTATTATAAATCTTAAATTTAAAAATAACTCTTTATATAATTAAGCTAGCTTAAAAAGAGTTATTTCTAGCTTAAGAATTCCTTTGCAAGCTTTAATTACCATTATTCTTAAGTTATCTTCCTTAATATAATCTTAACTTAATGCTTATTAATAAAGTTACAACTTATTAAGCATTAAATATAAAACCTTATATAAATCTTTATTTAAGTTTTATACTCTTATCTTTATAAACATTATTATTATTTAATTTATATAATAATATTAATAATTAAGGTTTATATTAAAATATATTTTAATTTTAAAATATGCTATTATAAATATATTAATTTAATTTATAAAATAAAAATAATAAGCCTTAACTTAATTTTTAAGCATTTAAAGAAAAACTATATAAAATTAACTTAGCTAAATTTTAACATAATAATAAATATTAAAAAATATCTTTATCTTATTATTTAATAAATTATATAAATCCTTAATATACTTATAAAAGTTATTAAAGATTTTTATAAATTATGCTAACTTTATTAAATTTAAGCATTTATTAAAAATATATTATAAAGAAAGAATTTTATATAAATTATACTTTTTATTTAATAAAGACATTTTTAAAATAGCTTAAGATTATACTAAGTATAATATATATCTTTAATATAAGCTTTATTTCTATCTTTCTACTAATAATAATAAGCCTTATTAGCTATATTAATTTTTAATAAATTACATTATTAAATTTAAGTTTTATAATTATATACTTAAAGTTAACAGCAATAATAAATATTACCTTAAGGACTATCTTCTTGGTAATTATTATTATTTAAAGCTTGCTTATAATACTTATAAAGGCTATATTTATAATTATTATCTTTAAAGTTATATATAATATTTATTTATACTTAATTCTAAGGTTAATAAGGTATTACAAAGCTTATTATTAATTCATTCCAATCTTTCTTTAGCTTAAGCCATAATAATTAATTATAATATTATAAGTTAATTATTGCATTTTATATAAATGCTTTGCATTTAAAGAAAGACTTTTAAGCATTATTAATAAAGATTTAGCAATACTTTAAACATTACTTATATCCATATTATATAATCCTTATAATAAGTAATAAAAAGATTATTATTATAAAGGTTTTATTATATATAGCTTACCAAAGTATTTATTAAGTAAATAACTAAGTATTTTATTAATGCTCCCTATATAAGAGCCGTAAATTATAATTCTAGGTTAATATATTCATAATAAGCTAAATTAATTAAAGTTTAAATAAGCATCTTATTAACTATATACCCTTTAATAAAAGCTAATAGCTCCTTAACATTATTAATTATACTTATAAGTTTTTATAATAAATATTATAAAAAGTAAGCTATTAATAAAATAAATAATATTTAAAAGTAAGTTAATAATAATAATTTAATAATAAGCAAGTTATAATTATTAAGAGGAAAAAGTTATTAATTTCTTTAAGCCTTAAAAGCTAGGGCTTTTTCTCATTATTAAGTCCTTTTATATTAGCCAAAAGCATAATATATAACTTACACTTACTTATAATATAGCATTGCATTAGCTTTAATAATTACAATAATTATAAGCTTTATTTATTTAGCAATTATAATAATTATAAGCTTTATTTATTTAGCAAAACAAAGCTTTATTAAGTTTTATTAAATCTTAAAAAGGATTTAAAAATAAGTTTATTTTTAATAAAGTCTTATATATAATAAATGCATATTTCTTAAATAGCAATAAATATATATATAAATATTATAAGGAATATTATTTAATTTATTTAATCTTTATAATATCTATTTAGGGAGTTTAATAATACAAGGAGGCCTAAAAAAGCAATCATTATTATATAATGCTTATTAATAAGGAAAATATAATTTTTAAATTAAGGAAATCCTTATAAAATTACCTCTTCTACCTTATTAATTTATAATACCTATAATTATTAATTAATATTAATAGGTTTCTCATATGTATAATAATTATATGGAAAGCAATTATATATTGGTATTGTTTTATCTAAGTTCTGAGAGGCTATGTGCCCCGGAGGGGATAACTAAAGTAGCCTTCCAAGTGACGAGGGTCGTACTTGCCAACAGTCCCAAATCCTTTCCCATCTGTCTGTTCATAGCGTTTCGAGACCTCGAGATACTACATTGGGCACCTTGGTATTCCAAAATAATTGCAAGGTGTAGCCAAGAGCCTTCCGTCTACAAAATACTTTGTGGGGACTCGCACAAAAGAGCAAAATCGGTTCAAAGTAGAGGCGACCACTCAGGTAATTGCTACAAGAAGCAGGCAGCAAAGACATGGCCGGATAACACGAACCATCAAGATGGCCAAAGGGGGACTTTGCTAGCGACCCCTCCCCACACAATGAATGAGCACATGTCTGAGTCGTCATCGCTCATGAGCCAACCCACGGTGTTCCACCAGCCCCCGTTAGACGTGCTCAAAACTGAGAAGAACAAATATAAGCCTGAGATTTTCCCGACTACCTAACCCAAACGCCATAGCCGATGCAAAAGCAAAACAAAAGGTGCGATGAAGCTTGAAGGCCCGGAGGTCAACCGTGTAGCTCTAGCTGCTCTCGCCCCCCTTGCTCTGGCCCGTCTCAGATCACATGATATCTATAGATCCTTGGCCCTCAGCTTCTTCAACCTCGCCGCGCCCTCGAACACAAATCGGTCCACGGCAGCCGCGACCGTCAGGGTACCGCCGAGAATGGCACACAGCCCAGTGAGGAAGCCGGCGAATGACTTGGCTGGCTCCTCGCGGTTGATGACCTTCATGGGCGAGATGTCCTGGTGGTCATTGTGTCAGCTTGACGAGCCCTGTGATTCAGATGTTTCGATCCAAGCGGACGGAGAGGGCAGGGTATAACTTACGTATGAGAAGAAGACGCCTGGGATACCGCCCTTGGAATGCAGGCGCTCGGCGTGGCCCTCGGCGGAGTCGTCACCGCCAGACAGGCTGCGCTTGTGGCTTGTGACCGAGTACTGGTGGGTCTCGATGCTGCCGTCGTCGTTCTGGCCAAACTGGCCGAGGGCGGCGTTCGCGTCGGTCATCAGGTCGCGGTACTTCTTGCTCCAGCTGAGGGGTAGGTAGGAGGTGGGCACGATCTTGACAAAGTACATGTAGTTGAAGTTGGGGTCGTCGGTGACCTGCTCGAGGCCGTCCAGGGGGTTGACGTGGTGGTTTGTCCACGTCAGGGACTTTGTGCCCAGCTTCTCGATAATCTCTTCGGGGAGTTGGGGCCCGAAGCGCAGCTGGTGGATGGTGTGTGAGAAGCGGTGACCGCCGGCGACGGGGGTGTCCCAGTAGTTCTTGAGGTCGTGGACGTGCATGTTGCCGTTGCTGAAGCTGCGGCCGGGGGCGATGTGGAAGTTGCCGACGACCTTGTTGACGCGCAGGCTGCCCTCGATGCGGCAGCCCTCGTGGCGCTGCTCGTCCAGCCTCTCGGCGTAGTGCTCCCGCATACACTGCTCGACGTTCTCGCCGCGGCCAAAGGCCCAGGACGCCTGGGCGTAAGCCTCGCGCACCTCGTCGCAGGTCTGGCAACAGCCGGCCTTCATGGCGTTGGGCGGGGCGGCAGCGCCGTAGCAGCCACCGCAGTAGTCGGGGTCGAGGTGCTTGGCGGTTTCGTCGTCGTCGTGGAGGGCCAGGGCCTTGGTGTCGATGACGCCGCCTCCGTCGGACTCGGGGCGGAGGCGCACCTTGCTGACGCCATGCTGCACGCCGTGCTGCTGCTCGCCCGAGACGTCCATCACGTCGAGGGTCAGTAGCTCACATGGGATTCGTTGGAAGGTGATGTTCAGGTGGATCTCCATCCGCTCGCCTAATTGAGTGATCGCCATCGGTCAGCCCGCCCGGTCTGTGGTCTCTGATGGGGAGGGGGTGTAGGTGGGTGGATGTAGCAATGACATACTCCGTCCTTTGTCGACAATAAGCTCGGGATGTATTATTGTGCGCCTGTAGTCTGCCCATTCGCCCAATGCCAGGTACAAAACCACGAGCAGCGAGACGATGGTGACGATGCCGCCGGAGGTTGTTCGGATGCGCGCATCTTCGACGGTCTTTGTAAAGGCGTCAAGCTTCGTGAAACGAGACTTTGCAGACATCTTGGTTGTGAGTTCCGACACAAATACGAGGAGTCTGACAGCTGCAGGGTCGCTCAGGAGCTTCCAGCGTGGAGCAGAGAAAGGACGGCACGAGAGGGAATGCGACGGGACCGATCCACGATGAAGGAGCGGCGGGAGTAGCTCAGACAGATGTCATGAGAAACAGAAGTCAATTGGACTTGACCATGGAGCAGAGCAACTGAAGCCAGCCGGCCAGGTCAGCAGAGAGTAGGGCGAAGGAGGGTGAGAAGGCAGTGGTGGTGACTGTCGACGGCGAGGCTGATGAGCTTAGCCTGCTGAGTGCTCTGGCTGTGGTCTGTCCTTGGGTCCGAAAGGCCACCTCACATTTTCCAATGCGGTTGCGCGGCTCGCGGGTCCCAAGCACGTGTAGTGTAAGCTGTAGAGCACAAGCTTCCCCGGTCTTAGTTCTGGGGTGTCCCAATCAGGGCCTTGCATTGGTCTGCAGCCCCCACTAGGTCCCCTGCCGTCAGCACCGGGGGCCTGGCGTGGTACAATCCCGACGGCCCCTCCCCTTTTGCCAGGGTCTATTGTCGGGACCAGCGTATCTTGGTACGTACAACGTACTAAGTGCGTGTATGTAAGTCCAGATAGGACTCGTTACCTGCCCGTCTTGCTTGCCATTATCTCACCCCCTTCGTTCTACCTTGCTAGTTTCACTCGAGTTTTTCCTCGGCGAGAGCAATGCCGTCGTGTTATGACGCCAGTGGCATGGGTTAAATGGCAACATCGGCTGAAGTCCTGCTCGCATGGCAGTTGGTCCTACCGGCGGGGTGATACATGTGCGCACTGGTCGAGCCAAACAGGGCACTGCTCCCCCATCCCCAGCTCTGGGCTCGATGATGTGAGCAGTCACAACGTCCAACGACCAGCATCCCATCTTTTTTGCCGTCTCAGCCATATTCCGACAGTGGGTTGCGGCGTAGCATAGCGGGAGGATCACCCTTGCCTCCCACAAGAGGAAAGGTCTGCCGGCAATAGTTGCGCATGTGTGGATGCGTGGGTGCGACTACTTCACGGCTCACCCTGTCCCTCGGAGAGAGAGACCGTCAGCAACATCATGTCTGGTCAAGAAACTCGCCCGACGTGACTCATCAGCTCATCAGGCCGGCTGCATATAATGGAATGGTCACCTCCAGCACTTCGTCCTTCGCCAATCTAAGTTCCAAGACGCCAGTGTGTCCGTACTAGCCGTCGCAGCCGGTCGAACACGGAATTCTCCCGAGCACATAGTCTGCGCCCCTGAGACACCCCAAGAACCACATTCACGATGGCCTCAGCCACGGCACACGCGCCCTCGATACCATCACTTCCCACAACGCCCATACTCACCCTCGCCAAAACCCTCGTCCGACCATACCACCCAACCGACTCCGCAGCCAGCTCGAGGCAGGCCAACGACTGGGAGATAGCAAGGTGGATGCGCAACACATTTCCCCACCCCTACGAGCTGCAGAATGCCGAGTCCTTCATCAATACCATTGCACTCACGAATAAGTCGGCTAGCCCCCTGCGGCCAGAGGTAAGCACAAGCCCTCCTCTTTCACGGTCCCCCGTTTGTCGTGTCTTGAAATGTCGCAGAATGCATCACTTCAGGCTCCGTAGCAAGGTAACTAACACACATGAAAGGGGATCCTTCTCAACTACGCCGTCTGCCGCTCCTCGGACGGCGCCTTCGTCGGCGGCGTCGGCCTCAAGCCCTTTACTGACGTCGAGGCCCGCACCATCGAGATCGGCTACTGGCTGGGCCGCGAGCACTGGGGCAGGGGCTACGCCGGCGAGGTCATTGCCGCCTTCACCGCATGGGCGTTCGCGACGTTTCCTGACCTCCTGAGGGTCGAGGCTCACGTCTACGAGGGGAACCCGGCGAGCGAGGCCGTGCTGAAGAAGGCCGGGTTTCAGTTTGAAGGCTTGAGAAGAAAGGCCATCTGGAAGGACGGGCAGTCCTTGGGCACGAGGGATTATGGAATCCTAAGGGAGGAGTGTCCCGGGTTAGAAGGGGTCATCTGAAAAACGCACGCGCTTATGCGCCTGGCTTATTCGGTTGCCCATGCCGCGTGCGACCAGGAGACGGCACTATCGAGAGCGCAGCAGCAGCGAGTCTCAGGATGAGACTATGAACAGAAGGTCACGCCCGGCGGCTGCGAGGACGAGACAGCGCAAATTTGTCCTGGCGACAAATTGCGGTCGAGATCGAACAAAGCTACGAGTCTGGTCAAAATCCTTGTCTGGTCTACAACAGACATGAAGCGAGTCGGAGAACGGAACGACAAGTGGACAATCAACCTCTCAGAATAATATTAATAAACATAGTGTATATATCCGATCGCTGGCATTGATGCTATCATCGATGTTAAGAGACCATCTCGAGAGAAGGATAAGTCCACTCATAACAAAACCCCCTAAATACTCTGATCAACACGCAGATGCTACCTCACCGGATGAAGACCCCCAACATGCTCACTCGTCCAAGTCGCATCAAAATGATCAAGCTCCACCGCGCTCATGGCGTTTGGCCCACCACCGTGCCCACCATGCTTGCTCATCCTCTGCTCCTTCATCTTCCCCGCCTCGCCCCGTGCGGTGAGTTCCTCGCACGCGGGCGTCTGCAGCCTGTCGCGGAATGTGTCGGCCACCCAGATCAGCACCCCGTTGGACCAGCCAAAGCCCACGACCACCTCGTACTCGCCCCCGCTGCCGGCCTCGTTGAGCGACTGGTCCGAGTACTTCTCGAACATCAGCCCGCCGAGGTCCTGCGGCGGGTTGGCCAGCGGGGGCGAGCTCGGGGTCCCGCCGCCTGTTGCGCGCCTTCGTTGGTGCCTCGTCAGCTTTTTGTTCCATGAGAAGTAATTGTTTTTGCCGCGTTCTGTAGCCGGCCCAATATGTGAAAGCATAGCGCAGCGGGTCTCACTCACCAAGTACAATACGCCGAGTCGAAATACCTCTGCCCCAGCCTCAGCGCCAGGTCCTGCGCCCACGCCCAGTCCTCGCCCCCACCACCATCGCCCCAGGCCTCCGCCGTCCGCAGCAGCGCCTCCATCAGAATGTGCATGTGCGGCGGCCACACGCTGGGCTGGTCCCACTGCTGTCCCGAGACGAAATTAGTCGGCGCGATGCCGCCCTGCCGCGAGCCGAGGTACTCGTCGACGCGGGCGAACGCCCTCCTCACGGCCGCCGGGTCCCTGGCGAGGGACCGCGGCGCGGCGCCCGTCCAGAACGGCGACAGCTGCCCGACGTTGAAGACGACCTGCTGGCCCGGCGCCGTCCCGGCCTGCTCGGTGGGGAGGGAGTCCGCGTCCCGCGCCCAGAATACGTCCTGCGATCCCGAGGTCAGGTTGAAGTCGAAGTAGCCGCCCAGCGTCTCGTTCCACATCACGGAGTGCATGGCCTCGCTGCGTGACGCGGCGCGGGCGTCCCACACGTCTGCGCGGGCGTCGGCGGTCGAGTCGGGCGCCTGTCCCTGCCCCTGCCGCTGTCGCAGGAACGCGGCGATGGTGACCTCGTTCCAGTACAGGATGGCGTTCAGCTCCACCGGGATGATGTTGATGATGTTGTACGACGCCAGCGGGAAGTAGGTGTCGTTGGCGGCGACGGTCGGGTCCCTCATGAACCGCGCGCTGAAATCCCAGCCCGACTCGGCGCCTGATGCGAGGTTCCTGCACTGCAGGTCCTTCTCGGCCTGCGTGGTGTTCCTGGCCGGCAAGATCCTGCCATCCGTTGCGTAGTAGGACGCATTGTTGACTTGTGTGTAGTCCTCATAGTAGGACTCTGGCCGTGGCTCGGTGTTGGCGACGTTGTATCTGTTGCTTGTGTGAGTGCCTTGCAAACCGGGCGGCTTACCTTTCCATGTTTTGCGTGGTCCACTTACCGATTCAGCGTGTGGTTCCTGTCCCTGACGGTGACATGGACAGTCCGGTTGGACGTGAAGAATTCGTGCTCCCGGATCAGCAGGGGAATCGCACGATCAAGAATGGTTGCGTCCCCCGTCTGCTCGAGATAAATCCTGACCATCTGCGCCAACAGCGGCGGTTGGGACCGGTTGAGATAGTACACCCTAGCACCATTTGGCACAAAGCCATAGTCTTCGACGAAATCCAGGAAATTCTCAATCTGGTTCCTCGCGATCCCCGTGAAGTTGCCGCCACTGCGCAGCAGCCCGTGCAGAATCCAGTACGAGTCCCAGTAGTAGGGCTCCCGGAAGCGGCCCCCCGCGACGACGAAGGGCCGCTTGATGGGAAGCAGGCTGTTATCACACTCGGCGCAGACGGCGGACTCGTTGACTGACCGCGTCAGGTTGGGCCACAGGTCGATGACGGCCTCGGTGAACTCCCTGTTCACGGCGTTGGCGATCCCGTCGAGGAAACTCGCGTTGACGGCCAGGGACTCTGGGTCTACGGGGATGACCTCATGCCCGGCGGGGCCAAAGTTGTTGCTCAGGAAGTCCAGGAGCTCGCTGTTGTTCTGGAGTGGCTTTGTCAACTGGTCATAAGCGGCTTGGACCTCTTGCAGTGGGACTCTCGTTGGCCTGGAGACCTGTGAGCTGAGACTTCTGTTTCGGGACGGATATGAGACTTACATGTCTACAAAAGTCTTGGAGTCGGCGAATGGCTTGGCCCTTTGGATAGAATCCAGGATATCGCCGTAGCAGTACAGCGCGGAGCTACATGGTGCAATATTTTCTCCATCGTAATAGATCCCGTCGAGTGTTTGGCTGTAGCCCGCAGTAGTAGCAGCGAGCAAGGCTGCTACTTTTCGAAATATTGGCATCGCGAAACATACGACTCCCTATCTAGTTCCATACCGGGCGTGGTGGCCTCGCCGAGTTGGTGTGAGGAGTGGGTTTGCTGAGCCGACAAAGGCGACGAGCGAGGTCTGTCTGATTTGTAGACACAGCCTTTACGAATCGATCCAGACAGAATAGGAACCGTGTAGCTGTGGTGTTTGAAGTACAAGGGGTACGTTTGCATGATCTAAAGCAAACTGTCCAACATCGTGCAACCCGGCGGGCCTTTTTATCTAGTATTAAGCTCACGATGTGGGCAAGTGGGAAACAAGTACACGCCAGCGCCTCCTCTGAACCCATGACGCGAAGGCAATCTCGGAAAGTTTGGAGGTCGGTTAGGTCTTGGCTGAGTATTTATTTGCTTTTTGGGCCAGTCTTGGGTGTGCCTGGCCCTGTGTTTTGCGACCAACACTGACCTGTGCAGGTGAGGCTAGTCTGGGGTTGCGTCTAGGCGCGCGGGTATCGTGAAGTCGACCAACGTCAGATCTAGGGCCGAACTGCAACTCAGGCACGATTGATGCCGGAATTGCACGATTCCATGATCGGTTTCGGCGACCAAGAGGGTGATCACCAAGGTCTAGGACGGGCCAAGATTCGACTTCTGCAGCTTGGAGGGGCGGAGTTGGCAGGCCAAGGAACTTGTTAGAAGACCCGGCAGAGGGGGGTTGAGGATTATAGCCATAGTTCAATCTTCATTTAACGGTGTCATGCCTGGCTTGGTGCACGGCTGGGGATTGGCGATCAAGTAGACATAAGCTCATGGCTAGGACAAGGCTTGGGGGTCCAATACGAGGCGCTGCGGGGGCGGCCCGGTAGGAGGCAGCTGGGGACCCGGACGCCACGCCATCAGCCCAGGAGACGACGACCCGTTCGACAGACTGGCTGTTCGTCCAATGTTGCAGGGCCAGAACACTCAACGGAGCATCACGTCCTTGGCTTGCTGTGGTAGTCTGGCTGCATCGACACAAACATGTGTATATTCCAGAGTATAGCGTCTACTTGTAAAGCGCCTTGTCGCTGCCCCCGTTAGCAGCCGTTACCCCCTTGCCCTTCTCGGCCATGATGGTCTTGAAGATGGCCTCCAGCCGGGGCACCACGACGTCGGCGTTCTGGTAGCTCTGGTAGTGGCAGATGATCCTGCCCCCGAGCAGCCGCAGGCCCCGCTCCCTGCCCAGCTCCGCGATGCGCGCGTCGCTGCAGCCGGCGTCCTTGAGGTCGAGCCACACCATGTTGGTGTGCGGCGGGTACGTGAGCCGCCCGCCCATCCCCGTCCACATCTTGGCCACCTGCGCCGCCATCTCGTGCGACTTCCGGAGCAGGCCGTCCTTGCCGCTCGGGTCGCTGCCGAACGTCTCGTCCACCGCCACGCGCGCGGCCGCCGCCACCACGCCGGACTGCCGGAGCCCGCCGCCGATGCTCTTGCGCGTCCACCGCGCCTGCTTGATGGTGCTCTTGGTCCCGAGGAGGATGCTCCCGATCGGCGCGCCCAGCCCCTTGGAGAAGCACAGCGTCATGGTGTCAAAGCACTCGGCGAAGTCCTTGATGCTCCCTGCGCCCGACGCTGCCACCTCCCACAGGCGCGCGCCGTCGAGGTGCATCTTGATGCCGTGCTCCCTCGCCCACTTGGAGATGCGCTGGACCTCCGACAGGGGCATCAGCATCCCGTTCAGGGTGTTCTCCAGCGAGATCACCCGTGTCGGGCAGGTGTGCACGTTGTCGTCGATGTGGGCCTGCTCCTGGATGTCCTCGAGAGTGAGGTGGATGCCGTTGCTTGGCCGTACACATTCCAGCATCGCGCCGGTGAGGGAGGACACGCTGTAGACGGTGAGCCATGATGATAACCAGGGAAACTCTTTGAGTCTGTTCCACCTACCCTCCAGCCTCGTACACGACGATATGGGAACGGTGATCACAGAGAACCCCGTGGGGAGGCTGGGTCAACAGAGACCTCAGCGCGACCTGGTTGCCCATAGTGCCTGATAGCATCAGGAGGCCAGCCTCCTTGCCGGCGAGGGCGGCGCAATGAGCTTCCAGGTCAATAGTCGTAGTATCTTCCTCGAAGACATCGTCTAGCAGAGTGCAATTGGCAATGGCAGCCAGCATCGACGGCGTTGGCGTTGTCTGGGTGTCACCTGGTATATAGGTCAGGGTCTCGTCCACAATAGTCCAAAGGCCTTCATGTTGCCACTTACTGCGCAGGTCGCAACCAGCGGCGCCCCGATAGCCGATCCATGCGTTTTGCTCTTTTGCCGCGGGCATTTTGGAATTTGCAAGTGGAGCGTCTGATGTGCTGTAGGCGCGGCTTGATAGTTGACGGTGGTGTTGGAGGATTGGTATTGTGTACGGTGAAGCGTGGCGACATGTCCTAGCTGTATATGTAACGCCTCGTCGAAGAACGCGGGGGAACCGGTCCGGTCCCGGCCATCGTATCGTGCCGCATGATAGACTCATGGTCATGCCGTGCTGTACCGGTCCTGTGCTCTTCCTGAACACCCGGATCTTGCTCGAAGATGCTCAATCGCGCAAGGTTTGGGGGCTGATCAGTCCGTCCCCTTTCGGAAGACATCCGGGAACCAACTGAAGATGCTGGGCCGGTGGCATGCATGCGGGAGGATAGCGCCTGCGGAACCCGGTTCCCAAGCACAGCAGCATCTCCTTCGATTTGTGGACCCTCTGCCTAAGCTCTCGGACACCACTTCACATCGACTAGACTACGCAGACTACGTGGTCACCAGTGGACGATATCGGATCACATCTGACGCATCACTTGCATGTTGAGAATTGGAGGCGGCTCAACAGTCGCGAGGTGAGATCGGTGCAACCTAGGCAACTTGGAGACATGAAACCCGGGCGCAGGAAACACCCACCCCAACGGAGACCACAAGCTATCTATTCCTAAGGAGGATGCCTCCCTCTATCTTCACCTCTGCAACAACGAGACCCTCCAGCATTGAGCTCCAATTCTCTTCCCAGGCCATTATCAGCCGTGTCCGGATATCTTTCACGACAAATCCAGCAATTTCTCCCTCTTCAGTTCGTTCAGCACTCCTCGATCTTCTCTGATCTGATGTCACACCTGCGTAGTCTACCTTTCCACTCCTGCACCGGACGAGTGTGATCGCGATGCGACGACTCATCCAGGCGTCCAGTCCACCATTCCATTAGATAAACCTCATGCACATGAGCTCGGCAGTCAAACCTTCGCACTTGTATCACCACAGGACGCACACACGGCTTCCGGACGACGACGCCCGGACTGTCACGCTGCTGGGGTGTCTGAAGGCCTATGCCGACAGTAGCCGTATCAAGTGCCTTTCGTCGACAAATGCCCGTGTCATCGTCGCCGTGGTAGCAAGGTGTTGAGGCCTTCTGAAGCCGTACACCTGCCTTTAACGGGTTGGCTCTGAGATCGAGTTCGCACGTTGGGGAAAACGTGTCTCGCCTGCGCCATCATCGGCCTCCTTCGCATCCACCGTCTTCATTCGCGGACAGAAGGCCAGCCCATCAAGTCTTCTTCTCTTTTGTGAGATACACTTTGCGAGACATGCGTGTCCTCGGAGTAAACCACGTCAATGGACCATGACCGCCCAAGTTCACATCGAATATCTGCCGCACTTGTGCCCGGGCGGCGTCGATTCGGTGCTAAGCTCCCGGAGACAGCTACAGCCTCCTCGTGCAACTGCAGACTTCGACAGATGCGAAGCAAAACTCAACGTTACTTCCATTCTCAGTTGTGATCGAGAGAAGCACTGTGTCTTCTTGATGGGTTCCAAAAAAAAAAAAAAAAAAAAAGGGGGGGGGGGACTTTCTTCGCTGACAGGCGTACAGGCGTACAAGTGTCACACACCTTGAAGCATGGCCGGGCACGCCTACCGCATCAGCTTGGCATGCCACGGGCTAAACTGTCAGAAGATTCCATCTCCGCGATTATGTCAATGCTTGAACGTCTCCGGAAAACACATTCTCATTACTAAAATTGCGAGCAGGCCCAGAGTCGCACAGACGTGCTCCAGGACGGCAGGCACGACGCTGCGTTCGACGCCCGTACTTAGTTTGAGTGGGTTCAAACGCCTCAAAAGTATTCATTTTGAAGTACTTGCCTGGCTTCAGAGTTGGTGTACCATCCTCCTACTTTTGATACTCTGAGGAAGGCATCAGGCAAACCTGGGATCTCGCCGAATGACTCCTTCGGGGAAAGAGGTGCGAGTGCCTTGGACTTACACACGCCATCTCAACGCTACACAATTTTGGACTGAAGCTTTGCCATAGCGATACAGCAACAACTGAGACTCAGTGCTACTAGTTCCTGCATTTTCTTCCTTCTGAGCCTCTGCGCATTCCTACTAAATATTTCGAGTGATTGACAAACTTGTACTCCATGACGGAGCCAGGCCCCCTGTGCTCGGCGAGCTGGCTCAACATCCTAGAGGTGAAATGACACGACACAGCAGGGCTGGCAAGAATGGTCAGGTTAATCTACCAAAGAATTGTTATAAAAGGGCTGTCTTATGTGAGTTTCGACATGTATTCTGGCATAAAGAAATTGGGCAGGAACCTGACATGTCACATACAATTGTGAGCCATCACCTGTGAGCTTGGCCCCTGATTCTGTGATTCCAACGGCATCTCTCATCTATCCTTGGTCTGGAAGGCATATAAAGCCCAAATTGAAGGATAACTCAGCTATTTGTCCATCAACTCTTCCAGTGCCATATATCAAGTGCAGGTGCGTGGCTTGCCTCTCATGCAGAAAATCCTCCCTTTCTTCGGAATTGCCCCTGAGTCCAGAGTTCAAACTCACACCATGATGCAGTGTCATCTGCTCCAGAACGCGCTCTCCACACAGTCTATACCCGACTCAATTGTTTTCTTATCTAGGTAGCTGCCTAGGTATGGGTTAAGAGTTTGCTTTCCTGGTGGTATCTAGACAGCTACAGGGTACCCCCGGCAGACGTGCAGCAGTTGGAGACGACTTACAACCACATCGCAGCCCGCTACACTTGGCAAGCATCTTCCGAGACTGCGTCCTGTTCGGTGAGGTTGACGATGCAGAACATCCGAATCTTTTTTTTTTTAAACAAGAAAAAATTCTCAAGATACCATTCTGCGACGTGATCAGCTCTCTGGGCGCCGAAGTTGTTCTCGCCCGGCCTGCAGCTCGCGAGGGAATCTCGTCTCAGGCCCCCCGGACATCACATCACCTCGGAAACCACTGCCCCTGCAGCAGGCACCCTCGCACCGGCGGGCACCACCTTCTGCACATCCCCCCATCCATCATCAACTAGACGTGTCTTCATCCAGAAACACGTTCCCCTTGGCCCAAGTTACCTTCTGCACTTATTCTGCATCAAGTTGACCCAGATTCCTACCAGCAGGGGCCAGCATCTCATCACTCCCGAGATCCCCAGCCTCCACCACCACTGGTCATCTCAAAACATCATCCGGCGTGACAACTACCGGGACAACATCAAGACAACATCAACACGTAAGTTCTACCTTCCATATGCCCCAAGAAACAATACGGTTTGCATCTGGTGTGGCTCTCAGCAGCAAGCCAGACGTGTCCCGGACCCGGGCTGCCTTCCTGATCCAATCACAACAGTTCCGGCCCGGGGAAGGACCAAAGTTCCCTCAGATTCGTTAAACTGACACAGAAGCCGCGAATCAGGACGGTCAGTGGAACTGAGGCTTCTCAATATGGCACAGCTTGTTCAGCCTACGGGCGGCAACGCGCCTGCTGCCACCGATGACATGGCTCCTCACGAGTTTGGCGCAAGAGTGAAGTGGATCAAGGACAAGAAGATGGCCGCCCAGCGCTTCGCTGTGGCTAGCAAGAGGACCGGATGCGTCCCTGACCTGGACGACGACAAGCTTTCCAAGCAGCTAGCGAAGACCACGCTTCTTCTCGACCACCTGGGCGAGGATGACACCCAGATGTCGCCGTTGCTCAACCGCGCCGCAGGTATTGAGGCGTGGCTCGGCATGTTCAACGATCCAGCGTTCCATTTTCCAGACGACACCAAGCAGCGCGCCCAGATGCTCCTCCAGCGCTTCCAGGGCGAGAACTGGGGAGCACCGGCTGCGGCGGTGGTGAACAACTCCTCCAACTCTGATTCCGCCGAGGAAGCCGCTTCCCCGACCACGCCTGCTGCGACTTCTGCGACTGCTGCAACTTCTGCGCCTGGCAATGCTACTGCCACTGTCAGAAACCCTCCCGCTAACCACCGTATCTGGGGCCGTGACGGAATCATGCGCGGCATCTTACCGAGTAAGCACGCGTCCTACTCCTGCTGCTTATGCGTGCTTATTCTGTGTTTCGGAGACGTAGCAAGTTGCTAACACTTACACCAGAGGTGTCGGGCGGCATCGTCCGGAGCCGCAGCATTGACCCCGATTATGATCGTCGTCGCTCAGCCAAGGTCCTTGGTGACAACGGCCTGGCCGCGGGTGACTGGTTTCCCTACCGGCTCTGTGCACTGCGGGATGGAGCTCACGGTGAGTCCCAGGCTGGAATTTCTGGCGTCGACGATGGCGCGTGGAGCATCGTCGTGGCCGGAGCGTACGAGGGAGTAGACGAAGAGTAAGGCATCCACCCCCCCCCTCCCTTTCGTGATACCTGAGACAAAAATCAGCTAACATCAACACCAAAGCCGCGGCGACGTGATCTGGTACTCGGCCCCCGGTAGCGCCGACAACGAGAATAGAAATGAGGCGCAAACCACCTCAGGCACCGGCTGGCTCCAGAGGTCTCTCGCCACGCGCAACCCCGTCCGCGTCCTCAGGGCCGCCAACAAGAAGTCGGCATACGCGCCCTCATGCGGCATCCGCTACGATGGCCTGTACGTGGTCGTCGCGCAGGACACAAGCCACAACGACAAGGGCGGCCTCTTTATCCGGTACCTCCTGGAGCGCCTGCCCAACCAAAAGCCCCTCAAGGATGTCATGCTCGATTCTCCGACCGCTCAGCAGATGGCGGATTTCACACTTGCCAAAGATCTGTGGTGAGCTCACCCTGCCGTCATTTCGAAAGCTGGAGCATGTGTGTATCATTAAGGGGGCTGCAATACTTATAGGAGTTTTGCAAACACCTAAGCACATCTGAGTTTTGCCCATTAGGGTTTTCTCATCTTAGCCTGGAAATCCTTCTAATTGAGGGTTCCAAATATAGGCATAACAACTGGCATGGTTTGCAACCAAGGCACATATCAGCCTTAAGTTTTGCCTTTTTCAGCCTTACTTCACAGCCCACACCTTTTCCCTTCCCAATCAATCAGTCGACACTTGGTCGCAACGGAGAGGACCGTAACACGAGCGACCTAGACAGCTTGGCAATGATTTGGACGAAAACTGCGAAAACTTTTCGGATGGAAGGGGATTTGAAAGCCGGCGAGCTTTTTTCAGGTTTTGAGGTTTGGCTTTCCAAGCTTGGTTTTGGGGCATCTTGCCAATTTTGGACTTCTGCCACTGAGCATCCCACGGGGGGTTGAGGAGTTACCGGCGTTTGCATGGGCGAGGACCCCATCAGAATCTTGCCTTTCGAGAATGTTTCCCCGGCATCACTGTACTTGTACGAAACAAAAACATACCCAGGTAGTCCACAGACTTGCTAATGAACATCAACATGAGATGCTTTGGTTTTTGATTGGAGAAGTCTTGAATCAAGCCTTGATTTGCTAATCTGAACCGAAAAGAATAACCGCCCACCACCAACCGGTGAGCAACAAAACCAGCTTCTAATGTACAGCGCATCCTTGCAAGTATGAAATGTCTTTTTTTGCAGTCTCTCGTCTTCGATGCCATACGTTCGATCCGATGGGACCTATGACGAGAACCAACGCGGGAACCTCAGCGGCTGGTACAGCTCTAAGTGACTGGGACGGAGAGGAAACGCTTCTGAAATATCACAAACCCTAACAGGGGTCCTCCAAGGCTTTAGTAGTTCAGCTCCCCGCCGCCACCGCCGCTGGCCTGGTCCAGGTCTTCGTAGCTCTTCAGCGTTCGTCCCTGGATGGCCTCGCGAGGCCCGACGGCTGCACCGCCACCGGCACCATCCCCCCAGCGACCTCCACGGTTGGGGCGGCCACCACCCATCATGCCACCGCCCATCCCCCCATCAAAACGAGGGTTCCGTGGCCGGTCGTAGGGGTTGGATCGGTTGTTGTTGTAACCTCTCCCGGCAGAGTTGAAAGCTCCACCACGGCGGACGGGGCCACCTCCGCGGTCATCCCCTCCGCTGGACTGGCTCCAGTTTGCGGGGCTGCCCATGGCGCCCGCAAACATCTGCTGGAAATTCGGCATGGGAGGGAACCCCATAGGCAGCATGTTGTTCAGACCATAATTCCCAAGGTTAAATCCTCGCGGCGTACCTGTTGGCGCCTGACCATTCGCCGGCGGGAAGTGACCATTGGAATTGGCGTCGGTTCGCGACGGCGCGATGTGAGCCGGGTCAATCACGTACGCATTAATTAGCTCATACTGGGTGTATGTTAGCAGTCAGTCTCCGCAGATGAGACCAAGCGTTGACTTACGTCTTGTTTGAGACTATCCAACCAATCCACGTGTCGCTTCTCAACGTGCTTGCGCCAGAAGTGCTCCTCCTTGAAGAGCTTTTGACACTCAGGGACCTTGCACCGCCACTTGTGCTCGTCCTCTTGCTTCACGAACTTGGCCATCTCCTCACTCACAGCTTCGTCGATGAGCTTACCACCAAGCTTTCGAATGTCGACGGAATCTGGCTCCAGGATCTGTTTGATCTTATCCTCAAATGTCTTCACCCAGTTGTAGGCGCGCTGGAGTTGTTGTTCAGACTTGCTGACATTCCTGAATTTGCGGTCTGGCTCAGTAGTCTCGCCTTCCTCAAGTTCAGCGGTATCTGGGCGCTTCTTGGGCAAAGGCTCGCCAAGAGCACTGGCGCGGGCGACCTCCTTCGCTGCAGAAGACAGTGTGCTCCTGGGACGACGAAGGTGACCTCCAGGGCACTTCCGAGTCAACTCATGAACCGAATCACTCTCGAAAACGCAGAAGAAGCAGAAGTTGAAAACGCGTCGCAAATACTCAATAAGGAGGTCAAGCTGCTTCTTCTTCGTCAAAAGCTCCTCATCGTCGACCTCGTCATCGTCAATGGCACCCTCGTCTTCATCATCTTCGTCTTCAGGCTCGGGCTCTTCCCCTTCGTCCATAGCCTCGTCGAGGTTGACTGAACGCTCCTTCTTGACCTTCTCCTTCTTGACTGCGGAAGTGATCGCAGGTTGCAGACGGCCGGTATTTCTCAGCTCATCAACCTTCTCCTCCACCTTAAGGACAGCGTTGAAATCGGAGCCATAATCTGCCTCAAATTTGTTTACGAGCTGATAGACAAGAGACAGATCCTTGTCGATACGCTCCGGAGCTGAGAAAAGGTCCCACAGTGCCTTCTTGCGCGGGTTGGCGGGCGGGTTATGCACACCAACATGACACACGAAGTCGCCCCTGACCTCGTCTTTGACGGTCTTGCTGTTGATGGCTTCCAAAGCCTTGTCCGCAGTAGAAAGCGACGCGCCAGGGCTCTTGACCTTGATGTCGCCATCCTCGTCTTCTTCTTTCGGGTCTGCGCGATCGATGATGGTCCCAGTCTCAGCAGCCGGGTGAAGCATGATCCAACCGATGCGATGGTACCGTTTCGACGGGTTCGGGTCGCTGAGTGAGAGCCATTTGAAGCCGCCCTCTTCCTCTCCAAGATGCTCCTTGCAAAACGCCTCCAGATTTTGACGGCTCACACTAGGAGCAATCGTCTTGATGAGGAGGGTTGGCTGAAAGAGATTCTCATCACGGAGGTCGGAGCTCGTGGCGGGGACCAGGTCTCCAACACCCAGGACTTCGTTCGCTGCGGTGGCTTCACCCTCCTCCTTCTCGATGATACCGCCGGCGCCGTTGCTCTCACTCTTGGGGATGCCCTCCAAGGTAAACTCATCGAAGGTGCCGGATTCAAGATCTTGCTCCCATTGGGTGTACTGGCCCTTTCGGAACTCGGTGAGTTGGGCCTTTAGGGGATCTCTGACCTCGGGAACGTAGCGCTCACGGAACCACTGCTCGTCTTTGTGTTGCTGAACAAAGGTCTTGGCCATCTTTGCCTGCAGGCTTTCCTTGTACGAGTCATACGCGGCCTGGATCTTAGCCTTCTCCTTGTCGCGCTCCTCCTGGGTGTTGGCACGGACACGGTCGGGCTCCCGGCGGCGACCAGTACGCTGGCGTTCCTTCTCTTCTTTGACCTTCTCATTCAACCTCCACCACTCGCCAAAGTAGGAGAACCCTACTTGGTAAGGCAGCTTCAGGGGATCTTGGATAGGGTTGGCCGCCACAGGTTGAGGCGCAGTGGCCTCCTGCCCAGGGACATATCGATCAATGTTGGCTGGTGGAGACGTGATGCGGCGCCTGTCGTCCCTGTCACGAGGCGGGTAGTCTTCTCTGCGGTTTCTGGGCTCATAGCGGTCGACGGGCAGGGGGGATCGAGAGCGGTTGGACCGACGCCGGTCATGGCCTGTGAAACCAACAGTAAGTACGTGTTGCGAAGGGTCGACAGAACAAAAAAAGGTTGAGGCAGGCATTGTTCAGCCAGCTCACGAATCCAAAGTGATGCACTGCCAGCTGTGCCGATCATTAGACAATGAACCCAGTGACATACCAGGAGATCTCCCGCGGTAGAAGCTATCGTCGGCCCTATCCATCTTTCTGGAGTCATCGCGGGTCCAGGTCCTGTCTCCCGGCGAGCGGACGGAGTCTCTGTAATAGGAATCCATTGCGCTTGAGCTGTCGTGTTCCCTCGAGCGACGCGTGTGAGGCGCTTCAACCAACAGGTAGGGCCGGATGAGGAATTGGCGGCGGGACTGGTCAGGTTATATCAGGCACTTGTCGGAGACTAGAGGAATGAGGAAGCCTAATGTTTGGCGACGTGATTGCCGTTAGAGAAAACATTCTGACCAGGACAGTTTGAAAAGAAGAATGAAGGTGGTTCTGAAGACAGCAGGAGGGCTGAGCGATTGGATGAGAAGACCAGCAGCAACGCAGATTCCGTCCGTAGCAAACGATGATGAGGTAAGAGGACAAGAAGTGGAAAATGGTGGCTTGCTGCTTGACAAGACAAGCAAATGATGATCAATGCGACAAGTGGGCGGGTGGGCAAGAAGCAGAGCTGAAGCTATCGTCTTGGGGACATGGCAAGAAACGGGGGGGAGTGATTCCACGAGGGGGGACCGAAACTCAACGGAAAAGGTAGAACGAACAATCGGTAAGAGTGTGACTGCGCAACCAAAAATGCGAGTCGGGATGCAGGCGCTGCGTTGTTGCGAGATACAGCAGCTGGCCGTCCTCTCGTCCCAGGAGTGGATGTCCAGGGAGGTAGGTCTGGTCTGGTGGTTGAAGGAGAGAGGAGTCGGCGGGCCACGCCGCCAGACCAACAAGAGCCGCCGACCTGGGGCTAGCGCCGTCTGACATAAGCGCCAGCCCACCTCAAAGACACACGCCTAGCCTAGTCGGTGCTACGGCATCTACAGTACTAGAGTACCTAGTCGAGGTACCCACCGAGGTTCCTGCATCTATGTTCATCTCGGAATGCCATGGTTACGAGACAGCATTCTGCTTCTTTACCACGGAATTGAACGGTATCCTCGATGGCAATTGACGCTGCTTTTGAGGTAGGTAGCTTTGTAGGTCAAACTTTCCCCCGAAGAAGGCAAAAGAATCTATTGCCAAGCTCAATTGCTGCTTGTAATTGCTCGAGACTCACATGCTTCGTTGCATGTCGTCATACAAGCCCGCAAGGACCGGATAGTACTGAGCTTCTCTCGAGTCTCACCACTATCGCCTGTTCACTTCCCCAACAACACCCTTCTCACATATACAGAAGAAGGCCTCGCAGCAACGGTTCACATCACTTGCAGGACTGAAATCAGTCACAGTTGCGACCATGACGACCTACATACCGGCCCTGACGATCCCCCACGGCGTCTTCGCCAACCCAGCCGCCTCCATCCTCCTCCCCATCGGCCTGGGGACGGTGGTTGGATATAGTACTCGCCGTGAGCAACCCACACACGCAACATGCTGACCCTGTCTGTTGAGCGACAACCCGTTCTGACAACCGCACAGCAAAGGAGACACAAAAGACCTACCAAACGATCAAGCAGCCCCCCTTCCGCCCACCACCCTACGTCTTCGGCCCAGCATGGACGATCCTCTATGGGCTGATGGGCTACGCCGCCCACCGCGCCATCACCGCCGGCCTAAGCCCCCTGACGTCCACGCCGCAGCTGATCAAGGACACGAAGCACTCCGCGACGCTGTACACCATCCAGCTCGGCCTCAACCTGGCGTGGATGCCGCTCTTCTTCGGCCTGAAGCGCCCCATCGAGGCCACCGTTGACATCGTCGCTCTGCTGGGGCTCAACGTCTACCTCACCAACCTCTGGTGGCCCATTGACAGGGTTGCTGCCTACTGCATGGTGCCGTACCTGGGATGGCTGAGCTTCGCGACGTATCTGTGCTCCGGGGCTGGGTACCTGAACGGGTGGAGCTTCAAGGAGAAGGACCTCAAGAAGGAGTGAGTCGGCTGAGCTGAGACTGTCGCGGTATCTCAAGGACGCTGAGGGACGCCAATTGTATATTGTGCCCGAAGTTGAGGTTTCAAAGATCCACTTCTGCTGTTGGCCTAATGCGCTCCTCTCACATCATTCGTTACCCATTAAGCATGAGCATGGTTATTTCGAGGTAATTGGAATTGTGCACGAAGCATGTTTAAAAAAAAAAAAAAACTACAAGATTTTTTCATTCGGCTTGATGTCATCTAAAACGCGGCATCCGTCTATCTGTGTCCTGTACTCTATCCCAAATCCCCCCAAATGAGAAAATCAACCGTAATTGTGTGGGCCTCGCCCAACAACCTATGCCATCTAACTCTCTGCGTGATTTATGTCTGGGTGTCCATTTCATGAAAGCGGCACGTACTTCTTCAACCCATCAAACACCATGAAAATGAACGCCGAGCTCGGTGCTGACCTCAAGCATGTGATGCCGCACCCTCTGTAACAGCCCCTCAGCCCGGCCTGCTGCCACAGGGCTACCGCCTCCCCCCAGAACGACCTCCTGATGGTCGACCCGCCGCTGGGGCTCGTCTGCATGCGCGACTTGATCGTGTCCGCGGGGAAGAAGAGGAAGTTGTAGGCCACGCCCGCGGAAGCGCCCGCCAGGGCCTGCTGCCACAGCGGCAGCGGGTTGGCCAGCATCTCGTCCCTTTGCGCCTGCGACTTGGCCTTCTTCAGGTTCTGGTGCATAAAGAATTTGGAGGTGGTCTCCTTGGAGCCGAACCACGCCGCGCACCCTCCCGCCTCCCGGATCAGCGTCCCCATCTGGCCGTGCCAGAACCCGAGGAATCCGTCGTTTCGGAAGACTTCCCTAATGACGTTCAGGGGCTTCAGCGGCGCCCTCTTGGGCGCCCCGGCCTCGTGCTCCGGCACCTGGATCTTGCACTTGACGAGCTCGATGGGCGTGAGGACGAAGGATGTGAAGATGCCAGAAAAGGCTCCAGTCAAAAACAGCGCCGGGAGGGGCATCGGCGCATCACGGGGGCAGAACCCGGTCTTGTATAAAGTCTCCCGCCCTATTCGCTCGAAGAAGAACAGGCTGCTGTTCTCCGCCGCTGCACCCACAAGCGGCGCGCTGATGCCGCGGTACAGGCCGAGGAGGCCATCTGCCTTGATGGACTGGCGGAAGCAGTCCAGAGGCCCTTTGTAGCGTAGAGGAAGGTGGTCCGGCTGTGACTGGAGCCGGACTTTGACCGTATCGAAGGGGTACTCGATATATTTGCCAACTATGCCGGCGACCTGGAGGTGTCGGTTAGCACACAGAACACAGAGTCGTGGGGGGTTGGACGGTGCATACCGATCCATACAAGATGTCCTCGATAGACTCCATTGCTGCCGTTCGTGTCTTGGCGTCCAAGGGTGCAGTAATGGAGGCCGGCCGAGGCGTATCCATAGCCATTTGAGTCGAGGTCATATTGGTTGTTGTGTCGGGAGAAAGCTATGCAGCCGGTGGCTCGAGAGTCGTGGGGGAGAGTCGTCTGGAGCCTGAGTAGGCCTTATTGAGTCGGTCAGTCAATGCGCGTTTTACTGGACGGTTGTACAGTCAATTTGGCGGGTATGCGCAGCTGCGCAGCCGGCGTTGGATGGCGAGGAGCGCTGATGGTAGCTGCCAGGAAAGGGGCAAGCAGACCTTCACGAGCCGGGGGCCGCACCCAGCTCACGCTGTCGCAAATGCACGCAGCCAACGGCGCACCGAGAAGATGATGAGTGGTTGGACTAAGTGGGAGGACAGAAGGACGAGCAGGGTAGTTTCGAGAAGGGGGGGGAGGGTTGGTGACCAACTTTAAGGATAAATGCAGGCCGGAAGCGGGCCAGGCCCTGCGCAGTCACCGCTCGTCAAGTTCGGCCTCCAGGTTCGACCGACAATTGGCGGGGGCAGTTGGGGGCACATGGCTCAGAGAATGCCGAAGCTCCTGGAGGGGAGCGGTAGTTCAGGTCATTGGGCTCGTGTTCACGCCGTATTGTACGAGTAGCGTATGGAGAGAGTAGGTTGCGCGAGATTTTGTGTCCCCGTTCCTCGCGCCGGCGAGCCTATGATGAAGCGTCGGGCTGATGCGGGCGCGGGCGCCAAGCCGCAAACTCTTCGGATCTGATAAGATTTCCTGCTTTATCAGATGCGAATTTGCGCGGGGCAAGGGCGATCGGAGTGGGTTCCTCATGGCCCCGTTCGGTCCAAGGATCGCGTGCGACTTAGACCAGGGGCCTCAAGACACTTTTTACTAACGGTTTAATAATAGGAATACGATTAAAAATACTGTGACATTCAGACTGGGCTTCTGTATTCATTTTAAAATCGGCCCCATCTTTTCGACTTGGTGAAATCAGTTTCAAGAATTTACGACAGGAGTTTCTTTCAGCCACAGTGCTTGCCTTCTTCCCTCCTCTCAAACCACGTCCCTGGTCTCTCACCTACCAGCTCCTAACACCTAGGTAGCTCTCAGGTACCCCAAATGTCGATGCATGACTAGTCCAGCACGCACTCTTTCCCGTGAGACAACCTCCTCTTGGGTAATCAGATTACCTGTAGATTTCGTCTAGGTAGATTTCGCCTGCCCTGGCTTTCTCATCCTTTTCTCTATAACCTCGAAAACCCAGTCGGCCTTCCTTCTGCATGCATGGTGTATGACCGAGGCCCGTCAAGGGATTGTGAAGCATCCCGTGAATAAATGGAGCAAGACACGGTGTCCAGGAAGCACTGAGGTCTGTGTGCTTTGGTACGAGACGGCCAGTCACATCTGCCGCATCTCTTGGAACAAGGTCGTCGTGTATCTCGAGTAATGCGTGACAAAAGACCCAACGTGACGGAGCATCCGATTACGATTGCCCAGAGTTCCATGTCTCCCTAATCAATTCCCATGGATAATCTGCAGGGTCGGGATGCAAATTTGGATCACGTATCCAATTCACATATGCCAGCCACTTCCAGCCCCTCGGCGATGTACCGTCGCCGATCTGGTAGTATGTGGTAATGGAAAGACGCTATTTCCCACGCCGTGAGTGCTTCGCAGACTCATGGGGTTTTTCTATAGTTAGGATGTAAGTCCGTCAAGCACTTGGGGCAAGAGCCTGGCACTTCCCAACATGCCTCAATACTATCTCGCAGAAGAGCTAGACGCGAGTAGGATCTTGACGGATAGTGTGGATTCTCTGAGCATTTCCGCTCAGAGAAATGCCCCTCGCAACCCTCATGCTATGGGTGGTGCCTCGCGTGATGGCCCCGGAGTACTCCGAGGACTGGGGATGCTCAATTATGGATGGATGGTGAAGCAAAAGTTCATGTCCATCCAACTTATCCGCAATTCTCCTCCCTGCAGACTACTTTGGCAATAGTGACAGATGCACGAGATGTATTAGGATCGCCCCGCTGTGTTGCCGAGCCAAGCGACGAGCTCGTCGGGGAGAAGATCTTTGAGTGGAAGTTCGATTCTTGAACCGTCAGCGGCGATGTATGCTTATCATGGACAAGCAGAATACAAGCCATCCCCACAGCATAACTCAAAAATAGGAACAGCACCCAGTACTTCACGGACACGCTTCAGGGCACACTCTGAAGACTCAGACCTCAAGGCGTTGGTCACGTCAACAGTGAGACTTAGTAGACCGCTCACTGAAAGCACGGTAGTTCATAACTCAAAAATAGACTGGCTAAATGGTATAGCTAGTCGTTTTATCATTGCAATTCATTATGATTCATAGGCGCACAGCGGCAGCCGCATAGGCTCTGGAGTCCATAAAAGCCCGGGTAAGTGGAAGATCAAGTCAGTTTTTGCATGGTTGACCTCACGGAAACTAACTTACTAGAATAGGAATTCGCTGAACCTCAGGCTCTCACAAGAAATTTCCGCTCCACATTTCGCTCGTGTGGTCACAAGCTAGACGGTCACTTGGTCGAGATGTGCACATGTATCGAGGCATGGTTGAGAGCATGAATTAAAGCACGAGATTCGGACATGGAGTTCCAAATCGTGCCGCAAAACTTTTGCTTTCGGTTCACCTAGAAGAGGAGCTTCAGGGCCGCCCAAGTCAGACGTGGGATTGGTGATGGAGATGCCAATCCTGGCAGGTAGGCCACATGGTGGCCAGATAATGGCTAGAATGGCTCGAGATACCCTGTAGCACTAGCCTCCGCCCACTGCACCATGTATTGTGTCACCACATATGAGCTTGAGACTGGTTGGAGGGATGGGGTGTCAAGGTGTATGTCATTGGGCTCCCCATCGAGAGGGGGCGGAGTTGTGATCTCTACATTAGTATGTGGCTGACCACTGCAATGCAACTATCAGCGCATCTCCAAGGCGTTTTCACCTAGTACTGGTAAAAATAATCAGCCTGCATTGCGCCACTTCAGGCTGCAAGCTAAATTGTAGTGTCTGCGTCGTCTGCCATGAAAAGAGAACGCGTGGACGATTACCGCATGTTCTAATAGCACGACCCTTGATGTCATTCTCAATTCTCTTGCAATCACGAGAATGTACTATCAACGGGTCACAAACTCGTTATGATAGCCGTCGTTCTAGCTCCTGTCCTCATCCGTCGGTCAAATCTATGAAGAAATGGAGGCTGTTGGCTTGGCTATCTCCATTATCTCCCTCGCGGGGATATTCAAAGACTGCATCGATTTGTTTTCCATGATTTCTACCGCGAAGTCCATGGAAAAGGACTTCACAATCCTGAGCGTCAAATTGGATATTGAAAAGACGCTTTTGCTACAATGGGCCGAGCACGTCAGGCTCGTCCACGAAGATTATGACCGCCGCCTAGACAATCCACGTACGAAACGCACGGTCGCTCGTATCCTCGAGTCCATCAAGAATCTACTGAGCGGTGGTTCCGAACTCGAACGCCGATACTAGTATGGAATGCAACGCTTGAGAATCGACCAGGGTGAACGCTTCCCAATCTTGAGCGCTCATAGACTAGAACAGTTTCGATCTGATTTTAGGAAGCTCAAATTAAATGGCCATCCGTCCGTTGAGGACACCAATGGATCATACCAGAGTCGGACGTCAAGTCGACCAGAGGTCGAAATCAGCACTAGCCCGGCACCTCACAAGCAAAATGCAACACTCAAGGGGCAATTCTGTTGGGCAGTTCGAGACAAGGGAAAGTTCGGCAGTCTGATTCAACAACTTTCGGAATTAGTGAGAGGGTTGAAAGAGATTGTGCCACTGAAGCACTCGGCCTCGGTGGAGCTTCTGGAAGAAGACGTGAAGCACGTTAAACGGATCAGTCGCCTTGAACTTCTTATGGATTCGGCCAAAGATCATGATCAACCGGATGCATTCACAGATGTAATTCAAGAACAGATCGATCGACGGCGCCAGCAACGCATACTTGACAGCTTATGGTACAGAATGCTCGATCATCGCGTAAACAGCGTTTCTGAGGCTCATTTAGGAACATTCGACTGGGCTCTTCACCCGCCGACAGAAGAAACTGAATGGGAAAATCTATCCCAGTGGTCGAAGTTCGGTTCTGTGATATACTGGATCCACGGAAAGCCCGGCAGTGGCAAGACGACATTGATGAAATATCTATACGACAACTCCGTGACCCGCTCATTACTCTCTGAGTGGGCGAAGGATAAGCCACTCTTGATGCCACAATTCTTCTTTTGGAATCTCTGAACTCCAGAGCAGAAGACCCAGTATGGACTGTACAGAGGTCTGCTGTATTATATCCTCAAGGACAGCCCTAGCCTTATTCCAGACTTGCTACCCGAAATGTGGAGAGAGGCACACAATGATGGTGGCCCCACAGACCGGACTTCCTTGGACACTCGGGCATCGAACCTGGAACCCCCAACGGAAGAGGAGATGATGCTTGCATTCCCCAGGCTCAAGGCTCACACTCAGGCGGCGTTCTGCTTCTTCATCGATGGCCTTGATGAATACTCTGGAGATCCGTTTCGGCTGATCACATTCCTCGAGAAACTCCTCGAAAAACTCGTCTCAGATAACATAAAAGTCGTTGTGTCAAGTCGGCCAATACCTTCTTGTTATCAAGCTTTTTCTCGAGGTCCTAAGCTTCGACTCCAGGATCTCACGCGGAATGACATCAAAACATACGTCCACGACACAATTGCACTCCATCCGCACACCGAGACCATCATTGGAATGGACAGCACGATAGTGGATAAGATCCAGGGCGAATTAACCGAGAAAGCTTCGGGTGTCTTTCTCTGGGTAATCCTCGCCTGTCGCTCGCTGATACAAGGCTTTGCCGCCTAGGACACCCCCGAAGAACTGCAACAGCGGCTTAAAGAACTTCCGCCTGAGCTCAACGATTTATTCATGCATATACTTCAGAAGTTCGATCCCAGATACCACGAGCAGGCTGCGAAGCTTTTACGTCTGTGCTATCACAGCACACTTCTGAAAACTGATCCTGGTTATCCACACGAGGCCTAATTCACATTGGGGTTGGCGCTGGTGGACGCAGACAATTTGGATTTCTCAAAACCCCTACAGCACAATCAGCTCTCCGAGGACGAGAAGATCAGCAAATGCAAATTACTAGAAGCCCGGCTGAGAAGCAGATGCTGCGGATTGCTAGAAATCCAATTTGGAGATTCTAGGCTGGGGCCCTCTCCACTGAAGGAGCATTCCAACTGCCAGATTGTCGACTCAACTGTGGATTTCATTCACCGCACTGTGTTCGAATTCCTCATTTCTACGAGAGAAGTGGAAGAATCAAGAACCAGAGGGCGGTCAAATTACCTCAAGTTGCACTTTCGCATTTCAAAGAACGGTTGCCCCGATCTTGCCGCAAAGCTTGTGTGCGAGTTGGGCATGGAGACAACATTTCAGCGCATGAACGTTTCCAGACATGGAGATCAGTCTTCGCCTTTACTGTATCACGCCATTGAGAAGCCACTCCTTCGACAGCTTTTCGGCGATGATTTTCAACTCCCGCGTTTGAACATCGAGGAACTAGTTGCAAGAGGCTGTGACGTGAACGAGTTCTTTGTCGAGCACTCCCAAAGGAGGCCGACGACTCCATGGATACATTGGCTTGGTCAGCCACCATCTGAGTGGTATGAAATGGCGTTGGATGATAGTTGGGTAACTGAAGAGTTTCTTAGTGCCGGAGCGGATATTTCTGGTGTAGTGAACAGGTTCAAAACGGCAATCACAACTTTGGTCGGGCAGAGAATCTTGGGAGACTCACTGGGAGCGGAAATCGACTTCGCTCACGAAGATGGGGGCTTCAACACGTCGCATCCATTCTTCGAGGAGGATTTGATGGATGAGAGCCTCAGATCTTCATACGACCGTGTGAGAAAGCTGCTGAGGGACGGCACCAGACAACGTCACGAAAATGTCGAAGCCGACTCGATGCCTACGGTGTCATCGGGTAGTGGCTGCAACGAGGAGAGCAGGCTCAAACGGCGTCACGCGGAGTCGATAAAAGATGACGAAGATGCATGTTCAAGCGGTTCCGGGGGGGCATAGAATCAAGAGACAGCGCACTTCTTCTCAATTGGATACGGAAATGGGAAGCGAAGAAGTCTTTCAATAATACTTTATTTGCCTGTTGAGTAGACAACGTCGGAGTTCTTGGAAACCTCTTCATAACACTCTGCAATGTAATAAGACTCATCAAGAAATGAATAATAAATGACACTACGATTAGGATAATGCAACAAAATAAGAAACGTCCAGAGCGCACTCTCGGTTTGTAGAGTTGGCCAAGAACATTTGAATCAACGGACTGACTGAGAACAACCAGGCAAATTTTGGGTCAAGTCACCATAAGATTGACGAGGATGTTCTTCCAAGAGTTGCAACTAGTAGTGGTATAATGAAGTGTATTTTCAAATATTGTGCAGTGATATTCATTTCTGGGTTTCGCCCTGGCTACGCAGGCAGGTATGTAGAGATTGTAGATCACCTTTAGAAGAATTGCTAACACTGAATTGGTATTGGAATACTTTAGTATTGCTACATTGAGACGCTCGATACAATGAAAATTGAAATATTGGTCCAGCATTAAGTTATGCTTTGCTTGTTTACAATGCACTGCGCCGCTTTGGCGGAGCCGCCGGAAAGCATAACTCCTCACCAAACCAACAGGCATGACTACACTCATTTGCATTCCACACCGCCAAAACCACGCTAGTGATATCGCCATGTTGCTGCGCACCTAATTTATATATATATAATTATTTTAGCAGCATATTAAATGTTTTTTTAATAAATATTGCTTTAATTTAATTTAATTTAATATTAAAATATAAAAAGCATTTTTAATTATTTAATATTTCTTTTTATATTAATTTTAAAACTTTAATTATATTATAATATATAATAAAAGTATAATTTTAAGTAATATTATAATTAAATTTAATATACTGTTTTTCTTATAATATTATAAATATAGCTTTAATTTAAATTAACTTAATATTAAAAGATAAAAAATATTTTTAATTATTTAATATTTATTTATATTAATTTTAATTAATATTTATTATTTCTTAAAATATAGAAGGAAAGTATTTTTAAGATTTTTATTAAAAATACTTTATTTATATTAAATATATATTTCTTTTTAAATATAAAGATAAATAAAGTTTTATAATTTTATTTTTTAAGTATTTTTATAAAATTAAAAATAAATTTTATTAATTATTTATAAATAAAGCATAATATTTTATTAAAGTTTTTAGTTATTTTTTTTTTAAATCTTGTTAAAAGTTTTATTTAATTACTTTTTCTTTTTTAAATTAAAACTTTTTAATTTTAATTTTATATTAAATACTTATTAAATTATAAAAATAATAATAGTTAATATAATATGTTTATATAATAAGTGTGTTATATATAATATATAAATTTAAAGGTGCATAGCTTAAATTAATTTTATTATTAACGGCTGTTAATTAAAGCTAGCCGGCTGTTAATTAATAATTACTTAATTCTTTAACTAGCTTATAGCTAAATAAAAAATAACTGCAACTTTTAATTACAATCTTTTTCTTAATATAATAATTAAATTAATTATATAAAATTAAATTAATATTAATTAATGCTTACTTAATAAATATAAATAATTATTACGGTTTAAGCTTTGCTTATTATAATTAATTAATGAGCTTTAACCTTATAAAAATAAGCTTTAACGCAGGTGCAAATGAAAAGCAAACCTTTTTCTCTGCACTTTAAATATAAACCTTATTTAAATACCTTTTGCAAATAATCTTAAGGCTAGCTTATAATATATATTTAAAATCCTTTTATATTATAAACTTATAATATAATTATATAAAACTTAATATAATAAAACTTAAAAAGAATAATAATAGCTTGCTAAGTCCTTCCTTATCTTAAGAAATTCTTATCTTAAAAATACTTGGCAACTTAATTAATAAAGATAAGAGCTAAGTTTATAATAAATAAGGAAGTAATTAATATTAAAAGGGCTTAATTTTTTTTATATTTAATTAATTAAGAACTTTTTATAATTAATTTTTACCTTATATTAATTTTATAAAGATATTTAAAAAATAATTAAAAAGCTTTTTAAAGAAAGTTTGCTTTATATTTAAAAATTCTTTTACGTAAAGATAAATTAAGCTTAACTTAATTATATTATAATAATATTATAAAAAAAATAATAAATTTTTTTATTTAATTTAATTAATTAATTTATATAATAAAAACTTAAAATTAATTAAATAAATATAAAACATTATTAATAATTAATAACTTAACCTTTATAATAAATACTTAACTTAATTATAAAGAATAATTAAAAATATTTTAAGCTTTTTACTTTGCTTTATAATAATATAAAAGCATTTTAATATTATAATAAAGAAAAATAATACTTAATTTTAAAATAATAAAATAATAAATATTAATATTATAATAATTTTAATAAATAAAGTTAAGTATTTTATATATAATTAGCTTAATTATTATAAGTATAATTACTTTAATTATTATAAGAAAATAAGGATATAGCTTTTATTAATTAAAGTTAATAAGGAAAAGAAACTTATTTAAGGGGGTATAAAGATTTTCTTATAAGATAAGGTTTAAAGTATTGCTAGCTTAATATTAATTTAAGCTTAAAGCAAGTTAGCTATATGTTAATTAATTTAACCTTATGAAATATTTAAAATTTAAAACCCCTTTATTAAGAAAGTAAATTATTAATATATTAAATATTAATTAATTATAAAGCATATAATAACTTTATAATCTTAAAATATTAAATAAGAAAGTATATATAAATAGTTTGCATTAAAGGATTATAAAAATGCTGTTACTTTAATAATTAGCTTATATTTAAATAATTATTTTTATTATTTAATATATTAAATTATAAGGGTTAAAGGCATGTTAATTATAAAAAATAAGTTAAGTTTTTAATATATTAAAAAGGCGTTAAGCTATAATTAAATAGCTAAGTAAAAAGTAATATTTAATTTATAATTAAATTATAATATTCTTTATTTTTTATTAAATAACTGTTCTTTTAAGCTTATTATAAGGATTTAAAGAAAGAAAATATATTATAGTTTAAGCTTTGCTTATTGTAATTAGTTAATAGGCTTTAGCCTTATAAAAATAAGCTTTAATATAAGTATAAATAAGGAGCGAACTTCTTTCTTTATACTTTAAATATAAACCTTATTTAAGCACCTTTTATAAATAACCTTAAAGCTAGCTTATAATAATAATTAAGTTTTAAAAAAGTAAATCTTTATTATTTTTACTTAATATAAACATTATATAAAATAAATTAAAACTGCTTAAATTAAATAATAATATTTATATTATAATTAAAGCTTAATAAAAATTATTGTTTTAATAAAGTAAGTTTATTATATAAAGATTTAACTTTTTAAATTAATACCTTATTTTTATTAATATTATATTATAAGTAATATTATTAATAAAAGCATTAAAAATAAAAGTAGTTTTATGTAATGGGCTTGGGCTATTGCCCAAGCCTTATATAGTGTGGCTAAATAATCCAAGGGAGCTTGGATTACTATGTACCTTTTAGCTTAATGGTTAAAAGGTTGCTGCTTTGCAGCTTATAAGAGAAGGCGCTAATTAGCCTGCAGCCCCTTTAGGGCTAAGCCTATAATAAATAATCCAAGCTTTAGGGTTAAAGGTTTGAGTTATATTTGCTGCAATATACGGGCACCCCTTTTATAAAGAAGAACCTTGGCTTGAAAAGGCGATATTATGGGTAAGCCTTAGGGGTAATTATATTATTATATTAAGGGGGTTTTAGGGAAAGGGGCTATGTAATAGGCTTGGGCTATTACTTAAGCCTTATATAATGTAGCTAGATAATTTAAGGAAGCTTAGATTATTATGTACTTTTTAGCTTAATGATTAAAAAGTTGCTGCTTTGCAGCTTATAGGAGAAGGCGTTAGCCAGCCTGCAGCCCCTTTGGGGCCGAGCCTATAATATTTTAATTTATAAAAGAAAAGATATTATTTATTAAATATATTTTATTATATAAATTATTAAACTTAAGTAATAAATTATGATTATTAATAATTAAATTAAATATTATATAAGTAAGTTAAAATTATTTAATTAATTAATAATATTTATATTAAATTAAAAAATAAATAATAAATAAAACTCTTTTATTAAATAAGTTTTAAAAATATTATATTAAACGCATTTTTATAATATCCTTAGGCTATTATAACCTTTTTAGCTTATTAAAAACCCTTTTATAATAACTTTATATTAAAAAGCCTTTTTCTTAATATTTCTTTAAGTAAATTTAATATATTTTTAAATTATTAAAAGCCTTTGCTTATAATTAATATATTTTTAAGCTATTAAAAGCCTTTATTTATAATTAACGCCCTTTAAAGTATTTAAATAATATTTTTAAGGCTTACAACTTATTAAAAATTCTTTAAAGCCCTTATAAAATAAAATATTAATAAATAATATATATTTAAATAATTAATATATTTTTAAATAATTTATAATATATTATTTAAATAATTTATTAACCCTTTAATTTATTTATATTATTTTTTAATAAGTTAATTAACTTAAAATTATTAAAAAAATTTAATAAGATTTTTTATTAATTTAATTATATAAATGCTTTAATTAAATTATTTAATATTTTCCTTTTAATAAATATTAATTAAATTAATTAATAAATATAATCTTTTTCTTTCTAATATTTTTATTACTTTCTTTATTAATATCTTTTAATAAAATCTTAAATATAATTTATTTTAAAATTAATAAAAATTAATTTATTAAATAATAATATTTAAATATTATTATTTATAAATAAATAATTTAAAAATTAATTATTAATTTAAAAATATAATTAAAAAAATAATTTTTTTTATTTTATAATTTATTATTATAAAATTTATAATAATAATAATAATGCTTATTATTAATTATAAAAATATTAATAATCTTATTTAATTATTTAATTTAATTATAAAAAATTTATTAAATTAATTTTTAATTAATTAAAATATAATATTTTTAATATATTAAAGCTTTAAAATATTAATAAATAATTATTTAAATTAAATAATTTAATTATTTAATTAATTTAATTAATTTAATTAATTTAAAATAAATAATTTATAAAGAAAAATATAATTTTAAAATATATTTAAAATTATTAATATAAAAATAATAATAATTAATATAATATATTTATATAATAAATATATTATAAATATTATATAAATTTAAAAGTATATAACTTAAATTAATTTTATTAAAAGTAATTATTAATTAATATTAATTTAAATTTTTTAATATAATAATTAAATTAATTATATATTTTATTTCATTATTATTAATTATATAAAAGTTAAATAAATATTAATTTAATTAAAATAAATTTTATAATTTTTAAATATTTTTATAAATATATTAATATTTTTAAAGCTTAATTATGTTTTTTTAAAATTTTATTATATTAAAATATAATTATTTAAGTTTATTATTATAATAAAGTATTATTATTTTATTAAATTAATTTTAAATAATAATTATATATATTTATATTATAATTTAAGCTTTGCTTATTATAATTAATTAATAAGTTTTAACTTTATGAAAATAAGCTTTAATATAAATATAAATAAAAAGTAAACCTTTTTCTTTATACTTTAAATATAAACTTTATTTAAATATTTTTAGCTTTAAAAACATAAAGTAAGCTTATAATATATATTTAAAGTTTTCTTATATTATAAATATATAATATAATTATATAAACCTTAATATAATAAAACTTAATAATAATAATAATAATAGCTTATTAAGCTTTTTCTTATTTTAAAAAACTTTTATCTTAAAAATACTTAATAATTTAATTAATAAAAATAAAGATTAAGTTTATAATAAATAAAGAAATAATTAATATTAAAAGGGCTTAATTTTTTTATATGTTTAATTATTTAAAAACTTTTTTAAATATAAGTATATTAAGCTTAGCTTAATTATATTATAATAATATTATTAAAGAAAAATAATAAATTTTTTTATTTAATTTAATTAATTAATTTATATAATAAAAGCTTAAATTAATTAAATAAATATAAAATATTACTAATAATTAATAACTTAACCTTTATAATAAAAGCTTAACTTAATTATAAAGAATAATTAAAAATATTTTAAGCTTTTTATTTTATCTTATAATAATATAAAAATATTTTAATATTATAATAAAAAAAGTAATATTTAATTTTAAAATAACAAAGTAATAAATATTAATATTATAATAACTTTAATAAATAAAGTTAAGTATTTTATATATAATTAAATTAATTATTATAAGCATAATTATTTTAATTATTATAAAAAAATAAAAGTATAATGTTTATTAATTAAAATTAATAAAACAAAGTTTATTTAAAAGGGTATAAATTTTTTTATAAAATAAGATTTAAAGTATAATTAACTTAATATTAATTTAAGCTTAAAGTATATTAATTATATATTAATTAATATAATATTATATTATAAGCTAGCCTTAGGTTATCTGCCGTAAGGTATCCAAATAGGGTTTATATTTAAAGTATAAAGGAAAAGGTTTACTCTTCATTTATACTTACATTAAAGCCTATTCTTATAAAACCAAAGCCTATTAACTAATTATAATGGGCAAAGCCCAAACCATAATATATCCTCCTTTTCCAAGTCCTTATAATGGGCCCTAAAGGGCAGCTATATAATAAAAAATAAAGGATATTATGGTTTAATTGCAAATTAAATATTACTCTTTACTTAGCTATTTAATTACACCTTAGCGCCTCCTAACTATATTAAAGGCCTAGCTTATTATCCATAATTAATATGCCTTGGCCCTTATAATTTAATATATTAACTAAAGCAAGTTAATAAAAAATAATTATTTAAGTATAAGCCAGCGGCTAAGCTAATAGCATTCCTATAATCCTTTAATATAAGCCTTTTATATAAGCTCTCTTACCTAAAACCTTAAGATTATGGATTTATTATATAATCCGTAATTAATTAATGCTTAATTATAAGCAATTTACTTTATTAATAGGAATTTCCTAAATTTTAAGTATTCCTATAAGGCTAAACTAGCTAATATATAGCTAATTTACTTTAAGTTTAGGCTAGCGCTAAGCTAATATTACTTTCAAACCCTACTTTATAAAAAAAATTTTACGCCCCCTTAAATAAACTCCTCCCCCTTATTAGCCTTAATTAATAAAAGCTATACCCTTATTTTTTCATAATAATTAAAGTAGTTATGCTTATAATAGCTAAGTTAATTATATGTAAAATACTTAACTTTGCTTATTAAAATTACTGCAATATTAATATTTATTGCTTTATTATTTTAAGGTTAAGTATTATTTTCCCTCGTTACAGCGCTAAAAATGCCCTTATATTATCATAAGGCAAAGTAAAAAGCCTTAAATATATCCAGCTACTCCTTATAATTAAGCTAGGCTCTTATTATAAAAGTTAAGCCGTTAGCTATTAATAGTATTTTATACTTATTTAGTTAACTTTAAGCCTTTATTATATAAGCTAATTAATTAAACTAAGTAAGAAATTCTATTATCCCCTCCCCACGGCGCTATTATAATGTAATTAAGCTAAGCCTAACATGCCTTTGCTTAAAAGGGTCCTTAAATATAAAGCAAATCTTCTCTAAGAAGCTCTTTAGCTACCCCTTAAATATCTTTATAAAATTAACATAAGGCAAAAAGTAATTATAAAAAATTCTTAGCTAATTAAATATATAAAAGAATTAAGCCCCTTTAGCGCTAATTACCTCCCTATTTACTATAAACTTAGCCCTTATCTTCATTAGCTAAGTTGCTAAGTATTCCTAAAATAAAAGTTCCTTTAAATAAGGAAAGGCTTAACGAGCTGCCATTATTCTTTTTAAGTCTTATTATACTAGGTTTTATATAATTATATTATAAGTTTATAATATAAGAAAACTTTAAATATATATTATAAGCTAGCCTTAGGTTATTTACTGTAAGATATTTAAATAGGGTTTATATTTAAAGTGCAAAGGAGAAGGTTTACTTTCCATCTACACCCGCGCCAAAGCCTATTCTTATAGAGCCAAAGCCTATTAATTAATCACAATGAGCAAAGCCCAAACCATAACATATTATAAGATATATTTAACTTTAAAGAAAACTTTATTAAGAAAGTAAATTATTAATATATTAAATATTAATTAATTATAAAGTATATAATATTTTTGTAATTTTAAAGCTTTAAATAAAAAAATATATATAAATAATTTATATTAAAGGATTATAAAAATGTTATTAACTTAATAGCTAGCTTATATTTAAATAATTATTTTTATTATTTAATGCATTAAATTATAAGGGTTAAAGGCGTATTAATTATAAAATAAGCTGGGCCTTTAATGCGTTTAAAAGGCGCTTAAGTATAATTAAATAGCTAGGCAAAGGGCAATGTTTAATTCGTAACTAAATTATAATATCCTTTATTTTTTTTAATTAAACAGCTGCCCTCCTAAGCCCATTACAAGGACCTGGAAAAGGAGGATATATTATGGTTTAAGCTTTGCCCATTATAATTAGTTAGCGGGCTTTAGCCCTATAAGAATAGGCTTTGGCGCGGGTGTAAATAAGGAGCGAACCTCTTCCTTTATACTTTAAATATAAACCTTATTTAAGCACCTTTAGCTTTAACAGCATAAAGCAAGCTTATAATAATTTAATAAAATTATTTTATAATTTTAATTTTTATATATTAATTTAATAAGTTAAATAATTATTTTTAAATAATTTTATAATATAAAAAATATAAGTATTTTATTTAATAACGTAAATTATTATATATTTTAAATAATAATAAATCTTATATATATATTATATAAATATATTTTAAAATAATAATTTTATATTATTTTTTTAAGTAATAATTTTATATTATTTTTTTAAGTAATATATATTTATTTAAATTATATAATAAAAATATTTAAATATAATATTTAATAATATTAAATTAAGTTAAAATAACTTTACTTATAATAAATTAATATTTAAATTAAAGTTTATTAATAACGTTACTATAAATAATATTAAAAATTAAATATAATTTAATATTAAAACTTTTAATATAAATTAACGGTTTTTTAATATATTTTATATTATAATTAAAACTTTAAATTATATATATATAAAAATATAATAACTAAAAATGCTTTTTATTAATTAACATATTATTTTAACGTATTAAAGTTAATATAGTAAAATTGGTTATATATATGCATGCAAAAAAGATATGCATTAACACGGCGTTTTTTTTTTTTTTTTTTTTTTTTTTTTTTTTTTTTTTTTAGCGGTGTGGAATGCAAATGAGTGTAACTAGCATCTCATACATTACACGAGACCCTCAGCCCCGCCCCCAGCCGCTGTGTGTGGAAAACGAAACTATCCCTCCTGTCGTTTTAACTCACGCTCCCCTCCCGCTGCAAAAAATAAAAAATATATAATATTTACTATTTTATCATAACTACCCCTATTTAAGTAACCATATTATATATATATATATATATTTATAAATCTTATATTATAAAGAATTATAATAAAATATTTTAATATATAAATATTTTTTTTAATATTTATTTTATTATTATTTTTAATTTTATAATTATATATTTATATATATTTATAAATATAATATTAAAAGTATAATATATTTTCAATTTAATATAATATTTAAATAAAAAATAAAATATTTATTAAATTTAAAACTTTTATTATTTAATTATTTAATTAATATTATTATTTATTTTTTATCTTATAATATTATAAATGAAATGCATTAAATATTAAAAGTTATATAAGGATTATAAATATATAAACTATATTTATATATTAAATCTTGTTGTAAAGCTATGATAGGTTGTAGTTACATTTAAAAATCGAGATTTTGGGAGCGGAGGGGAGAGCGCGAGTCAAAACGACAGGGGGGGGATAGTTTCGTTTTCCACACGCAGCGTTGTTTCCCAAGTGTACTTGTGCCCCTGGCGCATGTCTCTCCCCTCTTTCTCTTCTGCTCATACGCCGACACGTCTCAAACAACGCTCCTAGAGGACGACCGCGACCATGGACGGGCTAGTTCAGAAAGCCATTCAGCAGTCTCAAGCACAGAAGAAGCTCCCGGAGCTCACTCCTTGGAAATATGACGAGCCATGGCCGCAGCCATATTACTCATGGGATCCAGAAATGGAAGTCTGGGAACCCATCAAGCCGTCAAGTGCAGCGTCTCCGCCTAAAGATGCAGCGCCATCCTCGGACATCACCACCATAGCTCTGTACAGCTGGAACATCGACTTCATGCTGCCCTTCGCCGAGGCGCGGATGAGTGCCGCACTCGCCCACCTAGAGGAACTTACGAACGGCCTGCCTACGACCACGGCCGTCGCCATCAACCTGCAGGAATGCACCCCCTCGGACCTCATCACCATCAGCCAGAAGCAGTGGGTCCGAGACAGGTTCCACATTACGGACCTGGACAGCTCGGCGTGGGCATCAGGTCTGTACGGCACGACCACGCTTCTCGACCGCCGCCTGGGCGTGGCCTCGTGCTTCCGCGTGCACTACTCTGCGACCCAGATGGAGCGTGATGCCCTCTTCGTCGATGCCACGGTGCCGGCGGCCGCGGGAACGCCTAGGACGGTCCGGCTTGGCAACTCGCACCTCGAGTCGCTGGCCCTCGACCCCCCTATGCGGCCTGCCCAGGTACGCACTGCCGCGCCGCACCTAAATGCTGGCGGTTTGGCGGGTGCCGTCATCGCGGGCGACTTCAACGCCATCCAGCCGTTCGACGCCGCCCTGCACTCGGACAACGGCCTCAGGGATGCGTACCTGGAGCTCGGCGGGAAGGAAGGCGGCGAGGACGGTTTCACGTGGGGCCAGCAGGCGCTGCGACCGCTGCGGGAGCGCTTTGGCTTCTCGAGGATGGACAAGGCGTATTTCTGTGGGTCCGGTATCAAGCTACAGAGCTTCGAGAGATTCGGTGCAGACGTTGAGGTTGAGGAGGGGAACAAGAAGCAGAGGGATGGGCTGCTCGCACTTGGGTTCGAGAAGGCTTGGGTTACTGATCACTTGGGCATCAAAGCGACGTTCAGCCTTGTGAATGACACTCATTTGTGAAAAATGGCACTTGTACCAGGGCACAGATGGCAAAAATTCGGAGAGAGAGTTTGAGAGTAACACCTCACCTACCGGAAGATGTCACGCCGATTACTCCATAGGATATAGAAGAGGACCAGAGCAGAGTTTATCCTGGTATTAAATAAACTCATAGCAGGTTGACCCACAGAATTTTATGAAACAAGAGGTCGCTCTATAAGAGCTCATACTGTGGGAGTATCCCACAGAACACAGGTTGTTATCTTATAGGAGAGTATCTTATAGAAGAGCATCTTATAGGACACATGAGGTTATCTTATGGAAGGATATCTTATAAGAAGGGTATCTCATAGAAGGCTACTCTATAAGAAGGGTATCCCACAGGAAGGGTAACTTATAGTACGGTATCCCACAAGAAGGGTATCCCAGAAGATAGTGTTTGAGAAGAATACGTATTTCTTGAAGGCTATGTTTAGCTCCACTGGAGTCGCTTAGGACATCTACCAACCCCCCTTCGCTCCAAACGCAGGCGCCTCTGTCTTCCGGCCGCCACCTCTGACCGGTTTCTGTTGAGCAGCTGGATCCCGTCTAAGTTCCTCTGGTACCTTGGATATCGGTGACTTCATGATCATCTGCTTCAGGTCATACTTCACGTCATCGTCTTCACTGCCCAGGAACGTGATGGCGACACCACTCTTGCCCGCACGTCCCGTACGACCGATACGATGGGTATACGCTTCGATACTCGGCGCCATGTTGAAGTTGATGACGAGTGACACGTCCGGAACATCGATACCACGTCCCGCGAGATCTGTTGCCACCAGGATCTTCGATTCGCCCTTGCGCACAGAGTCCAACGCTGCTTCTCTCTGCTCCTGCGTCTTGCTGCCGTGCAGCGTGACCGCGTTGAAACCGAGCCGTTTGATATCACGCGCCACCGTGTCACAGTTTCGCTTGATGTTGACGAAAACAATAATGGGCGGATCATACTGGCCCGAGTGGAGGATCTCTCCGAGGCGCTTCTTGCGCTTGTCCTCCCCGTTGATAAGCTCAACCCGCTGCTCAACTGTGTCAACGGCCTCGCCGATATTGCCGATGGTCACTATGGCCGGCCTTCGGAGGTACTGTTTAGCAATCTTCTCGACGAGTGGCGGCATGGTTGCCGTGTACATCATGGTCTGTCTGTATTTAAGGTCCTTGATGCCGATGTTCTGCTTCATCAGTAGCGCATTTTCGGCCTCCTCTGTGTCTGGCTTCTCGTTGGTGACGGGGAGAGCGTCCAGGATCTTGTTTAGTGCCTCCTCAAAGCCCAGGTCAATCATGCGGTCTGCTTCGTCCATGACGATGTAGCAACACTGTGACAGGACCAGGAGGCGTCTCTCGATACAGTCCTTGAGACGTCCTGGCGTTGCAACAATGATTTCGGCACCATTTCTCAGAGCAAAGGCCTGCTCTTCGAGAGAGTGTCCACCAACAATACTGACTGTGTTGAAGCCCAGAGGCTCTGCGAACTTTTTGGCCTCTGATTCGATCTGCTGGGCAAGTTCACGAGTCGGCGCCATAATGAGCGCGTAAGGGCCGTCGGCTTTGTTGTACTCGTCGAGTGCCGGAAGACTTCGGATGTAGACCAGTAGAGGGAGCAGGAATGCTGCAGTCTTTCCCGAACCTGTCACCGCCACTCCGATCAGATCACGCGCCTGTAGAGCGATGGGGATTGCGGCTCGCTGGATAGGCGAGGGTTCGTCGTAGCCGACTTGCTTGATGACATCGAGTAGGTCTTTCGGCAGGCCGGACTCGGTCCAATTTCGCATGGGGTTTGGAATTGCTCCGCCTTTAGTAGCAATGCCGAAATCTTCTTTGAAGATACGCCAGTCTCGCTCGCGCATCTCCTCGAGAGCTTTCTCGGACCAGTGCCTCCCAAGAGTGTTTCGAGCTGCCAACTTCTTTTGGGCCGCCTCGAACTGCTCCAGATATTCCTTTGCCCGTTGAGGATCCCTCTGCGCCAGCTTGGCGGCAAAATTCCTTGCGTTCTCTTCTCTCGCCTCGTCCCCGAAACCAGCCAGCCGACCAGAGCCGATCAGAGATGATGCTTTTTGGGCGTATATGGGATCGTGCTCTTTGCTGGTGTCTTCTGAGGCGTCCCACCCAAAGTTGAACTTGTTACCCGTCCTCTTTCGCTTCTTGTTCGCGGAAAAGGTGCTCTCGTTCACTGGAGGGCCCAGATACCGCTCCCTGCGTAGCCTCTCTTCGTCTTCTTCCCATGTCCTCTTGCCGTGGCTGCCTTTCTCCTCTGCATCTTTCTTTCTGTCGCCGTTCGATTGTCCATTCGTGGTCCCGTTGTGTCGCATCGCCTTGGGGCCGGTCGGTATAGAGGACGACGATGACGACGAATGGTTTTGATATCTGGGGTCGGCGCGGGCCAGAAAATCTCTTCTCGATCGTTCATGGGCTTCTTTTCGCTCACGCTCCTTCTCTGCTTCTTGCGCCTTCTCCTCCTCGGCCTTCTTGGCCTGCAGCGCCAGTCTCTGGGCCTTTGGTATGAAGCGAGGCTTCTTGGCTGCCGCATCAGCCTCCTTTTTCTTGCGAATAAGCTCCTCCAGGTCGAGGGGAGCCTTTTTCTGCTTCGTCGCATCCATGGCGGAGGTGTCTTCGAGTGGGTGTCGCCGGGCTTGCTTCCGAGCTATGGGACGGCGCTGCGGCGCATTTAAGTGACGGCAGTGAGTGGTCTGTGCGCCTTATCGCTTTAGCTCCTGTGGCTCTAGTACGGAGTAGGCCTTCTCAACCGTGGAGGTGAGTAACCACCGAGGCATAACCGCTGAAGAAAAACTTCTCATAGGATAGCCTCCCATAGAATAACCTCTCATAGAACAACCTTCCATAGGATAACCTGCCATGGGATAACCTGCCATGGGATAACTTCCTATAGGATAACTTCCTATAGGATAGCCTCTTGTGGGATAACCTCTTGTGGGATAACCTCCTATGGGGTAACTTTTAATAGGAAAACCTTCTGTAGGATAATCTCCCAAAGGTTGCTTCTCATGGGATAGTCTCCTCTGAACTAGCTTCCTCTGGGATAACCTCCTTTGGGAGACCCCTGTGGGAGAACCTCTCATGGGCAGATGGCCTGTGGAATGATCTCCTGCAAGAAGACACACTGAGACAATCTACTTCCTGGTACCGGCTACTTTCAAGACCTACACTTGCTTGCTGCAATCATTGCCTACCAGAGACTGTCCGACGAGGTAAGTAGGAACAACTCAGCCACCCTCGCCAATGGTAGGCTGCTCTGACTAGAGCTTGGGTACCTACCTAGGGAGGTAGATATGGCTGTTTATTGGCAATGCTTCTGGCAAGAGTAGTGCCTCTACGGAGAGCAGGTTAGGGAGGGTAGGTGAGAGACCAACCTCTGCACAAACAACACATTGGTGACTTTGCCGTAGTGTCTAAACCAAGCTCCGCCGGACACAATAGTGGCGCACGGACCACCGGGGCATCAGGCCCGAACCTCCCTGCAACCTGGTACCGGATCGCCTTGCCTGCCGCCCAAGCCGTGGGTGCTGCGGGCCGAATTTTGAGGTGCAGTCCGTCCTCACCTTGCGCGACTGGACTATTCGAAATCGCATCAAACCTCAAAAGCCATCCAACGTCCGCATCTCGGGAGGAGGAGGGCGGCCGAGACAGCACAGCATGGCGACCACCAACGTGTCACAATACGTCAACCTGGCGAAGACGCTCCCTCCCAAGCTCCAGCGATTCTTCGCGCGCTACCCGCCAACCCAGATCCTCAATCAAAAGCCGGACGGCGAATATGCGAAGACCGGCTACCAAGAAGAGCGGCGGAACCCATTCCAGCCCAAGAAGTTCCACCCGACCGGCAGGGTCCACAACCCGGTGTACTCGCTCAGGAGACAGGCGGACCTGGTGAAGCTGGCGCGGGACAATGGCGTCGAGGAGCTGCTGCCCTTCACGCCCAAGAAGACGGAGGAGCAGCTGAAGCACCGCGTCAAGTACGGCCTGAGGGTGAAGGGAACGGGTGTGGACCAGAAGGTCAAGGGAAAGATCCACGAGAGACAATTGGCCACCAAGTATGTACTGGAAGCATGGCTGCTGCGTGAAGCGATTATGGGCAGGACCTGGGCTAACCATGCTACACTAGGATGGAGAAGAGGAGAGAAGCCATGCTCAAGATGCCCGCACTCATCCGGGAATGGAAAGCGGTATGTCTTCCGGTACGGCACGATCAAGTCTTTAGTGTTGCTAATGTGTGTTGCAGGTTGGGAGGAAGAACTGGACCAAATGGCCCAAATAAGAGGCAGAGCCGGGATGAGGCTGTTCTTCATGATGTACAAAGATGTATCAAAACTACACTTGCGCAGAATGACATTGCGCCGTCAAGAACGCCAAAAAAATAACTTGGCATGCAGCAACTGGATGTGACCACCTCTGACCCATACGTGACCGAAGCTCCCCAAATACTGCCGAGGTGCAGCAGCTACCCCTGACATGCAGGATGGCTTCATACTTCCGAAACGGTTCACACCTCGAGTGACCTAATAGAATCACCCCTTCTTACGCACATGTATTGTTCCAAAGATTTCAAAGCACGTCAAGGCCTCATCGCCTCCGATGAGACCAATCTTGGAGCCTAGCACGTGACCTACAATTTCAATCTAGAGAAAATCTTCATCCGGAGGTGCAAATGAGATTATCTTCTCAACCACCATGCTTGGCCAACACGAGCACCGGCGCCCAATAATGACAGAGCCAACCCACTATGAGGTCTTGGCCATACCAAAAAGCCTAATAGAGGACTCGAGTAAAGAGCAGATCCCAAAGATCATAAAACAAGCCTACCACCGCGCCCTCCTCCGCCACCACCCGGATAAGACCAACACGCCCCACAGGACAGGGGCGTCAACAACAACCACATCATCATCACCTCCCCCAACAGTGGACCAGATCACCCGCGCATACACCACTCTCTCACACCCGGGGGAACGCACAGCCTACGACCGCCACCTCTCCCTCACCCGCAACCCCACGGCACAGTCCTCCGGCGGTGGCGGCGGCGGCGGCGACACCGCCTTCCAGACGGGGATAGAGACGGTGGACCTCGACGACCTGGACTACACGGAAGACGATGCCTGTGAGACGACGCGGTGGCACCGTAGCTGCAGGTGCGGCAACGAGCAGGGCTTCGCCTTCGGCGAGGACGACCTCGAGGAGGCCGGGGACCTGGGCGAGCTGGTCGTGGGGTGCCAGGACTGCAGCCTGTGGCTGAGGGTCTGCTTCGCCGTCGTCGAGGACGACGTTGACGATCGTGGTGGTGGTGGTGACGACAGCAGCGCTGGGGGCGGATTTGGTGGAGGTGAAGGTGGTGGTGGTGTCGTCGGAGATGGTGTGGCCAGCAAGGATGAGGTCGCACGTGGAGGGTCTTGGGGCCACGCGGCGCGGTCAACGGGCCAGCCGGGCTGAAGTTGAACGTCGCATGGGACGAGCTTAAATCCAGCAACCCTCATCCGTTAGCCGTGTGCCTCTGATGCAGACATCGCGGGCGGCGCAGGTCAGAATAGTCTCTACGGGCGTTCAACTGTTGGTTGACGCAGGGATACCGCGACGCGCCTCGGCCAAAATGACTGTAGGAAGAACGCGTTGGCATGCCAAGCCAAGTCTGCGTGTGAGATTGGGGCATTATTTTATATTAGGCACGAGTCGGCACAGCAAATGTGCTCATGATGTGGGTTGGGCAGAAGGTACTCATTCTGATGAACTACCTAGACTATGTAAGTCGGGAGTGTTGAATGAGACAGGCCATTAAAAACCACCAGTGTAAAAAAATTCAGAGTAAAGTCAAGTCAGCTTTATTGTCCAGACGATCGTGGTCCTTCCGTCATTAGAGTCTAAATAAGAGCGATTTGAAGAGAGAAAACTCCAAAATGCTTCTTAGCCCCGTGGTGGATGACTTCAAAATCGTCCGTCTTTGTGTATTTGCGTCGAGTAAACCATGCCGCATTTCTTTGATTTCTCCGAAACCGCACTCCAATGACACCGATTTCCTCCAGGGGGATCAAGCATTGTAAACCAATCCGGTCACGACGATAGAGGGAAAATGCGCGATGCCTTCCCTTACTCGGCAGCCTTGGGCTCCTCGGGAGCGGGCTCTGCGGGCTTCTCCTCGGTCGAGGCAGCGGGAGCCTCGGCAGCGGCAGCATTCGACGCGGCGGGGGCGGCCTCAGCATCGGACGAGGTCCAGAGCGTCTAAGACAACGTTAGCTTCTGTGTCTGTGTGCGAGCTACGGAAAATACCTACCAGGTTGTCACGGAGCAGCTGCATGATGAGGGTGGAGTCCTTGTAGCTCTCCTCGGACAGGGTGTCGAGCTCTGTGGTTCATTTAATCAGTATCGATCAACGAGTTTTCAGGCGGTCCCAGCCAAATTGGGATTGTGAGCTTACCAGCAATGGCGTCATCGAAAGCCTGCTTGGCCAGGTGGCAGGCCTGGTCGGGAGCGTTCAAGATCTCGTAGTAGAAGACGGAGAAGTTCAGGGCAAGACCCAGGCGGATGGGGTGTGTGGGGGGAAGCTCGGTCTGAGCGACCTCGGTAGCAGCCTTGTAGGCCTCAAGGGACTTGTCAGCAGAGTCCTTGCGCTTGTCGCCGATGGCGAACTCGGCGAGGTAGCGGTGGTAGTCGCCCTTCCTGTTGGCAATTATCAGCATCTGAGCCCGTGTGACCGCGTGCGCGCGGGATCCTTACATCTTGTGGTAGAAGACCTTGGACTCTCCGGTCTTAGCGGAAGGAATCAGGTGCTGGTCCAGAACCTCCAGAATGTCCTCGCAGATCTTGGCAAGCTCGGCCTCGATCTTCTGACGGTACTCCTTGATCAGCGTCACCTGGGTGCTGTTGCCCTTGGACTCCTCCTTCTGCTCAATAGACGTGACGATTCTCCACGAGGCACGGCGGGCACCGATGACGTTCTTGTAGGCGACGGAGAGCAGGTTTCGCTCCTCGACGGTCAGATCACGGTCCTCGGAGGCGACGATCTTCATGTTCTCGACCATCTCTGCATCTCGAGTCAGCGCGGCCCGCTGGACGCCAGATTGTATCAAACGCGGTACATACCCTCGTAGCGCTCAGCCTGCTCGGCGAGCTTGGCCAGGTAGACGGCATCCTCGTGACCCATTTTGTCGGAGTTGGAAGTCTAAGACGGGGGCTTCTGTCAGCTGAAAGTCGGAATTCGGGCTTGGGCGGCAAAAACGCTCTGGAAGCGGTCGCAAGGGCAGAGTGAGGCTGATAAGGTTGATGTTGCTGCCAAAAGATGGAATGATAGTGATGGAACCAGATGAGTAGCAACGTGAGCACGTTATAGACAGCTGGGGGTTGAAGCGCTGTTGCGCGTGGTTGACTTCATGACTAAAAAGGAGGCTCCCCGCTCGGCGGTGGGGTTGCGCGTGTAGGCCAGGCCGGCGACCCCAGGAGCCGCCGTTGGGCTGACCAGCGCAGATGCCCTCCCCGGGCCCAGGAGCCGCAGGGAACTCCCGCCTGGGGATGGGTGCGGCATGGGGCAGAGATGCAGTTTATGGAGGGCATATCAGGGTATGGGAAGGGCAGAGGCGCGAGGTCGCAATGACGACAATGATGCAAGGCGACACGCATCTCGCGACCAGGCCAGGTTGATGCCGTCGGGGGCGGGGACTGTTTGTTTTGGGAAAGGGGGTTGCGAATGACGCTGGGGGGTGGGTTGAGGGCGACTGACCTGATTGAAAAGGAACGGAAACGGAATGTGGCTTGGTTTTTCGACTTTGTTTACTGGAGAAGAAATCGCGAGAGAAGGATTGTGGTTTATCGCAAGATGGGAGGGAGAGGGAAGTAAGTGGGAAGCGGAATGGTTGAGGTCGTTGATGGGGGAGGTTGCAGGTAGACAGGTTGTAGGATGGAAAATTGGGGGGTCCTATCATGCAATGCGGCAGCCCCCAGCCCAGCCCAGTCCAGCGGCGCCAGCGAGCAAGGGCCACCACTCATTCCCGCACCCGCGCTCCCTCCCATTCTCTGCCTCCTGCTCCCACTCCCACTCCCACCCACTAGCAACGCAACAAGGCACTGAATGACTGGGGTGACTAGAGTGTCTGGCACTTGACACCTGCAAAAGCCAAGCCAAGCAAGCAAGCCTGCCGTGAGCCTGTTTGGGTACAAATCCGTACCTACTTGCATGCCTGCATCATGAAGTACCTGCCCTAGGCTTCAGGACGTGCCTGTCTGACGAGGGTGTGATAGGGGAAGCCGCAAGCCTACGCCTCCTTTCGTTGATCCCTTGATGAGGCACGTGAGTGTGCATTCTACATCTGTGGTGTTTGTTCTCTCTACTCCACTGGTCTATCTGCATCTCTTGCGGGTATCTATTTGTACGTAGTTCAATTTTGCTGTGACCGTCTCTGTCTTTTGTGTCTTTTCCTCTTGTCCGACAGCAAATTGAAATCACGTCTTATTTGCTTTTCGCCTATTGGTTTCCCACACCTAACAGGATGCACTGCCACTGTTGCTTTTTCACAGGTGCAGTGATACAACGTCATTATCCTGTGGACAGCTGCCAGCCCAGGCTCTATTTGCAGTCTATCATCACGCGTTTTCATCTTGCACCCCCCTTTCTGGTCTAGGTGCTGTATTCATTTAGCATGGCGTGACTGCTATGGGATCCCAGGGCTTCGGTCGTGGATGCATGAGACATCTTCAGTCCTCAAGATTTCATGCGATCGCCTCCCTGTTGTCCCAGGTGACTGACAGTCCACCTACTTACTGACTAGGTACCTAGGTACCCAGATCAGCGCGGTCTTTCTGTTTATTCTGGTAGCGCCTGCCTTGTAACGAAACAGGGCTTCCGTTTTACAAGGGCCCCTTAGTTTCTGGGGCCACCTCGAGGCTGCTCAGTGGTAGAATGGGCAGGTACTACGGTAATCCAAGATGGATTCCATTTTGGACTTGGTGATGGGGTCTGAAGATGTGGTGGTGACATGTGAACATCCGAACTCCGATAATTCTGCTGTATTTCCTCTCATTCAATGGAGTTGGACAAGGTATGCTACAGCCAGACCGCCTTGGCTATAAGGGACTCAAATCAGCTGGGAAGGTTCTGGAGGCAACCCGAATACGTTGCCCCATGCTGTGACAAGATGCCTCTCCTCCCAGCAAAAGAATGGAAATCAGAGAATTCGCTCCTCTGTAGTCTACCCCGTACAATCCACTCCTGCTGATCCAGCTGCCCTACAAAGGCAGCCCCATGGATTGGTAGTCTCATTGGCCGGCCAGTCTCGGAACAAAGGCAGATCGATGCGACATCTGTTCCCCGAGCACCCCTGCTGCTGTTGCCGCCGCCGCCCATCCAGCATTTGGAACGGGCCCACCGTCCAAACCCGCGCCCACCCTTCTCTTCCTTCATGCCTTGTACCTCAGGCAGCCTACATATTCCGTCATTGGCCCACCCGCCCAGCTCCCTCCAACAAACTGTAGGAGCTCTCTTCCCGGTTGATGCCCGCACCAAAACCCCGTCGTCACCGTTACACCCTCCCCAAGCTACCAATTGAAGCTCTGTGAGTCCCTCTGCCACAGACGTTGCCCCTTCTCTCCCCGCTAATCTTCAACCCCAGACCACCCCTCCCTCTCTGCATCCATCGACACAGTCAAGATGCTTCGTCAATCCATCACCAAGCTCACCCGGCCTGCCAGCACCAGAGCCTTCTCCGTCTCCACCCGAGTCATGGCTGCCGGCGACACGGGAGCTCCTCCCAAGGGCCTGGGCCAGGCGTAAGTTGATCAACCACCAACACCCACCACCCAATCCTACCCAGCTCAGCACGAGAGCCGTGCGACCGGTAGCCTGGACCCCGCCGCCTCCTCCGACTCCGTGGGCCCGGGGCTCCGGGGCCGAGTGGGACAGGGCCGGTGCTCCGTCGCCGGTGACGCCGAGCTGCGAGAAAAACAGCGGGGGTTGCATGGAGGGCCCACGGTCAGACCACAAACCACGCGTGCGAAACGGACGACACACGCTCGCATGCATGGGGAAGTATGGGGAAATATGGATGTGATATGATGTGGTGTGCGAGGGGGAAAAAACACACTCACGCCCACACACGAGACAGGAAGGACAAGAGAAAGGCTAACAGTGAGCCCCTCCCGGCGTGTTGATTCTAGCGACGCCTTCCAGAAGCGCGAGAAGGCCAACGAGGACTACGCCATCCGCCAGCGCGAGAAGGAGAAGCTCCTCGAGCTCAAGAAGAAGCTGGCCGAGCAGCAGGCGCACCTGAAGCAGCTCTCGGACCACATGTACGTCCCCGACACCTCCACCAACAGCAGCAACAACTGCAACAATCCCAGCTCCGGCCACGAGCCACCGGGCCCGGCCTGCCCCTCCGGCGTCAGGGAGACATGTGATGCTAATTGCATCCTCTATTCACAGTGACGAGATCACCAAGGAGCAGGGCGGCGAGCACAACTAAAGCAGACTAGGATCCATCCGTAGCGAGACCAGGTAGTGACAGTCACAGAGTGGTGTGGGAAACCCACCCGAGAGGAAATGACACAGAATGGTCGACGATCGATCCGGACAGTATGGCAAGCGAGCATTCATGGCCAAACTCAGAGAGATTGCTCCGACGGGTATGAGAAACCGTCGATCAGCCCTTTCAGGGCCAACCGACGACCACTACTTTCCCTTGAGAATCAGAGTACTGTACATTAACACATGCATTCGCGTCATCGTATTATCTCCTCTTGCTATGCCCGTGTCTCGAGAGAGACGTGCCCAAAAACACCAAGCTATGTGCATGTGATCATATGCCTAGCGTTCCCTTTCCAGTAGGCCGTCCGCCTTGGTCGCAATATGAATACAAAAGCCTCGAGAGCAACTAGGTGGCCCGTGTCCCCACCGCCTCCCTCGTTCCGCCCTGGCCCTCCTTTTGTGGCCAAAGTCAAGGTTGACAAGCCTTCAACCAGACGCCACTCACCTCCGTCCCATGTAGGATCGGTAGAAGCCGTCCGCCGCATCGCTGTCAGGGTTACCGTACTTGCTACCCATGCTATTGCTGGCCTTCTGCGCGGCGTTCACCTTGGCTTGCAGGGCAGAAGCGTTGGTGTCGATCCACTGGAGCTGCTGTAGGTGGCCGTTGAGTACACGAACAATTTGGCTGAGCTATAGGCCACGCGTGGTTAGCAAGACTGTCAAACATGTGAGAAAGTCAAAGTTTCGCCTGGTCGACTTACCGGGTCATCAGGCTTGTTGCCCTTGCTGAGTGATCCCGAGATGTCGTTGATCTCGGTAATCATCTTGCCCAGGTCCTTGCCCATCTCGTCCAGCCGATCCGTCAGGTTCTCGGCAAGCTTGTAAGTTCGCTCGCGCTCCTGATCAGGCCCAGCAAGCTGCTCGTTTCCACCAATCTGCTTCGAGTACATGTCATCGACCTCCTTTTCATACCGGTCCAGGAAGGACTCCAGTTCCGCTTGGTGGCTCTCAACGGACTGCAGCTGTCGGTCGATTTCGTTGCTGGCCTTCTCTGCGTCGTGAGTCTGCAGGTAGAGCTTCTGGATCTTTTCGCCGTTCTCAACCAGGAGACGGTCCCAGGCTGCGACCTTGGTGGCTTGGTCCTTGAACTCCTTCTGGTACTTCTGGAGATCGGTGGCCCACCGTGTTATGATTTCGTCCATGGTCTTGTTCTTCAGCCTGGGCAGTTGTGAGGGAGGACCCATGGTTGAGGCCGCCATGTTGTTCTGAGCCGCTCCCGGGGTCGCGGCCTTGTCCGTGCCAGCAGCAGCAGGTATTGGCGCTGCTCCGCTTCCCAGTGGAGTGGTGGTCGTTGTCGTGGCGGTGGTACCAGATGTGCTGGTCGTGGTGGCAGCAGGCTTTGCGCCAAAGAGAGAGGGAGCGCTGGTAGCTGGTGCCGCCGTACTAGATGATGTTGCGGGTGCGGTCGTAGTGGCAGCTGAGAACAAAGAAGGGGTTGAGGCCGGAGCCGAGGCGGCAGCAGGCGCTGTTGTCGAGGCGGTCGACGCGGCCGTAGGGAACAACGATGGCTTGGATGGTGCTGCCGAAGTAGCAAGACCAGAACCGCCCAGACTCGGGAAGATAGAGGGTGCAGCAGCAGCAGCAGCAGCAGTAGTCGCTGCGGCAGTGCTCGCCGGAGTTGTACTCGTAGTTGTTGAGGCAGGCTTCGTGCCAAAGAGGGGATTGCTGCTGGTGCTGCTCTCGGCTGGTTTAGCTGCAGAAGCGCCGACACCGAAGAGGGATGGAGACGAGGTGCCACCGGTGGAGGCAGCGAACGGGCTAGCCTTCTCGGTCGCTCCAGTGGAAGCAGGTTTGGCACCGAAAATGTTCGAGGTTCCAGAGCTGCTTGCAGGAGGTTGCGACGCAGGCGTAGAAGCCGATCCACTGCCGAAGAGGTTGGAGCTGGGTTGTGGTGATGCTCCTGCTGCTCCGCCGAATAGGCCCTTGGCCTGTGACCCTTGGCCACCTGCTTGCTGGTTGAAGAGACTGGGTGTTGGCTTGGCTGAGTCGGAGGGAGGAGCCCCGGCTGGAGTGGTGGATCCTAGACCGCCAAACATTGGCTTTGTCGGAGTCGCCTGTCCGGCTGATGCGAACAAAGAGTTGCCCGTGCTGGCACTTGTGGACGGGGTGGAGCTGGCCGCAGGTTTCGCACCACCAAATAGACCAGCCCCAGTTGAAGATGCGCCACCGAATGGACTTGCTCCTGTCGTCGCGGCCCCGGCTGCGGGAGTTGGAGTGCTGGAGCCCGCGCCGAACATGTTGGACGGCGATGCAGCGGGCTTATTCAGTCCTGAAAACAGTGAGCTTGCACCGCCTGCTGGAGGTGTTCCCGTCGATGCAGCACCGCCGAACAACGAAGGACTGGATGAGGAGGCGTTGGTCGTTGAGGCACCGCCGAACAGCGAAGAGCCAGCTGGCTTCGAGGCGCTGGCCCCTCCGAAGAGACCACCGCCGGACGCGGCAGGTTGCCCTGAAGCTGCAGCATTGTCTTTCTGTGCGCTGCCGAAGGAGAAGCCGCTCGAAGGGGTTGAGGCCTGGTTACCGAACAGCGAGGGTGCAGGCGTCGACGAAGATGGTGCCCCCGACGTCGCCTGAGTTCCGAAGGAGAAGGACATGTTGGATGCAAGTGTCTTTCGGCAACTTGGGGGTGTTCTCCGGCAGAGAGATCAGTCGATCCAGAGGGGTTCGCTGGAGGAGGCAGAAAGAATTGCGACAGTGCTGAAATGCCCAAATATCAACAAATGTTGGTTGACTGGAGGGAACAAGTCAGCAGGTGCCTTGGTATCGAAAGGAGATTTGCAGAGGTAACGGTGGTCTCACTTGAATGCCTGGTGCTTGGGAAACAATGGCACACTCCCAGGGAAGGGGTGCTTCAGACCCTGCGATCTGGACCTGAGGTGAAAGGCGTTGGCTTGGATGGTTGAGCGTGGTTGACGTTGTCGCGACAGCTCCAAATCGTAGCGCGCCGCTGAGCTCCAGTGCCAGCCAGTATCTGCCGGCCGCCAAACCTTGGGCCAAAAATTTGGAGCAGGGATGTGTTTGTAGACGGCGCCAGAGCAAAACAGCGACCACAGCTCGCAGGGACCTGAAATATTTCCGGTATCCCCGCTCAATAGCTGAGGAACCAACCAGTGGTCTAAACCTGGGAGACCTGGCTACTTGGGTACTAACATCTGAACTGTTCTTACAATTTGCTTCTTTTCAGGTATTGCCCGCCTTTGAACGTGGTCTTTCTGCAAGAACGATATACCAGATGTGTATCTTCTCACGCTACATTGATTGCCCATGGAAACGGTTACATCGATACAACTACTGGGTGGGTGGGTAGAAATCACCATGGCAAAAAGAAGGTTCAAATAGCAGTCCTACCATGTACGTGGGCGGCATGGTGGGTGAGGACTAGGCCGGTCATGGTCAAACGGTCCGTCCTGCTTGGACGCTGCTGGCCAAGAAGGTCGGACCGTCTGGGCTGTTTGGCGGGCTGGGCTGTGCAGCTGCACAGCTCCTGCCAGTAACCTTGCGGCGTGCCAGGCAGTACCCCACCCTCAATCTGCTGTCACTGAGGGTCTATCAGGTCCAGACTCTTTGTGAGACGTCAGGATCGAGGCTGGATTCGTCGATCGTCTCCTGTTGATAGCTACCCTTATTACCTGTCGCGGGCCTCTACCCTACTTCATGCACATTCCCTTCCAGCCTGGAACGTTCGAACAGCCTTGAACATCTACTGCCCCCCGGCCCGGCTTTGTTATATGAGTGTTACCCCGGACATTGACTGAAGGCTACAACTGTCCCCTCTCCTCTCTCCTCAACCACTGCCAGACAAATCGCTCCTTCGCACGTGCTTTCGGCCAGCACGTTTCTGTCCCAATCCCCTGAGCCATATCGGGGGCATCTTCTTTCAGCCTTACTTTTCCAGCAGGATCCGATCATGTCTGGCAGGCGGGACAGCCTCTCTCCTCCTGAGAGGAGCGGCACCCAAGATCCTGGAGCGCGGGAGCTAGGTACCTATTTCTTTCCCACGTGTCCCCTTGCCTGTCTCTGCTGCTGCGTGTTATAGTTCGTTTTCTGACATTTGCTGGACAGATTCTGAATCCGAGGACCACTTCTCCGACGCTCAGTCCGCCCCTCATAGCCCAAGTGCTTCCCCTGTTCCCAAGCTTCGAGTGGAGAAGACCAGCAATGAGCCTTCCTATGGCGAAGTCCCCGGGACGGAGGCGTACAAATTGCGGCAGGAGGATGCTGAGCCGGATGAGATAGCGGTTGTAACCGAGGAGCAGAAGGCGGTTCAAGAGGAGGAAGAGCTCAGATCACCCACTCCTGGCGGCCGTCCCATCCCCAAGACTGTGGTTGAAGAGAGCGACGGCAATACGGAGGAACAGTCCCACCCAGAGAAGAAGTACACGGCGGACACGCCAGCAGATCTTGTTCTCAAGGCTGATGGGTCGTCGGACGGGGAAGAGGGAACTGGTACGAAAGTGTAGTTGATCCTCCTCTCAAGAAGGCCCATGAGTGCTGAGTATTTCTTTTGTAGATGAAGAACCAATATCACCAGCATTGTCCTCGCCACAGTCCGTCCGCTCAAGACGAAAGTCCTCTGTTGCCAATCACGATGGTGCTGAAGATGATGGCTTCGGAGATGACTTTGACGACTTCGAGGACGGTGACGACGACGCGGACTTCGGCGACTTTGACGATGGCTTCCAGGAGCCCGAAACACCTGCCGCCCCTCCATCATCAGCACCGGCTGTGCAGCCCTTATCTTTTGTACGTGGTCTCTTACGCAAACCCTCTGTTTCAAACCCCGGGACCCATGCTGATAATTCTTGGCAGCCCATACCGGACTTCGACGGCATGGACACGGACGACATACTCAGCACCACAGAACCCTACCTCAATGCCCTCTTTCCCACAACAGCAGATGACGAGGGCATCACAATAACACCACCACCAAAAGACAACCCAATATTCCTCACCCCTCGCTCCGCCTCCCTCTGGTCCCAACTCGTCGCCCCACCACCGCTTCAACCTCCAGACTGGATCCGCTCACGCATTAGGCGACTCTTCCTCGTCTCGCTTGGTGTTCCCGTCGACCTGGACGAGATCCTTCCCGCATCAAAACAGAAGAAATTGGTACTACCCTCAGTCCACTCACCCAGAACGTCCAACGACTCCCGCCGATCAGGTTCCAAGGGACCCTCTCGCCTCAAGACCCCACAGCCAGGGCAGGAGGGCGGCCGCGCCTCAGATTCAGGGGACGGGACTGGCGGAGGGGGAGGGGGAGGGGGAGGTGGCGGAGGAGGGGGGGCGCGCACGGGGACGAAGCGCAAGGCACCGCCGCCCGAGTTTGACCTGGTGGCCGCGAAGCAGCTGTGCGCGACTACGGACGAGGCCCTGGACGGGATGACGGACGCGGAGCTCAAGGAGCACGTCAAGAGGCTCGAGGGCCTGGACGGCACCGCCAAGGCGGTCCTGGACTACTGGCAGCAGAGGACGGACGAGCAGATCGGGGAGAGGGAGGCGTTCGAGGGGGTGATTGAGAACCTGGTGAAGCACGCCCGCAAGACGAGGAAGTAAAGAGAATCACGCATCTCAGGGAAGAAAATGACTAGAATGACTGGCGGGCATAGATTTTGGGAGCGGGTCCACAGGCACTCGGAGCAGCGTAGGTCTGCTGTAATGGTATTTCGGGGGCCTCGTCAAACTTGACAGCTAGGTATTTTGGACCGCGGATCTCAGGCAGATGAACGACTTTCATCCAGGAGACTGCTGATGACGTCGAGCATTATAATATGTACACTTTTCCAATTACGGCGCTCAGCAAGTGCGTGGTATGATGGTGAACTTTTCTGTATTCCTAAGCATGCCTGCGTGTAGAGACCGGGTGCCCTGAGCCCTGCCGTGTCGCTAACCCCAACAGCGACATCTCCATCTCTTCCGTGGAAGGCACCGCTGATAACCCCTTCCAAAAGCAGCTCCTACTTCATGTAAAGAGCAACCAGTTCACTGGATCTTGCCCCTGGGGAATTACCCAAGAAGCAGGCTTGTATGGACACTGCCGGATATTCCTTCCTCCGTAAACCACTTCGTTGCATTTAGTTTGTGCTGGGCTGCAGGGTGTTGCCGGCGGCGATGGTGGCCCAACCAATCAGACGCCAGTGCTTCTCGATACGCCGGGACAGGGCAACCTTCTCTCCAATGTTCGTGCAGGCGGGGGATGTCAGGATCAGCTTCGCGGCATCTTTCTTGATAGCAGCCACCTTGGCACCTGTTGATGTGGAGCCAATGTTGACCATGATGACCTCGTTCTTGGCCAGCTTCTCGACCTTGGCCTGCTTGCCGTCCGCGGTGCGGACACCGAGGAGGCGACGGAGCAGGTAAAAGTTGACCTCAATCTCGGAGTAGATCTCGGGCAAGCGTCCCTTCAGGCCCAGGACGAAACCAACGAGACGGTCGGCACGGCAGAGCGTGGGGTCGATGCGGGTTCCGACACCGATCAGACCTCCAGGAACGGCGTACTTCAGGTCGTTGGACTCGGAGTTGAGAGAGACGATGCGGCTGAAGATGGGCGTGCACTTGAGGTCTCCCTTGTCGTCGCGAGTGACGATACCGGGTCGGATCTCGATCTCGTCGCCGAGCTTGAGCACACCGTGCAGGATAGATCCACCAGCGACACCGCCCTTGAGCTCCTCGATCTCCGCGCCAGGCTTGTTCACGTCGAAGGACCGAATGACAATCATCTGAGGGTCCTGGCTGAAGTCCCTTGGGGGGATGGGGATTGTGTTGACGATGGCATCGAGGACGCCGTCGACGTTGAACTTCAGCTGGGCGGAGATTGGGATGACGGGCGACTTGCCAGCAACTGTGCCTCGAATGAACTTAAGAATAGAGTCGTAGTGTTGCTTTGCGGCCTCTTCCCTCATCAGGTCGACCTTATTCTGCAGGATGATGATCTTATCGAGCTTCATGATCTCGATGGCGGCCAAATGCTCGGAGGTCTGGGGCTGAGGGCAGGACTCGTTTCCAGCGATAAGCAGCAGCGCGGCGTCCATGACAGCGGCTCCCGACAACATGGTGCTCATGAGAATATCGTGACCTGGGCAGTCGACGAAGCTGGGGGCAGCACGTTAGATCAGTCCTGTGTTGCCTCGAGGGCGCGTGTGATGTAGGGTGGCGACTCACGAGACGTGTCTCAACAACCTGTATCGGCCCTCGCATCCATCCCGTTCGCAAGGAGGGTCGACCTCCTTGTCGCTCTTGTAACTCCTGAAGCAGCCGGGCCTTGGGCACGCCTTGTTATCGCATTGGTAGATCTTGGCGTTTGCGTAACCAAGCTTAATGGTAATGTTACGGATCAGCTCGTTCTTGAATCGAACAGTCTGGACACCCGAGATGGCCTTGACGACGGTGGACTTTCCGTGAGCGACGTGGCCGATGGTGCCGATGTTGATCGTTGCTTGCCTCGCAATGATCTCTGGTGTGAGAGGGGATAGTTTGGAAACGTCGAGGTCCTTGGGCTCGGTCTGAGGAGGCAGGACTGGTTTCTCAACGACGGGCGCCGGGGCGGTCTTCTTCAGGGCAGGCTTGAGAGGCTTCTCTTCCTCGACCTCGTGGTCCGAGAGTCCCTGGCCAGCCTCAGAGCCGGAGGACTCGTCGCCGGAGTCGGCGACGTCGTTCCCAAATTTATCGATCTCGCCGTTTGCCGCCATGGTGATGGTAGTGCTGTGGTGGCGGGGTAATCGATCGAGGACGGTCCCTGTTCGTATCGTCAGATCGAGACGTGCGACAATGGGAAGATCTTTTTTCGTCTGCTGGGGTGTTTGACGCGACTAGCAGATTGCGATCGTATTGGACGTCGACTGTGGGATGTGGGTTGGTAGACAATCGGCTAAGTACTGATAGCTGCCCAGGTGTCGCGAAGGTGTCGATGTGGGATCTGACCAATTTGACTCACTCTCTCTCACTGCCTTGGCCCAAAAAAAATCCGGTGCTGTCCTCCCCTGCAACCTACCAGAACTTAGACAAGCGACCGGGATCCCGGTCTAACCCAACCCGGTAGCTTAGCTGCTTGGGGTTGACTCACAGCCCCTCCTGCTGACAGTCTCCAGGGTTAGGGGTCGTGCAGCTTGTGGATAACCTGCTATAGGATAATCCCCTCTCAGTTGAATTGACTTCCTCTTGTTGGAGGAACTCCTCTGGAACACTCTCCAGCAGAGCTACCCGAAGTAGGCCCGGACCTCTTTCTACAGTCAAGTCCACGTCTGGCCATCATGTTGGTTCGGGCACTGCAGATTCGTCCGAGCAGATGGAGGGGTACCTGACTGGCAATGGCGGGGAATTCGCCTGAGATGTTACCAATTCCTGGTACACCAAGGACCAAGATTGCTGTGTATTTGGAGACATCTCTCCTTTCTTCGACTGAAACCAGGAACGTTTTCTCGTGCTCAACACACTCGTCCTAATCTTGGTGGATTGCAGCCATGGTGGTTATTGTCCTGATGATTCAGCTGTGTCAGTAGATTGGTCCTCCTATGGCAGGACATTGGCTTCAGCTAAAGGAGTTGACCCCACCTAATCAAGGGAACCAGCCTCACGGCATAATGTCTGACGCATTAGAAATCAATAGACTGATTCTATTTGTCAAATTTCTCTGTGTAGCTCAGATCAAAATACTTGCGCATAGTTGCTCCTCTTACTCGGCTCCTGTGATCAGAACGCCAGGCTGGGGAAAATTAGATTACATTTTTCTATCTTATCACATCATACCAGAGAACTTAGTTCCGAATCCAATCATTCAGAAAACTTGTTTCGCTTTCTCGGTGGTAGCATTTACTTTGAGGGTCAAAGATGCTTGATGTGCGGCAATACATTGCCGGGCCAACGTAAAGCGAGGCAGAATGCGACAAGTTTACTCCTTCTCATCGAAGGAACGAGTAAACATAAAAGTAGAAAGATATTACCAAAGCTTTTAAGAAATGTAATATTGGGCACATATTAAATGACAAAGAGCGAGTTTGTGGCTCACATGGCTTTAGATTGACTTCTATGAGACGCACTTGAGGCACGTTACATGCACAGCCTTATGTCCTTTTCTATGAGCCAATCAGAAACGGCGCTGGGCAGTGACTTACACGAGGCTGGGTGGAAGGGAGAAACCTGAAACTTTGGAGCAGACCCTGAAAACATATTTGCAGGTCACGAAGCTGAAGAAGATATTTCAGCGAATATAAGTATTGCAACGATTACGATCTGACTGCATCAAAAGAGCTTGAAAGGACGCCCCCCTTAGTCACTCTATCGCATCTGCTCCCGCCTAGCGTCTGAGCAATTGTCCCCACCCAAGTCATGGGCTTGCTCAGGCAGCCAACTTACCAATCTTTGACCAATCACTTGTATCTACAGATTTGTGTCTTTTTCACTGAGAGGGTATGTGCCGTCATTCGCCTTTCACCTTCAAGTTGTGTTCAATGCAGCCGGGCACTCCGAAACGCGCGCAAGGCACGTTACTTGCTGTACAAGCACTTCATGGTGGAGCGGAAATCTCAGAACTCACTTATACCGTGATTAGTGCTGCTCCGAGTCCAGTGTTCTAATGATTTTGAATTACTGATTCGTTCAGCATTATGAGAGCCAAAGTGGACTTGGCTGAACGCGGCCGAAAGAAGGGAATCGGCCGTGGGAGGAAAATTGGGGGTAGAATCGCAAATCATCATGTCACCAAGATACAGGTCATTATAAATTCGGTCCCCATGTCACGGAGCTGGTTGAGGAAGATGTCTTTGATTCACAACTTAAAACGTGTATCGAGATATTATTGCCACGGTTCGATATTGTTCCATTCAATTTCGGGGGAACCGCCCATCACCTCACGCAGTCATCTTCTCAGCCTCAAGCAACTCAAGAAAAGAGTCATTCATGCTCACACCGAACGGCGTATACTTAACCCCGAGGACCCTCTGCGCCTTGCTACTATCAATCGAATACACACCACCAGTCTCCAGCTCCTTCCAGCCCGCCCCGGGGCTGCCCGCGGGGATGCGGTCCCTCAGCTCGGGGATGCTCTCCCTCACGGCGTCCGCCACGCTCTGGTAGTCAAAGTGGTGCGCGAGGATGAAACGCTCGCCGCCCGCCTCAGGTGTCTCGAACGCAGCCACGTGCGCGAGCGCGTTGTCGCGCGCGTCCACGAAGCCCATGAAGTCCATGGGGGGCATATCGTCGCGGCCGACCATGCCCCAGAGCGCCGCGCTCGACTGGTTCAGCCCCTTGAGCCCGCGGCTGGGCGGCGCGACGTGCGGGCCGAAGACCCAGGCCGGGCAGAGTGCCACGAGATCGAACCCGTGCGGCCCGCTGGCGGCCATCCAGTCCCACTGGCTCCGCTCGGCCAGCGCCTTGGACGCGCAGTACGCCGCCGTCGGGTCGGCCGTCGTGGCTTCGTCGTACGTCATCGGGTTCCAGTCCTGCTCCGTGTACGTGTGGCCCGGCCGCTTGCCCGCGAGCAGGTCGAGGTTGGACGCGAACGAGGCCGTGGTGACGACGCGCCGGACGGAGGTCCCGTATTTCGCGGTTGCCTTGAGGACCGTGACTGCGCCGTTGATGGCCGGGTCGAGGAGGTCCCGCCTTGCGTCCTTGATGTTCAAGACAAACGGCGATGCCGTGTGGATGACTCCCGTGACGTCCTGGCCGAACGCGTCCTTGAAGCTCTCGACGTTGGTGATGTCCGGGACGATGGTGGTCGAGAGCTGCGAGGAGTACGTCGGGAACGTTGCCTTGAGCTGTGTTGCTGATGAGTCTGTGCGGACGGCACCTTTCACCTTGTAGCCTTTTTCCAGTGCCACTTTGATGATGTGGCCGGCTACGAATCCGTTCGCGCCCGTGACGAGCAGTGTCTGCTCCGATGGTGAAGACATGGTCTGGAGAAGTTACTATCACGAAATGGTCACGGGAAGTACCGGAGCTGTCGTCAAGGATGAGTGGTGGGGATTTGCATCAAGTCACTTTGAGTGGCTCAATGTCTTCGCAATCTTGTCACTATTTATATTCCACACCAGCAAACAGAGTTGATACTCTTATCATGTGTCAGTAAACACCCCCTTGGTGGCTTCGTAACCTACCTGTCAAGCTGTCAGGGGGTGCTTACTCACAGCATCGCACGCACTGTCGGACGGCATCTGCCAAGACAATTCGTGGACCATGTCACCTCTTCAAGTTGAGTATCCACGACGCCTGATAGGCCTTGCCCTGTTGTGCGATCAAGCACCTAAACACTGCGAGTGGTGGTTCATTACCGCGGGGATGCTATCGGTCACGGTATTGCTTACCGGTCTGCATGGAATCGTGATTTGAAGGGTGACTTCTGGCGAGTATAGTTCCGATGACTTTGTGAGACTGTGCGGTGGTATTTGGAGCATGGTCCTCAGGACGCAATCGTGCGCCCTCAGTTGTAATCATGGATATCGATGTTGATGTGGACATCAGTAAGAACACACCTTAATCTCGGTGTTCGTCATTCAAGCTGTCACCGGTCTGTTGAGGAACCCTTCTCATAGTACCTTACTTATTGTAACCGAGGCCAGCGTCCTAGATTTCAGCAACCAGACGTCGGTGGGAGGTCCATGTCAGTCGCAGTAGATCTCCAGGTTATCCTGAGATCCGCTGGGTCGTATGTAATGGTGTGGCTCGATGCGTCGTACACCTTCAGAGTGGGCAGCAATACTACATTAATATTAATCATGACAGGCACTCGCTAGTATGCGATCTCACAAACTCAAAATGCTCGTCGCTTCTATGACATAGTATTCGGGGCTCAAATCGCTGGTAGTAGAGCGACTCGGAGTTTAAAGCCCAAAGCTGACTTCAAGCATCACATATATGTTAGCCTGCATATAATATTCGGCCCCAACGGCACATTGTGGGTGCGCTTGAAACCAAGCACAAGTTGTTAAAAGACTTCGGCTGTCTACTCGGTTCGTGTCCCAATCGAGGGCATGCATACATTTTCTTGGTCTGACTGGCGTGGCTAACTTGACGTCTCTTCAAAACCACGCTGTGCTCTTATTATGTTGCTTACGCTGAGACGCGGACGTCTTCGAAGCTGAAGTTTAGTACAGCTAATAGTGAAGCTCTGATATCGATACTCGTATCATTGTATGAATCATTCAAATCGTTTCCATGCGATCATGTGCTCTATTCCATCTACGTGGGGCATTCCATCAAACCCAACGTTTCATCCTAGCACGCCTAGATAGGCTCATCCCTCGGCTCAATCAGCACCTCGTTCACGGAGACGTGCTCGGGCCTGGTCACCGCATACACGATCGCGCCAGCGACATCCTCCGGGTCCAGGATCTTGGCGCCGGTGGGCTCGCCGTACTTCTTGACGGCCTCTGCGTCCGACGACATATTCAGCAGGTCCGTGTTGGTGTTTCCGGGCTGGATGCTGGTGACGCGCAGGCCGGACCCGGCGGTCTCGACCCGCAGCGCCTGCAGGGTGCCCTCGACGAAGAACTTGGACGCCGAGTACACGCCGAGCCCGGGGAAGACCTTCCTGCCTGCGTCGGAGCTGATAGCGACGATGTGGCCCTTGCCGCGGGCGAGCATGGACGGCACGGTCGAGGACAGGCTGTGCAGGAGGCCCTTGCAGTTGACGTCGACGGTGCGCTCCCACTCCTCGGTGTGGACGTTCTTCATCAGGGTGAAGTACATGACGCCCGCGCAGGCAACGAGCAGGTCCACGGGGCCGAGGGTCTCCTCCGTGGTCTTGATGAGGGCCTCAACCTGGCCCCGGTCCGTCACATCGGTTGCTTGTGCCAGGACCTTGACACCTGAAGTTGAGATGATGGTCGACTTGAGTGAGTCGAGGACCTCGACCCTCCTCGCGGCAACGGCGACATTTGCACCTTCGGCGGCGAGAGCCTTTGCTACGGCAGCACCGATACCGGATGATGCCCCAGTGACGACGGCAATCTTGCCGGCAAGGGGTCCGCGGGGTTTGACTTGGGCGGACATGTTGTCGATGGTCTTGCGAGGGGGACGTGGCAGCCAACCTCGGGCGTAGAAGTGCTTGGTGTAAGTCTGAAGCAGCTTGGCGTCAATCTTGGGGCGGGCTAGGCCAAAGACGCCTTCGAGGACTGGCTGAGTCTTCGCGTCGTTCAATACTGTGACTTCTTGGATAAAGTCAACTGTGGGCATGCCAGAGCGGAGGATGTCGACAGTGAAGGAGCCTTCACCCCACCGCCCAGAGCCACGCTTTGTCGACCACAGCGATACCCACTTGTCCCACGCAAGCTTTTCCGTGCTGAATCCTAATTGGCTCAAATGGCTAAATACGTCATTGGCGCCGATTGGGGAGGGGTCACCGAGATGGAAAATGCGCTGGGTCATGTCTCGGTGGTCGGAGAGCGTCGTGATGGCTCTGCTCACGAAGTCGACCGGGGTCATCTCAAGGCGCCAGTTCGCGATATCTGGAGCGTACCCAATCTGCAAGGACTCCACTATGATGGCTGTCAAGAGATCCCAAGCGTTGGTAGCGCCGGACTTGCTGTGGCCACTAATTGTCCCGGGGCGGTAGATCCTCGTCGGCAGGCCGCGGCGATTGGCTTCGATGACAAGCTGCTCTGCAACCCATTTTGTCTGGCTGTAGCCATCTTGTAGCTTTGTGGGCACATCGTCCACGTCGATGATCGTGTCCTCGGACCATCCGTCGCTTGACGGCGGGAGCACACCGTTGGTCGAGACATGATGAACAGGCGCGCCCGCAAGGCATCCCAATCTCAGGATCTCACGAGTTCCACCAACGTTGGGCGCTCGCAGAGCAGCATATGGGTAGACGAGGTTGACCGTGGCCGCCGCATGGATGATAGCGTCCACTCTCGAGGCTAGCTCCTCGAAGTGGTCAGGAGTAAGTCCCAGCCTCTTCCGTGCCAGATTGGCAGGAAGAATCTCGATACGATCAATAATGGAGTCGTTCCAGAGACCAAGATCGACCAGGTTCTTGCGCACCCTGGCCATGCCAGCGGACCTCTGGTCGTCAATGATGTCGTTGAAACGGATCACACAGATGACGTCTGCTGCAGTGTTCTCCAGAATGGAATGAAGAATGAAGGCGCCCAGGAACCCAGTCGCACCTGTCAACAGGACTGTCTCTGCATCGCTAAGAGGACGCATCTTCGCGTTCTTGGGCTGGATATCAGCCGGCAGAACGGAGTCGGCGCGGAGCACCGCAGGCAGGTCCGCCTGGACAGCAGCAGTGTGACCATCACGGGCAGCAGTCACAGCCTCGACGTGGCCCTTGATAGTTGGGTTGCCAGCCAGCGCTCCAATTGGGACAGAAAATCCGAAGGTCTTCGTCAGACGGTTGGAAAGATCGGCCAGGGTCAAGGAGTGGCCGCCGAGATCGAAAAAGCTATGCTCCTTCGTGACAGCAGATGGAGGTATTCCCAAGGCTGCAGCCCAGAGTTCGCCAATTTTTTCAGGCTTGATTGTAGTATTGTTGTTGGCTTTTGGTTTGCTAGAGGTAGTAGAAGCAGCTGTTGGGTCCGGAGGCGGTGGCAGGCTGTTCAGGTTGACTTTGCCCGAGACCTCATGGGTGGGCAACTCGTCCATCTGAACCCAAAGCGCGGGGATCATGTAGTGAGCCAAGTGCTCAGCGAGTGCTCGCCGGCCCTTGGGACAGAAACCGGACTCGTCTATCGACACCACAGGACGGTCGGGATCATCAGAGGCGTCCTGGTCTGGGACAACATAGGCAACTAGTTGTCTCTCAATGCCGTCGCCTCGGGCAACGACAGCACAGTGACGGACAGCCAGATGCTTGACAATGGCGTTCTCCACTGTCCCTGGCACAACACTGTAACCGCGAACCTTGATCATGGCGCCTACCCGGCCGGTGATTTCCATCAAGCCTGACGGGAGTATCCTTGCCATGTCGCCGGTTCTATACATGCGAGCACCAGGGGTCTCGTCGAATGGGTCAGGTAGAAATGCCTTTGCCGTCGTCTCCTCGAGGTTGAGGTACCCACGAGCCAGGAGCTGACCTCCGATGAAGAGCTCACCGGAAACGCCAGGCCCGACCCGCTTCTTGTTCTCATCGAGGACATAGGTGTGCTTTGGATCCAGCGGGGGGCCAACTGGACAATAGGGCTGCTCCGGGTTGATCATCTCCTTGATGTCACCGCAAGCGATCTCATGCGTCTCACTCGCACTGTAACAGTTGAGCAGACGAGTGTTGGGCAGAGCCCTCATCGCCCGCATCATCAGGTCGGTGGTAACGACCTCGCCGTTCATCCAAAGAGTCTTCAACTCCGGAAGGCGCTCACCAAGCCTTGCATGCCTTGTGAGAATTGTGGCAAGAAGCGTTGGCGTCATCAGGGTCTCAGTGATGTTCCTTGAGGAAAGCAGGTCCACCAAGGAGACTGGATCATAGCTTGCCTCATCCGGAATACAGAATGTGGTGGCTCCACGGAGCAGAGGCCGCAAGATCTCCCATATAAAGAACACATTGCAGGCAACTCGGTCGCCCGGCCCGAGGTTGCTGAGCTTGAATCTCAAGTCATAGGATCGGACTGCAGCCCGGTGGGGATTTGCAATGCCCTTGGGCTTTCCAGTGGTTCCCGACGAGTACGAGATGAAAGCCAACTTCTCCAGGTCGGTCTCATCGACCGAGGTGCCCACTCCCCGCTTCGGGTTCCTGTTTATTGACTCTGGCTCATCCATGACGATCAGGGGGACGTCGGCCGTGATTCGGCCAACGTGCTCTCTCTTGGTGATAATGGCAGTCGGGCAAGCATCATCAATGACATTTGCGAGCATGCCTGGAGGATAGGCAAGCTCGAGGACCAGGAATGCGCCTCCGGCCCGGAGGGCTGCCAGGCATGCGATCACATAGTCTGCACTACGCCCCATGAGAACGCCCACGGGGTTGTCTCGGCCCACGTCATGTTGTACCAGTGAGCTGGCAAGCTTGCTGGTAATGTCGTCGAGCTGGGCATATGTGTAGTTGTGTGACTTGTCCTCCAGGGCTATGGCATCAGGTGTTGCGATAGCTTGTTGGGAGAAAATGGCAGCCAGATCTTTGTCGATGTCGATGATGGCCATTTTGATAGGGGCGGGAGAATCTTGGGAGACGTGGACTATCGACTGTGTAGACCTTGAGAACCTCTCAATATTGCCGTATGCTGGCCCTTTCAATACCCCGGGGGGCGGGGGGAGGGGGTTGCTTCGCGTGTTGAGTGAGAACGGGGGTCTGGGTCAGGAATGTGAGTCTTGACTCGTCGTGGAATACGAGGGAAGCCGCCCGAGTAAGTATACCCAGAACAGTAGGAACGTGTTGCTTGCGTGGTCTCAGTGGGCAACGACGATGTAAGCAGCCAAGCTGGGCAAATTGACGTCCCAGGACGGAGTGGTGAGGGTTTAATTTTTGTTGAGGCAGTAACCAGTGGATCTCACAAGTTTGGCCGCCAGAGGATGCCGGGGGTGAAGATGAGTTTTGATTTCCTGGAACGGAATCACCGTACAAGGACACTAAGTGCTTTGTACTCAGAATGGAACTATCCTGACGACGACAAGAAGAGCCAGGAATCAGATAGTCATGGAGGAGTAGCCCAAAGTGTTGGTGGCAGGGGAAGGACGAGAAGAGAAAGATAACAGAGGCATCCAGCTACCCCCGGACGCTATCACATGTGCTCCTGAGCAACATTTATTTTGTCCTTCAACGCGAGATAGCAAGGAACACCCGCCTTTGACTGACGACGATAACGGACCCGTGCAGCCTTGGTGGCCCTGGCCGTAACTGTATTTAGCTTAGACCCCTGGGGCCACATACCTAAACGCCGCGAGGACGGGGGGGGGGGGGGGGCAAGACCCCACGGGTTGGGAGAGGCTAACACTGGGGTGTCAGCTAGTGGCGCTCCGCGGTCCCGAGAGCCGCTGAGCCGTTGCTGTGGCCTGTTGTGCTGTGTCCGCGCATGAGGCGACACTGATTCCCAACACTCGTCCGCTACCGTTTCTCTGTGGGCATTGTCATAAATCTTGCGAGATGGCTCCATGCCCTCAGCTTTTCCCGCCCTGTATGCTCGTGAAGTCGCTGTTATATGACTTCCCACCAGTGACCATGAGAAGCAAATAGTTAGGCTGTCTTGCGGTCTATGCCGTTCCCCGTTACACTACACTATGCCACGTCAACTTGAGTCCCAGACATCGGAACCTCTGCATTCATGCTCGAAACTCTGTGCAACCCAGGAGTCAGGTTGCCCAAAGCTTAACGAGCCGCCACACCTACAGCCGCCACGGCTCTCGGGACACTACCTATGCAGCTATGCCAACTGACAACTAGGCTTAGACGCGGCTGATCGGTGATGGTAGCGCCTTGTGTCGTCACAGTCCCGTCCCGCCATCCGCAGACGACAACCTGGCACCGGCGGACGGCCTGACGGCAAACACATTTGCCCATACACGCACGAACCTTGGAAACGGACACTTTGGCCTGCGGGCATTGCAGGTCCCAGCCCTCAGCAGCAGCATGAGGGATCCTTTTCGTGGGGTTCTTGTTGGCGCTAGGGGCGACAAAGGATGACAAGGGTCTCAGAAAGATGGAGTAATCGAATCGTCAAGCTGGGCTGGTTGGTCTGGCCAGACTGGCAGACCTTCTCTGCCGTGTGATGCACCCGAGATGTCACAAAAGCAAAACCCCAAAGAGCTCACTCGTGGGGTGCTCCGAGAAAGGAGGGAGGCTATCGGTCTGCTACACACAGATATGCATTGGCTGCGGTGTGGACAAGGCCTTGATCTTCAGCCAATTGAGAGGTTCTCGTGTGTTCTCGTGTGGGAGTAAGTCTTGCAGGCGTTTTCGCGAGCCAACCGACGAGGGAAGAGTCTAGTCTCAGCATGGCGTCATCCAGGCTTAAGCCGGTCTAGGAAGTTTAGTGGTAGCTGGCCACTACAAGGACTGCTGGAGAAAGATGAGAACAGTCCCTGTGAATTGTCGAAGCTCTTCTAGTTCCCGTGGAGCTGCTTGAGGCACGACGTAGAATGAGGATGAATTTGATGTCTTGGCTCTGTGGATGATAGTTTGCGTTGACCGCATCGTCCTTTTAACCTTCCCCTGTGGCCAAACTGGCAGGGGTTCACGTCGAAGAAGTTGATGAGCTTGGTTTTAGTCTCCTACTTCGTGACAGTCGGGTTTCGCGAAAAGTCGCATATCTTGACCAAAATATTCATTCTTAGCAATTTGATCGCCACTGGTGGCCCAAGACGTTGATTCATAGTTACAAAGCCAAAACTCTATGGAGTCCCGGCCTGACACCTGCACCTAGGGTCCATGGTATCATGTAGGGCTGCAGACAGCCATTGCCATCAAAAAGGTTGCTGCCAGCTGAACTGGACGAACACAGCAGTAACACCCTCCGCCTCCATCGGCGTACTCGTCTCCCACATAGGCATGAAGCAACAAGACCAAGTCGTTGCGCGGTCTGTCTCCAGTGCCACCTTCTGAGATCGCCATTTCAGTGAGTGCGCCCGTTCTCACTTCTCAAACCTCCATTCCTCCCAGGGTCTTCTCGAAGACCTCAAAGTTGCCCTCATTTCTGCGGTCCAGCACCGCAAAGCACACTTCCTTCCACCATCCACCCTGGAACTCCTGCTGCTCAAAGACCTCCTTCCAGCACTCCGCAACCTCCTCAACCGGATTCTTAAAAGCGCCACATCCCAGCGCCCCCAGCACAAGGCGGTCGTGACCCCTGGAAGCCGCCATCCTCAGTACTAGTACTATCTTCGACTTTGTCAACTCCCTGTCCCCCTTCTTTGCAAAGACCTTTCTCTTAGCTCCGCTGCTCAGAACCCGGCCATCTGAGAGATCGGGCCGGCGAAGCGCGGCGACACTGAGCACGCTGACCACTGGCAGCTCGTCGGCCGGCGCGTCTGGCGCGACCAGCTTGTGACCGTTTTCCTGAGATGACCGAATGATGACCACATCGCGGGTGTAAACGCCATCCAGGGCGCTCCAGGGGTAGTACCTCTTGTGCAGGCTCAGTGACAGGGACGAACGGTAGCACAAGGCCTCTTCCTGTGCCATGGACCCGTTAAGCCATCCTCCGCCTGGCGAGGTATCCGACGCGAGGTTGAGAACGGCTGGTCGAGAAGGTGGGTTATTGGTTGTGTTTGGATTGTCCGAGGCCATCATAGATATAGCGGCGTCGAAGGCATCCTCGTTGATGACTTCAATGGTGGCCTTGGGGTGTTTGGGGCAGTCCTCCATCTTGAGCTGTGGTAGATTCGCATTGAGTGTCAGAAACACAGACTCATCTGCTTTGAGGTTAGGCAGGTCTTTGAGGATGTAAGGAAGGGCAGTCTGGGTCTGGCTGGCGATCGTTGCGAGAGCTTGCTTGGCTTCTGATCGCTGGCCGCCGTGAAAGCTACCTCTGCCTCTGCCTCTACGGCCTCTGCCGCCTCTGTCACCTCGCCAGGTGGACTGTCCCCGACCGCGACCGGTCGAACCCTGCTCGCTTGACATGGCTGAGACGGTTCAAGAACGAGATGAATGGCTGGCTGTGAGAAGAGATCCGGGACAGACGAAGAGACGTCGAGGCTGCAGAATGGCACTGGTCTTACTCGACCGCTCAGTGAGAAAAGGGAAGCCTCCAAAATACAAGCTAGAGAGTTTGTTGGTGTGCAGGTCCAACAGTCAATTTGTACTTCACAAGTTGAGTTGAGTGGAATTAAGTTGAGGTAAGGTGGGATGAGGTGAAGGTGAGTGGGTGGGTAGATGAGTGATGCAGGTTCAGTCAGTGTTGAGTGGCTGCTGCCTTCGTTAGCGCAGACCCTGTGCTGTTGTGACTGCCTGCCTTTGATGGAGTGCAAGGTGCTCGTTTTCGGGCAGGACGGTCCAGAATTTGAGCTTGGAATAATGCGGCTCTAAGCGCAGAACTCAAACTCCAAATCACTCCAAAGCTCGTCCTGCAGATGCAGCTGGTGAGCGTCTAAATCCTTCCATTCGGGGTATCATTTCTATGTGCACATACCTGCGTGTATGCATGGCCAGGTGTATGCACTCTGGCGGTTGGCCATCATCAATCCCAATCTTGGAAGTGATAATAACACGAAGCAGCCTCCCATCTGACTGTCCATGCATCAGCCATCCGTGTGCTGGGGCTGGCCCAGCACCTCGGCCATGTTGATGGCCCCTTCCATGTCGTTCTTGTGAAAGAGGAACAGCCCCTGGATGGCCGCAGCACTTGTGCTTTTCGCCGTCTTCTCGTCGAACAGACCCATATCGTCAAGCTTCTGCAAGAAACGCTCCTTGCCAGTCCCATCCTGGTCCACATCACCGTAGAAACGCTCAAACATCTCCCCGGCCTGATATCTGCTTGCCTCGCCCACGCGCACGATCATGTCCACCCGCCCGGGACGAATCAAGGCCGGATCGAGCCTGTCGATGTGATTCGTCGTAAGGAAAGCAATTCTCTCTTCGCCAGCAGACAGCCCATCGAGCGCATTCAGGAGACCTGAGAATGTCACCGAGGATCCACTGTAGCCGTCCGAATCCTTCTGCTTCCTGTTCACAAAGGCAGCATCCGCATCCTCCAACAAAACAATCGTCCTCTGCGGTAGCTTTTGCATCATCATCGCCAGTTTGTCATCTGCCATGCCCCTCTCGCTCAAGTTGATGGTCGCGATGGCAAAATTCAACTCCCCGGCCAGTGCGTGTATGAAGCTGGACTTGCCTCCTCCTGGTGGTCCGAAAAGTAGATAGCCCCGACGATAAGGTATCCCCCGTTCGGCGTACCACTCCTGCCTCGCAATGAAATCCTTCACATCTGCCACAATGGCCTCCTTGACGCCCTCGTCCAGGATCACGCTACCAAGCGGCCTCTTCCGCCTCGGCTCCCCGAGCTGCTCCCAGTTGAACCCGCGGACGGTGTACACCACGGTCTTTCCCTCCGTCGCCCGTGCCATCATGCCGTGGGCGTCCCCGAAGATCTCCTCGAACACATGCCGATGCGCCCAAAGCGTCGTCAGCGTCATCGTCTCATGCGGCTCGCCCGTCGCCATCTCGGCCGTGGAGCTCTTGTCCCTCTGGACCATGATGTACACGCCGGGCGCGTGCCTGATGACATGCGAGCCGTATCCGGGCACCAGCGCGAAGTGCGCGTGCGTGGGCGCGCCCTCGCCGCCGTTGCCCTTCCCTGGCGCAACGGACCGCGTGGTCGTCTTGACGGAGAGCTCCCTGATGCGCGTGAGTCGGCTGGCCAGAAAGCCGGGTGTATCTCGCGGGCGCGAGAGGTAGGCCAGGATCCATCTGTAAGACGGGTCGTTTTTTGAGATCTCCACGTTGACGAGGCTGCCGTTTCAGTAGCCGGGCGCCCTGGATGGCACCGCGGCGGCCGAGGGCGGCGGCGCTGCCGAGGGCTGCAAGGCCGAGACCCCCTGCGAACACGGGGGACTCGAGCACGCTGTTGAAGTTTAGGCCGTCCATGAGGGTAGACTTTGGTTGCGAGGCCGGATCCATAGGCACCTGCGTCGTTGGGCTGTCGAGGTGTTGAGAAGAAAAAGCTCAGATGCCGGGGGCGTTGATCAAGCTCCTGCAAGACTTAGTGGGGTCTTGGCTGATCAATCTCTGGGTTCTTCTCACTACGACCACGATTCCGCAGGTGTTAATACCAAGGTAGTCTTTGAAATGCGTCCCAACGAAGCAAAGACCAGATCGATTTTTCTCTCAGGTCTTTAAGCCGTTTTTGCGTGTTTTGCAGCACTGCAATCATACACATATCCAAAGTTTGGAGCAACATGGCGTCTGCAGTGGGACATTCCAAAACAGTACAGATATTTGACATATTCCACATCAGCCTCACAATCCACATACACAAACCTCCGTCTAAGCGAACTCTATGAGATGGCATTTTGGTGTTCTCGGTCATTATTTGATTGACCAAAGCCATTCCCGCATCCCATCCAAGGATCCTTTTAACCTAGACGTCTAGGCTTCTTGCTTCTCGTACCACCAAACTTCAACCTCGTCGAGTCCGACACCTTGGTGATCTTGCTCCTGAGCAACCGACCCTCATTTCCTAGAATGACCTTTGTAATCGCCTCTCTGCCAGCCCCGAACCCTCTAAGAACCACCTCGAGCGAGCCGATCTTGTTGTGCCAGCCCTGCTGTTGCAGCTTGTCAATGACATAGGCCCCAAGCTGGTACGCCGAGTCGTAGTGCTTCCTGTTGCTCTTTCGGAATCCGAGGTTGCCGCACGACAGAGACACAATGGCGTCGCGGTTCGGCTTCGTCACCGTGACGTGCGTGTTGTGCTTGTGGCTGTAGATGTGGAAGTGAAACGGCTCACTGCCCCACTCGTCTTTATGGTCAGCGCCGGCCGAGAGGGCGCCTAGACCGTCCCCTCGTCCGAGCATGGACGTGTCGACGACCCGGGTGTCGTTGACGGCACGACCTGCTGCCACCTGGGCGGCAGGCATGGCCTTGATGAACTCGGACATGGTTGAAGATTTCGTCTGCGGCTGCCCTGGTGGTCGGGTCGAGGGAGAAGACGGCCTAGGGGCGAATTTCGTGGTAGTTCTTTGTGGCTTTTTCAGGAAATCGAGGAGATCGCGTCTGCCATCGTCTTCTGCTCGCCTGCAAGTCGAGGTCGAGAACGCCTGGGCCAATTGTGTCGCAGCGCATCGTAGTGTCGGTATTGACGGGTTTGACAGGCTTGTGTATAGTTTACTCGCCAATCGGCGGCCTGTTGGCGAGCGACTCATCCTGGGAGTATGGGTTGTGGGTGTCGCCGCCTTCGTCTTCGTCCAGTCGGCAAGAGGTCGCGATTTTTTTCCACTGACGTCCAATCTGCTGCACTCGAGATCGACGCGGTTTGGAGCTCCAGTCTCCGAAAGTTGCAGCGCTCAAGACCCCTGTAGCCGCTAATGCGGAGAACCCCGGCTCCTTGGTTTGCCTGCCATCAAGCTCCGATTCTTGCCCGCCAAAATGTCGCTGCAAAACCTGGAGTTCTTGCATCACGCCCCAAATTTTAAAAGTTTCCATCCTCTTCGCTGCTCACGACTGCCTGGCACCCCTCCTCCGTTTCTCGTCAGCACCGGGACAACCCTCATTTCCCATCGAGAGGCGGGCTTCTTCTCCATATCATGAGCTCATTTAGGACCATCTCGAGGAATGCTCCTCCGGCTTCTTTTTCGCGAGCTACGGCTCTGAATGCGTCCGCCGCTACATATGGAAGGTCGCCTGCGTACCGGAGATTAATATCGAGCCGTCTGGCGTCGCCCAGTCACGACAGTCATGTAATATCGACAACTAGCATTCCTTCACAATTTCCGCCTTTGCGGTCTCAGTTCTTGCCCGAGACCATACAGACAGCGACGCTGTCGCAGTCACAATTTCGAACCTTTTCCGCATCTCCATACATCCGGCAAGACGTCAAGTCCGAGACCAAGCCACAGGCAGACTCCACAGTGAAAGAGCCACCAAAGGCAGAGGAATCCGCGGCAGGAGAACAGTCTCAAAAGCAAGAGGAGCCCCAGGAGGAAACCGGAGAGAAGAAGGCCGAAGAGAAGGCGAGGAAAGCAAAAAAGAAGAAAAGAAAGAGGATGCACCTCCGCCTCCCCCCCACGGCGACAAGACACCATGGCAGGTGTTCATGGAAACCATGCAGAGCGAGTTCAAGGCCTCCAAGGAATGGAATGAATCAACAAAGCAACTCGCCCAAGGCGCGACTGACTTCGTGGAGAGCGAGAATGTCCGACGAGCGCGCGAGGCCTACGAGAAGACTACAGGTGCCGTCTCAACAACCGCGGGCAAAGTCTTGAAAGGCACAGCTGGCGCAGTCGGCAAGGGTGCGGCGTGGACGTGGGACACTTCTGTGATGAAGGGTGTCCGAAAAGCGGCAAATGTCACAGGCGATGCCATCGACAAGACGACCAAACCAATCCGGGATACAGAGGCGTACAAGAGTGTGAAGAGCGTCATCGACGACGGCAGCAGCTCGAGATATGGCGGCTGGGTGGAGAAGGAGGAGCGGAGGAAGCAGAGGGAGCTGCGCGAGCAGATGGAGAACCCCAACGGGCCCAGAAAGCACGAGGTTCTCGAGGAGGATCCCAAGTATGTTGGACCTTCTTCACTGCCATTGTTCCTGAGTTGAGATGAACCTTAATTCTAATGCTTTCCGCCTGCAGCGCCGGCACCAACGTCACTGTACACAAAGATGCGCAGTGGAAAGAGGCTTGGACCAACTTCAAAGACTCGAACAAATTCGTCCAGGGTCTTTTCGGCATGAAGGATGTGTACAATGAGTCGGAGAACCCCCTGATTCTTACTGCGCGAAGCATAACAGACCGTGTGGCGGGCTTCTTCGCCGAGAACGAGACGGCAATGGTCATCAAGAGGTTCCGCTCGATGGACCCTAACTTCCAGGTCGAGCCTTTTCTCCGCGAATTGCGCGAGTACATCCTTCCCGAGGTCCTTGACGCCTATGTCAAGGGTGACGTCGAGACGCTGAAGCTGTGGCTGTCCGAGGCGCAGTACTCAGTGTATGAGGCTCTCACCAAGCAATACCTGCAGGCTGGCTTGAAATCAGACGGTCGCATCCTCGACATCAGGCACGTCGATATTCTGAAAGCAAGGATGCTGGAGCCTGGCGAGATCCCCGTGTTCATTATCACATGCAGGACGCAGGAGGTACACGTCTACCGGAACGCGAAGTCGAACGAGTTGGCTGCCGGCATGGAAGACAAGGTTCAACTCGTCACTTACGCCATCGGCGTGACAAGGACGCCGGAAGACGTGAACAATCCCGAGACAAGAGGGTGGCGTTTGATCGAGATGCAGAAGAGCGCGAGGGAGTACATCTGATGTGGCGAGGGATCTCCTCGCCTTTCTTCTCAAATCGGCCCCCCCTCCATCGCGTCTACTCTACGACACCAACGAGGGGCCAACAGCGTCATTTCTAGCTGCCTGAACCAACTCTAACTGGCCTTTCTTGGGACGACCCGATACCATGTCAATCGAATGTCTTATCACCGTGTTTGAAAATATGTAAATTTATACCAGGGAATGGGATCCGGGACGGAGGGATCTGGTACCCAACAAAAGAGGCATTATGGAAGGCGCAGGCATGGAAAACACCACTCTGACGGGCCAACCTCATGTTCATGATGACGCCCAATGTACATTGATGACAACCAAAGGAAACAGATTACCTAGCTTATAGAAGCTTCGAGGAATCCAAGCACGTAATTTGTCCTTGGCCGTTGCAAATACGGGACTCCTGGACAGGCACTATTTGTTTCCTTCATGAATTGGAAGTGATGAAGATGTGACCGCTTTCCACCAATGAATGGTCCAGGCATTCGCAATTACCGCAGAGTAGGCAAAGTCATAGATGGGTAGTTCTCTATTTCCTGGAGCAACTTCTAGCAACAACGTCATTACTGTTGTAACCCGGCCAGACCTGGCCACAAAACCCGCAGACCCAGACGCCCCCTCGTGTCCTTTCCCATCACACTAGTTGGATGCCCCACCTGTCGATAGGATACGCCAGGGCTCTCATTCCTCGTAATTCCCGACTTGCTGGTTCCTGGCTCGGATGTGACCTTTGAAGTCGCTGGCCGCGCGGCCGGAGCGGCTAGCCTAGTCTTCCAAGGCAAGCCCATCATGGTTCCGAGGATACGTGATACCTTCAGATTGTCGTGGGCCCGCAGATGACCCTCCTCCGCATCCACCCTTGGCCCCAATCCCCAGCCCTTCCGCCTCGACCCGTCTGGCATACAGCCCCTGGGCTCGTGTGAAGTGGACTTGTAGTTGTCCAACATGTGCGGCAATTGAGGCGATTGAGCCAAGGCAGTAGTATAGCCTTCATAGCGATGCCAAGAGATTCAGTACCTGGTGCATGAAACCCATTCATCTCGGTTGGCAGCTCAAGCAGGCGCCTTCTCCTCCTTGGAACCACCCTCCAGCCCTTCGCCCTCCTTCTCGATCGGCTCGCCGTCAGAGTCGAGCCCGAGTGCGGCCAGCTCCCGCACCAGCTCGTTAATCTTGATGACCTTCGCGATCTGCTCCGGGAGCAGCGCCTGCCCGCCCTCCTTCTTGTCCTGGAGCTCGCGGGCCTGCTTGAGCTTCTTCCTTAGGTTCCTGGCCTTCTTCTCTCGCTCGGCCTCCGGGTCCGGCGCGGGCTCGGCGGGCCCCTCGTCGTCCTTCTTTGCTTCCTCCCTGGCGCCCCCGTCCGTCTTTCCCGCGTCCCCCTTCTCGTCCGCGGCCTTGGCCTTCTTCCGGGCCTCCCGCCGCTTGGCGTTCTTATTCGCCGCGGCGGATCCAGCGGCCGCGGGCTTTGCGTCGTCGTCCGCTGTGGCCGCCTCCGCGCCGATCACGCCCCCCTTGGCGGCGCGGCTGCGGAAGCCCTCGGCCGTGCGGTTCTTGTAGACCTCGACGTCCTCGGGTGGCCGGTAACCGGGCTTGATCTTGATGGCCCGGCGGGTGGAGCCGTCGGCGCGGACGGACTCGGGGATGTGGCGCTCGCCGGAGGACTCGTCGGTGACGATCCCGGCGTTGGTGGGTTGTGAGGGCATATTTGGGACTGCGGGCTGTAGGTCCGGAGAACAAGGCGGTTGTCACGAGGGTCGAGTCTTGTCGTGGTAGAAAGCCCCTTTGAGAAATTAAGCAGTCGGGTGTAAGCCAAAAAAGATGCCAAAGTTGAAACGGTCCCAAAAGAAAAGCAGTGAAAAGGTCAATTAGCAGCACTCTGTTGTGAGCGTGAAAAGAGGGACGACGCCCAATTTATTGTAGCTGTGAATGGAAGTCGGGCCAAAAGTCTTGGTGGGGTTGTCCTTTACCAAGGACTCGGCCATGAGGTGAGGCTATCCGGCCGGTGGAGCCTTGTGGGGAGCTTTGGCCAATCACATGGAGGATGATTCTGGGCAAGGGAATCATCGGGATGTCGCCGCCAATTTTGATGTCCACTTCCCAGCTTCACCTGTTCGGCTCCAACGCACCTCAGCGACGAATTGCCAATTCCACCGACCACTTACCACGCCCGCACTATCGTTCAAGCCTTGCACTGTCACATCCAGTCAAAATGGTACGTCTTCCCCTCCACATAAGACTTGATTGGGACCGCATGGGCTAATCGCGCAACCACAGGCCGGCCAAACCACCATCTACAAGCAGGTCCACCCCGATGCACGACAAGGCGATATCGAACCGAAAGACTAACGAGAATCTTAAAGTGTCCTCTTCCGCAGCAACTACGCCATGCTGGGTGCTGTCTTCGCCGGTGCCTTCGGCTTCCAGATGTGCGCTCCCCCGGCTGGACCCGACCCGGACCCGACAACGTGATGCGCAGGAATATACGAAGCTGACGACACTGTACCAGGGCCTATGATGTTGGAACGACAAGGATCTGGGACAACATGAACCGAGGAGTATGAGAATTCCCCTATCGCCCCTGGAACTCGCAGCGCGAACCCACGGGACCAACGGACTAACAAGCACACAGCGTCAATGGAAAGACATCAAGCAGAAGTATCTGGAGGGAGCCGAGGAGGAGGAGTAAGAGAGTTCGGGCAATGAAAGATGACAAGGGCGACGCGATGGTTCAGCCGGGGGACATTTTGGCCTTTACACCGGACGACCCCGATGAAGAGTGTACTTGTACAGCATAGACGAGGGCTGTTTAGACGAAAATGACAACGGGACGAACTTGACTGCCATCTGTGCACCCGGAGACGACCGCGTTCAGAGGGCGACTGGGACGTCCCGCATACTTTGAGACATGGCCAGTAACCACTTCCATGAATTACTTAACGAGCACGAATTGGACGCTGGGACGAGGGCCACGACGGGGGCAAGAATGATAAGGGATGAGCTTTGTTCAATTGAAGGCAAACGTGTGCAAGGAGAACAGACGTCTTTTTTGGTTTTGCATAGTCCAAACTGAGGGTGGTACTGGATTGAGAGAAGGGCCGGTTTGGTGAGCAGATGCCCAGCAAGCCAGGAGGCTCGTATGTTATGAGTGGTTCATGTCAGTGGTTTTCAAGGGATTGCGACTGCAAAGGCTGAGGGGAAGTAACACGCAGGTCTGGTTCGTTGGCATGCTAAACAGGTTTGCATTAACAGATGCGTCAATAACGCAGCAGGCATGGACAAGTTTGGGGTTAACCAGCTCAGTAAAACACAGCGTGCTCTACTGTAGTGCACCTGTTCATTTCCGCCAGTGAGCTCATCAATTAGAGAAGGGTCTCTTGAAGAACAGGGTCGCATGTGAGACTGAGGTGCAAGTGCTATCCACTGCAGGTGTGCGGCAATGATATCTCAGCTGTCGAGTTAAGTTTGACTGAGTAGTACAAGTGAAAGGGATGCGTGTAGCGTGCGCCCGCATATCCCTGCATCCTGGCTCCGGGATTATTACTGTAGGGGCCAGGTCCGGCAGGGTCGCACTTTAGTGGGCTAGTGAAGCTGTGACGCTTGTGACGGCACCCTGCCCAGGAGTCTACCTGCAGCGTAATTGTCAGTGACACACTATGCACATATCAACCGCCGCAACTTGCGGGCCTCCGGTGTGAGCTTTTGCTGCAGCAAGATCACTAATCCCACTTTTTGCAAGGTGATGCTGCTTCTGTGAATCGAATTCATACAGCGCTCAAATTGTATACCGTCCTATTCACTCGGACAGGCGGAAACCGCATTTGCAAGTACTCCTTTCTCGGCCTTAGCTCCTCGAACAGTGCCTGTCACCTCGAACCCCGCGCTCAAGACCACGGCATCCTGACTTTGACCTACCAGGCTTGCCACAACGGATCGCTCGCTATTGACGCGGTCTTTCTTACTCCTGTCAAAGAATTCTTCAACTCGATCTTCGAATCGCGCAACCCACAAGAGGCCAACTGGCTATTTCCAACCGACTGCCAGCCTGCGTCCAGGTCGCGCGACATCGACATGAGCTGAGCTCGCCGAGATGGACCCTACAATGTCAACACAGGAGTTGCAGCTCTGTCAGTTTCTGATGGAGCTGCCTGCTCAGAAGCGATACCGATACACAAAAGAATCAGAGGATCTTCTGCTCGAAAATCTCTTCAGGTTCATGTCCGGCGGCAAGGACGACTACCTCAGGCTCTTCTTCCCAAACGGAGGACCTGTCGTCGATGGCTCGATCCTCAAGCTCAAGGACGCCCAGGGCGCTATCGAGGGAGCAGAATACACCGAGGCCGCTCGAGGCATGGCATGCGGGCACATCTTCAAAGCAGGAGAGGCTTCATATAGCTGCAAGACGTGCGGCACTGACGACACCTGCTGCCTCTGCGCAAAATGCTTCGATGCTACGGATCACACGGGACACATGGTGAGGATCAGCATCTCTCCAGGCAATAGTGGTTGCTGTGATTGCGGCGATCCGGAGGCATGGAAGACCCCTATGTTCTGTACGATACACTCGACCTGGGAGCACGAGCAACCAAAGGGCAAGGACAAGGAGGTGGCGAGGTTGCCCGACGACCTACTGTTCAGCATCCGGATGACGATCGGACGGGTTATCGACTACCTCTGTGATGTCATATCGTGCTCGCCCGAGCAGTTGCGACAGACAAAGACGGTTGAATCGATCAAGCACGACGAGGAGATGTCAAGGTTAAATTCAACATACCACGGTGGCGACGTGGGATCTCCTGGGGAATACGCCATTGTCCTATGGAACGACGAGAAGCACACTATCACAGAGGTTAGAGACCAGGTTGCCAGGGCATGCGCAATGACTCAGCGAGAAGCTCTTCAAAAAGCATACGAAACCGACACCATCGGGAGAAGTATTCTCACCTACGACGAGGACGTTGAGACTCTTCTGGGGAGGGCCAACACGTTAGAGCAAATCCGCGTTACTGTTACGATCCGCTCTTCACGCGATACGTTTCGAGAGCAAATGTGCGGTACAATCATCGAGTGGTTAAAGGACATCTCGGGTTGCGCCGTCGGACAAGATTCCTCCATTCTGCGGGTCATTGTCTGCGAAGAACTTCTCAAGCCATGGCGCATGGGAAGTCCAGCTACCCATGCCATCGTCGGCCATGAAGGAATGGACGACGAGGACAAGGAAGACCAAAAGGAAGACACTTCCATGAACGTCTACACTCAATTCGCATTGCTGCAGGCTGCTAGGCTTCAACAAGCGAGAGAAGCCGTTCGGCGCGGTATAAATACGACGAGAAACTTGGAAGACAGCGACGATGATGATGACGACGATAGTGATGCCGATGGCGAAGATCATACACCGTCTTCCCAAGGAGACATGGACGAGGATGTCGATGACGATGAGGAAGATGTGATGATGCTTGATTCAGCACCGGGCGCCGCCGGCGACGTCAACATGTCTGACTGGCGAGCTGACGAGGCTTTGGAAGCAGACGAAGCAACCATGGCAGGCTACCCACCGCCTCCTCCTCCTCCGGTGCCGAGTGGCCCCCGCCGGAATATAGGGGATCGAGATCTGACTCCATCCGATTCTGACACCGCAGAGCCTCTCATACCGTCCTCCATATATGCGAAGAACAGTCTCGATGTACCGAAGACGCCTGGCGTGGCGCAGGATGAACAGGCAACGCCGCCCAAGTCGGGTCGGTATTGGATGCTCGCGCCGGCTGCATACGTGGAAACGGAGAATGTTCCACCTTCAGAAGATCTGTTCCAGAGAGTCCGCCTGGACTGGATGATACTTTTTGATCTTCGCATGTGGAAGAAAGTGCGCAACGACATGCGATCTCTCTACATATCGACAGTCGTTACGATCCCGGAGTTCAAACGCGTTCTTGGCCTGCGCTTTGCCGGGCTCTACACAACCCTGGCCCAGCTTTATCTCATTGGAGATCGAGAGCCAGACCACTCAATCATCAATCTTTCCCTTCAAATGCTTACCACACCCTCAATCACGGCAGAGGTCGTGGAGCGCGGCAATTTCTTGACCAGCCTTTTGGCTATTCTGTACACCTTTTTAACAACTCGTCAAGTGGGCCATCCATGGAACGTCTCGGATACTGCTGTCTTAGCTTTTGACTCCGGATCTGTGACTAACAGGCGCATGTACCATTTCTTTGCCGACCTCAAGTACCTTTTCCTGTCTCCACATGTGCAAGAGCGTTTAAGGACAGAAGATCGGTACATGTTGCAGTTCCTCGACCTTGTCAAGCTCCATCAAGGCATATGTCCAAACACTAGGGCAGTTGGAGAGCACGTTGAGTATGAGACCGACACATGGATTAGTGCGTCACTCATAACACGAGAAATAAACCGACTTTGTCGCCTTTTTAGCCGGTCTTTCACAGGCGTCGAAGACACAGACGGCGTTTGTCGGGCCATCCGTCTGGCGGCAAAGACCGTGATTGTGAACTCCATTGGCGCGGAGCGCGCACGATTCACCCAGGCTGAAATCAAGGACGAGGTTCGCTTCAAAGCTTTGGGCGACTTCGAGTTTGATGGCGACAGCTCCAAATATGATGTCGTCAAGTTTGTGGTTGAGGAGCAGCCCATCAGCTTCCACCACGCTCTTCACTATACCTTGTCCTGGCTGATTGAATGTGGCAAGTCCCTAACTGTCGAACAATTGCGAGCTATCCTCCACTTCACAGCCCAAGAGCTCAAAGGCCACCCTCGTCTCATGGGCAAGCGGGCCATGCCGAGGCGCGATTACGGTCCAGAAGACTTCCTCATGGCGGCGTTCGACTACCCCCTGAGGGTGTGCGCCTGGTTGGCTCAAATGAAGGCTGGAATGTGGGTTCGCAATGGCATGAGTCTCAGACACCAGGCTGGAACCTATCGTGGCGTTGGTCAGAGGGATGTTTCTCATCATCGAGACATTTTCTTGTTGCAGACAGCGCTCGTGGTATGTAACCCAAGTCGAGTGCTCGCTTCAATCGTTGATCGTTTCGGCATGGAGAAATGGACCAAGGGTTTCTTCGAACAAAAGTCGACTGCTCAGGACGACGCACAACATCTGGACATTGTTGAAGACATGATTCACCTCCTCGTTGTCCTGCTGAGCGACAGGACGTCTCTGATCCGCACTGACGATGAGCCGAACAGCCGTATTCTGGCCATGCGCCGCGACATCACTCATGTGCTCTGCTTCAAACCTCTCTCATTCACCGAAATAGGAAACAAGTTGCCGGAGCGATATCAAGAGCAGGAGGACTTCACCAGGGTTCTCGACGAGATGTCCAACTACAGAGCACCAGAGGGCGTGTCAGACATTGGCACGTTTGAGTTGAAGCCGCAGTTTGTTGAGGAGGTCGATCCGTACATTGCCCACTACAATAAGAATCAGCGGGAAGAGTCGGAAATGGCCTGGCGCAAATGCGTAGCCAAGAAGACCGGCAGGCCAATTGAGGACGTGGTGTACGAGCCGAAGCTACGTCAAATACCCGGCGGTGTTTTCGCCGGACTCGCCGAGTTCACCAGCACTGGCATGTTCGCCCAGATCATTTATTACAGTCTACTATACCCGCTGGTGTGTCAGAAGCTCACGCCAACTGTACCATACACGAGGGTCGAAACGTACCTGCAAGTGGCTGCACCTTATCCTCATCGCCATTGCCGAAGACAAGCCAGCTGGTGGAGACCCCTCGAAACCGTCGTTCATTCATACCGCTCTGACCCAGGTCGCGCGAAGTAACTTTATGCAGGATGCCCCCGCTTCCAAGACTATTGTGTCCCTACTGGACATGATGTCGACCAAGGAGGAGCTCAAGGGTTGCCATCCTAGAATCGCCCTCGTTCTCAAGCGTATGCGCCAGAAACGACCCACCGACTTTGAGGCAGCATACGTGCGGCTTGGTGTCCCAGTGGATAGGATCAGCACCGCTTCACCGGCTGCTATGGCCAACGCCGATGAGGAGCGGGAACGCAAGAAGAAGGCAGCTTTGGATCGCCAGGCCCGAGTGATGGCGCAGTTTCAACAGCAGCAGAAGACATTCCTCGCGAATCAGGGTGATATTGACTGGGGCGATGTGGATGACTTGGAAGATGAGGATTTGCCTGAGCCAGTGGAGGAGAAGAACTTCTGGAAGTACCCATCCGGGACATGTATTCTTTGCCAGGAAGATACAGACGATCGTCGACTTTACGGGACTTTTGGCTTCATCAGGGAGAGCGGGATTCTACGGCAGACAGATCTGTCAGACCCTGACTTCATTCGAGAAGCATTCCACACACCCAAAGACCTCGACCGATCGGCTGAGCCTATCCGACCTTTTGGAGTGGCACACGAAAATCGCAAGGATGTGCAAAAGGTCAACCAACAAGGAGAGACTTTCATTGCGGAGCGCCAGACTATTGGCAAGGGCTTCCCTCCACATGCAGTCCGAAATGGGCCAGTGTCCATAGGATGCGGCCACATCATGCACTATAGCTGTTTCGAAGTGTACTTCGAGGCTACCCAGCAGCGGCACAAACAGCAGATCGCGCGCCACCACCCCGAGGACCCGTATCGCCTGGAATTCGTGTGTCCACTTTGCAAGGCCTTGGGCAACGCTTTCCTGCCGATCGTCTGGAGGGGCCAAGAAGAATCATACCCCGGCGTGCTGCAGACTTCAACAGAGATCCAAGTATCCTCTGAAGCGTTCGCGGTCTTCCTGAAGGAAAACTTGTCCTCTACGCACAACGCTGCCCTGGCATTGGAGCCTCAATCCCATTCATCCCAGAGGATGTTCTCGCAATACACCAAGGGGACATTACTGCCCAATTTAGCAGAGAAGTCGTCGCATCTTGTCGTCGACGCATGGGAGTCAGGCTCTCGGACGCCATCTGTGGGTACGCCATGGGGTGGCAACACTCCCGAATCAAGTGGACAATCGTCGGGCATGGGCGAGAGCAGCAGCGCAATGTCGGAACTAGTTATTGTCTACCGCCGCCTCCGAGATACTCTTCGACGCAATGGTCTCATGGGAAGGCATGGTCCTGATCAGCTCGAACGCATGAACGAACCGCTGGGGAATCCCACTGATCTGTGCGACAGTGATGTCCTAGCCCAAACTGTGGGCTTCTCAATTTCGGCTGTGGAGATACAGCAGAGAGGGCAGGACTCCGAGTACGGCTCGCTTCTACTCGAGAAGATACCTGAGCAGGCTCTCACTCACCTGCGCATCTTGGCAGAGACCGTCACATCATACATCTCCGTAGGAGGGCAGAAGTACGCCGGCCAAAACCGAATTGACAGGGAGTTCAAGAAAGACAGCGAGAGGCAACACTTCCAGCTCTTCGTCCCGGATGGAGAGGACAACTTGGCTGCCCATCCGCCACTCTTGACACAAGACACGTTCATCTTCCTGTGTGAGAGCGTCTTCGGCTTTTCCGCAGCGAATGGCATCGATGTTTCTTACCTGTTGCGCGTATGCTATCTTGCAGAGATAGTCAAGGTTGTCTACCGCACCGCCAGGATCACTTTCCCCAACCACGAGTGGATGTCTGGCGAGGGCCTGGAGGATAGGAGTCTGATCAACTTCGCCGAATTCTGCAAGACCGTCTTCAACATGGACTTGGAGTATACGATACCCGATGATGCAAACCCTCCTCTCGACCATGGGTTCAACCAACCCTGCTTCCAGAGTCTTGCCGACTTTTACGCATTCACCAAGAAATACGCCCAAGTCTTTCTGCGGAAATGCGTGGTGTTGCTTTACGTCAAGTACGGCGTCGACTTCAATAGCCACATCTCACCTCAGCCAGAACAGGACGAGCTCGACCGTCTGACCGAGGCGCTCCGCCTGCCGGATTTCGACAGCATGTGCGCAGCTCTCACGCCGCTGGGCATCCATGTCGGGTGGCCGGGCTCCCTGTGTGACCAACTCGTTCGTGGCTGGATCCGACATGAAAAGGCACACTGCTGGGCACGGATAAAATCCAGAGATCTGGCCGCCCTAGACGTTGCAGACCGGGACCGCATGCTCAGCCACCCCGGCATATTCGAGCTCGTAGGTTTACCTATGAACTACGATACGCTCATAGAGGAGTGCACCAGGCGGCGGTGCCCGCGGACTGGCAAGGACATCTCTGATCCGATGATTTGTCTCTTGTGTGGTGACGTTTTCTGTGGCCAGAGCATCTGTTGCTCGGCAGAGGATACAACCACGACGCTTAGGCGGCAAGGTAGCAGGAGAAGGATCGGCGGGGCCCAGCAACACATGCGGAAGTAAGTGCTATCTATTGAAATGATTGACATTGTACATTTTGGGATCAGAAACTAACATGTTGCAACATCAGGTGCCAAGGAAATGTCGGGCTCTTCATCAACATCCGCAAGTGTGCAACCTTTTATCTGCACCGGCTTAGCGGGTCGTGGAGCAACGCGCCGTACATGGACAAGTACGGCGAGGCAGACATGGGACTCCGGCATAGCAGGCAGCTGTTCCTGTCGCAGAAGCGCTACGACTCGATGCTGAGGACCATGTGGCTCAGCCATGGTGTCCCGTCCTACATCTCGCGCAGGCTCGAGGCCGACATTAATAATGGCGGGTGGGAGACCATTTGACTAGATGGTAGTGAAGACTACTTTGAGGACGAGCTCGAGTTCGAGGACGAGTTCATGGAGGAGGAAGACGAGGACGAGGACCCAGACGAGAGAGACGATCAAGAATGGGCTCCCCGTCCTCCTCCTATCGCCACCCCTTTCCGTGGGCTCGACGCGTTGCTCGAAGTGATGCGCCAACCAATCCCTCCACCCCTGCCACCTGTCGAAGACATACGGGACACGGATGGCATTGCCCCCTGGGCCTTCGACGAGAACAATCTGCAGGCTACCGCCGGCCGTGCCCCGTGGGTCTTGGGCAATAACGAGGAGGATGAAGAGTATGACGAGTACGACTATGAGGATGACGATACGGGCTGGGAGCCGCCTGTGTTCGGCTGGGCGCCGGTGCCTGTTGACATCGACGCCCTTCTCGGTGGGTTGCGGAGCGTCTCAGATGACGATGATGATGATGTCGGACGGGATGGGTCGAGCGTTGAGGGAGATGACGATGAGGCGGGTGGTATCATCCCTGCCTCAGAGGGCGTCCCGTTTCCCTGGGGAGGTGGAGGTGGAGATTCAGGAGGAGATTCTGAGCCACCTCAGGACCAGCACCAAGATGGTGGCCATGATGATGTCGATTAACACGATCACTCGCTGCGAGGAGCGCAGTCGGGGTGACACATGCCTTTCGATGGGCACTATATCGAGCGGGCCTGGCGGCTCAACCGGCCAGCCAGCGCAAGTATTCAAGGAGGTTTTTGTGTTACAGGAGGTCTTTGTTGGTTTTATACACACGGGCGGTTTCTTTAAAGGATGATGGCACAGGCACAAAATGCACAGCGCCAGGCGTACGTTGATACAGCATGGATATTGTGACAAATAACCCCATCCCCTCTGATAGACAGCACAATCGATGGAGTTTCCTTTTGGGATTATTGGTTGATTGCTAAATGTTTCTTTATTGTGCGACAACCCCATACGCCTAGGAAGTGCTGCCTCGCAGGCTTGCATTCTTCTGACTCATCGACCGTGACAACGGGAATCCAACGCCTGCGCTATGCTTTTTTGCCTGCTGCCCTGCTGGTTTGCTATCCAAGTTTCCAGCATCTATTTCGTTCCTTGAAGGTAGGGAGGCCACCCAGTATGCGACGGTGCCTAGGTGTCACTTTGCTTGATACCCTCGTATCACGCAGGACCGAGAAATCTGCCCCCTACTCGCTCATCGGGACGTCGGCATCAGCCGCGGCCTCCGCCACCTCATCCTCATCTCCCAAGTCGTCGCGGCCGTGATCGTGCCCATTCTCACCGTTCACCCGATCAAACACAGCCTCGCGCTCCATCGTCTGGTCTGCCGCTGCATCATCCTCGCCATGTGGGTATGCCCCGTTAACGTCCCTACCCGCGCGACCCTGGTCGTCCTCGGGTTCCGGCTCCAGGTGCTTGTGGCGGTGGACCACGATCCGCTTGTCATAGCCGCAGGTGACCATGGTGCCCGAGGCGCTGTGGACGTCGACCCAGAAGCACACGCCGTCGTGAGCGCGCGGGATGCGCTGCACTATCTCCTTGGTGCGGACATCCCACATAACGACGTCGCCGTCCTCGCTCGCTGAGGCGACGAAGGGGACACCTTCATCGTATTCTTCCTCTTCGGCCTGCTCGTCTCCTGCCAGCTCCTCTCCGTTGGCTGCCTGCTCCTCCACTTCCCCGTCCAGCTGGCCAATGTGGCCGTTCTGCGTGGGAATTTGAGCAAGCCTAGGCTGTCGGCGTCGCACCACTCCAAAGCATCCGCCTATGGAGTAACCCTCGTTGACGTGACCCTGGTATGTCTTCTTCACAGCGCAGGGCATGTTGATGAAGTCCCACAGGCGGACGCACGAGTCGGTGTAGCTGGCCAGCACGAAGCGGCCGTTGGGCGAGAAGCAAACGGAGCTGGCGGAAGGATTGTCCTCGTGGACTAGGGTGCGGAGGCACTGGCCGGTGGCGGTATCCCAGATGCGTCTGTCAAATTGTGTTAGCGACATGCCCATGGAAGCGGGAGTTTAGAAGTTGGGGATGGGAGTGAGGATGGGGTCGGGAGCACTCACATCAACCCATCCGTGGAGCAACTCGCCACCAGCGTGCCATCCAGACAGAAGTCGATACCGCTCACTGGGTCGCTATGTGCCGGCAGGCTCCGCATAAGTCGCCCGGCGCGCACATCCCACAGGAAGACTGCCTCATCGTAGCTCCCGCTCGCAAGTATGTTGCCCTTGGGGCTGAATGCGAGACAATAAAGATAATTATGGTGGCCCAAAAGGGGTTTTCTTCCTCCGCTGCCCCTAACGCCCGCATCGCCAGTGCGCCCGCCGATGCCCCTAGCGCTCGTGCCGATCCTCCCAATGGCGGCGGCGGCGGCATTATCGTCGGCACCGCCAGCGTGGGCCGGGTCGCCGGTGGTCCTATTCCACAGGCGGATGGTCTTGTCGTCGGAACCGGTGGCGAGGGTCTCGCTGTCAGGGCTCCAGGCCAGGCACGACACGCCGGCCATGTGGCCGACGAAGGTGTCCATGTGGGCGCCCGTCGCGGCGTCCCAGATCATGGCGGTGCCGTCTGCGGAGGCAGAGGCGATCCACCTCCCGTCCGGGGAGATGCGCACCTGGGAGATCGGCTTCTCGTGGCCGCGCAGCTCGAGTGAGGGTTCGAAGTTTGGGCGTAGAGGCGGAAGCCTTTGCGACGGGCGGGAGGGCGTGGTGGACGTCGATCGGTGGGGAGTGCGGCGCGAGGAAGTGCGCGAGCGTGATCGCGATCGAGAACGTGATCTGGAGCGGGACCTTGAGCGGGAGTCTAGGCGCGACCGTGACCGTGACCGCGACCTTGACCTCGACCTCGACCTTGATTGCGATGCGGAGTCTGAGCGCGAGGCGGCCCTCGACCTGGAGCGTAATCGCGATCTTGAGGGCGGACTGTAGACGCGATCATGGCCACCTTTGCTCTCATTGTTGTCTGGATCTGTGCTTCGTGACCGGGCTTGGGGTCTGCCATGGCGTATTGAGAGGCTGCGGCGTTGGCTGTGTGGTGTGGCTGGCGATGGATCGCGAGTGCGTTCTGGTTCTGTCTCTTGCTCTGGCCCTGACTCTGGGGGGCTGTTCTCGGCACTGCCGTCGTTTCGCTTGCGCCGCTTGGAGGGCTGGGCAGAAGCCCTATCCTCGGGCTCAGGATCTGACATGATGATGTGATCTCTGTGCAGCCCCGAGGAATTGAAGCCTGAAGTGAACAGTGTATCTGAACTGGTGGAATTGAAGGCAGTTTGGTTTGCGACAAAATGGCACGCCCACCAGAAGCAGCAAGCAGGAGGCAGATCCCTAGCTGAGCGAGTCGTTGGCGGCAGGCAAAAAAAGACCGCTCCCAGGCGCTCCCACAGGGGTAGCCGCAGGACAGCTGCAGCATCCGGGATTATCAATGCAGCTAAGGCCAGGGGTTCGTTGGTGACGTCTTAAGCCTGAGCTTAATTGATCCCCTGCACCCGGCAGACCTCGTGAGGCAGGCAGTCGGCACCGGCTACTGCCCAAAATCCTGAGCGCGCGCGGTAAGACTGGAGATGATAATACCACGGTAGATGTTGACTGATCCGACCTCGACACAGAGACCTACCGACGCAGGCATTGCATGGTAAGGGCGGGGAAGAGCTCGTTATGGACAGCAGTTGGTTTCAACATCGACGCGAGAAATGCTTCCAAGCATCATAAGCCGCCTTTTGATACAAGCCTCTCGTTCTCTCGTTCTCCATCTGCCTCAGACTACCACCGATTCGAATCTAGTCCCGGATTGCCCATCGCATGGGTTACCTCTCAATCTCTCGCGTCTGCTCCCCTTTTCACCTGCAGCATAATACAATAAACATCGACACCACCAATGACAAATCTGGTCCGCCAATGATCCAATGATCCATCCCAGCCGGGCGTGACAGCCGTGACAGACAAGACACACGGACAGACAAGACAGACAAGACGGACAAGACGGACAAGACGGACAAGACGGACAAGACGGACAAGACGGACAAGACGGACAAGACGGACAAGACGGACAAGACGGACAAGACGGACAAGACGGACAAGACGGGATGAAATCGTGATGTGCGATGCCATGGTCATATAACTAACACGCGATCAACTCACCTCACCTCACCTCACCTCACCCCGCCTACTCTCACCACCTCACCGGGCTCTACTGTCTCTCTTTCTCTCTCTCTCTTCCCCACTCACCTGGCCCCAGCCCAGGCAGCTGGTGGGCCAGTCACTCGGTCATTCAATCTCATTATGGAGCACCCACACCCTCACCCGCCACCCCCAGAGGTCAACATCACCACCCTCAACTGCTGGGGCCTCAAGTTCAACATCTCCAAGCTCCGCCAGCCCCGGCTGCAAGAGATTGGCAGGCAGATTGTCCGCTCCACACCCGCGCCGGACATCCTCTGCCTGCAGGAGGTATGGGCCCAGGATGACTACCTCGCCATCCGCCGCGAGACCGCCGCCATCCTGCCCCACGGCAAGTTCTACCACAGCGGCGCTTTTGGCGGCGGCCTGGCCATCCTGTCGCGCTGGCCCATCGAGGAGTCGTCCATGGTGCCCTACGCCCTCAATGGCCGCCCCACTGCCTTCTGGCGCGGCGACTGGTACGTCGGCAAGGGCGTCGCCTGCGCCCGCCTGCGTTATGGGCCCGAACGGGGCGACGTCATTGAGGTCTTCAACACCCACACCCACGCGCCCTACGATACGGATCGCGGCGACTCGTACCGCGTTCACCGTGATGCCCAGGCCTGGCAGCTCGCCAAGCTGCTCCGCGGCGCCGCAGAGCGCGGCCACCTCGTCGTTGCCGCGGGGGACTTCAACATGATTCCGCTGTCCGCCGCGCATCGCATAATCACGGGCCGCGCCCCCGTGCGCGACGTCTGGCGCGTCCTCTACCCGGATTCCAGCCTGGGCTGCACGCAGGACGACGCCGAGAGGGCGAGGGGCAGGCCAATGCCCACGGCCGAGTTCAACCTCGTCGAGAACGGCGTCACCTCCAACAGCGTCTTCAACACGTGGCGGTGGCCCTCGTCCGAGCAGAAGAAGCTTGGCCACGGCCGGCCCATCATCGGCGTCGACCCGGCCCGCCCGGACCCGCGCGGAAAGAGGCTGGACTACGTCTTCGCGAGCACGGGCCCGCGCGAGCTCGAGGACGGCGCCGTCGGCGGCTGGGTCGTCAGGGACGCCCGCGTCGGCATGCTGGCGCGCCACCCGGACCTGGGCTGCAGCCTGTCGGACCACTTCTCGGTCGAGGCGACGCTATCCTTCCACACGACCACTCGCGACGCCGCCGAGGCCGCCAGCCTCAAGTGGCCGCTCCCACCCGGCGCAGCGTCGTCGCTATCGGCCTTCCGGACATCCACCCTTCCACCGCCACGTCATGCCCATCACGACCACCATAGTGGCCTCGACAACGCCGCCACCACCACCAAAGAGGATGCCGTAGAACCCACGGCCGGCTCCCCCGCCACCGCCGATGGCGGCAGCCCAGCCAACGGCGCCTTCCTGCAGCTGCAGACCCCGACCCCATCCTCAACACGCACCTCCTTCATCCAGCGGCCCCGCTCCCGCCAGTCAACCAACCCCTCACGCCGCCGCCGCAGCAGCGGACCACGACGCCCAGCTTCTGTCCTCCCTCGGGCCCTCACCAGCGGGTGGCGGCGGACCCGACGACCCCGCCTCACCGTTCCTCCCCTACCCAGCCCCCTTTGGCCAGCTCCCAGAGGACTTCGACGGCCTCCTAGCCGCCCTCGAGGCCTACCAGGCCCGCGAGGCCGCCCAGGCCTTTCACCGCGCCCTGCACTTCGGCTCCTGGGTGCTCGTCACCGTCGCCTGCTACGTCGCCGTGTGGTTCGTCCCCACCCACGGCGGCGGGCTCTCGCGGTCCCAAAGCCACGCCGTCAACTTCGTGCTCCTGCTCCTGAGCAGTCTTGGCCTCGTGGCCGGCTGCGTCGACGGGCTGATGGCCTTGTTGTTCTTCAGGGGCAGCGAGCAGAGGGCGCTCAAGGAGTACGAGTGGGAGCTGAGGAACGCCAGGGCGCTGGCTGGCGGAGGAGGCCAAGGGGTCGTCGAGGAGGTCGGCGGGCTCAAGTCATGAGTAACCAGTCCCACGGAAAGGATGCAGCTCCTCGACGCGGTGAAGTTAACCATATCGGACCCTATTCGCAAGGGTGGGTGTCCGTGTATATACGTTACCCCAGAAAGGGGGAAAATATTAATCTATTAATGTAGGCAAGAATTGAATGCGGTCTATTCATACTGCCCTCTAAAACCTGCCGCCTGCGTTTCTCCACTCCCGAGTTCCTGCCCATCTATTTATGTTAATCCTTATAATGTTTTCCTTTGCGTCCCTCCCACAGGACTGAACCAAGCAGTTCTGGAGAGGGGCAATCTCCATGACACGAGTACAAGCAAGAGGTCACCAACTTGAGCCAAGGCGACAACAAGCCCTTACCGCGCCTGCGTCCGTTAGTCTATGCTCATCCTCCCCGGATGAAATGCTCTTAATGGACCAAGATGCTCGAACCCGGGCGGGGGCTCCAGCCTTCCTCCACCATTTGGCCCTCCACTTATCGCCAGGTTCGATCCATTCCCTGTGGCTTTCCCTACGAGCTGCTCAATTGGCATGCCCATGCCCGTGCTTGCGGGGCTGCGACGCACCGACGAGGTCGTCGTCAACGTCTGTGTCTGTGCCTGTGTATGGGCCTGTATCCGCTTCCAGTCGTACCCTATAAAGGCCGTCTTCTTCCTCAGTTCCATGGCGAGCCGCTTTGTGGCAGGGTCGCGCAACAGACGATCGCGCGGGCGCTTCTTCTCCTTCTTCCCGTATATGCGCACCAGTGCCTTTAGTGTATCGCGCTCTGTTGCCCGCAGTCCGGGCTCAGCGTCGACCTGGATCTCGAAGTTGCGGAGGCGCAGACTGTCATAAGGGATGTTCAGCCAGGAACGCACTGCTGCCTGGATGCCGCAGTCAAAAGGCTGCAGCGTCTTGACGAGGAGAGCCTCGCGTTCCGCACGCTTGCTGGATGCGTTGGTCACTGTGGTGGCAGCGGCGGCGGTTTCAGCCGCCGCAAAGACTGGTGTGGCAGGAGCCTTCGGCGTTGCAGATGACTGGGCCTCTTCCCGCGCTGGGGAAGGCGGAGTAAAGTTTGGAGTCATTGGCAGATGGACATGATTGACAGTCGTGGCAGCCGATGAGCCCGGGTCTGGCACGGCCTCATGCACCTTCTGCCTGACGGCAGGTCTGCTAGCAGCCGCTCCATCCAGGCCGTTGATTGCGTTTCCGTCAACAACAAGTGCTGACTTCTCTAGCTGGGGCATTGTCTCATCTTCGTCTTCATCGTCACTGTCGGACAGGTCTGTTATGGGCTCCTCGTCGTCAAAGTACTGTGTGTCATCGGTCGATCGAAGCAACGGGACAAAGGGCGGGTCGAGTTCGTGAAGCCTCTCCCAAGGGACTCCTTTGAACCATTTGTGGGCCTTGATGTCCTCGGCATCGTATGGGAACACAAAACGGTCTGTGAAGGCCTGGTTGGCCCCACTGCCGCTGCTGCTCATGGATTGCGACTGTTGCTGCATATCCTTGTACTGGTAACGTTGGCTGCACAGACGAGTTACCGGTTCTTGGATGAGGCTAGCAATGAGGTGCTGGCAGCGGCCGGACACGAGCGGGCGTGAAGGAAATGCAAAAGTCGAGCGATGGTTCTGGGTGTTTTCTCAAGTCAGTTCGACTCTGACGTCCCTCAGGTGAACAACCGGTTCCCACTTACCAGAATGTTCTGCTTTGTATGTTGTCTCCCTTCATCAGTAAGGAACGGAGTATGGCCGTACAGACATTCGTACAGGATGACACCGATGCTCCACCAGTCGCAGCGGCCATCGTACGCGGCTCCTTGCACCACCTCTGGGGCCATGTATTGGCTGGTTCCCACGACTGACTTGGCCGACGTCCTCATCCCACATCGGTTTCGCCACTGCAACAGAGGCTCGCCGTCACCAAAACTCTTCTTTTCATGCTTGTTGAGGCTCATCATGATGTTCGAGCTCCATTTGACGTTGTGCGACAAGGTCTGAGCGTCCTGTTTGTCTTGTTCGTCGCCGTCGACCTTGAGGTTCAGTTTCTGGACGATGGAGTAACGACTGGCCTGGTAGTATGAAGAATCATGGGACCAGTGTCCGTTAAATGCCAGGCCAAAGTCTGATATCTTCAGGTGTCCCGACGCCGACACAAGAAAATTGTCGGGCTTGATGTCGCGGTGGATGCAGCGCAGTGCGTGAGCCTCTTCAACACAAATAATCATCTCGGCAATGTAGAAGCGTGCAACCGGCTCGCTTAGAATGTTCTCTCTGATGAGAAGGCCGAGGAAGTCTCCACCGGGCATGTAATCCATGACCAAGTAAAGATTGGAGGCGTCTTGGAAACTGGCAATCAGTGGTACGACCCTGGTGGGCTTGTCAGTAAAATGCTCTCACACGTTGTTGAGTTCCCCGGGACATACCATCTGGATCCCTCGGAGGCAACAAGGAAGTCTCTCTCGGCTCTGAGATGACCTTCTTGGCTTGTACGGAGCATGCCAGACTTGCGGATGACTTTCATTGCATATACCTTCCTACTGGGCTGGTTGTCCCCGGTCTTGAGCTTCTCTCGGACCAGCCTGACCACTCCGAAGCTGCCTTTCCCCAGAGCCTTGACGATCTGGTAGTCATTGCAGCATGAAGAAGCCGTACCTCTCCCTTCTGTGAGGGCTCTCAAGGTTCGAGCCTTCATGACCCGCGTCTCTCGCAGATGATCAGACTCATTGCGGTAGAATTGGCGTCTCAGTCTATTCTTCTCAGCTTCGGGGACTGCAGCACCCATATGCCAAAGTTCGCTGCCCAGCAAGCGCAGGCGCACCTCGCGTGGGTTGGGCTGAGCTAGGCGCTCATTGTAATAGGTCTCAAGGTAGATCTTGGCTGCGGCAGCCTTCTCAACAGTGGCGACCGTGGGCGTGATTTCGGTCTCGGCGTCCTTTTCCTCGATCGTGTCGAGGCTACCATTGGCAGTATCTGGTACAACCAATGAAGCATGTTGCTGTGATTTCCACCTGGCCAGGGGGCTTTTCTTCTCAGAGGAGTTGCTGGAAGACGCTTTGGACCCAACCGAGGTTTTGCCGGTGGATTCAGACTGTTTGACGGTATATATGCTCGAAGTAGGGCTCGACTTCGGGGATGAGCTTGATGACTCCATGTGGTGATCCTGGGGTGACAGCGGGAACTTCCCTGCAGCAGCCTCCTAAGCCTGAAGAGGAGGTCGTGCCTTGACCAAAGGCCGGCAGACTATTGTGGGCTCATTTGGAGCTCGTAAGATCGTCGATGCCATTTTTCGCAGTTTTCGTTCTGTTTTGGATGAGTCTTCGTCCACGTGTCCTGGCTTCGTGTCGCTTCGAGCCAGGGGACTATCGTTCACACAGCCCGAATTAGTCTGAACATCGACAGCCACGGACAATGTTGATGCTGGCAGAACCGATATCGCAGTCAGTTTTTGATGATGTCAGGAGACCACTATAGGACTGCAGACGGGAGCTCACCGTGGGTGCGACCAGCAAGCGACTTGAGGGCAGATAGCAACCTCGAACCTCCTCGACGTAGCTTGGACGGCGGTGCACAGGGTGTGCTGGTGTCGGTCCCTGTTCCCAGTCGACGAATTTGAGAAGCGCTCGAAGAAAAGGAAGTCCGGGAGACGATGATGGACCTCGGAGGACTATTGTTCTGCGAATGGCTTCGCTTCATCTCGACGAGTTCAGGTCCGTGGGGGCTGCAAGGTGAACAACAGTCATGCCATATATAATCGAATACGCCAACAAAAGAAACTGGCTAGAAGAATAGAAATGGAAGGGTCCCAAAGATCATTCGCCTCTAGCAAAAGAGCGAGTGGAGAAGGATGTCCAGAAAATAGGTGAGAGAGAGGACGGCGGATGCCGGAGAGCCGGGAGAAGTTGTATGTCTCTGGCGCTGCATTGGCCTCGTGTTTTGGTTGCGCCTACCGGATCAAGACGTGTTGGTGGACAACGCAGTAAAGGTACCGAGGCAGGAACTGATCTCACTTTCCATGGCCATCGTGACTGCTGGTTCTGGTTTCAATGGCTTCTGTGCATAGCAATGCTGATACCCGTGAGGACTGTTCAACGGGCATGGCAGACTGGGCGCAAGGATATACATTCGCGTAGTTTCAATCAGAATTTGTATTTGACAAGCTAATTTGAATTATTGGCACTTTAAAATCTGGAGCGCAATCAAGCAATACTAGAAGAGAGAAGACACGCAACAAACCCCATCAAGAACCCTTGTGTCTTTTTGTACGCCACCCAATGCAATGCAGACCTCGTCATCCCTTCCGGAAACATCTGCTACCCGTGTCCAGGGTGGACCGGATCCTCGCAAGACTGTCTGTAGGTCAGAAGACTCCGTTGCTGGTAAATCGACCGCCGCAACCTAGGAAACCTCATTAATCTCCGCGGTCGGCCAGCATGAAGGCCGACCAGCCCCAACGAGCCTGGCCTGTTGTGCTGATAGTATGTAGGACAGGGTCCTGAGCGCATCTTCATGGGCTATACAGATACCGCCATTTTGAATCACAAGTAGGAGCCACCTCTGCCCTAACAGCTTACTTGATCTCGAGAAGCTTGACATCAAAGGTCAAGGTGCTGTTGGGAGGGATGCCTGGCACACCCTTGCTGCCGTAGGCATGATGAGCGGGAATGGTCAGTCGGCGCTCGCCACCGACGGCCATGCCAGCAACACCGATGTCCCATCCCTTGATGACCTCGCCCTTTCCGAGCTTGAAGGAGAATGGCGCCCCCTTCTTGTTTGCTGTGTCACTATGTCAGCACCTATGCCCTGCGGCTTGCACATTTACAGGGCGCATGACTTACAGTCGAAGACCTTGCCGTTATCGAGCTTGCCAATGTAACGCATGCCGACCTTATCACCGCTCTTGGCAGTCCGACCGGCACCGACCTTGCGGTCATCGATCTTCACACCCTGGACGACCTCAACGCCGCCAGTGGGAGTCGCCTTCTTGCCTTTCTCAGCAGGGGAGCCAGTGGGGCCTTGCTCCAGGTTCTTGGCGAACTGGACCTTCTTCTCCGACTTTGGTGTGTCCTTCTCGGCGGCGACAGCCTTGCCCTCGTTGTTCTTGAGCTTCTTGGCTTGCTTCTTGCTGAGCTTGGCGTCCTCCTTGCCCTCCTTGGCGATCAACTCGTCCAGGCCCTCGGCGGCATCCTCGGCAGCGCGCTTGTTCTTACCCTTCTTCGTCTCGACCAGCTTGGGCACCTCCTCCTCATCAGTGTCTATCTCCTCGACACGGCCGGCGCCATCGATGTCATCCAGCTCATCCTCGGACTCGTCGCCGACGAGCTCATCGAGCTCGGGGGGCAGGTCGTACTCATCGTCGTCGGAGTCCTCGTCCTCGCTGTCGGAGGCCTGGTCCTCGTTGATAACGTAGTTACCCGTGACGTAGATGGTATGGGTACCGGAGTTGACGAAGAATGCCTTCTCCTCCTCGCCGATAGTGAGCTCCAGGGGCTGCTGGTAGTGCTGTGGAGTTGTTAGCGGTAGCCGACCGTATGCGCAGCGTCAATACTCACAGCCTCCGTGTCAAGAGTGCAAACAACGAACTGCTCAAGGTCAAGGCCGGCAAGCTCATCGTCCTCATCGTCTTCGTCGTCGTCCTCGGACTCCTCCTCCTCCTCCTCCTCCTCCTCAACAGCCTTAGCCTTGCCCTTCGTGTTGGCAGCCTTGGGGGCGGCCTTCTTGCCCTTCTTCTTGCCCGAGGCGGCATCAGCCATCTCCTCATCAGAGTCCTCCTCGTCCTTGGTGGCATCCAGCAGCTCCTTGAGAGCTGCGGCCTGGCGGGCCTTCTTGGACTTTGAGGGGTCGCTGGGGCCGCCGTTGGTCTCCTCATCGTCATCCTCGGAGTCGTCCTCATCGTCGTCGCCTCCACCCAGGAGCAGATCGCGCAGATACTCGTCGTCCTCATCAGACTCGCCGTCGAGGTCGCCAATCGACTGCTTGACAAGCTTCAGGGTAGACCGGGGCCGACGGGGAACCTCGGCGTCTTCCTCAACCTCTTCTGTGGGGTCAATGGCTGCCATGGTGATACGGACCTGCCCTTGTCAGCGATCCCGTCGCCGGAGGCGGAATGTGTTCGCGAAAAGCGATTGAACAAGCTAGAGACCATCGCTTGATGTTGCCTGGCTCTTGGAGCAATTGCGGATTGTAGGATTAATACAAGGAGTACTCACAGTGGCAGGGAAGGACTGGCTGACGGGGACCAGAATGTCTCCTGGAGGGACCTCAAGCCCGAAGAGGGCGACCGGCTGCAGGGGAGACATGGTGGACAGAGGGGTCTAACGATGTGGCTGGGGGTTTTGGGAGAAAGATCTTCGAACTGCCCATGCAAAAAAGACAGACTGAATAGACAAGGAAGATGCGCAGCTGAGTGATGCCGAGCAGAAGTTGGGAAAATGGAAGGTGAGGGCGAAAATTTGCTTGCGCTTCAACGAGTAGAGGAAACAGGATGGAAACTGAACTCGGACCCTTGAGAAGAAAGAACCGGCCTCGAGATTTTTTGAAAAAGTTTGGATCCACCGATAGACGATAAGCGGCGCATCTGCAGGGCCATGGACCAATCACCGGAGCTAAAGTGGACCAAAGTGGAGACATGCAACGCTCATGGCGGGCGCTAGCACTTACACCGGGCAACTGGGCAACAGCAGGCAGAGGCAGGGGCAGAGGCTGGTCTAGGCTGGGCTGGGCTTGGGTAGCAGGCAGGCAGGCAGGAGGCAGGCAAGGGTACGCAATGCCTACTCTAGTTGGGAGGGGGTCATTGTTGCTGTGAACGACTTCTCTCTCTCAAGCTCTGGAGAATCACAGCATAGTGCTCCCCACGAGACCAGCCCTGTTCATCACGTCAGGCAACCCACGGCGTCATCAGCACCATAAATGGTGGCTTGAATTGGGGGCGGTGGCATCCAGCTATTGCAGCCACCTCCTCACTCAGCAATGACTAGCTTTAACCTCACTGCAGAGGATGTCTTTCTGATCCCAAGTTGACGATGAGACAACCTACCGGCGTCGTCCAGCAGACATTCCTCTGACACTCACAAGCCTCACTCGGTCTTGCACGTTGGCTACATGATATCAGGAGACCTGGACCCGGTGCCCAATCCATCTACGATGATGGGACAACTGACTCTGTGGCACTTAGCCAGCTCTGTTCGACGCCTCGCAAGAAGATCCACCCTGGCTGTTCCATAGTCCCCGTTGGGTTTCCTGGTGTTTCTCAAGCGAAGTTGATGGGCAGTCGGTCAGGAACCCCCTGAACCAGAAATATGTGTTCAGACAGAAAGCCATGGTCCTGATGACAGAGTTGTCGTTATCAGGCTAGGAATAACGGAAAGTTTAGGTGTGCTGCTTCCCCTCCCCTCATCCTGAAGCCATACCGTTTTGTTCTCGATGAGGACGACTGGCCAGACATGCCCAAGCATCCTGTCAAAGAGATTGGCCCTGTCCGGCTGTCTGGAAGAGCCTGTGGGGTAACACCATTACGGGAAGCAATCCCGCACATCTCCCGCGGCCTTGTCTCACGGCTTCACCTCGCTCTGGGCAACAACATCCCGCCGAAAGCTTGCCGTGGAGGGCAGCGGGAGCGTGCCCGCTTTCGGCAGCATCTTCCGTGCCCATGTCGAAGCCCACCGACTATTCCACCTGCCTCATCGGCTGTATAGCCGAATGTCGAGCTCGGAGCTGGCAGGCCGAGGCGCATACAGTCACCAGCGCGTGGTGCGGGCGTCTTCGGCCCTTTGCTGCAGTTGCCGAGGGTCGAGCTCAAGTTGACAACCGATCTTCATGACCCTTTTTACGCCGGTCCGACTGCTTCACCTCGATGATATGAGGAAGTTCACAAGCAAATTGACGGCGAGGTCTCGGGGTGACTGGGGCACGTGGCCACCACCCAGCCGGTTGGATTTCGGCCGTTTCTGCTGTACCTGCAGCTCGCTACCTGATATGTCATCATGGACTTGCCTTTCCACATACCCCCACAACACCCGTCTCGTCACCATTCCTTGCCGCTAGCGAGCGACAACACCTTTCAATCGTGACTCCGGGGAACTAAGACGGCGGGACCATGTAAGCCCTGACTAGGGAGTTGGGGTAATTGAGTTGTCATCTTCACCCCCCTCCGCCTCCATAACTCACATAGGCGTTTCATGAGACACTCCCAGCTGACCACCTTGCAGCCACTTACACCAGCCTTCCATTCGTGATTCGCTCCAGCAACACGTTCTTCCTGGGTCGGCCCGTTAACGATTCTTGTCCTTGCCCGTCTTTCGCTCTCTACCGCTCATTCTTGCCAATCACGCCTTCAGACACCCAACTCTATCCGCATCCGTTCTTCTCCAACCTGCCGAATATGGGCTAAAGTGGTCATCGGCGAGATGCGCTCTTCTCCTGTCCGCCACCCACTTGGGGGTCACTTGCGGCTTCACGTCGCTAAGACCGCGTGCGGCGCCGGGGTTAACCACGCGGCTTCTTGTTCCGGAAGAAAACGGTCTTGCACATGTAATTCTCCAGGGCGTTGCAAGAATGGTGGCATGAGAGGAGGAGTCAGGGTCCGCCCGAGTGAGTGGTCACAAGAGCGAATGTGTTCCAGTGAATGAGAACTATTTTATTTTTGATCTCACCCCAAGTTCGGTCTCGACGATTTTGTGATATAAAACGGCTCAAGGCCAGCGGGTGACTGAATTTCAGGAGCTGTGTTGGTATCCAAAGCTGCGAGATACACAGATCGTGCCCTTCTCTTCATTCCAAGCCTCCTCTGTCCAGTATTTCACCATGGTTCTCGGATCTCTTCTCCCCCTCCTCGTAGCAGCTGCCTTTGTTGCGCCAGCCACGTCCCTCACGCCCGCAGGATGGAGAGCCCAGAGCATTTACCAGGTCATGACTGACCGGTTTGCTCGAACGGATTTGTCGACCACTGCATCTTGTGATTCCTCCAAAGGAGTCTACTGTGGTGGCACATGGAAGGGTTTGATCAGCAAGTTGGATTACATCCAGGGGATGGGCTTCACAGCAATATGGATTTCGCCCTTTGTCGAGCAGATATCTGGTGACACTACCGACGGCTCGTCGTACCATGTGAGAAAACATCGATGACTGGCCCTTCCAATTAATTCCATCTCGCTCGGTCTCCAGAAGAAGAAGACGAAGATCGAAGCCTGGAGTACCTGCGTTTTTCCTGTCAGAGGAAGGTTGGCTGACGATGAATGCTTCAGGGCTACTGGGCACAGGACATGTACGCAGTCAACTCAGCCTTCGGCACATCTGATGACCTCGTCTCGCTTTCTGCTGCTCTCCACAGTCGGGGAATGTACCTGATGTTGGACGTCGTCACAAATCACTACGCGTGGAACGGTTGCAGTAGCTGTGTTGACTACAGCACCTACGAGCCCTTCAACTCCAAGTCATATTTCCACGACCCATGCTCCATCGACTACAATAATCAGACCTCGATCCAGGTATGCTGGCAAGGCAGTGAAGTCGTGTCACTCCCTGACCTGCGCACTGAGGACAGCTACGTCAGGGACACCCTCAATAGTTGGATCAAGGATGTCGTGGCCACCTACAAGATCGATGGAATTCGGCTTGATAGCGCCAAGCATGTCGACAATACCCACTTGTCCAGCTTTGAGGACGCATCCGGTGTCTACATCGTTGGCGAAGTGTTCAATGGTGACCCATCCTATGTCATGCCTTACCAGCAGTACATCAGTGGATTGGTAAACTACCCTGCGTTCTACTGGATCACCCGAGCCTTTTCATCGACCTCCGGCAGCATATCAGACCTAGCCAATGGCATCAATACCATGAAGAGTCAGGCAGCCGATCTGAGCCTGTACGGCTCATTCCTGGAGAACCACGACAATGCCCGCTTCCCCTCCCTCACCAGCGACATGAGCCTCGCCAAGAGCGCGATCGCATTCACGATGCTCATGGATGGCATCCCGATCATATATGAGGGCCAAGAGCAACACTACCGTGGCGGCGATACCCCCAACAACAGGGAGGCCATCTGGCTGTCTGGCTACTCCACCTCTTCAGAGCTGTACAAGTGGATCACCGATCTGAACGCCATTCGCAAGCTGGCCATCTCAAAGGACTCATCATACCTGGACTACTCGGCCTGGCCAATCTACACGGACACCCACACCATCGGCATGCGCAAGGGGAGCACCGGAAGCCAGGTCGTCGGCGTGTACAGCAACGTCGGCTCGGGCTCGAGTACGACAGTGACGCTCACGGGTGCGAACACGGGTTTCACTTCTGGCCAGGCGCTGACGGACGTGATGAGCTGCACTTCTTTCACCGCCGGTTCGAGCGGGAACCTGGCCGTGACCATTAGCGGCGGTGTTCCGAGGGTGTTCTACCCTACCGCACAGCTCAGTGGGAGTGGCATCTGTGGTGAGTAAAATTCCATACTTTCACAAGCAAAAAGGAAGGAGGGTGTGGGGAAAAGGAGGAAAAGATTAAAAGCCGGGCGAGGGGAAGAGATCAATTTACTAGGTTCATCCCTATGGGGAGGAACTTTGCATCTTTCACATGCATGTCAATGCTTGCAAATGAAAAGAATGGAGGAAGTAGAAAGCCCTGAAGGCATTTTCTAAACCAGGCCAGGAGGAGGATCAGCCACGCCGACCGCCACGACAACCGCACCGGGATGTACCGCCACGTCTGTCCCCGTCACCTTCAACGAGCTCGTGACAACCTCCTACGGGACGACGATCAAGTTGTAAGCACTTTTCCCCCTGCCCCCACTCAGGAAGTCACGTTGCTGTCTCGTGACGTCCCATCCGCCCGCACGTGTCCACGCACGCGCCGGGTTGGTGGTTCTTAGCTCGGACTGCGGTGGCCGAGCAGAAAGAGCCGAAGACTGACGCGATGCCACCTCGCCCACACTTGCAGATCCGGCGACGTCGCAGCCCTAGGGAGCTGGGACACCAGCAAAGCTGTCGCGCTAGGCGCCTCCAAGTACACCGCCAGCAGCCCGCTGTGGGATGTCACCGTCAACCTCGCGCCGGGAAGCGTGGCCAAGTACAAGTTCATCAAGGTCGCTGGGTCGACTGTCACCTGGGAGGCTGACCCGAATCACACCCTGACTGTGCCCTGCTCTGCTACTACCGTGGCGTCAAGCTGGCAGACTTAAGCCTGACAGGCTTGAGCTGATTCGGTATTTACGGAAAGGGGTTTGGCTTTGTGATTGATGTGGTGGTACATAGTTCTCTTCTGGGTCGTTTCCTCATGGACATGTGAAAAGCCAACTATGCCGATAGGCGATGAAGATGTTCAATAGAAGCCATATATCACTTCACAACATTCTGCTGAAGCTCAATTCTCTGGTCAATTCTGCCATTGCGCATCAAGGGACCAGGCTGCTAAGGCTCAAGTTCCGAGGGAGCTGCTCGCCAGTCACCAGCAGCCTCGTCAGCCACCAGGTCGCTCCCATTTAGACGACGAAAACCGCCAATTTTTACAGCCCAGTAGCCCAGCCGTCAAGCAGCTAGACTCACATTCACAAAAATGCTAACCAGATCACAGAGCTGTGTGTTCGACCGGAAGGTCAAGTAACCCAAAGTCCATGTTAGTTACTCCTGAGGGAGCATGGCCAGCCCCAACGAGGCAACCCTTCGGTTGCCAACCAAGGCTGCTACCAGTCATTGCTGCACCCCAGTGGCAAGAGACATCTCCAGCAGAGTAAGTATAAACGCCCCCGCCTCCCCCCCCCCCCAAACACACTCACACACACACATCACACACAAATCTGCTTGACGACTGGACTCTGGGTGATGCTGCTACTCGGTGATGACTCCTGCTTCGTGCACACCCTCATGGGTTGCGCAATAGGACACCTCTATTTTTTTAATCAATCTTTTTCCCTGATACTTTACTTCTGTGCACTTGTAGAGTTTCAACTGAGATCTGTCACAAGATGAGCCTTGAACCCTGCGTGAGTTGTAGATGTGCTTGTGTCCTTAGTTAAGTCTCAAGTGAGTGTGCGCTTGAGTAAATTGGCTGTGTGAGGAAGTGTGATGAGTGCCCAAGATGAGTTTGGAGCTTCTCGGAGGTTAATTCAAAGGCTTGAGTGGAGGAGACGCGAGTGTGCTGTCATGATGGAGGGCACAGCTTGCAGAACCAGACACCGTCAGACCCAGGCTATCACAGAGCCACGACCAATAACGCTTCATCAGTAATAACGTGAGCATGGAGTTTCCTTGCCCGAGAGCAATCTCAGTGACTTATGTGTCTTGCTCAGGCCTCGCTATCTCTTCTCTCTCCCCATCCACTCGCGGAAAGCTGCCAGTGTCTCTCCCTTTTAAACAACGTAAAGCTGCCGTTTCCACAACCCAGTAGCCCAGTCGTCTAGCTGATCAAACCAATTCTGACAATGCTAACCCGATCGCAGAGCCGTGTGTTCGAAACTCTAGTCAATCCAAAAAAAAAGTTCGACACCCCAGTCAATCCCAAAGTTCAATTTCCGGTGAAGTAAGTATGACCCCTTCCTCCCTCCTACACACATATCTGCTTGACGATTGGGCTCTGGTTGCTGCTTGTTTCGTGAAAATTGTTACCTTGATCTTCAATCAAGGATTAGTGGTGCTCTTTTTTGCCCCCTCCCTTTTGCCTATAAGCTGATATGCCTGCTTCTAAAACGGAAACGAGTGTGACCCAAGAGTCTGCCGTTTGAGAAAGCCTGTGCCCAGTGGGATTTGGCCTCGTGTTTGAAGACATTTTGCCTACTTGTGTGAACGATGAGAGTAGAACATGGGGAGAATGAGAGCGGCTGTTGCTCAAAGCATGATCTGGCTCAGTCTATTGAATCTTTCATCTACATTTTGCCATGTGCTGAAGTTTCAGTCGAGCACATATCATCTTCATCTAGCCTTCAGCTCAGGCCTCGCCGTCTTTCTCTCCCTCCACTTCCAAAGACCGACCAGCGTTGCCCCAGGTCCAACGGCAGCACAACCGGCGACGAGCCAGCCTATCCGTTTCAACGTCGAGCCCTCGATAAGTCCCACCCGCTTCATCTCCATAAGATTGACCACACACAGTACGATCGTCGCCGCAACAGTCAAGAGGAGGTCGTACTTGATGAAAATGCTCACGCCCTCCACGATGCTACCCACTGGTCCCACGGTCTGGCCAGGCAGAAAGATGCCAGCGACGGACAGCCTGACGACCCAAACGACAGCGAGCATGACCACAGCATGCGTACTGGCGGCCACGAAGAAGACAGCACCGTAAAGCCTGTTCAGGTTCGCGACGTCCAGCCCAGCATAATCCTCCAAGGGCCTCCGCTTGCCACCACTCGCCGACCCTCCCAGAGACTTCGCGATCCCCTCGGCCAGCCACGACGTCAATACAGGCGTGACCTGCCAGAATGCGATGATCTGCTGGGTGTACTCTTGGACTCCAGCAGACACCATCGGCGCGGCCATCAACGCCGACGGGGCGAGGAATCCCAGGGCCAGGGCGGGAAGGGCCGCCCTGCTAAAGCGCTCGGGGACGAAGCGCTCAGCGGGCATCCAGTAGGCCGTCTGCGAGGAGCTGAAGAAGAATGCGAGGACGTAGAAGGGCATGATGAGGCCGAGGCCGAAGAGTTGCGCCAGGGTGAGCCAGATGCTGGGGCTGTGGGTGCAAGGAAACGCAATTGTTAGCATGCCTTCTATGAGGGTGTTTGTTGTTCAGCTGGGGCCACTGTGGGAGAGTGACTTACCTCCAGATCAGCGACCAGACATTCCTCTTCCTGCTACCCTCGACCAGTATCACGGCGATGATGGGCAGAAATACAGACACGAGGAAGTAGCCGGCGTGCAGCTTCCTCTCGAGGCTCGTCACGTTCGTCACGTCTTCCGCGACAAGCGGCAGGAACACGGCGACCAGCGTCGTCAGCAGCTCGCCGAGCCCGGAGAATATGCCTGCGGTCCCGAACGGGTCCTTCAGGTCGACCATGCCCTTCCCCGGCACCTCGACGCTCCTCTGCCAGACCGCTTCGTCCACGAGCCTGAAGGTCCCGTTCGCAAGGGACGTGTACAGCAGCAGCTGCACCCCCAACAGGCCCAGGCCAACGAGCGCCGCGGTGGTGACCAGGCTCACGAACGCCGTCCTTGGCCCGGGCGCCCGGAGTAGCTCGTCCTCGTACGGCAGCGCACGGAGGGCCGGTCGGGCAGCGAGCCACGCCGGCATCGCCGCACCCTTCGCCGGCGGCGGTACTCCCTCCTTCCTTGCGGCGGCGACGTCGAGGCCGGGCGCGCCAGGGTATGCCTCGGACAGCAGCCGCAGCGCGGACCGCGATCCCTGGGCTGGATGGAAGTACATGTTCATGAAGCGCAGCCACGGTGACTCCATGGCGAAGCGGCGCTGAGTCTGCGTCGAGGCGTCGACCAGCGCTTTCGCGCGAGGCCGGCGGGACTCCTGGGTTTTGGCGAAGGCGGACTCGATCTCAGCTCGGGATGGATTGGGAGATGACTTCAAGAGGGCGATGAGGTTGTTTGTGAGCACGGCGGTCGTCTCCAGTGCGCTCATGCCCCCGAGCCCGACTATGGGGTTGAACTGGTACCAGTCAGTCTTGGGATACTTGCTAGTCGCTGAAGCGGTCGGGTGAGGATCTATAACCTTGTGCACTGCGTCACCGACGACCAGGCACCGCCTTTCGTACCACTCATCCAGCACGCCCTCATGCAGCGGTGTGCTCACGCTCGCGATCCGCCGCTCGTACAGGTCCGAGAACTTCACCGTATCCGTGACAGCATCAGAGCCATGGACCCTCGCAGTCTCGGCCTCTTCCTTTTCGCCGTAGGGAGGTAGTGCGTCGCCATAATACGTATCGCCAAGGTTGTGGAACAGGCACCAGTACGTGCGGTCGTTGGGCCCCGAGGAGGCGAAGAGCGACGACGAGTAGTTGGTGACATGGTGCATGGCGTCCTCAGCAATGCCGGGCACTCTGTCCGAGATGCCGAAGAGGCATCTGTACTGGACGGGGAATTCTGGGGAGCTCGTTAGCAGTGGGCGAAACACACTGTTTACATAACATGGTGCTTGGATTTTTAGGCGCTCCCTTGGCCGTACATCGATACTAGGAAGCCTAAGCTAATTGCACGTAGGTACTTTCGAAGGAAAAGAACAGGCCGTAGAGCATGAAGCATATTTCCACACGGTAAGTATTGGGCAGCTTTCGAAATTAATGGACACATCACTTCAAGCAGACAAGGCGCCCCACAGAGGACAGGCCGCAGCATAGAGAGCATCATCAGAGCTACCAGAGAAGTACGAAAAGCATATTTACCTTTCTTGGAACTTCCGCTCAGCTGCAACATCTGCCGGCCTACAGTGCTGCGGATGCCGTCCGCCCCGATGAGGATACTCCCCCGGTGGACAGAGCCGTCCTGGCACTCGACAGACACGCTGTGCTCGTCCATCTCGAAGCCGACGACCCGCCGGGACGTCAGGACCTTGTCCTTCTGGCGGATGTGCTTGTGCAGCACATCGATGACCATCCTCCTCTCGAGGAAGATCATGGGGTACCCATGGCTAAGGGCCGTCCCCAAACAAATCCACCCAGTCAGCCTCAGGAGCCACGGGAGCACATCGTATGTGTGTCTGTGTGCGCGCGTGTGGAAAGGAAACAAAGGAAACATAAGAGAGCCACCAACCGCTGCACCAGGTGCTCCTCCAAGTTCTCAATGTGGATCAACTTCGCGCCGCCGGCGTCGCGGATTATGAAGTTGTCGGTGGAGCAGCCGAGCAGCGCGGCGACGTCGGCGTAGCAGCCCAGCTGGTCCAGCACCCGCGCGCCGCTCGGCAGCACGGCGATGCTGGCACCGACCTGGGGCGCGACGGACGGGTGCGCCTCGAGCACCACGAAGTCGACGCCGGCCCGCTCCAGCGCCAGCGCCAGGCTGAGCCCCGCGATGCTGGCCCCCGCGATCACCACGCGGAAGTCGCTATCGCCAGCCATCATGCTCGGGGTGTGAAGTTTTTAGGGGGTCAGTTTCCTGTCGGACGAACGTACGGCCTGTGCGTTGCGTTTGGGGGCAGAGGAAGGCTGGCTGGTGGGGGAGGATGTTGGTCGTGATAACAAGGTTTAGGGGGTTGTTGGCTCTAGTTCCGAGGCCAGCAAGCATGTGCGCGGCGAGGTTGCAGCGGATGGATACAGATAACTATGGGGACCAACGTTTCAGTGGCCCGCTTGTGCGTAGACCTCACCTGTATCGCGGCTTCTGCGTTCGGGTGTGATTGCGAATCTTCTGCGCACCCAATTATCTCGGTGTTTTGAGTATCTCATCATCCTGCCCCAAAATTCGGTGTTTCAATACCTCAGTCGTCGGACTGGGGTGAAGAAGCAGCAAAAGGGACGGCACTTACACCACGAGCACACTTACACCTCTGATTAACCTGACCTACACAAGATGCAATATTTGAATAAATCGAAAACTGGGTATTTTTCATGAACTCATAACTAAACGGTACGGTTCCGCAAGAATTGACCACCTCAAAAACGGACCCCAGAAAGTTAAAAATCGCAGCATAAACGCCTGGGTCTCCCTAGCACATGTCCCCAAATCTCCCTACCCCTTGCGCACCTTGTCGAAACGCCTCAGGCAAGGGAAAATGCAGTCTTCGCACTGTTCCAGTACGTCAGGCGTTCGGGCTGGGAACCCGTGCTGACTCCCACGCAGCTCATGTACGCCTGGAACCAGTCGTCCGGCTTGCCGCTGGTGGCGGCGTGGGCGGTCTCGCACTGGGTCGCGTAGAACCAGGGGCCCGTGCCGAAGTTGTACTCGTCGGCCGTGACCAGGTCGAGCACGGTGGACTCGGTGGGGCTCTTGGCCGCCAGCTCGGGGATGCTGTTGGCGTACTGGACGTTGTAGTTGCCCATCTGCCTGTTTGGGTTGAAGATACTTGGTCAGCACGGTGTCAAAAAGTAAGTGATTGGGGAGAGAGCAAATCCCGAAAGAGAGAGTCGAATAGCTCGACTTACATGTTGCTAGTGCCTTGCCCGGCGGCGGCGTTGTTGAGGTTCTTCTTGTACTGCATCTCCAGGGACTCGTACGCTATGAGGGACAGGATGCCCGCCTGCTCCATGGGTGCGGTGGTGTTGTACTTGGTCATGGCCTGGACGAGGTGGGAGGCGGCCTGGGTGGCGGTGCGGCACTCGTCGCCTCGACCGTCGCACGAGCTGGACTTGGGCATGATGTCCAACAGGACTTGGGTGGCCTCGCGCTTGCCCAGGGCCTTGCTGGGCGTGGTGGCGGTCGGGAGAGCCAGGGCTGCACCTGCGAAGGTGAGCAGAGTGGTGAGGTGCTGGAATTGCATTTTGTCGTTGTTGTGATGTGATAATGTTGTTGTTGGTGGAGTATGTTCAGATGGAGAGAATGGTCTCTTGGATGCTGCGGGGATGTTCGAGACAGACAATATAACAACACTCTGTTGCTATATGCTAGCGGCACGAGTGACTAAGAAGAGGCACTCAAGTTTATGGACAATGAGGGACGGAAGATGCTTTGTACAATGCCGGTTGTCGTTCAATGTCAACGGCGGGCGACAAAGTGAATGAGATTGTAAGTGCTCGGCCAGGAGCAGCAGACAAGACAAGCAACAGCGGGCACAGCGCCTCAAAGGAAAGAATGTGGACGGTTGGGAGAGAGAGGCGAGGCAACACACGGTGCTGATGGAGTTTCCGAGGCTTGCTAGGGATCCGATGATGAGAAAAGAGTGAGTGAGAGGATCGTGAGCATCACTGGATCGAACAAACCTGTGGCTCACTCGAGCCTTTTCAACAAATTCCGTCCGTCCCTCCTTCCACCTAGACGATCTCCCTCCCCTGAGTACCCAAACAGGCCCGAACCGGGCGAGCTGGCTGGCAGAAGCAGACCACCACCGTCGTTGTATCCCTGGTCCCCGTCGGGCCTCACGGGACAAGCAAGCTTTCTGTCAAAGGGTGGCGATCACCACCCCAGGTGCCGGCAGATCCATTGGCGTTGAGCCAACAATGACCCCTGGTCCGTCACTTGTGGATTCTACGGTGTTGGTGGGATAGGCCCCGGCCAGCCACAGTAACCCCAAGGGACGAACCGAGCTGGGGGGGGCAGGGGCTGCAGGGAGTCCCCACCGCCAAGGAGACAACTTTGTTTCCCGTTGTGGGCCAATCAGCGCCGCGGACCTGGGGTGGAACCTAGGCCGGCGAAACGGGCCTAAGAGTGCCTGAGCCGGTGTGCATTACGTTCGAAACAAACCAGCTCAGGGGGAGCCGCCAGTCTGCGAAGGGGCGGGCATCAGCAGATCGATTGGCTGCCTCGCCGCCATATAGGAATCAAACACAGTCAGCACGAAATACGGGGTTCCCAGCCGGCACAGCGGTTCACGGGATCTCACATTGAAAATCGCATGTTCTGTCTCTGTCTGCCGCACTCTGGCCGAGGGCGGTTTTGGAGGGAAACAGCCTCTTTGCCCCTGAGCTCGACCCGCCCTCCAGCCGACACGAGGCGGGCGTTCATATATCCATGGCCAGGCTGAGGAGGCGGGCCTGGATGGTGACTCAGGAAGCTCGAATGCCTCTTTATTAAGAGGTGACGAGCAGTGGACTGAAAGGTCTGATTCATAGCCTCGCTGGATCGCTCACATCAGCCCCTGACAGGTGGAGAACAGACCAAAAATACGACATCATGCAGAGAGGCATCCTGACTGACACTTCGTAATGACTGAACCACGTGCAATATCTGTAGTAGACCTTGCTATTCCTGCTAACTAAATAGCTCACCTAGCAAGAGATACAGAGAGAGGGAGAGAGATGGGTATTTTGGTTTTGTACAATCCTGCCAGTTACCTTGCCCTCGCTATCGACTTTTGTGTCGTGGGAGCACATGTGCTCGGAGGCCTTGTACCCAGCCATAATGCAAAGGGCGCGGCCCAGATTCCATTGCTTCAATCAACAACCAGCCAACACCTCGCCCTCAGCCGACCAAATCATGCCAAAACGACCGAGGCAACCAAGTGACCTGCATGCGGTCGTTCGTACTCAAGCACACATATCTCCTATTTCGAGCTGCTCCCAGGCGTGCTGAACGAGAACCCGTCCCCGCTGCCGGGTGAGGGACCGCTCCGACCCTGGCCCATGTTGCTCGTATCGCCCCCAAAGAACGTCTGAAACTGGTTCTCAGTTCCCCAATTGGTGTTTTCCGTATAATTTTGCAGTGCATCCTGTGGGAATGTAATGTGTCAGTCTCTGTCATCGCCATATTTGGGAACCCCCATCGCCATGGGATCCAAAACTTACCCAGTCGAAATTCTGCCCTATGTCCATGCCGTTGCCGAACATGGACGAAAAGGGCGACCCGGGGTTCAGTCCCAGATCACCCGAGAAGTCGGGTGTCATGCCTGTCCCCTCGCCAACCGGGGGTACCGACAGGTCCATTCCTGGGTATGTCGTCCCCCCGGGGCTCTGTATGGCGCCCCCAAAGGCAGCCGCCGTATCGGGCGTCAGCCCGCCAGAGGACATCATGCCCAGGGTCATGGCCGCCGACTGCTCCGGCTCCAGACTGGCACCGCCTACGTTGGAAAACAGGTCGTCCTTTGTCGGGGCCGGGGCCTGTTGGGGAACGGCCGACGGCGCGTTGCTGGGCTGGCTTTCCGGCCCGGGGCTCTTGGTCTGATCAAGCATAATCTTGATGATGTTGTAGGCCTTGACTGCCTCCATCGACCCATCCGTCATGCCCTCCCATATGTCTCGCGTCGTTTCGAGACTGCGCACCATCTCTAGGCGCTGCTCCGGAGTCCAGAAATTCGCCGAGAGCGAGTCTTGTCGCCACCGGCCGGCGCCATCCGTCTGCTTGTCAAAATGCAAGTCGAGAATCACCAGCATTGTGGGCAGGAGGAACTCCTTTGTCGCTATTGATGCAACAAACCATTTGATCGCCCGCAGCCGACCATTGGGTTGTGACTCCCGGTGCAGGCTGATCAGGTGCCGTAGCATCTCCAGCGACGCCTCTATAGCACTTCGCCTGGAGTGCGCGTATCTGGGGTTGTGCCTCGAACGTGCCAGGTATTTCCGATGCAAAAGACATACTATCTTCAGGTACAAGATATCGACGTTGAACCTCGCGACGATCATGGTGAGAGGGTCGTTACACCCCTCCAGAGGCTGCATCTTCAGATGCGGAGGGATCTCGTCTCTGAGTTCCCGCAGCCTGGCGTCAAACCTCAGGATGTCGTCGTATGCTGCCTGCTTCCCAACCCGGTTTGTCACCTGCAGTATGTTCCCCAGCTCCAGGCAGAGCTTGACCTTGACAATCATGTAGCTGACAGGGGTCGGCTCACTGCTTGGCCGAGATGGTGGAAGTACTTTGGTGTCTGGGCCAAATTCTTCGTCAAAGATGTTATGTGGCAATTGCGTATCACAGTCCTGATCGTAGATCATACTCGGAAGAGAAACCTGATGTGAAAAGACAACATCAGACATTCTCACCAGAGCCCATGTTCGCCTTCTCATTTCCTGTCACGCGCGGTGTTAGTTTGGCTGCTAATGCCGAGGAAATATGTTCCACTTACAGCTTGGAATGGTGTGAGCGATGGAAACCATTTGGCGTCTCTGTGGAAACCCATTCGAAATGCCACGCGGGTCACCAAGGAGCAAATAAGCCACAGTGACAGGTCCGCGTCCCACCTCGACGAGAATTCCCCGAAGACATAGAGAAGCATGGTCTCCACAGTGTACTCGCTCGGTTTGGTGTAGTCCGCGGTGATGAGGCACTGCACGGTCCGCAACCGATATTCAGCGGCCAGCTCAAGAGTCCTGCCTTTCCACTCAGGCGGCTCATCCCCGACCTTGTGATAGCTCAACATTGCCAGGCACAGGATGGAATACAGCAAGCCTAGCCACATGAGCGGCGTCTTGCTCGGGTCCTGCCAGTGCGCGCGCAGCTGCTGGTGGAAGGTAGGGGCATGGATGATGTTGACCGCATTGTCCATGGAATTGAAGTACCGAGCACAGAGTGTCAATACCGCCGATTTGGGAGGCAATTCTGCCCTCAGTTCGACGTCCGTCGCTGGGGCAGCACCCATCAAAAATGTTGGCCCGTTCCGAGCGTACGCCGGTTTGCTCAGGAGCACCTTCTCATAGCTCTTCTCGAGATCCTTCTTGTGGTTGTTGAAGTAATTCTTGACCTCGGAGATGTCGGCAAGAATGGTGTGCCAGTGTTCCTGCCCAATGTACATAGACTTTCCCCTGTCGGGGTCCACCTTGAGCACACCGAGGGAGTTGGCCAGCCCGTCATCGATATCACTGTCCTCCTCTTCATCGTCTCTCATTTCTCCGTCATCCTGGCCGACCCCTGCAGACGAAGAATTGGGGGTTGCTGAGTTGCCGCCGGGCCCTGATGATTTCGTACTGCTGCTGCTGGCTGTGACGGCCCCGGCGGCCGCTGCGGCTTCTGAGGAGATGGTGGCGCCGCCATGCATCAGGGACAAGACCAAGCCTTCCAGCCGGTCAATGCGGTTCTGCATGTCGTCAGGGCCATTGCCCTGCTGGTTCTGGTTCCTCTTGCGGTTGGAGGGAGTCGCATAGGAGCAAGCCAGAGTGTCGACACCTTCCCGCTTCACGCAGTTGCTGCATGGGTGAGTCCGGTCGCATTTCAGCTTCCTGGACCGACATGGATAGCAGCTCAGCGGCACTCTGTTCCGTTTGCGCACAACCCGGTGTTGGTCGGGGGAGCGCGGCCCTGAGGAGGGCGTGTTCGAAGGTGGTGTGGGCGTCATCATCGGGCTTGGTTGCCAAATGTTCAGACTAAGGACGGGGTGCTGGCAGCTGACCTCGAGGTGCAGTGGACAGCCGGCTTCCCAAGTAATGCGTATCCCAGCGTCTTTGATGTTGACCGTGCGGCCCCAGAAGGGGAATGGAAACAGATACGCTTGGGGGTCGAAGACCCAGGCCTGGGCTTTGAGTGAGACAAACAGATGGCGCGGCGGCGTCAGCCTGCAGAGGATTGATTATGCGCCTCGCAATCCTAGCAATCAATCGCAATCAGCACGGGCGTTGTCGCGGGGTAAGCGGGTGGGTTGGAGCAAGGGCAAAGGGCGCGCAGGGCAGAAACTGAAGCACCGGAGCAATTGGCTTGCGCGCCAGGCCAGACAAGAGAACGAGCAGAAAGTTGGAGCCCGAACAAGTCCCGGCGCAAGAGCGATGGGAAATCCGCGCAAGTATAGCAAGTCGCAGTAGTAGAGGATGTCGCAGGAGGGCCAGAAGTGCGCGAGTGCGGCGGATGTTCGAACGGTCGTCGCGAAAGAAACGGTCCCTGCGCAGGCCAGCCGAGCTGAAGAGGGCAGAAGGATCAGAGCCCGGGCAAGGAGCGCAGAGATCAATGCGGTCGACGGCGGGATTATATGCGGCGCCGTCCCACAGCAGGATCACAAGAGTGGAGTGGTGTATTAGCAGAGAAAGGGCGTAGCGCCAGAACGGGCATGCAGCTGCCGCGATGCAACGACGTCGACCCAGACAGAGACGTGGGCTGCTTGTGAGCTGTGCGATCATTGATTGAATGATACCAAGCAGATGGTCTAGAAGTGCTGGGGGAGCCCCGTCATGCGCCGGCGTTAACGGACTTAAGGCATCCCCAGGTGCTCCAGTGTGCAGCATCGCGCTGCTTCAAATCGATGCTTGCCTGCTCCCTTGCTGACCCCCTTTCCCCATTTATCCCCCAGCGAGCAAAGCAACCTTGGTCGATCTCTTCGAAACCAACCGCACCAACTTTCGTCGTCTGGTGACGGCCGCCATCCTCGAAGCACCAACGTCCCAAGACGAGGTCTTGGTTGGGACAGTGAATCCACTGGCCTCGGCGGGGTACTCAACACTTTCCTTCAAGGCCGCCTCTGAGGAAACAATTCGCGAGGATAAGGATTAGACCGCTTGTCGCACGGATAGATATTCCTCTTTCAAAGCGACGGCCGGTCGGCAGGCAGGCAGGCAGGCAGCGTGTGCTGACGACGACAAGCTCGTTGGCGTCTCGACAACCTGGCATGCGCTACGGCCGACCATCAAATGCTAGACCGACGAATCTGCTCACCTCCTCACAGGCTGAACCCAGCAATGGCCTCGCCGTCTAGGCCGTGTCTGGGCTATCTACATTAATAAAGTATTCATGTAACCTCCCACCGCTGATCTTCTCGCCGGTGACTCATACTGATCGTGTCACTGAAATACGCGTATTATTGCAGGACAGGGAATTTGGACATCTGGGTCTCAGGCTCTCCAACATTTTGTCAGCAGCCTTGACTGCATTTTCGGTCCTACTTCGACCCACCACTGCAGCACAGCCTTTTGCATCGAGCTGCCCTCTCCTGACCCCTGCTGTCCTCATCGTCGGAAGATTCCCTCATCGCCAGAAGATCGAGATTGGCCAGCGGCGGTCCTCGAGAGTCCCCTCAATCCACAAACTGGGATTGGCGACATCCAATTCTCGCTATCGTACAGCCACCATCGAGTCATGGCCCGCGGGGCACCGGCTGTCTTGGCCGGTTCCAACCGCACGCCCGTTTTTGCCCAGCGTCCGGAGTCCCACAGCGGGCCCGCCCGCTCATACACGTGCTGCGACTCTTGCCGTACTAAGCTTGAAGTGCCGTCTGCCCTCCGCAGTCTCCACCTTTCGGCCCCGATGAGCTTCGGCCCCGCCTTGGCTCGCCTGCTGTCAGTTTCTTGAGGTTGCTATAGAAAGATGGCTCCAGACAACGGCAGTGTGCCTGATATCTTCTCTCACGTGCCTCCTACACTCATGGTCAACGATCGTACGGTATGTGCCTTGACTACTCGCGATCTGTGCGGTTAGTCGGGTGCTGCTCTCTGAGCTTGCTCTCTGAGCTTGCTCTCTGAGCTTGCTCTCATCAACACCACTGAAGCATCCGGGACCATCAAGAGGCATGGCCTTTAGAATACCAAGTCAAGAGAGCTGCGCCACTATTGTTATGGAACTTTCATGTTTTCCAAAAGAGCATTGTTCAAGAGTCGTAGAGCATGGCTAAGTGAACAGCAGAGGGTTTGACAACACCGAATCACAGGAGGCTTCTAAGCTTGGCTGATGCTTGCCACAAGTGTGGCCGTTTTTACAAGGCCTCCACTCGAGTATCAAATGCTTTCTATAAAAGTCACCGGGGAGCCTACATATGGTGTTGCGCTTCATTCAACTCATTGGGATCAAACGTGCCTATTCTTCGGCCGAGGCGATCTGTTGACTCTAATGGCGACAATGTTAAAGGTCTGTGTTCAGCCTTTCCGTGGTAAAACATCAGACGGCAGACACTCGCAGCCAGTTCGTCTCAGAACATGTTGTCCAACTGCCTTGTCCGACCTGGGACTGTCCAAGCCGGGAAGAAGCAACCGAGCCATCCCGGAGAAACTCTTGCTCCACGCACAGCATTAGTGATCCTAGAGCTTCATCGCCTACTGATCTGCTTGATCACCACATAATAGTTGCAGCAAAGGAAACGGGTGTCCTTTCCCCCTCCCCACAAAGACATGGTGTGTGGTTGTCTTGCCCGAATAATTGGACCCCCAACACAGATTATTCTGCAGGACATCGTCCTGTAATGCATTCTCCTATCGGACATTCTCACCAGCCACGTGCAGCTTGCCCCTTCGTTCTGGAGAAGGCAAGGCAATCATCTGTTGTCCTTGGCTGGCTGTACAACTCAAATCTCAGGTAATCAATGTCTCTTAGACGCGTCCTGACTCAGTTGAGGTTGCTGCCCGCGGTGGTCTGTTACTAACAATCCCAAGTTAGAGAGTTGAACAAAAGGCTAACGGCCGAACTTCCGAAAAGGTTTTGCACTCTACCTATCGAAGGCATGCCATATTGAGGGTAAAGCGTCAAAGATGTCTGGCACAGGCTATTGTAGGCCACTTCTGTCCTCATCATCCGAGCTCCTTGACATCTTATGCCTCACCCCTTCAGGTTATGCTTACCCCTTGTAGAGATGGGACGAGATATCACATTTACGAAGGACCTCGGGGCAACCACCATCGCTTGGAATGGTGAGTGCCTGCCCTGATGACTTGCGTCTAATGGCATTATCTTTATCCACCAATGCCTCTGTCACGATTTGATCCGTTTTCACTTGACAAAGTGTGTGTATTTGGTCCAAAACCTTGTCCACATTTAACATGAAATAAGTTGCAAACTCAGCCATAGCACACGCTACAGTTTCCACTCCAGCCTCACGTCGTGTTGCCACAGCCACTCCAGATTGTGGGACTGACATTTCAGTGACAGAATATTGTTGTGAGATCACTGAAGAGATACGAGAGAAACAACCGGCATATCCATAAGGTACGTGCTTTGCTTCATTCTTTCGGTAAGGCAACGCACGGATTGCCTGAGCCTGGCCGGGTAGGCACAATCACGGTGATCTGGGGAAACCCGCAGAGGCAAGAAACAAACGCCGGAAACGAATAGTGTTTGTTTCAGTCGAAGACCTCGAAAGATAACTGCCGCATGATCCCATTGCGTTTTGTCTTCCGTCTGAAGTGGCATGGTGCCCAGAAGGGGGTGAACGCCCCGTGAAACACAGTGATAGAAGCTTGACATGCTCGGTGTCGACTGTTTGACACGCGAGTCTGACACGGTACTCGAGGTGGCGAAACTAAACAAATGGCCAAAATTAACCCGCTGCGACAGCTTCTCCATCAAAAGGCACACCGAAGCCCATGTTGGTGTCATTGAGACGGAGATCACTAATAATAGTGGACAATACCAAGGATGTACCGAGAGCATACAACCTGACGGATACCGTGAACAACACATCCCCGTGGGGTTGAGAACTACTCATTTATGCATTCCTTGTGTGGCAGAATATTCCCAGAAACAAGTCAAACATTTCGAATTTCATCCAAGGCAACATGATTTTCGGTAAACCTACGAGCAATCCAGAGAAACCCGACGTCCGGGCCCTGAGCGCGGTTCAACCCCGATGACAGATGCCACGGCGTTTTACCGATCATGGCCTGTAGGGGATTTCTACTCTCAGGAAGCTCAAGGTTCCGAACCTGCGCCTGTGAGCTTGGGTGCGAAGGGATGACGAGCCCTCCCCATCCAGAATTCCTCCCAGAGGGCCAAGGCGAGGCCGAAGGCGCCGAACGCTAAGCTTCTGGCCTTGTGCGATCTACAGCGACATGCGACAGGCCGTGGCGCCTAGCCACGAACCTTACAGGCCCGAACAAGCCTTGTGCTGATAACATTCCACGTCGCGTGCTCCAGCAATGCACGGCCCGGGCAGTCTTGAAAAGCATATGCCCGGGCATTTCCTAACCCCCCGGCCTCCATCCTACCATAGCCCAGGTTCGTGCGCCAAAGGTTCAGAGTCGCATCTTGGCATCGAGCCGCACACCATGGATCAAGCTCCGAGAGCTGGATGTGACGGCCGCAGCTGTCAGCCCGCGGGAACATATGTATCCGTTGTCCCCCTGAGCGGCAGCATAATATGACCGCCCAATGTCAGGAAGTCGTGGTGCTATACTTCCCCCGCTGCCCAGCTAACATCTTCCTATTGATACCAAAGTCGTACATGCACAAAGGTTTGGAACGCACGACAAGATGTGCATCCAAGAAACGAGACTACACGCAATCTGCAACCACCAGGTTGTGGACCGCATCGAGTGCTCTGACAAGTGCGCACACTTCGACACCATCGAGATCCAACTCAGCACGTACTGCCAGTCCTGCCGCCAGCAGGTCGACAACACAGCCATCCTGAACTCAGTACTGCGGTGGAAACTAGGCCCTTGCCCAGCCAGGCGCAGGAAGATACGACCAGCTAAGACAAATGTCCTCGACGGCTCCCCAGCGCCGGCTTCGGGCACGGCGAAGTCGTCGCCCCGGCCACCAAGGAAGCTGTCCGGCGCAAAGTCCCTGAGTGCCCTCAGGGAGGCCGCCTCCGCGCCGCCCACGAGGGAACTACCCCCTACTCCAAAGAGACTACACGGCTCGGCATCCGTAGAAAACCTCAGGGTCTCGCTGGACAACCTGAGGCTCGCGTCTCCCGCGGACGACAAGACACCTGTGCCACGATACTCGTTGGACGTGAAGCCAGCGCCTCCGACCCTCCCATTGCGGCGGAGAGCAAGCGAGGCCTTCGAGTACGCTGCGGGAGGCAATGGGCAGCCGGCGCTCGCCCGCGCTCACACCGTCCCGAAGAGCAAGGCCCGGCCTGCTGTCCCCCAGAGGGTGAGTCGGTCATAGCTATCACGTCCTGTCGAGGAGGACCCCGAAAGCTAACAGAAACCTATAACCAACAGCCCGCCCCTCGCACGCCCACCTACAGCTTCAGCCCTAGGGCAGAAGAACTCAAGTCCCCGAGGCCACATTTGAAGCAAGTTTCGGAGGAACCAAGGCCCATGTCCGCACTGGTGGCAAGGGACACCGACACCGACACCACAATGAGTACTAGGCCCAGCAACGCCACGACCACAAGCACCATGACCGCGGCCACCACAACCAGGCCCAGCACCAGCACAAGCACCAGCACAGTCGACACACGGAAGTCCGCCCTGGTGCATCAGACTCCCTCATACCCACCGCCACCGCCGCCACAGCAACAGCAACAGCAACAGCAAGTAACCCAGCAACCCCCAGCCGTGAGCTCCTCCGTGCCAAGGTCCCTCTGGTCCCTCCGGCGCAGCAGGTCGTCGGCGCGGATCCTCGCCCTCGCCAGCACCCGGGAGTACGTGCACGCCAAGCTGTGCGGCAGCAGTGGCCTGCCGTCCCCCTCGGCGCCGGGCAAGAACCTCTTCCCCGCGCCGCAGCAGCAGAAGAAGAAGCCGATCGACATCCACGACCCGGAGTGGCTGGCTCGGCACGGCCTCAAGTGGGACGCGCGCGGGCTGGGGCTGGTCAGTGCCGCGGTGTGAGGGCGCGGCTGCCGGCCTTGAGTGTGTTGGGCTTTGGTGTGTATACTAAGTATACGTAGGCACCTATGTCTGTATTTGCGTCCTGGGAAAGGCAAGGCAGGGGAAGGGGTAAGGCTGCGAAGACTGGCCTGATGTGCGACTATAACGATGGTCGGTGGGAAAGGGGGTGGGGGGAAGGGGAAGGGGGGCGTTGGTCTTGGGAGTCTTGGGAATCCGAGTCAGTCGCTGATCGGCGCCGCATAAATCTTGCCCGCCGTGATGATCTCCTTGAGCGGCGCGGGTGTCTTGTAAAGGCACCTAATGAGTGTAATGAACATATATGCTCGACCGATCACCGTGAAAGTCTCGTTGTCTGCAATGTCCGCGCGAGGCATGGCGCCTCACCAACCCCTCAAGCTCTCGTCTGAGCACGATAGCCTCGGTAGTTGACGGCACCGAGGGCGCCGAGGACGCTGTGATGAGCAAGTGATCGAAACCTCGGCGTGTGTTATCTGACTCGTTGTTAGCATGCTCATCAGCAGACTAGACAAGCGTGATACTTTCAGTCAGATGCTACTGCCACAGACCTGTACACCGCCACACATGGGGATTACACACAATCAGTGCGTGGCGGTCATAATGTGGTGCTGACGAGCCCATAACCGTTGAGCACACCTCTGAATCAATTCCTCTAATCTTGGAAGCATCTTTGCTGAGTTGGTTGTCGAGGCTGGCAAACCCGTAGTTCAAAGGAGGTAGACGTGGTCCCAGCACAGTGTTCGCGCTATCAGCGCGAATGGAAATTTCGACCTCAACCGCCTCCAAGATAAAATACTTTTATTGCCTGAACAAAAATCGCTAGAACAAGAAGAAAAGAGATGAGATCTACTCCTTTGGTAAGAGCTCCTTGGGTACACCCCCTCTCAAAGGCGAGGAACCGCTCCCTACCACCGTGGTCCTATCGCCATCAAGGTCGGGATCATATTCCCCTTCCGCTGGGCTTTTGGCCTTCTTGCCTTCTTTGCTGGACTTCACGTCAGCCTCGTCCTCCAGGGGGATCGAGCCGCTGCGCCGGCGGGGCGTGCGAGGTTCATCGTCGTCCTCACTTCCAGGCTCAGCGATCCTTTCGTACGTGCCACCTGACGCCCCGGAGCCCTCGTGGCCCTCGTCGTCTTCCTTGCCTGCCGGCTTCTTGATGAAGGAGTCGATAATGTAATACTGCATCGCGTTCATGATGAGGGGGAAGAGCATCATCACGAACACGATCTGGACCCTCTCGTTCCCCTCAGTCCAGCCCAGTGCCCAGTCTCCGACGCGGGAGATCCACGGCAGCATCAGGAAGATGATGAGGACGCAGAGCTTCATGCCGAACAGACCGCAGAAGTAGATGACCGACTGCTTGAGCCACCACCACGCGTTGGGTGGATTTCCGTAGTTGCCTGACTGGATCGACTCTCGTGGTTGGCCGAGGGGCGTGTACGAGACGAGACCGGTGAACACGCGCAGGAGGAGGATAAGTATGGGGATGCCGAGTGTTGTCTGATATGATCGGTTAGATGACTGATATATCCTGAAAGGAAGTGTAGACGGGCATGTCTGCCTTGAGCCGACTTACATCAATAGCAAGATTCAACAGATAGAACGAGCACGGATTCGGCGTATAGCCCTCGTCAGGTGCTCCACCGTCTTGCCCGTCCCGCCGTACAAGGCTTCGCACCACCATCATCGACACGGCCCGCACCGTCGCAGCGGACGTCGGCTCGACCTTGATGGAGAAGCGTCCGCTCGTGAGCATCGACATGAACACGTTGGCGACGTGCACCAGGACCGACCCGAACACTTGCTTCGACGCATCAAAGAACCAGATCTTCAGAGGCCTCTGCGGCCTCTCCCGCCACCTCTTGTACACCAGGGACATTAGGGCGAGACCGCCGAGCGCCAGCTGCACGAAGAGCGCAAAGGGCCCCAGCAGGCGGCACTCGCCCTGGTCGTCGCCACCGTTCCCGCCGGCTGCCATCATCGCTGTTGGTGTGGATGCAATGCTCGTCGTAGTCGTCGTCTGTGTCATGCTGTCGATAGAATCGACGCCCACCGGGGTGGGTAATGGGGCATTCGGCGCTGTGGCTATGGCGAATGCGGCGGATGAGGTGAGGTGTTGGCGATCAACGAACTCGCGGACGACGTGGTTGATCGCGGCGTGCGCCAGTGCGGCCATATGAGCTGAGTGCAGTGCAAGGTTATGGTGTGCCACCAGCCGTGGAGATTGGGGAGTTGAGGCGTGAGGTCGGTGCCTTGTGACTCCGCACGTCTCTAGGCCTGCAGAATGTCGACGTCAGGGGCAGTGCTAAAACAGATGCGGGAAAGGCAGATCTGCAGGTGGTCTAAGCCGTGTGCCGTGTCCCTTTGGGGTCGTAAGTTCAGCCAGTCGAGGTAGACCAAGTGATGATGTGAAGCGTCCAGTAAAACTCGCCCGCGGAGATGTTGTAGTTGATTGGAATATACAGTGAAATAGAAACGAAAACGAAACGACGGCACGGAAGCGTGGAATGCTGCAGCTGTGTTGGTTAAGAGGAAGGGTGGACAAATTGCCTGGCCACAAGTCACAGGCCCAAGGAGGAGTAGGAGTGGTACAGTCAAGGCTCAAGGAGAGGCAATGCTGTTCCTAGGCACGGCGCGTGAGGCGGAGGTGCCTCCAGGTGCCCCCCAAGGCTCGAGGTGGCCGGCTGTGAAATCCTTGGGCCGGGTCCTTGCCGAATCATGAAACGTCATTGACCTAGGAGGTCGCATCCTCTTGGCCAAAAGAGGGTCTGGGGCTGCAGGCACTTCGCTAAGCTTAACTTCGACACAGCACAGGTTGCGAGCACAAAATGGGGGTCCGTCAGGCCCCGAACGTCCGCCAACTCAGTGCGCTATTGCTCGGCACAGGCAGTGCAATTTCGCGGGTTAAAGCACACATCTCGGCTCCTCACCGCTGAGTCTGCCGCGCTGGCAGCCTGGCGGGCCTAGCTCCAATAATTGCTAGCGGCTCTCCGGGTCGCCTGTTGCTCAGACCAACCCTTAATGTAGCATTCCGAGGCAGGCGGCATGGCCTCATTCATCACAGTCCACATACAATCACAACCCCCTCGGATGCTGCATAGGCAAGTCCGAGCTGTCACGCGGTACACTGGCAGTCTCGCATGCTTTATGCGAGCACATGCAAGTTGATTAGTCAATCAGTCAGTAGCACAGCACTACGGAGCCACAGCTGGCACAACATCATATCATTAGAGAGGAGTCATCGTGATCTCAATTGTGGACTTCAGTCCAGGTATCCGTCACGGCATAACACAGCTCGGCCCAGTGATAAGCTCGATAACCTTCACGAAAAAAGAAATGAGAATCGTCCCAACGGCGGGTGCCTTGATAATGAAATACGCGCTGCAGCCGCCCACGCGTAGAGAATGAGGGCGGAATCCTTAAGAGGCCAATCTGATGCCGAGACAACGAAGCAACGCCCTATCGTTCACAATGAAAGTAGACTCCCCATACCAGGATCCTGGAGTCATCCGTCGCATGTAAAATTCAAGTTTGCCGAGCAAGACCAGCGCGTGTGTGTCCACACTAGTAATATGCTTTCCCAGCTTTCCCAACGTGGTTGAATGCCGCCTCGAAATTTCGTTCGTGTGGCGGCCGTGATCAAGCGCATTCGGGGACGGTCGGGAGGAGACCACGGACGAAGCCGGAGAATGAATTCCTAGATCCTCCAGTCTTCATAGGGGTCGGTCTGCTCTTCTTGGGAATCGGTCGCGGGGCCGATCTGGGAGGGGTGGAGGTCTTCGAAGACGAGGTTTTCGAAGCGGAAGACGGGCCTGCAGGACGTCGTGGTTGCAGGTGCTTGTCCCGAGGCCCGTCAAATTGTCAATCGATGCCGTGCTGCTTCTTGAGCTGCGCTAAATTCTCCTTGCGTGCCTCGAGGTCCTCTTTTGACTTGGCCATCTTCTCTGGCTGGTGGTATAGTACTGCCGGACTGGGTTAGTGGGAAAGGATCTGAACCCGGAGGGACGGCGATGATAGGTAGACTCACCGACAAGATAACGGCCCTGGAAGTTGAAGCCGTTCAACTTGTCGCACGCCTGCTTCGCATCCATGACGTCTTCATAGACAACGAAAGCAGTGCCCTTTGTGTTGCTTGCAATGCCTTGGCGGACCTGGCTGCAGGGGACATCAGCATGTCGAGGCCGATATCAGATCGGAGGTGTCACGTACCGAATGGGCCCGTACTTGCCGAAGAGCTCGAAGAGCTCCTCCGGTGTCACGTTGTAGCTAAGGGGACCTGTCAGCATCAATGTATTCAGATAAGAGGACGGGGAGGGGGTATTGATAACGAACCTTAGATTCTTGACGAACAAAGCTCTAGACATGAAGTTTGAGTCAGCAAGGCTCCTCGAGTCCAAAGGGAGATGTCGCGTTGGGACCAGATAGGCCAAGGCGCAAGGCAGCGAGGTCTCGTGTGGCCTGCAGGTACGGAGTGGACGATGGGTGGTGGTGACACGGAGCAAGCCATAGGCGGCGGGCATACGTGACCGGTTGGACTACAGACAGGGTGCTGGGCCAAGGGAGATAGATCTAGGCTACGTACCGATTTACCTCCGGAGCAAGTTTACCGGCGCGACTCATATCTTGATGGCCGTGTTCGCTGGTACCTTCACAATCGAATGACCGTAGGCAGATGTATGTGGTGGTTGGGATGGTGATGGGGTGGACGAACGTCGAATGGGGGAAGTCCAGAGGCACGGGTGTGGTCGGAGGAAGGTTGCGAGGCGAAAGGTCGTCTTGGAAGTTGGACGCGGACGGCCGCCCCCCCCCCCCATCCCCACTTCTCAGGCAGCACGTGCTCCCAATTGGTACCTGGGTACCGCTATCTGGCCCGCCCGCCGGCGGCGCCTGCTTAACACCGCTTCGCATTCCGACCGTGTGGACAACGGCTGGAACTTGACCGTTAATCAAGGTACGGTGACTAACGAAGTACTTCTCCTTTTCTGTCTACAAATCTGCCTGTGGCTCACAGAGCCCTCCAAACTCACGATACCTACGCGCTTACTCATCTTCCACGCATAATGCCAGGCGACCTGTCAGTCCTGATCCGAGCCATGACGTGTAAACGTGGAGACCAAGGGTTAGGGGACGTCTCCTCTTTCATGCAAAGGCGCCATGCGTGATCAGGCACCGCGATGAGAGCAGCACTGTTGCCTGCCGGCACGTCCCCTAGCGGTTCGTCAAAGTAAACAAGCATCTTGTGATGGCGGATCGTAAACAACAAAGAATGCCAAATGTAAAAGAGATGGATGAAGACGGCCTGAAGTCGCTCTATCATCATCAACTGACCCCTTTCGGTAGGTTTCACGTCGACTGCTTGCTTATTGGGCGAGAAAATCCGTCGCCGCTTCGCAGGGTTATTAGCTGAGCCTGCATGTGCTAATGATTAACCCGCTTACCGTGCTGTACTGTCACCTCAATTCCCTAGTAGCTCTCCTCCCACCCCCTTGACTTGACATCCTACACTCTGTACATAACATCACTCTCGTTTTCGCCTCACCTAATATCCGGTGACATTGGATATCGTGCCCGCAACTTGCAGCCCCTCTTTACACACTCGAGCCTGTCTCTCAAGGGCCATCGCTCTCTCCGCCGAGTGGCAGCGTCTGGGCGTGAATTATCGGCGCTTAGCCCGCCAGCTGAGAATCAGCAGACCCGGACGTCGCCATGCCTTCGCTCACTCAGCCTCTGTCGAAGAAGAGGCGGCACGATGACTTCGACGCCAACGCCGAGTACCATATATTGTATGAGCAACTATACGGCAAACCGCCCGCTGCGTCCCTCGCTGACAAGCTCAACCTCAGCCCGCAGGACCTCCACCACGACATCTACGCCCAGCGCCATGGCCCACCACCCAAGAAGATCATCTCGCTCTCCAGCCCGCGGGCTAAGAAGCTGCGGATGATGGCAGAGCAGCAAGACAGCGACGAACAAACACCATACTCGGTCCACACACTCCAACAAACAAACCCGAAGCCGACCCCCCTCGCACCATCGTCACGGCACAACCACGCCAGGTCGCCATCTGCCAGCAAGCTGGGCCCCAGGACAACGATCACCACCAACGTACTCGCGCCGTGCCACATCTGCCACCGGAAACCCACGAAAAAGACCGAGCTCGACTCGTACGCCGACTGCCAGGGCTGCGGCGAGAGGACCTGCTACGTCTGCATGCGGGAATGTCTGGGGTGGGCCACGACGCCGCGGGACAGGCGCGGTCCCAGCGACGAGGAGGAGGAGGTACTGATGCGGGACGAGGAGACCAACAGCGAACATGAGCAAGGGGGAGCAAATGACACAGGCAACGACCACTCGTTCAACATGGAGGACGCGCCGCCAGAGGACGCACACCTCGACCACGACAGCCCACGAGCCGACCACAGGATAAGGGAGGGGACATGGGTCAAGGAAGGGGGCACGGGCCATCGAGGGAGGATCTGCAGCCGGTGCTGTGTAGAGGAGGGCGTGGAAGGCGAGGTCACCTGCCTGGGCTGTCTCGCGGCCTAGGATTTACGACATGACACAGTAGCTCGACTGGCGGGCATCTGGTCGCCTGGACCTTTCCCGGTCCTCAGTCTGAGCCGGGCCTGATCACCGCTCTGACAGCGTGCTTACTACATGAGATGGTGTACATGAATCATGGCTTACCTCGCAAATATTCTTTCTTGGGTGGCTGTGCCGTAGGGATTCGGCTGGTGGATTTACTGGTTCATAAATACGGACACTACCAGCTTTCATGTCATTTATTTGGGGATGGAAGAGTTTGGGAAAAGAATTGGGCAGCCAGCAGGCGTATGGAATGGATTGCGGAGGATGCACGCCAATGGAGTAATTATGTAGATACCACAGGATTGGAGGCCAGGATATAGCCAAATATGATCATCAAACGGGGTCGTCTTTATGCTGTCTAACGTGAATGTGCCTAGTGACTCTCTAGGTATTCCCCTATTCATACAAACAAGCCGCAGCACTATCACATCCCAGCCATACGAGCTTCCAGAATGTCTCGTCTAGTTGTACTGCATGTATGACGCAGTAGAGTTGAACTTGAGGTTACCCTTGATGACCTTCTCTACCGCACTGAGGAAGTCCTTCTCCGTGGCGACCTTTCTCCGTGCTCGGATGGCGAACATACCGGCCTCGGTACACACACTGCGCAGCTCAGCGCCCGTGGCGTTGGGGCACAGCCGCGAGATGAGCTCCCATCGGATGTCGCGCTCGACGGACATGCTCTTGGCGTGGATACGGAGAATGTTTGCACGACCGTCGAGGTCGGGCAGCGAGAACTCGATCTTACGGTCGATACGACCCGGCCTCATGAGCGCCGGGTCTAGGGTCGACGGCCTGTTGGTCGCGAACATGACCTTGATGTTGCCACGCGCGTCGAATCCGTCCAGCTGTGTAATCAGCTCCAGCATCGTCCGCTGCACCTCGTTGTCGCCTCCTGCACCGTCGTCGAATCGCGCACCACCGATGGCGTCGATCTCGTCGAAGAAAATGATACAGGCCTTCTTCGTACGCGCCATCTCAAACAGCTCCCGGACCATACGTGCACCCTCGCCGACATATTTCTGCACCAGCTCGGAGCCGATGACACGAATAAAGGTCGCGTCTGTCCGATTTGCCACAGCACGCGCGCAGAGGGTCTTTCCGGTTCCAGGAGGCCCGTACAGAAGTGCGCCCTTGGGTGGGTCGATACCGAGGTTGACGAAGCGCTCGGGCGACAAGAGAGGCATCTCGACGACCTCGCGCAGCTTCTCGACCTGCTCTTTGCAGCCTCCGACATCGCCGTATGTGACGTCGGGCTTCTCCTCCACGGTCATCATGGTGACGCTTGCATCGATCTTGGGCGGGAGGGGAAGCATGATCTGGTACTTGTTGCGGTCGACGCCGACGCGCATGCCCTCCTCGATGTCGGTGGGGGAAACGCGCTCGCCGAGCTGCACGACGAACTTGGCGATCTGCTTGACGTTGATGACATATTTGCTCTTGGAGTCGTCCTTCTCGTCCGGAATGATCTTTGTGCACCGCGCTACCTGAAGCGGTTGCTCTTCCGACATTCGTTGACGATCGGCTGGGACATCCCATAGATGTGGTGGTGCGAGACCGGTGTCTGACTCTTTTACCCCAATCTTCTCATCCACGCTTTGTTGCCTCTCTTTTATTTGCTGCTCCAGCTTCTTGAGGGCGGCCCCGTACGGTGCGGCGCCGTAGGTCTTGAGTACCTGGATATCCCTAGAATCGTCGTCAACACAGCTGCATCTCCATTTCGGTCGGGTCAAGTACGGACTCATCGGAAAGCGGGGTGATCTTCTTCTCCTCGACCTCATCGTCGGCGTAGTTCTTTTGGTACTTCTCCCAGCTCGAACCGGTGGCAGACGGCTGTTGTCTTGTTAGCACGGACAGCTGCGACGGCATTACCGAGGAGGCTGGCTCACCATGTTGGCTGGTGTTGGGAATCAAACAGTCCCCCAAAACCGATTGCTTGATATGTCGAGTGGGCGGGTGGGAGCTTGATTGCGCGATAAGAGGCAGGATGGGGAAGGTAAAGGGCTCGCGTTCGTGATGGGTCGGGGTGACGTTGAGGTTGGAAGGGGCGGCTTGATGGTTGTAAGCTTGGGCTCTGTAGAAACGACGGCGCTGCCGTAATCCGAAGTTGCCTGCTGCTCTGCCGCGCTGGCTTGGGGTTGCCACACCCCTGTCAGGCAAGCTGAGCCTCGACCCCTGCACCCACCACCCAGACAATGACATTTCAGATGCAGGCACTGTGGCTTCCCAATGTGGGCATACCTAGGTGCAGCTTCCAAGCTTGGCCATTCGTAGTACACCCTTCCAGTTTCCTGAAGATAACTTACGGCAGGACCACCCTCGACAGGAAGCCTGTCCAAACTAGAACATTGTTTCTTCTCATCGAGCAGATGCACAGTAAACGCAGGAGCTTTGGACTGGCCGTAGGGTGATGAAAGCAAATTCTTGGCTGCCAGCCTGGGACTTCTGTTTTCCTTCACAACACCATCAGTCACCTTACCATCAACCACCTTGAATACCGCACATCTTCACGACCAGACCGTACAGAAGAAGCCTTACCAACCTCAGAAATTCTTCTCCCTAGTGATTCTCTATGCCTCCGACCAACCTCACCCACTGTGCCGGATCTGCCAGCACTGCCTCTGCCTCCTCCCAGACTCCCGCCTAGCAGACCGGAATCGAGATTTTCCTTGTCGTCGTCGCCGTATCATCTGTTTTAGCCATATTGATCACTGGTTGCTACGGTCCCATCGGGTGGAACAACGAGTGGCCTCTGATCCGTGCCCTTCCACGGAGCTGGAAGAACCACATCTACCCTACCAGAGCTGAAATTCCATTGAGAGTCCAAGACCCCTTGAAAGTCGAAAACTCCCGGAAGGGTAAGAAAGCCCGGAAAGGCAAGAGAACCTCGAAAGGTGAAGATCATTTGAAAGGCGAGAACCCATTTACAGTCAAAGACCCCTTTGCAGTCGACAAGCCCCCAAAACCTGGTCACGACAATCATTTACAAACCGACAGCCAATCAGTGTCTCCATCAAGCAGTACAACAAGCAGCGGGACGCTGGTAGACGAGGACACAGGTCCCTCGACAGTCAAAAAGCACTCAGAATCCGTTCACGACAATCATTCACAGCCCGACAGCTCATCAGTGTCTCCATCAGGCAGTACAAGGAGCAGCGGGGAGCTGGTAGACAAGGAGACAGACCCTTGTTCTACGCGGTTGGAGCTAGACTGAGTTTGATTTAGCTGGACCCCACATCAACAGCCTTGAAAACTTCCCTGGGTCGCGTCTGCTGCAGCGAGGGGTCACCGTTCTGGAAAAGTGTACGCAGTAGGGACGGAGCTTGAGTTCATCAACCAGCGTGCACGATTGGACTTCTCAACCACACAACCTCTGCGCTCCCAAACCCGCATTCCGGAATACCCAGCAACCACAATCAAGATGGCGACCGCAACAGAGGCACCGGCAAGCGGTGGGAACAACAGTTTCCGCGTGAGTAGCCAGCTCCCTCAAGCTCCAAGGAGCTGTATGGACATGATGGCATCTGACAACCCCTTTTAGAACAAGGAGAAGCCCTTGGCCGTCCGCTCCTCCAACATTGTCGCCGCAAGAGGTATACACACCCTTCGCCTTCACTACTGCATGAAATGTACTGATCTTGCATTCAAGCGGTTGCCGACGCCATCAGAACCTCCCTGGGACCACGCGGCATGGACAAGATGATCCGTAGCGGAAAGGGCGAGACGATAATCACAAATGACGGCAGCACCATGTTGCAGAGCATGTCTGTCCTCCACCCCACAGCCAAGATGCTTGTCAACCTCTCCAACGCACAAGATGTCGAGGCTGGTGACGGCACAACATCAGTGGTGGTCATCTGCGGCGCACTGTTGGGCGCAGCCGACCGCCTGCTGTCAAAAGGCATTCACCCTTCCGTCATATCCGAATCCTTCCAGCGAGCTGCGACTGCCGCCGTAGCAGTCCTTCACGACATGTCACAACCCATCGCTCTCACGGACACCTCGGCGCTCCTGCAAGCAGCGAACACCTCCCTCTCCTCTAAGATCGTCTCGCAGTACGCCAACCTGCTCGGCCCCATGGCCGTCAACTCCGTTACCAAGACGATAGACCTCAAGACCGCAGACAACGTGGACCTCAAGAATATTAGGACCATCAAGAAGGTCGGCGGTACGATTGAGGACAGTGAGTTGGTGGACGGCGTGGTTCTCACCCAACCAGTCATCAAGAACGCGGGCGGTCCCATCCGCATGGAGAAGGCCAAGATCGGTCTCATCCAGTTCCAGCTCAGCCCGCCCAAGCCAGACATGGAGAACACAATCTCGGTCAACGACTACCGCCAGATGGACAAGATTGTTAAGGAGGAGCGCATGTACCTGCTGAACATGGCCAAGAAGATCAAGAAGTCCAAGTGCAACGTTCTGCTCATCCAGAAGTCCATTCTCCGGGATGCCGTCAACGACCTGTCCCTCCACTTCCTCGCCAAACTCAACATTCTGGTCGTCAAGGATATCGAGCGTGACGAGGTCGAGTTCATTTGCAAGTCCACGGGTTGCAAGCCCGTTGCGGACATCGATTCATTCACGGAGGACAAGCTCGGCAGCGCTGACCTCGTGGAGGAGGTCTTCCGGATCTCGCATGGTCAAGGTGACCGGCACCAAGTCTGCAGGCAAGACTGTTTCTGTCGTTGTCCGGGGTGCAAACGCCCTCATCCTCGACGAGGCGGAGCGTTCCCTGCACGACGCCCTTTGTGTGGTGCGATGCTTGGTGAAGAAGAAGGCCCTGATTGCAGGTGGTGGTGCTCCCGAGATCGAAATTGCCGCTCAGCTGTCCAAACAATCACGAGAGCTGACGGGTACCGAGTCCATCTGCTGGAAGGCCTTCGCCGATGCGATGGAGGTCATTCCGACGACCCTGGCCGAGAACGCTGGCCTGAACCCAATCAGAGTTGTCACGGATTTGCGACACCGCCACGAGTTGGGCGAGAGGAACGCGGGTGTGAGCATCAAGAGTGGAGGTGTCAACTCCAACATATCCAAGGAGAACGTGCTGCAGCCGTTGTTGGTGAGCACGAGCGCTATTGAGTTGGCGGCGGAGACGGTCAAGATGATCTTGAGAATAGACGACATTGCGCTTAGTAGGTAACGGAGCTGCCACCTGGTCGGTATTGTAGGAACGGGTCAACGAGAAGATGATATGGCAACAGTGGCATGATTACTTCACCCTATTCACCCTAGAAATCACATGCTCATAGCATAATCAGATGACACTACCTAGAAAATCAAATTCAAGTGAAACAGTGAAACAACAAGTGGAAGAGCAATCATATCGATTGAATTCCAGTTCCCAACCTGGAGCGTTGCTCTTGAATTGCTTTCCAAGCTGAGGTTTTGAATTACTCGTCTGAGCGTACCGTCATCTTAATCACCGAGGCTGTTCACGTCTCAAAATGTAGCATCATTTGTAAAGATAATTTAACTCTAATTGGACACTGTATTATCTACCCAAACCAAGTAGTACACTACAAGTCAACCAGACAAGACAACATGGGTATCTATTCCTCAGCGCCAAACCACCAAGCCATTATCAAGAGAACATCTCCCCGTGAAAGCTCATACATTGTGTTGATGTAGATTTACCAATCTGTCCAAAGCATCCATCCGAAAACCACGATATCCCAATCTGTGATTGACCGTTGAGCCATGAAAGCTATCCAAAGTTACCACACCCACCTCTCGCTCTCTCGCTCTTTTCAGTTCAGCCGGAGAAAAGAAAAACCGTTGCCAACAGACACGATGTCATCCTCGCTCCTCGTCTCCGCCGCGCTGCCGCCGCTGTCATTCTCGGGCTTGCTCTCGCCCGCTGCGCTCGGGAGCGGCATCCTGAAGGTCCCGCGGATGCGCGAGCAGTCCTCCCACGTGCACCCCACCGCACTGCAACCGGCCTCGTCCTGAGCGAGGTGCGCAGACTTTGGCTCGAGCTCTGACTCTGATGCTGCTGGAGAGGCCTGGGTCGCCGCTGTGAGCGGTGCGGATGACGGCGGTGTGGATGGCGCAGAGGACGACGTGGAGAGGCTCATGGGGGCGGGCCGTGGGCCCTTGGTCATGAGAGGGAAACGCCTGGGGCTGGGGTGTATGCGTGCAATTGTGCTGGGCGTTTCTTTGCCGTCATTTTGGTGTTGTGTCTTCTGTCCTGACGGCGCGTCTTCTTCTTCTGTGGTTTGGGAAGAACGCTGAGGGCTTCCGTCCTTCTGGGGTGCTCCTCCCTCTCCTTCTCGATATTGGCAGTTTTTGAGGAGGGTCTGGCCATCAGGATGGTCTTTAGGTACGTTGGGCTTCCCTGATGTCGATTTCTGAGTGGACTCGCTAGCTGGCGGCTCGTGGGATGCCTCTTCGATCCGATACATTGGATAATCGTTTTCTGCGAGCTTGTGTTGTGCGAGCTCGACGGGGGAGGAGTAGTTGCGATGGACGTCCCTGGCTGCGCTTCCTCGACGGAACCTGGCATTAAACCTGTCGTTATAGGACTCGAAATTCTGCTGGAGCGCTGACTTTGAGCTCCTCCTTTGGGCGTTGCGGCGCTTCAGTCCTGCCAGTCGCGATATTCGCGGAAGGTCCCATCTGCCAGTTCTCTGGGGCCCGGGGGTGATGCCATATATGTGCGGAGGAGGTCGAGGAGGTGTCACGCCATCGGGGGTAGGCGACGGCCCCATGTTCCCATCACGTATTAGGGGGTTCCTTAGGAGCAGCCGTATCTCCCTCTGCGTAAGCGGATGGTGTTGGGCTTTTTGGTCGACGCTATTTCGACTGGAGGTAGGTTTGACGCCCAAGGGCCAGTTAGGTACTGCCGCGAGACTCTTATCATTCTGCAGATAAAACGCTGGTTCGTTGCCGGAGGCGGGTTTGCGTTGACGTCTGAGAGCAAGTGTCTGTCGAATGAGATCTTGTCTCCGGTGTGGGTGGCCCGAATTGCCTCTTCTTCTGAGGGGAGTATTCTTCACCTTGAGACTACCCCGGGATGGTTGTGGCTGGAGTAGACTGCTGATATCACCGGGATGAGCTTTGCTGTGGACTTTCTGAGCCTCTCTGTGCTTCTCAACATAGCTTTGTTCACTGGGCTTCTGGCAGAGTCCGGTCAACACAGGCCCAGACGCTTCTGATTCGGGGGCAACAGCATCTGCGGACATCGGCGACGATGTGTTGTTTCCATCAAGTTGCTGTCGGTAACGTAGAGATGTTCTAGGATATCTCACCGCAGGTCGTCGCTGGAGTCCATGTGCTGAGCGTTGACGAGAATCATCATTATGTGCATCCATCCTACGGCGGAGGAGCATAACCGACTCTTGAAACTGTTGTTGGGAGACCCGGGCTGAGATGCGAGGTTTTTTCATATCCTTATGCGGTTCATCTGGCCGAGTTATATCATCTCTCCGTCGGGGTCCGCTCTGGTTGACTGAGAAAGACTCCACAACGTTGAGCGTGTCTTCTTGTCCTTCTCCCGGAATTTGTGGCAAACTTTTCGAAGTGTTCCCCTCCATTCTGTCTATTGCGTTTGGATGTCTGTTGATTCTGGTGAGTAAAAGGTACAACTGGTTCAAAGACGCTGACAGGATACTGACAATGTTGGATTTCGAGCGAAGTGTAGTTATCCTGAAATATTTTGCCTGATAGTGTATGGTGCTAGTCTCGATGTGTTTGAGCGGTTCATGAAGTACACAGTTGTTATAGGAAGTCCCAAGGAGCATAAGAATTATGTATTTGAGATTCAAAGATCTAGGCAACTTATATTCTGAACTACAACCTATGGAAGCACCTTTGTGAGAGAGCCAGAAGTTGAGAGAAAAGGCTGGCACTAGGGTGGCTTAGAGGAAAAAGACGCCGTTAAGACTGCTCTAAGGCATGGAAACTCTCAATAATTCTTTAGTATGAATGATCTTGTCCATACAGGTTCATATGGACGGGTCAGCTGTGGCCTAGGAAATCACTCTCGACTCCAACCAATCTTCCTTTGGTACCGCATGTTCGTAGAAGCTCACACATTGAAAGCAAGTATGCTATGGGAATTTGGCATACTCAAGCAAGAACCAGGCACTGTGTGAGGTCTTTAAGCAGTCAGTCCGCCCTCACTGTAAACGTAGGACCAAATTATCTTCGATGCAGGACCAGTCACGCCAGCGAACCAAGCTAAGAGATAGCTGATAGTAATTGAGGAAAATATGCAGTACCTATAAGGCTGAAATCATCAAGTAGTGTATCTTCCTCTTTGGAAAAGCTTAACGGCAACATGGCAGTAAAGAAGTCAGTGGTTATACAAAAAGTGAAGTCGGTTACAATCGAGGTCGGCCGGCCACTTACACGGGAGACGTCGGTCTGGACGGGGGCACGGCAGGGGACCCCTGACTTGTACTGCCATAGAACTGCCCGGCCCCCACCATGCAGATCGCGTACTGAAAGTCGCGACGAGTCCTCGAGCAACTGGTTCGACTTTGTCCTATGCCAATTCTCAAGTCTCAACTTTCCTTCTTCGTTCCCCGTGGTTTCCACAGTTTCATAAGTTTGTAATAATGGATATAGACGACATCCTGCGCGAGGTCGACCCCGTGATCGACACCATCCCCAGCGAGACTCGCGATCTCCAGGCCCTGACGCGTGCCTGGGTTGCCGAGCGATGCGCCCCAGAGCTTCTAGAGTGCGCAAACCCTTTCAATGCAACGGCGACATTGTGCCGTCCCTCGAGAATCCGTTCTAATGCCTTCTATCGCTTAGATGGCCCGCCGACGGCCTTTTCGAGCGCATGAACGAGCGAATCAAGGCGCAAATCGAGAAAGTGGAAGAGATGACTGGCGACATGGACCCAAAGACCAATTTCGCCCTCATCGTTATACAGACCGAGCTGGAGCGGTACAAATACATCGTGCGAAGCTTCCTGCGTTCCAGGATAGCCAAGGTGAGCATAGACTGGCCTGGATGGACCTGTCCTGTTGCCGCACTGCAAGGACCAGTTGACGGCTTTGGAGGCTGACATGGCATTTGGCATTGTGATCGCAGATTGACAAGCATACTCTCCACTACCTCTCGACGCCGACCATGCGCGCTCGCCTCTCCGAAACAGAGCTGGCCTACGCGACCCGGCACCAGGCTATGCTGCACAACCACTACCTCTCCTCGTTCCTGTCGTCCTTCCCTCCGAACCTGCAGAACCTGAACGACACCGCGGGCAACATCAGTATGATCGACACGCCAGACCTCGACACGGCCGTCTTTATCCGCCTGCTGAGGGACTGCCTGGTAGAAGGCCGAGGAATTGACGAGGACGGCAGCATGAATGGGAAGAACGGGGACATCCTGATCTTGCGATGGTCAGACGCGAAGCCGTTGGTAGATGCTGGAGACGCCGAGTTGGTCTGAAGTCTTTGCCGACGTACCTCAACAGCATTCGGCCCCGGACGCACATCGGCCTCGCTAGAAAGAATCCCATATCTCCATATGGCCCTGGCTGCCCGGTAGCCTTGTGTCTGCACCTCATGCCAGGCCATAGGCCACTCTCGAAGTCGCCAAGAGCTGACACTCGGAGGAGCGACACTAAAATCGGAGTTACCGGGTCCGGGTATATGCTTCGAAGCGCTACTAACTATTCCAGGCATCATGAATCAAATGCCCACAAAGAAGTGACGGCCAGGCAGGGTCGCTACGTGGCATTTCACTGATAGCCTCAATGAGGACGGTACAGTCGGAGTTAGCCTCAAAAGTCCGGGAGCTAAGTACGAAGCCATCAACACGGGCACATTCCTGCGCACGTTGATTTCTAATGTCTGCTGCAACCTGAAACTCTAAGAGCTCATTGACTATAAGTAGCCATTGCATCTCGTCTGGCTGCTGGTGTATGGGTTTTGTCCGACATGAATGACTCATTAAGAAGCAAACCGCAACAACCACCATCAACATCAAAATGACTGCCGACTCCAAGACCATCGTTCTCGTGACCGGCGCCAATCAGGGCATTGGTTTCGAAATTGCGAAGAAGCTCAATGTCGAGCATGAAAACTACCATGTCATCATGGCAGGACGGAGGAAACAAGCCATTGAGGAAGCCGCAGAGAAGCTTCAAGCGCAGGGATTCTCAGTCGAGCCGCTCGTGCTCGATCAATCGTCCGACGACTCTATCGCCGCAGCGGCCAAAGCCGTCGACGAGAAGCATGGTCACCTGGACGTGCTCATCAACAATGCCGCCATCTCCAACATTTCACACTCTGCCGACGGCAAGCCGCTCTCAACGCGAGAGCAGTTCCTCCGCATCCTGGACACGAATGTCGCTGGTGTCCAAGTAGTGACCGACGCGTTCATTCCGCTGCTGGAGAAGTCGACAAAGACCAAGCGTATTGTGTTTATCAGCTCAGGACTCGGCAGCGTATCTATGCTGGCCGACCCGAAACTCGGCTCAACCTTCCGCAAGGTAGGAGCCACGCACTATACCACGTCCAAGGCGGCTTTCAACCAGCTGGCGCTGCACTATATTGTGCAGTACGAGGACGACAAGACCTGGAAGCTTAACATCTGCTGCCCGGGATTCTGCGCAACGAATCTGAACGCCTACTCGGGCACCAACTCAGCTGAGAGCGGGGCTATCAACGCCTGCCGGCTGGCCACGCTGGGACCTGACGGGGAGTCAGGAACGTTCACCAACAAGGAAGGAACTATTCCTTGGTAAATGGCAGGATGTCGCGGCGTGCAATGATGACGGCTGGGAGACAGTCAAGCCCGGCGACCACCATGTTTGGTCCTGTAGTTGGACGCTGTCGGGTTGAACTGTGGCTGTAAGAAATGTACTATGAACTAAAGCCACTCACTACTATATCCACATATGTTCAGTGACGGGTGAACATAGGGGAGCCATGCCCATGTGCACTTCGAGTAGGTGACTTCGTCATATCATACGTCCCTCAGATATAGCAGGCCTAGCCCGATGAACACCATATCGCTTTCGATGCAAACCAACAAGCGCAGCATGCTGTCGAGGAAGGGGTCTGGAGCAAGCAGCCGGGCATCTGCATAATTGTGGCAATGTAGAAATTTAGAGCAATCGCCCCAGGACTGTTGGGGGCCTATAATCGACGCGAACAACTGCCGCCAGCTCCTATACCTGTGACGGTCCAGTCTGCTCGTATTTCTTCGTCCGAAGTTGGGCTCGACGACAAAAAGCCATCCAGACCTACCACACACAGCATATCACATGTTGTCTGGTTGGCCGGAATTCTAGAACTGACGTGGTAGTGGGACAGCGACCACACGGGGGTTAAACATCCGAGGGAACACTGGGTCTGACAACATCTGGGGCCGAGAAGGCACAGCTAAGCCTGGCGCCCGGCTGCACAGGGCGAGAATTCTGGTCTGGTGCCCACCCTGCCAGCATGCGAGCCAGCCCTTGCTTTCCCCGTGCCGACTCCCGTAGCGTCGAAAGGAACAGAAACACTTCCCGCGATGGATGCATTTCCGAACAACGATCATCAGGAGACGGGCAATTTGAACAATAGCCCTGTCTGTGTTCTCAACTCGGCTTAGCCAGCGGGCGGGCGGACATGGGAAGCGCTTGGACTGGCAAGACTGGACGGACGATCGAAGGGAAAATCCAAACCCACTTACCCCGGCCCTGAGTGATCATCCGCCCCTATAAAAGCTAGTTCAAAGGGGCAGCGCTGAGCGGGGAAGATCCTGTCACCATCCTAGTCGCCCATCCTTGGCCTAATTACACGGCGAGAGGAAACCCAGCAAAGCACCAAGCAACAGCGAAGCAACAGGAGAACCATGGCGGCACATGCAGAAGTCTGCACAAGAGGGGACCGGCGGCCGCTGGTCCTCGCCAGCAAAGCAGATGTGGAGGGCAAAGCGTGAACCTTGTGTCTGCCTGTCCAGTCTAGGCACGCGACGGCCCTCGTATAGTGGGGGACGAGGCAAAAAAGCCAGGCCCCATCCGACCTGGAGGAGCGAACGCGGGTCTGTCTGGCTTGTCACCAGTCCTCGCGAACACGAAGAGGCAAGGTCGAGCTTGAGAGCTCATGCGCGCCCGTCCCGTCCCTGATTGGCGAATCCCACCCTGCCCGCGGCCGAATCAGGTACCGTCACCACCAGAATCTAAACGAGATTGTCCTGCGCATGGATGCGGCGCCTTTTTTTCTTTTCTTTTCCCTTCTATTTTCTGCTCAGGACTGGTCTGCATTGACGCGACCTAGGCTCCTGGGGGGAGGGATCCAGCAAGACCAGCAGACACGCCTGCTGGGCGAATCCAGTGGCCCCATTGCTGGGGAATGAAAAACAAGAGTGGATGCTCTGCGTGCCCCGGCGAGGGGGGCTGCCTTGGAAATCCAGCATCCTGACATGCCATCCCCGGACATTCGAGTGACTTCTCGGCCAAGCCAGACATGGGCCCATGGCCATGTTCATCTCCAGATCCTCGCTCGCCTCTCACTCGTCCTTGATCCCTCCCAAGCGCCCCCCCCAGTCCCGTGTTTCTTTTTGCGGACCCCCCATAGGAATGTTCTGTCTACGCGTGACGGGAGTTTAAATGTGCCTTGTTCCCATCTGCCCACCAGTCTAATGATTCCCCTTTCTTGCTCCTACTGCCAGTTTATAATCGTGTCGGATTCATCTTCACTCGCTCAAAGTTGAACCTTATCCAGAAGCTATACAGTTATTCTTCTACACAGTCGCTCCCATACGGAACCATTACACTCTTGTTAATTTAATCACAGCCGTTGATTCTTCCACATCACTCAAAATGCGTTTCACCAGCATCATCGTCGCCGGCGCTCTCGCCATGTTCGCCAGTGCTCAGGATACCACTGGTACCTCCTCTGTTGCGCCTACCGCCGCCACCACCGACGCCGCCCAGGCTTCCACCATTGCTTGCCTCGACGCGTGCAAGGACGGTGACGTCGCTTGCGAGTCCAAGTGCATCGCTGTAAGTACATACGGGGCTGAAGTGACCTCCGAGTCGAAAGGGTATCTGCCACGTCTAGAGGCATGAGGTATCTTGCCGTTGTCCACACGGTGGTGAACACACTCGCGTTCCCGCAGACAGCGAGCCGAGCTACCTTGGAATCTTTGACGGTGGTAGTGCCTCTTGGACTTCGGAGCTCGCCTCACCAAAAATAACCTCACTGAAGAAGCATTGATGCTGACTTTCATCCCTCACCAGGTCCCCAACCCCGACGCCAACCAGGTCAACGCCACCACCGAGTGCGTTGCCAACTGTGACCAGGGAGACGGCTCCCAGGCCGAGACCGACGCCTACGCGTCGTGTGTCCAGGGCTGCATCAGCGACAACTACTTCACGTCCGGCGGCACCCCCGCTGCCACCGCTGGCTCCGGTTCCTCTGGATCCACCGCCTCGGGCTCCTCCGCCTCCGCTACCTCCACTGATGACTCTGACTCCTCTTCCGAGTCCGGCTCTTCTACCTCTGGCTCCTCTTCCACCAGCACCAGCTCCTCGTCGTCTGAGTCTGCGTCCGCCTCTGGCTCGGCTGCTGATTCCGTCAAGGTCGGCATGACCGGCCTGGGCCTCCTGGGCTTCATCGCCGCTGCCATTGCCCTGTAAAGTGGTACCTCGTTGTCATCGCCGCACCTATGTGTGCCGGCCGGAATGATATCTTGCGTTCTTGGACTTGACGAATTAATAATGCATATGAACCGGGTCTTATGGCTGGAAAAACGACGCTGGGAAGGGCATGTCATGTGGTAATTAGGCAGCGAGATACGTAGGGATAAGATACCCATCCAGACATTGGAGCTACTGGGCTCGCTTGCTTCTCATCTAGTGTCGTTCGTCGTCGCCGCGTCTCTGGTGTGTGTATGTGTGACCCCACCGTACCGTCTAGTAATTCATTGTCCTTTGAGGGAGTTCCTGGGCAGTGTCGGCTGGATGTCCGACTCCCATGGTATGCCCAGCTTCTTCATCTCGACGGCGATCTGGAACAGGTAGTCCAAACTGCAAGTTATGTCAGCATGTGAACAGCCTCAGCGTCCACGCCGGTCCGACCCGCACCACCGCCTCTGAACCTTTGACTATCAAGATTCAACAGTGACCCATGGCGACATACCTTTCACACTGCCCCTTGGCCTGCTCCACGCTGTTGCCCCAGACATAGACCCCATGCCTCCTGACCAGCACGGCGTACGCGTCCGGGAACCTGTCCATGGCCTCCTCCAGGAACTCGGTCAGGTCCTCCTCGTGGGCCGTGTTCTCGATGACGGGGATGCGGAGCGTGTCGTGGTACCCCAGGTTGCCCACCTCGGCGTGCGGGTAGCCCCTCGCGAAGCCCTTGATCTGCTCGATGTTGTTGATGCGGAACTCGCTGGCGCCCACCTGCTCCAGGATGAGCGTCACCAGCACGGCGTGCGCCGAGTGCGTGTGGATGCAGCAGCGGGCGCCGCGCCGCGTGAAGGCGGACAGGAAGAGCGGCGTACACTGCGAGGGCTTGAAGCGGGTCGGCGACCGCACGTAGACGCGCGAGGAGGGCCGGATCGGCCCGTCACCGCCTGAGGCCGCCGCGCGGTGCTTCTCCAGCGTCTGGCTTAGCGACAGCACGTACAGGTCCGACGGCTTCATCAGCTCCTTCTGGACGCCCGAGGGCGCGATGTAGACGTGCTCGCTGGTGGGTTCGCGGTGCCCGTGTTAGCGCCAGGACTGGGATCGGGAATCTGTGTGTCGCTCGAGAGTGAAAGGAAGTCTTACTCGTCGCGGATGGAGGCACCGCCGCCGGTGCCGGTCACCCAGCCCAGCGTCCAGAACTTGGCGCAGAGGGAGGGGATGAGGTTCGCGGGGTGTTCGGGGTCGTCCGACTGGACGAGCCGGTCGTCGTTGGTGCTCATGGCGGGAAGTTGTACGGTTTTGAGCTGCGTGGGTTGGGACTGGGTGGTTGGACGCGCGGTTCGAGTGGTGGAAGAGCTGGCCTGCGGTGTCGTGAGGAACTGTGTGCGTACCAATGTCAGGTCAGTTGAAGAAGTTGGGCTCCCATGGGACAAAATCGACCCGCTCATTGAGAGCTTGGTCTCGGAGCCGTAGCGGCGAGCACGTCAATTTTTTGCCGATCATCTCGGCGCGGTGGTGTGATTTATTTGCACTTCGTCGTCCACCTGTCTACACACGTGGTCCGTATGCCACCAGCAGTTGGGCTCAAATTTGCAATTGCTTTTCTCTTTTACATAGCTTTCTGACTCATGGGCTTTATTATAATGCTTTGTTAAAGTGGAATCAGATATGGTCCGTTGTGGTCTCACATTGTCGACACATTTTCATAGTCTACACACATTCCAGGTTGAGGCTGAAGCTCAAAGGACACACGTGGTGGAAGTACACGGACAAGACGCCGGACCTTTTGACTGATCTGGAATTACCTGCTCTGGGGCAACACTTGGAACATCCACTGAAGACTCGTGTGACTTGGTTTCTTTCCTCCAGGATCGACGACAGTCTGGTGCTATGGTTCGTCAGAGTTTGACGGTCGCCCTTACTGTCTCTAGAGCAGAGCTTGATAGCAGAGCATAATGGCTTTGGGAAGTGAACACCTTGACACAAACCCAAATCCAAGCCGAGGAGAAGGTGTCAGTCACATCTCGTCTGTTAATGACTGATGGGTCTTGACACCCACTTACATGCCATGTATACAAATGCCACGTATACCAATTCACTCAGTGTTGATATTGGAAACGTGAGCGGCTGCCATTTTTAGCATGAAGTTACGCAGTAATGTATATACCCATCGGGAGTGCCGTGTTACCATCCGTGGCTGTGAATAGCCAGCGGAAACCTACTCGATATGACCAAGGGGCCTTACCTGGACGCCTTTATTGCAGTCGAAGCTTCCAAAAGGTTCTCTACAGGTGGATCTGTCCTGCCTGAGGGCCCGGGTCACAGCAATCGGTGATGGGTCTCGGCTGAGTGAAGGAGAACACCCGACCCCGCATTCAATTAGTGCAGGGGCCAGGCCGACTGTAGCGTCCGTGGTGGAAGCTGCAACCCCTGTCGCCTGGGTGAATTGACTGATTGATGCACAGCGGTTGCTGTATTAGATTTTTGGGGAGCTCTGTCAACGTGGCCTCTTTCTGTGACCGGCCCAGCCTAGCCCAGCCCCGAGCAGATAAATCCACAGCTCTTTATCAACACGCTGCCTCATCTGCCCCGAGTCTGCTTTTCTTCTCCTCGGGCTCTGAGAGCAAAACCATCTTATTCCTTCGCTGTGAATAACTCTTCTCATCTGTCTCCATCGACAGACAGCGTTCCTTCTCCGTTCCATCATCACGAGAGGGTAACTTGCATCTGTTCTTCTTTTCCGCTCTCCCCGTCTACCACAACAGCTGGACAGACGATCCAAGTCTGCTGCATCGCCATCATGAGGTTCACACCCATCGTCGCCTGGGCCGTCCTGGCCTACGGCTCTGTCGCCGACGATTCTCAGAAGGTTCTGAGCGACGAGCTCTTCTGCTGCTGAGTCCGCCACAGCTTCCGTGGACGCCTCTCTGCCCACCTTCACTGTAAGCACAACCCCCAGATTTCCACAACAAAGGAAGCACTGCCGGGCACCGAGCTTGCGCTCGGAGCCCCCCGCACACTCCCTTGGAGAAGCTGCAGAAGCATGTGGAGACAGGCCAAATCGGTTGATCAGCAGCTAATCTGCTTGTAATTCTCCAGCCCACACAAACCTCAAGGCTCCCTTCCTTGAGCAGTTCACCGATGACTGGGAGGCACGATGGAAGCCTTCCCACGCAAAGAAGGACCTCACCGGCACAGGCAAGGAGGAGGAGGAGTGGGCGTACGTTGGCGAGTGGGCTGTCGAGGAGCCCACCGTCTACAAGGGAATTGAGGGAGACAAGGGCTTGGTTGTCAAGAACAAGGCCGCTCACCACGCCATCTCCGCCAAGTTCCCCGAGAAGATTGACAACAAGGGCAAGACTCTTGTTGTTCAATACGAGGTCAAGCTCCAGAGTACGTATTCCGGCCCCCCTCTACGCTCATCGCCAGAGACTCTGTTACTGACTCGACGCGCTCCAGCCGGTCTCGAGTGCGGTGGTGCTTACATGAAGCTGCTCCGCGAGAACAAGGCTCTCCACCAGGACGAGTTCGCCAACACCACCCCGTACGTGATCATGTTCGGTCCCGACAAGTGCGGCCACACCAACAAGGTCCACTTCATCTTCAACCACAAGAACCCCAAGACGGGCGAGTACGAGGAGAAGCACCTCAAGTCTCCCCCACCGGCCCGTATCGTCAAGACCACTGAGCTCTACACGCTGGTTGTCACCCCAACAACACCTTCGTCATCGAGCTCAATGGCGAGCAGGTCAAGGACGGCAGCCTTCTCGAGGACTTCACCCCCTCCGTCAACCCCCCTGAGGAGATTGACGACCCCAATGACAAGAAGCCCGAGGACTGGGTTGACGAGGCCCGTATCCCCGACCCCGATGCCACCAAGCCTGATGACTGGGACGAGGATGCCCCCTTCGAGATTGTCGATGAGGAGGCCGAGCAGCCCGAGGACTGGCTTGTTGATGAGCCCCTCACCGTCCCTGACCCCGAGGCCCAGAAGCCCGAGGACTGGGATGACGAGGAGGACGGTGACTGGATCGCCCCCACTGTCCCCAACCCCAAGTGTGCCGATGTCTCTGGTTGCGGCCCCTGGACCAAGCCCAACAAGAAGAACCCCGACTACAAGGGCAAGTGGACCGCTCCTTACATCGACAACCCGGCCTACAAGGGCGTGTGGGCTCCCCGCAAGATCAAGAACCCCGACTTCTTTGAGGACAAGACCCCTGCCAACTTCGAGCCCATCGGAGCTATTGGCTTCGAGATCTGGACCATGCAGAATGACATCCTCTTTGACAACGTCTACATTGGCCACTCGATCGAGGACGCCAAGAAGCTCGCCGAGGAGACCTTCTTCGAGAAGCACCCTCACGAGCAGCTTGCTGAGTTGGCTGACAAGCCCAAGAAGGACGACGCCAAGGCTCCCTCTGACCTGAAGTTCCTGGACGACCCCGTCACCTTCATCAAGGAGAAGGTCGACCTCTTCGTCACCATTGCCCAGAAGGACCCCATCGAGGCCATCAAGTTCGTTCCTGAGGTCGCCGGTGGCATTGGTGCCGTCCTGGTCACCGTCATCGCTGTTGTTGTCGGTATCGTCAGCTCCCTGGGTGGTGGCAACGCCCCGCCCGCTGTCAAGAAGGCCGCGGCTGATGCCAAGGACAAGGCTGCCGAGGCCAAGGACAAGGTCGCTGCGGCTGCTTCTTCTGGCGCCGAGGCCGCGAAGGACAACACCACGAAGCGCACCACCCGCAGCCAGCAGTCGTAGGTTGACAAGGTGGTGGCGAGGCGGGTGGAAGGTAGTAATGAGTGATCGAGGATGGTGAACAGAAAAGAACCCAACAGAAGGAATAGGAAAACAAAAAAAAAACAAAAATTGATGCTTCGCTTTTCACATTAGGGCTCGTAGGGCTTATAGGGATGAGCACGGCGCAGCTGGTGTATTCTTAGTACGGTATCACAGGGAATAGGAATCATTTCACACAAGCCTCGAGACGGCCACTTCGGATTGGCTTGCCTGTAGCTGTGCGCTTAGGTGCGCCTCTGTTTTGTATGCACGAGACTACAGCTCTGAAAGCTGTCGGGTGCTGTCGCGTTGACATGCCTATTCCGGACGATCTAGAAGAGTGATCCGCGTGGGGAACAAGATGACATGGGGAAAGCTATGTCGGTCCCCTCCAATCCTATCTCAGATGTTGGATCCGCTGCGGCTTTCCCCCTCACATCATCCCGGGCCTGCTGTGAGGCTCCGAGCCACCTAGATCCCAGCCGATATCGCCAGCGGGCGCAGCACGGACATGGAGTAGATTCGGCCCAGTTTGGTTGCCTGAGCCGGGCCGGTCCTGCTATCTGCCTAGGTATCTGTATGTCTCCTGTGAGAGGGAAGAAGAGTGAAACTATGACAAATGGGTAAGATGACCCCGGCGGGAGAGATTTCCGGCGCACCGGCAATTGGCGGCATTGGGACTTGTCTCCTCGTGCGAGACATGCCCCGATTGTGTGGAGAAGGGCGGCAGCGACAACACTGCGTAGAGAGTCTGTCACTCACTCCCCGCATTGGGCCAGATCCCCCCTGCCAGCGACCCCGATCGTCCTGCGTCATCCGCCGATATCCTGACATTTAAAGGGAACGACAGCCCCGAATTGGGTTTCGTCGGATATGTCGTTTAGATACTGGTCCACTCCCCCTAATACCATATCCCGTTACTAGCCTGTGGTCTCATATCGTGGCCGTTGCTAGTGCTTCGACATCCCGTGGCCAAGGAAGTTTCTCCTCCTTCTTCCCCTCCCTTTCTCCGACTTCCTCCTCATCCTTTGTCCCGCCACCACAGCTTCCAATGCGTCGACTCCTATCGACCAGAGCAACTGCAAGCGCAGCACGCTCCACGAGGGCGGCAGCAGGAACAGCAGCTAGTACCAGCAGGGCAGCGCCTCTCGTCCTCTCGGCACCTTCACTTTCCAAGATGGCGCCCTCTTCATCACCAGCAGCCTCCATCAGGAGGTTACACGCCACGGCCGCACACCTGAACCCAGCCCTGGAGTCGACAGCAACATCGTACCCGACGACACACGAGAAGATCGCAAAGGTAGAAGACACCCCTTACTTCATCGACAACGAGTTCCGGCCCTCCAAGGCCGAGCAGTTCATCGACCTCTACGACCCGGCGACCAACAACCTCGTCACTCGCGTCCCGCAGATGACGGACGCCGAGCTCGCGGCCGCTGTGGAGTCCGCCGAGAAGGCGTTCCCGGTCTGGAGGAACACGACCGTCATCGCGAAGCAGCAGATCATGTTCAAGTTCGTTTCCCTCATCAGGGAGAACTGGGACCGCCTGGCGGCCAGCATCACGCTGGAGCAGGGCAAGACGTTCGCGGACGCCAAAGGCGACGTCCTGAGGGGGCTGCAGGTCGCCGAGGCGGCGTGCGGTGCGCCGGAGCTCCTCAAGGGCGAGGTGCTCGAGGTCGCCAAGGACATGGAGACTAGGACGTACAGGGAGCCGCTGGGCGTCACGGCAGCGATTTGCCCTTTCAGTGAGTTTGGTCCCTGAGCTGTGACAATTGTGGACGAGTTTGGGAACTAACGGGACCTGCGATAGACTTCCCAGCCATGATTCCGCTCTGGTGCATCCCCATCGCCACCATCACGGGCAACACGCTCGTCCTAAAGCCTTCTGAGCGCGACCCTGGCGCGGCTATGATCCTCGCCGAGCTGGTCGAGAAGGCCGGCTTCCCTCCAGGAGTCGTCAACATTGTCCACGGCGCCCACCGTACCGTCAACTACATCCTGGACCACCCGGCCATCAAGGCCATCTCGTTCGTCGGCGGCAACAAGGCCGGTGAGTACATCTTCAGCCGGGGCTCAGCGAACGGCAAGCGAGTCCAGGCCAACCTGGGCGCAAAGAACCACGCAGCGGTGCTGCCCGACTGCAACAAGAACCAGTTCCTCAACGCGGTCGTGGGTGCCGCGTTCGGCGCCGCGGGCCAGCGCTGCATGGCCCTCTCGACGCTGGTCATGGTCGGCGAGACCAAGGAGTGGCTGCCGGAGCTGGCCGAGCGCGCCAAGGCGCTGAGCGTCAACGGCGGGTTCGAGGAGGGCGCGGACCTGGGCCCCGTGATCTCGCCCGAGAGCAAGGCGCGCATCGAGGGCCTGATCGACAGCGCCGAGAAGGAGGGCGCCAAGATCCTGCTGGACGGCAGGGGTTACAAGCCGGCCAAGTACCCGAACGGCAACTGGGTGGGTCCGACCATCATCACGGACGTTACTCCCGACATGAAGTGCTACCGCGAGGAGATCTTCGGCCCGGCGCTGGTATGCCTCAACGTGGAGACGCTGGACGACGCCGTGGACCTGATCAACGCCAACGAGTACGGCAACGGCGTGGCCATTTTCACGCGCAGCGGGCCCACGGCCGAGACGTTCCGGCGCAGCATCGAGGCCGGCCAGGTCGGCATCAACGTGCCCATCCCCGTGCCCCTGCCCATGTTCTCCTTCACGGGCAACAAGAGGTCCGTCGCCGGCGGCGGCGTCAGCACCTTCTACGGCAAGCCGGGCGTCAACTTCTACACACAGCTCAAGACGGTCACGGCGCTCTGGCAGGCGGGCGACGCGGTCAGCAAGAAGGCCGACGTTGCTATGCCTACGCACAGCTAGATTGGTGTGTGATTGTTCGTAGTGCATGCAAAAAGTCTGAGGATGAAAGATTTAATGATATGATATGATTCTTGCTACTTGTGTTAGTCACGTCTGCGCCATCTCACTCGCGCGCTGACGCTTTCTTGACCAATTACGGCTTTCTGACTGGATGATCCCCAACATCTGCCCTTGTAGCTTAACAGTTTTCCACACATGTTAATGATCACAATGACAGTAGAGAGGCTAGAGTGAGCTGGTTGGTGAAACGATGGAGGCTGAAACTGGGGTAACGCAATGAACGCATTGACGGAGTGGTTTCTGATGGGAGAATGGTTGTTCCTGTGTAGAAGCCATCGATGCTGTCTAGTCAGCCATATATGCAGAACCAGTTGCATTCCTTCAAAAGAAGTCTGAAGCTTGATACATACGTTAATCAATGTTGCGATCCCACCCGGTGGATGCGTCATTGCCGAGGACCGCCGCATTGAATTGGCCGGCCCCCGGCAACTGCGGTTTCGTCCGGACCAGACAACCACCACATGCAAACAATACAGTTAGTCAGTTCCTCATCCCCCCTTTCCTTTGACAACACCACCTTCTCCATTCGTCACAGCGTGACTTGATACCGCAGCCTTGCGCAACCTTTGAACCCTCGTTGCTGCTGCCTGTCCACGGTACAGGAATAGTATCGGCTAAATGCCCGTCCTCCCGAGCGCGGTGGACTGATGTTGTTGCCGACCCGAGGAAGACCATCACCCTTTCTGTCCTCGGAGACAACCCCTTCGAATGGACGGGTTCTCTTCCGGACGATCACTCGAATTTCTCATTGGGTCTAAGGACCAAAAGGGGAAGTCGCAGTTCTACCCACCGCTCGACGCCCCGGGAATAGACCCCGTTTCCTGTTCCCGACAGCCACCGCGAACGTGGCTGTTGCTGCGGCCCTCTTCTGAGCACTCGCCCTGGAATGTGCCCATCTCTCACTTTTGAAAACCTGCGAAGTGGCCATACTAGAAGGGGCCAGTAGAAGCCCCAACGAACCCTGAGCATGGACATCGTCGAGCTCCCCCGGGACCTTTTCCTCTTGGTGGTGGCGCACCTTTCCGCGCGGACCGTTGTGCTCTGCCGACGAGTCTCCCGGAGCTGGCATGGCGCCTTTGCAGACCCGGATCTGAACCTTCAGCTTATGAAGTGGCACTTCCCGCGAAGTCGTGAGATGCGCGTGGCGTACTTGGCCGGCGCACTCGGCGGGCCCGGACCTGCCGAAATTGAGGTGCACGACACGGCGGATGACCGGGACCGGCGACGAGAAGGTGAGGATGAGGGTTCTGGAGATGACGCAAAGGCCGCTTGGTCTCCAGACTGGACTGCGACTTTCGCCACTGTCGCCAGGAGGTACCATCACCTCCGGACAGCGACGCCGTGGACCACCGAGGCGATCAAGCTGGGGTCCACGGAGCAGGGCCCGTCAAGAATGTTCTACCCCGTGGCCATCTGGGACCGCTTCCTCCGGCTGGACGACAAGACGGCGCCCTTCCACTACCCGGACCCGGCCTGGTCATACAGCCAGGACGACGGGCTGCTGGTGTACCACTCCGCCGCTCACGAGGACACAGCCGGCGTGGAGGAACAGACGGCGTCCTGCCCGTGGCGCCTGCGCGACCTCGAGACCGGCCAGGAGGTGGTCGTGCCGTTCCCGCAGGGCGAGGACCGCATAGTCCGGCGCGTGAGGCTCTGTGACCGGGTCCTGATCCTGGAGTGGTGCGAGCGAGAGGCATACCACCAGCTCAACGACCGGGAGGAATGCCACCGCCACTTCGTCACCGCCTTGGATGTCGTGCGGGAAAGAAGAGGGGCCAGCTCACCCGGAGACCAAACTGCGGCCGGCGAGGCCGACACCTGGGCAGTTAGGCCCCGGTGCCAGTTCAAGACGCACTTCCTGGGCTTCCCCCTGAACCGGCACGACCGCTTCTTCTCGGCGCACACGGCCACGCACTACGCCGTCTACGTGTGGCAGCCCAACCGGTCGCTGTACAATGACGATCCCATCGAGAGCGTCATCGTCTGGGACATCTCGGCCCGGGATCATCCGCGGACCATTCGGCGAATCACGTGGGACACGCTCGCCTTCTACGGCGTGCGCCAGGGTGCCACTCCGACGCTTCGCTCGCTCGGAATGGACGAGCGGAACCTCTACTTCGCGGAGGAGGAGCACCGCTGGGCCGAGGGCGGGCACAGCAGCCTCGTGCCACCGAGGGTGCACCTGGTCCGCTCCACGGGCATACCTATTGTTGTGCCCGGCACCGCAGGACAGCCCGCCACCGGCGACGGCGCCGAGGTTGTTATTCAGGGCCCCCGGTGGGTGGACCAGTGTGGCACCAACACGGACGTCCGCATGCCCTTCTGCACGCGCACGAACGAGGCGCGGTTCTGCGGCATGGCCGAACAGCAGCACACGGCTCTCGTCGACGGCGGTGGGGCCGGGGAGTGGCCCACGGGCCCGGGGCTATGGATAGGCAACGGCAACAGCGCGGCGGCTCTTCTGCCGGCTGGTGGCAGTAGCGATAGAAGCAGCAGCAGCAGCAGCAGCAGCAGCAGCAGACGCAAGGGACTCGCGGGCGAGATCGAGGCGGGCATCGCGGCGGGGACATCGCGGTGGCCCGGGTGGGCGCCGTGCTGGAGGCACGAGGACTTCCCCTATCTAAGTGTGGGCGAGGTGGTCGACTTCCGCGCCGGGGTGCGGGTCACGGCGCGGCACTGCTTTATGCTCGAGACGCTCAGCGTGCACGTGCGGCCCTCGATCAGCGTGGTGGAGCTCGGTGTCGGCGGGGATGACGAGGTCGGGCAGGACGAGGGCGGATCGAGCAGCGATGGAGGTACTGCTGACGCATCGGCGGTTGCTAGGATGGCGCGGCTGGAGAGGAAGCTGAGGGCGGGCATGGCCAGGCGGAAGCTGCGGAAGCGCAGGGTCAGGCTGAACGGTGGTGGTGACGGGGGCGAGGCCGCCGATCGTGGGCGAGACGACGACGGCGAGGGCGAGGGTGCCCACGAGGAGGTGCACTTCGCGGACGAGATGTGGGACAGATTGCTTGGGAAGGGCTGCATTAGTGGTGATGAGAGGTGGCTGATTGGTGAGGACGGGAAGGGGACGCTCTCCGTGGTTCGATTCTGAGGGGCATGCATAGGGCGAGACCAGAGAAGGGGGCTGCTTCTTGGGGGAGCGGGATGTGAGGGATCACAGCATCGACTGGGCGGCCGTCATTTGGATTACAAGCAGAGTAGATGGTGGTGGCAACAATGCCTCGCAGCAAAGTTACGCAAAGGTCAGTAGCATATACAGTTAGACACTGAACCTCACACTCGAGGCACACGCACAAATAGAATGGTACCTAGCTAGAGCTGCTAGACGAAGTGACAGCAGTAGCAGTAATGCTATCTTCGAACTCTCTGGACTGGCTGACTGACAGGCTGTCTGAGACATGGTCTGAATTCACGTAGGACGAATAAACCAAAAAGTGATGCCACGGTCTCGGTGGATCCAGCGGGCGAGGAGCCGTGAGGACTTCCTTCCTGTTCGGGATGCCTGGCCAAGCGGAGATTTCACGAGTATGCACATGCTCCCGACGTTGTTATTATTGAACTCATTTCAATTCATCATCGTCAAAGTCATGGCCAGCCGCGAGCGAGCGCGCCCAAGTCTACAGAGTATCCAGTCCAAGGAAAAGTGTGTCTCGGAATGAGAGTGAGTTCCCCCTTCCCCCCCCCCCCTTCCGCCATGTGTGTTCTAACACAGTATAAAGGACCAATATGCTTGGGTGATGGTGACGTTTTCCTCGACAGCAACGCCATGCTAGTAGTCCCCATGAAAGGGACGGATTCCCAACGCCATAAAGTGTGCTCGTACAATATAAGAATGCGAATGTGTCGACGACACTCTGTCAAAACCAACCACTGCGCCGTCCTCGCTTTCTTCGATCCCCTAAAATCACCACACGTTCACCCACTGATTAGTCTCAGGCAGAACTCCTATTCACCACCGACGACGCAATCGCCAGCCCGGTGATCAGCATCATCGCCCTTGGGAATCGCCCCGCATCCCCGACTTCCTCTCGCTTCTGGGCGTCAACACCCACAGCCTTGCCGTTCTCCTTGCCCTCCGGCTTGGCCTTCGACTTCTCCCGCGCCCTGAGCTCCTTGCTCTCCTTCTTGGTCAACTTCGGCGCCTTGCCATGTTGGTGGAGCTGGTGCCCGTGGTGCGTTCCAGGAAAGATGATTGAGCTGATGCTCTTCTTGTGGTGTAGCAGATGTAGCGACTTGCGGTGTGGCGTCGCAGGCCGGGCGCGCGGTGTCTCCTCGAGGTCCTCTTCCACCTTGTCGCCCCTCGGCTCAGCTTTCTCCTCGCGCGTGTGCTCGGCGCTGAGCAACGGCGCTGTCGAGGGCCTGTCGAACGCGTGGCTCCCCGTCAGCGCGCCGCGGATGCCAAAGTCTGCCCATCGTGACTCGTGGAGGCCCAGGATTCCCGCAGTGGGCGTGCCCAGGCGTTTCGGAGAGCCGGGGCGCTCTGTGGCGCCGACGTCATGATCCGATAGGGACGGAGGCTGCTGGATCGTGTCCACCGAATCGCTCGACTGTCTCGCCTCCGAAACACAGTCCTCCCACTCCGAGGATGATGACTGGAAGCTGGCCCTGCTCTGGTTGGCAGTGGGGTCGATGCTGGCGAAGACTGGCAGGGACGGGAGGAGGAAATTGGTCTTCAACCCGGTAGGTGCGGGCCGCGGCTTTGTTCGGGCAAGCGACTGAGAGGTTTCATGCCTCGGCGTTTCTGAAGTCGACGTGAAATCACCCTGCGTCGGAGTCCTTGCTGCAAGCGCTTGCTCAGAGAACACGTCGTGTTTCGGTGTTTTCGGCGCCGACACAGCGAGGTCTGGTACAGTGAGACCACCGGTTGACTCCAAACTCGCGGCATTCGGACCATTCAGGTCTCCGCCTCGGACAACGTCGCTTGTTGAAGGCCCCGAAATTGTTGCCGATTCCGTGTTGTCTGATGAAGAATGCTGTCTGACTGAGCAAGACACATCCGGAAAGGGTTCGGGAGCGGCCTCGTCAATTGATCCTAGGCCGGGGTGCTTGCTCCCGTAGGACCGTTCAAGGGTCTCGGAGCGCTGCGAGATGCCGCCCTCCGAGTCTGACAACGGCGTTATGCACTGTGTTTCGGAGGCTCCAACGAATCGCGGGCTGGGTGCGGCGGGCTGCAAGTTTCCGTCGGACCGAGAATGGTCATGTTCCTCCGAATCCGTGTCATCCTCGTCTGCCTCGAAGTAATCCATCTTGGACCGAGACATTTCATCCTCGGCGCTCAAGTCTCTCACCTGTGTCGCGTCCGCGCTCGCATCGATCGAGTCACCCGACCAAGCTGCCTCTGGCGCCTCGAAGAGCTCCGGCAGGCTTACGCCGTCTTCGTGTACGATGCCCGGATCGATAGATTCTTGACCGTCCTCCAGCTGTAGCCTCGCTGCGTCCTCGTTGACAGAATCTCGACCAAGACTGGACTGCGGTGCTGGCAATTCGTGCTGGTCGATGACATCGTCAAGAATCCGAATCTGCGTCCTCAACGTATCGGACGAGCCGCATTCGGTGACTGTTGCAACGATCCCGGAATACTCAGCGTCCTGTGGGACGGCGTCATCCCGTTCGTTGATTTCTTCGACGCAATGTAGCAACCATCCTTCTTGCGGGACATTGCGTTGTGCGATATCCGAGGACTCGCATTCTGACTCGTCAAAGGTGTGACCTGCTAAATCGGAATTATTGATGATGCCTAGGCCCGAGCGAGCCTCTTCATGACTGGTCGACTGTAGTACACCATGCGATTCGGGGGTCGCATCTCCCTCAGAAGCTTCTTGTAGACATGCTTGGTCTTCAAGAGCAGAGCTGAGATCTGTGCCGTTGGTAGCCTCGGTGGATGCCAGGCTCTCGGTCGACACCGCTGCTGGTACCTCGCCTCTCGCTAGATCCAAAGCGGGTGCGGTCGAGGTCACGGGCGTCTTTGGTACCGAAAGACCGTGCTCTGCTGAGGTTTTCGCTGCCGGATACACAGGGTATGGCAGCTCTGGTGTTGCTAAGACCAAAGGGCTAGATGGTCCGCCATCTCCAAAGACGTTAAAGAGGTGTGCCTCCGAATCGGGCGACGAATGCCGCATTTGTGAAGGTGTAATGAGCAGGCTGTGCTCAGGCGTGGCCATTTCGCTCTCGGTGAGTGCTGGCATGGAGGAACACGTTGACCTTGAGGAGCTGGAGTCGTCATCCTCAGCCTCGCTGTGCTTGAAGACTTCAGCTGCAGGGCTCAGCACAGGCGAGGCCTCGCTTCGGAGGGAATGCTCATGAATTTCGTCAGTGACGGGACGAGCCTTGCCACTGACCGACGAAGCCACGCTGACAGCTTCATCAGGTATGCTTCCGTCACTGGCAGAGTCGACGGCAATAGCCGAATCTCGCTCTGACGGCGTTGTGTTCCTCGAGTGCTCCTCACGTTCCCTATACTTGGCAGGGACAAGTGGGAAAATACGCATCGATGAGCTTCTGGGTGGGACACAGGGTGGCACGGGAGGTTGTGTGAAGTGGCCCGGTGAGCCTGGAGGCGTATATGAGGGCGAAGTGTGGTTGACTTCTACGGGATCCCGGCGAACCTTCGGCACGGCAAGCCCGTCCGAAACTGTAGAACGAGGTGTGAATGGGCGAGACGGTGGGTTGCGAGGGCGCGGCGAGTGCTCATGAGACGGCTCCTCAGGGACATCCTTGAGACTGCACGTGTCTTTGCAAACGAGGTCGATGTCAGCCTGAATGCGTGCTCTCAGGTGCGCCACAAACAGTGCCTGCTCATCCTCCGGGGTGTTCGGGGCGAACGGGCCTGGCGATGACTGGTGGTTGCGCGATATGAGAGCTTTGTCCAGGACGAGATGCCCTCGCTTGTGGGCAATCATGCGGACTGCAACATCGTGCCCTCGCAGGACATCACCCACGCCCGTCCGTATGCGATCGAGCAGAGCCTCGATCGTCCGCCGGCTGTGTCTCTGTTTGCTGTCGAGGGTGAACCGAGCCGGGTTGTTTATGCGCCACCCGTGACCAATCAGCTCCGCAATCCGGAAGTCGAAGTCGTTCAGTACATCGAGCTTTGCGTCCACTTTCTCCCTCAACTCGTCGAGGCTACCATGGACGCCACGCACAAAGTCGTCGCAGTCGTTTCCACAGACGTGTCTGAACAACTGTAGCCGGCTTTGAATGTTGCGGTGCAGGTGCTCGTAGTAGGGCCCAAGGTTGTTAATGACGCGGAGGTCCACGCACAAGGCATCCTCGTCAAAATGTCGGCAGTCGCAGTCAACGACGCCCTCGAATCCATCACAATCCGCATGCTCGATCTCAAAGGCAGTCCTCCTCGAGTCAAGCATGTCTTCGAGCGTCCTGTAAGCCTGCCATAATAGCGTCTCACCCTGGCCAAGATTCAGCGGGGCGGTCTGCTTGCTATTGACCTTCAGAGTTCGTGTGATGAGTGCTTGACGCCGTGAGGGGTTGCGGCTCCTGAATACAAGCTCTAGGGTGTACCCAGGGATAAACTCCCAGGTCTGCGTAGATTCTATGAAACAAGAGCGAGGCACGCAAGAGAGATCCGGGGCACCGGTAAGTGAAGGCTTGAGATGTTGGTGTGTCATGGGAATATTCTTGCGAGGGATCGTTGGTCCATCGGAAGTGCTGGTCATGGTGTCTTAGAAAGACGCAAACGATGCTGTGAGTCGAGCAAAGAATGTCCTTGGCCAGGGTACTGGTGACGGGGTGTTTCTGGTAGGACTTGAAAACCCTCTCGGCCCAGATTCCAGGAAGCCCATCGTGCCTGAGCTGGAAACTGATCTCGAAACGGGGTGCTTGACGGAGTTCCTCATTCAGCGCCTCCGGGTCGTTGCGGGTGATCAGTTCCTTGGAGCAGTGCTCGATTCTGTGCAACAGGCCACGACATATCCGGTCGGTGGGCTCGAAAGCTGGTGAGCTGGAGTAGATTCGATTGTAATGTAACGATTTGACGACGGGGTCCAGAAACCTGACGTTGACCTTGACCTGGAGGGGTGCGTTGTCGAAGGCGAACCCGCTTTCCTCCTCGATCGGCGACAGAAGGCCTCCAAGGGTCATGTTGGCGTCTTGTTGACTTGAGAAGCTGTTTGAAGGGTCGAAGATGGGCTCGTCAAGGACGAATTTTGAGAGATTGAGGGTCTGGAGTTGTGGACCGCGGGCCCTGATGCGATCGGACGCGTCCCAGGCCATCCTTGAAATTAATGCGAACCGTTGTCAATGCTGGATGGGGTATGCTGGCAAAGGGGGGAGGGCCGTGTAGAAGTCGTGGTTCAGCACCAGCGTTATCTCTGTGCTATCCCAGAAATGAATGAAAGTAGCTTGTCGCGTTTGTTGCGTTGTTGAAGAGAGAGTGAGCGTGTGTACACCAAGAGCTGGCAGGTCGCTAAGGACGGGGACCGAGTAAACAAGATGCAAGCGCCATCTCTGGGCTACCAAGTTGGGCTCACTAATGGAGAGGTGTGCAACAGGCAGTTGGGACGCATGAATGCGTGCAGAACACGGCGCATGGGATAGGACAAGTGGGAAACGAGGAGTGGAAGATGGGTATATGTGTTCGGCCTAAGTAAACACAGATTGCTAGGCTCATGCGACCGAGACCATGACCATGACCATGACCACGACCACGTCAGAAAGGCTGTTCTGTCATTCACTCGAATAAACGTGAGCTGGGCTGGGCTGGGGCTGAGGCGAAAGCCCTGCTTCTTGTCCTTTATCAGATATACCAATACCCTTTGTTTTCCTCCTTCCGTCCCAGCCGAGAAAAGTGCGCCCAGGCAGGCTGAAGGGCCATTGGCTCCTTCCGGTCAACAAGAGCAACGAACGAGGTCGTGTGAGTGCGAGTGCAATGTGTGCCTGTGTGCCTGTGCGTGGAGACAGGCGTGCATTGGTGCGCGGGGACTTCCCAAGCAACCGGGACAGGCCGGGGTAACGAGAAGGGGATGTGCGTAGGACAGGCCTGTCGGGTACCCATCGAGCCTAGGCCCCGGCAGAGTGGCATGACGCCGGGCCGCGAGGTTCAGGTCGCGGCCGTTTGACGTGGCATGACACAGTCTAAGTTAGGTGGCGATGTGCCACTTGGCAGGGCCTGGGAGTGAGCACGTGAAAGCAGTTAGTACTGTAAGGGTAGAGCTCGGGCAGTGACTGTCCTGAAATGGCCCCACGTTCAACACCGAGGACGACATCCTGAGCATTCCGTATTCCGAGGAATACTCTTGACCTGACGCACGACAATGGAGCCCACGGGGACAGACGGAGCCGCCTGCAAGCACTCAAGCACCCGGGCACTTGTCAGATGCGCATTCATGCAGCTCGTTGTGTGGGCCGCGAGTGGCTGGGGCTAACTGCTGCTGTGTATTCCCGGCGAAACAGGTCGCTGTTTGGGGAGAGCTGAGGATGAAATAGACGGGTTTCAATTCGGCCTTGCAGAGGGCCCCAGCCAACACCCCAGGCTGATGCGCCGTCTCATCTCACGCCTGGTACCAGCTATAAGGCCAGCTAATACAATACCTCCACACAGCCCAGGTTGATGATTGATTGCACCGGGAGATGAGGGAGGGGATCGCATGAATAAGGGAACGTCACTACACGAGGGCACAGGAACACGGTGGGGCCACTTTGCTCTCTCACATGTGCCAGTGGGGGACACCAGCCCTGGCTGCCTGGGCCTGCTCTGCGGGGGCGGAGCCCGATCGAGCCTGGAGCCACTCTAGAGCTGACCCGCACATGGCCTAGACGACTCCTCTTACGTGACCTGGTGGAGTGAGCGCTGAGAGCTTTGGGATCTTTGGGTGGAGGCCCAGATTATTCTCGGGGGCAGGGCAGACAGGTATCAGCCCATATTTGCGTTCAATCGAGCAGCTATGATGCAAGTAATCTCTTTGCGTTGGTTGGTGGGGTGATCTCTGTCTACCACACTGCAAGGCTGGTTGGCCTTTACTTGTTGGGGGAAAAAGAAGTAATGCGTTTCGATTTCATTCCCTCTGATCGCAAAATGCTGTAATTCAATTGGGGAACACAAGGCTTCGGAGTGGCATAAATCTTTCCAATCACAAGAAGAGAAGTTGCTTACAGATATGGAACGGGCAGCCATCTACGTCGCCTTCGAAGCCTCGATGACTTCCGTACTTGTACGACTGATCAAACATTGACTTACGGACAAGGCCGTGGCTCTTGTGAATGTCGTCCCCCATCAACGCCTGTAACATCATGGCACATGTGGTTGACACGGCGCTATTCCAGGCAAAGAGAAACACGTGAAACTCTTGTAAATTGTGCAAGTCGCTGCGCTATTCCTCAATATCGCTGTAGTCAGGGCATCGCTACCAACTCATCAGGTCAAACTATTCGGTCCAAAGCCATCATCTCTCTTCCCAGCGCATAGACCAGAGGTTTTGGCACCACCACCCCTCACCCGACGAATTCTGTTGTCACCATCTCATCCCAAGACCTGCCGCTCTCCCACACCCTCTCCACCAGCTCCTTGGCCCTGACAACCTGCAAGAACCCGCTGCGAGCCATGCTCCCCAGCCTCTCGCGGATCCTCGCCCGCCGCGCCTCGCCCGCGAGCGTCTCGCACGCGGCCGTGAAGAGCGGGAACAGAACGCTGGCCTCGGCGCTGCCCCCGAGCGGCACGCAGTCGACGCACGCGTGGATCTTGAGCACGGCCGCCTGCACGTCCTCGTGGCTCGAGGGCTTGCCCAGCACGCGCCGGTGGAGGTGGACCAGCCCGGCCCAGTGGTACGCCTCGTTGAGCGCCGATATCTCGCGCTGGTTCCACCTTACCACGTCCCCCGACGCGTGCAGGTGCTTGCACGGCTGCGGCGGCAGGATCATGCTGCGCTTCGCCTCGTCCTCGAGCTCCCACGCCCGCGTGATGATGTCCTTGGGCGGCCGCCACTCCCTGCCGCTGGGCATCCCGGGCGGGTGCGGCAAGATGTCCGCCGCGCCGGGGCCGCTGCTGGTTGTGATGCCGCCGTTGGTGCGCAGCGCGTCGCACTCCTTGGCCAGCTCGGCCACCTTGGCCAGGATGTAGACTCCCCGGGTCGTCATCCCCATCAAACAGTCGATCTCGTCGAACTCCTCCTCGTAGTCGTCCTTCTGGTAGTCCAAGATCCACGCCGTCGAGCTCTCCCTCCGACCCCCGCTCAGCGTGCCCAGCACGTCCAGGAACGCCAGCCAGCTCCACAGGAACGCGCGCACCTGGTCCTCCTGCGTCCACCGCCGAGACCAGCGGATCCCGTCCGGCCTCGACGCGATCAGCTCTCGCGCGAGCCCCAGGTGCCGCTGCCACGGGATCGTGTAGCCGAACGCGGTCGGACTGACGATCTCCAGGGACGCGAGCATGATTCCGGTCGCGATATTGGCGTTGGAAATCTTCTGGTTCGGATCGTTCAAGGCATTTCGCAGGGCTGGGAAAATGTCCTGGACCCAGTGTGCTATCCGCATAGCTGGCTCTGGTTGGTTCAGCAGGTGGGCGCGATGAGAAGCTGCGACAGAGTTTAGTAAGAGTCCTCTAATCTGCTCGATACAAGTGCAAGGGCCACCAAAGGGGCACTGACCAGAGTACGCCAGCATGAGGCTCAGTAGGTTGTCGTTCTGGACGGCCATCATCGGCAGGACATGTCTGTACGGGTTGGATTGCTCGTCATCGTGGGGTACAAGGGCCTTGGCTGTATGGTTCATGAAGTGGTGGAAGTACAGTAAGTTCATCGGGTTGTCGCGCAGCTTGGAGGGGAGGGGCTCGAGGTCTTGAGGAATCCGGACCGGCATAGGGCGGCTGTAATACCCTCGCGGCCTTGTCGCGCTCGCATCTTCTATTCTGATAGAGTCGACCGCGTTCATGTCATCCTCGGCAGTGGAGTCCCTGGATGACTTGATGATGGCATGAGCGTCGTCATTCTGGCCGAGGTCCAGGTCCCTGAAGCCGGGGTCGACCCCATAGTATGTGGTGACATGGGATAAGCACAATGTGGTCCTGGCATTAACTGCTCTCTCTGATGGCGGTGCGTACTGCCGCGCTACCGGTCCCGGAGGACCTGAGAGAAGCGAGTTGACTGACATCTTTCGGACATCAGGAGATCCTAGCATTCCGTGGCTGGACGAAGTCTGACGCCCCCCGTCGCTGTATGGCGAGGAGGCAGCTGGTGTCAACGGCGACGAGGCCGTGGTGGCTGTGGTTAGCCCAGTACTGGTGATGCTAGGAAAGAGTTGAGGCGTGGCGCCCGCGGAAGTGGATTCGGTTGGTGATGAGATCTGCGGAGGCATGTCGAGGTCGACGCTGTACTTCAGACGCTTTAGCGGAGGCGGCTGTCCTATTCCATTGCTGCTGCTTTCTGGAGCGGTGGCGTATGCTCCGGAGACGGCATTCGGGTTGCTACTGTGAGGCGGAGGAAGCGATGGTGTTGGACCGGTAAAACCAGGAGACCGAAATGCTGCTTCGTCCGAGTCGTTGCGAACATGGCCTCGGGATTGAGCAGCGAACACGCTCGACCCTGGGAAGGAAAACTTGGGATTTGTGCCGGGGGAGGGGCCGCTCGCGGGCGCGGGGCCTGGGGGCGTGTCCTGTTCACCAGGACCGGCTCGTAAGCTGCTTGCCGACGGTGACTGCCCTTCTGTGATGCGTGACACCGTCGCGCTGGACGAGCCATCAGATTGACGCCGTGCATCTTGTCGCGAACTCGATGAAGATTCCGACGGGACTTGGAATAGGATGGTCTCGAAGCCTGGATTCTTCTTTTTCCTCCCTTCCCAATTGAGCTTGATGCTATAATCACAAGTCTCACCTGTGCGTTCACAGCTGGTGCATGTTAGGACAGTTGTTCCACGCGCTCAACAAGGTAACATGATCATATGGCTTGACGGTCGATTTTGCCCTCCACTTGGATGAGCTGCGCAGGTTGCTATGGCAAGGAAGGGCACACCCGAACGGAGAACCCCGCGAGTCCACGGCCGGTAGCGAAACATCTCAAACTTTTCGTAGAAAATCTGAGCATCGATCTGGTGATGGCTGATGGGCACTGATGGTTCCTCGCATCTTGGTCCTGCAAGTGCAATCCGTTGTTGCGCAACCTGCTAGGGTACTTCGGACAGTATGAAAAAGGAGGCGAGGTCGTTATACTTTACACATTGAGGTCTCTCTTCTCCACATTTCACCTTCCTGGCTTTACACGGCCTGTCACGCGTCATCAGCATGCTGTTCGTCCGTAGGTTTCAGGGGCTGCTGCTGCGGTGCTCACCAACAGCCATTCCTGCTCCGTTTCTTCGGTTCCGGCGCACCCGGCCTCTTGGGTCGAGGCATACCTCGGAATGGGCGTGGCCTGGGTTGTCGTCGGTGTCGTCCGCTTCCTGTCGCTCTTCTGCTGGCGGGCCAATTAAAGCGGGGTTAAAGCTGGAAATCCCCATAGTCCACCCTCGTCCGTCGCCGCCCGTCCGTCGAATGGGCCAGGGTCACGATGGGCCAGCGAGCAAAACTTCGACCTGCCAAGAACTCTCATTCGCCCAATGACACAGTGAGGATCGCGGCCGGCGGGCAGACATGCAAGGACGGTTTGAGTCTCATGCGTGGAGGAGGGATGAAGACGGGACCGGGCTGAATGGGGAAGAGGGAAACCCAATGGCTGGCAGTGATTGATTCAGGCGCCGGACAGGCCCTTGCAACAGGTCTTGGGATGATAAGGAACTAATACGCGGCTGCTTTGTGGATCCCCGCCCAGGGCGGCACTTGGCCAAGATCTAACTGGGCGCACCGATAGCTGCGCCGTCACGTGGGGTTGCAACGATGCAAGATGCCGATCGGAGGCTGAATCCTGAACAAGTAAGTGACTCTGTAGAAAGCTACGTGGTTGTGCGTATGTTGCTATTGCAGCCACGGGGGGCCAGTCGGGCTATAGTGGCTGGGAAGCACTGTGTATTTGGTTTAGGTGGTGGTCAGAGTCGCCAAGTTGCCGTGTAGATCGCCTGCAAGCAGGCATCCGGCACATGCCGATCACGTCTCGATTGAAATCTATACAATGTCGATGTTGAGGATCTTGATATCCTCTTCCGGCCTCTCCTTGTGAGTCCGGGCATTCTCGATCTTGTGTATCACATCCAGGCCCTGGACAGCACGACCGAAAATGGTGTGCTTATTGTCAAGCCAAGGCTATCCAAGTCGTCAGCCAAACGAGATGCGTGTGAAGGCAGGTCATAGAGGAAGCCACTTACTGTTTTTTCAGTCGTGATGAAGAACTGGCTCGCGTTCGTGTTCGGTCCGGCGTTGGCCATGCTCACCGTATAGGGCTTATCGTGCTTCAAACTACTGAATTCGTCCTCGAATTCCCTGCCCCAGATACTCTCGCCGCCTGTACCGTCTCCTAGCGGATCTCCACATTGTATCATGAATTTCCGGATGACACGGTGGAATATCGTGTTGTTGTAGTAGCCGCTCTTGGAATGCGTCACAAAATTCTCCACCGCCTTTGGTGCGGCATCAGGGAAGAGGCGGACGTGGATATCGCCGTAGGTTGTGTGTATAATAGCCGCAGTGCCTGTCTCCTTTTGCTTTTCTCGTCCTGCCTTTGCCTTCTTGCCGTCTGCTGTGGGCTTCTCATTTTGCACATCCCGTGTGCTCCTGGATATCTCTTCTTCGTTGGTGAACATATAGAAGCGAACCTTCCCCACGCCTGTGGCGAAAATGATGGGGTCTCTGGCTTCAGATTCCTCCAGCAATGGATTGCTCGATGCGGCCATAGCGACGGTAGTGACACCCTTCTTCTGCGGTGCGCCCTGATAGATGGCAAGATTTAGTGCCCGAAGCTGCTCATCCTTGCCGAACACCTTGACCACCTGGTTAGTGTATGTGTTGAGTACCTTGATACCCACGATAGATCCATAGATGATGAAGTGGCCTGACTCGTCAAACACTGCAGTAGCCTTACTGCGGTAGGCCGGCGATTCAACTTCCCGCTCGATAGCAAGCCGTCTACCAAACTCGACTGCGTCTAGTTTCTGAAGAGCCGTGCCGGCTTGCTGCATCTCCTCGATGACTTGCAGCGACTCGTCATACGTCCTGTACAGCTTTGCCGTGGCAAATTCGAATATCCTGATTTTGCGGTCTGGCATCGACCATGTCACAAACTGATGTCCAGAGGGAGATATCGTGAGAGACGTCGGGACAGATTTTGCCTTCTTGAAGTCGAACAGATTTGTCGAGCTCTTGTACTGGAAGACGTTATCCGGCTTCTCGTAAGAACCGCTGGGCCTCCAATACTCCACCATACCGCCCTCATCTGTCGACACCACACAGTCGTAGGCATCGTTGAATGCCATAAGACTAACTGGACTCCTATGCAAGCCCTTGATCACGTGTATCGGCTCCTGCTTCTCGCCCCTGCCATCATATACGTGGATGACGGGCTTTTCGGCGTCCGAGACAGCAAGTAAAGGCAGGCTTGCACCCTTCTTGTGCACCCAGCATACACTGTTTGGCGTGTATTCCAGCGGCAGCATGGCTAGGAGGTCGAACGTGATGACATCGAATATCTTGATGGTCTTGTCGACTCCGGCCGTCGCAAAGCTCCTCCCGTCCGCGCTACACGATACAGACCGGATCTCGCCCTGGTGGGATTTAAACTCCTTGACGAACTCGATGCCTTCGGCAACTTTCTTCCAGAATTTGACTACACCGTCCACCGAGGACGTAATCAGGAAGTCGGTGTGGGGAGTCATGGTCACAAAGGAGAGCTGCTCCTTGTGCATCAGGGACTTCGAGTAGCGGGTAGATCTGGGCAGGGCAGACACGTAGAGCTTCTCGTAGGGGAGGACGCGGCGCTTCTTCTTGGGAGCAGCTGCGGAGGGCAGCTGCGGGCCCATGTCGTCGTCGGATGAGCTGTCTGAGGTCACCATCATCAGCCACTCCAAGATCTATACAAGCGCGCGTGGAAAGTAGGTGAGCTGAACTTACCCTCCCCTTCGAACTCTGAACGGTCTCGCTTCTGCGATTTGACATCTTCGTCTTGATTGGCCTCTGCCATATTGTCTGACGGGCTGTTACTTGGTTCGGCAGAGTCACGGCAACGCGTGAAGGGCGGTTCTCCGTGCTGCGACTGCTCGAAGGCGGTTGGGAGGACCGCGGATCGAAGGTCAAGGCAGCTGTGGCTCCATAGCTTTTTTGGGGCCGCTGGCTCTTATCGATAGTAGGCTAAGCTCCCGTCCAACTGGGGCCATAGATGCCCATTGACCAACAGTCTTACAGCGTGCCGGATAGCTTACAGGGATCCCACACCGGGGTAGCAAGGCCGCATAGGGTCCTTCAACATCATGAACTCCAACAAGGTGGACCTCCAGTTCCAAACCCTATTCTAATATTATACACAGTGCATTCATGACTAAGTTCTGATGCTGGTTCCTTTTGTATATAATAGTTGGGTATCTGGCAAATCTTATAGATACCTGCCAATCGTATACAGCTCCTCGCCATTTATGCACGAACTAGGTTATGGAAGTTCATCATTAGATTTCAAATGCATTGTCTCTGTCCGGCCTGTCCGCCTTGGACAAGATCTCATTATAATCATACAGTTCAAGCTTACGCCTGCCATATCACCAAGCCCACGGTTGCTCAGTCGCGGTCGCGCCACCTCTCGTCCACCAGCTCAATATCTGATCTTCCGTCGGCAGAGCTCGGCCCAAATGTAATGGTATTCGTAATACTCTTTTGGATCCCACCACTGAGCTTGTAGCGTGGGGACTTTGGGGTCATGTACGGCGCCGGTGTGTTCTTGCTGCCTCCAGAGCTGCCGAAGCAGCTGGGGAACGCCCTCTTGAGGAGCGAGCGGACCGCGGGCAGGCAGCAGCATATGATGCTCACGAAGATCTCGAGGACGCTCCAGTAGGCTGTTGGTACGTTGTCATCTGGTAATAGAGGGCAGTCTGTCAGTTGCGATGTGCGTGCCGTGGGTCTTATATATGCTGAGACTTACAGGTGGCATTGGTGGTCGTCGCGAAATTGACCAGGGCCGTCAGCCGTACAATGCTGACGATGGTTATGCTGCGAATACACCGCGGTCAGAACCACGTTGCCATGGGATTTGAACTCCAGATTGAAGGGTAGGGATGCTTACAAGAGCCCGACGCTGAACATCAGCACCAGCTGAATCCTTTTCTTCCTCCCCATGTTGAGCCTCCACAGCTGTGGTATCGGGAGCAGGATGATGGTGAGATCGAGCACGATGTTGATGCTGGACTGCGCCCATGCAAAGGTGTTGAAGCTGAAGCAGTGGCCCTCTGTTTGCCCCGTCCACCCCGTCCAGTTGTAGCTGACAGGAGTGCAGTTGAAGGCAGTGGCCAAGGCCGCTGCCGGTATGTAGGCCAGGCAAATGGCTACCATGACGAAACAAATCCGTTGGAAAGTCTGGCCCGGGAATACTTTGAGATACAACAGCAGCATGGCTATCTTGGTCAGGCCAAGTGCTACCATGTACAGAATTTCTGAGAGCCAGGTGAGCTGCAGAATGTCAGCCTCAAGCTCGGTTCGGGTCTGGCAATGATGGGATCCGCACCATGATGATTCGGGTAATTAAGTGGTGAGGGATCGTCCAAATGTCCCTCCCGAAACCGTATGTGGACACTACGATATTGTCAACATTCAGCAAAGCGCAAATGGCCGTGACAGCAACTTACTTGGAAATACAAGAGCTCCTATCACCAAACAACAGGCCTGTTTCCTTTAGTTTTGTGTTTACGCCACAGCAGATAAGGCGCTTGAATCCTTACAAGTGACATAACAATGCAGAAGTTGGACCAGTTGAGGAAGGTATCCCGGGCGAGGCTGTCAACAAGCCTCATGATGGCGGCTACAATGGCGAAGGTCCCTGAGATGGCGGTGACGACCGGGGTGATGACTGTCAGGTCCCGAACAGGCTCGCCGCAGAAGGTTTTTGTTGCGTTTAAGGCCGCTGGAAGGGCAACTGTAGTCAGCACGAAAGCCCAAACATCTGAATAACACGAACTTACTCAGAGCTTCAAGCGTCGTACATGCTGCCAGTGTGCAGTTTTGTACTTGTCCCGTCAAAGTGACGTCCGAGCATATGCAAGCAGCGTCGGTCGCATTGCATCCTGACTGTGGGAGGTATGTTTCCAAGCAGTTCGTCTAGCAGGAGGACATCAGTACTCAGTTTGCTGTTCCAGTAATTCCCACTGCTTACCGCACACGATGGTGGTGACACATCGGCGAAAGAGGACGCGACCAGGCCCCCGACGAGGAGGAGGCCAACAGAAAATGCCCTCATGGTGGCTAGACTTGCTACCACTACACACTCATGATCGAGAGAAAAACAGAAAAGTCGACACGCAACATTCGCAGCAACGGCGGAAAAGCCTCCAAGATAATCAACAGCCGTGAAGGATCGAACTTGGCATGGACTATATCTCCCAGCACTTTCCAATCTGCCGTTTCATACCTTGCCACAGTGTAAAATAGCATCAATGGAACAAGACTGCAAGGAATCTCGGACGAGCACCACGAGGATTGAAGCCCCCGAGTCACCTTCCCAGCTGCAGAGGCGTCGACGTTGCCCGGAGCTAGACCACACTCGGCCTGTTACAGGGTCATACGCACCCCAATGGCGAGGCCGTAGTTCTGCCGGGGGGGGTTTCCGGGACATTGGCCCTAAGCCTCATTTCACGATATCCCATCGGATTATAGGAGAGGGTCTCCACAGGTCAGGCTGGAATGCCATACCTACACTGTGTGAGCAGACAGAGCAGACACGCCTCGGCCGACAGGCACGGACGTGCTCTGCGGAGGGGGCGTCTGCAGGTTCCTTGAATTCCTTGGATACTGTTACAACTCTACGAACAGAGGACAGAGTACAAGTCGGGTCTTCCCGATCTCATATACGAGTCTCCAGGCCCTCGATCTTTGTAACATTGTTGTGGATACTAGGGCGCTCTCGACGAGATGCCGGCAGAAGAATCCGGTGGACGACGAGTCATGATCCCCCCATTTCTACCCTGCAGTGGCAGAAATAGAGTTTCAGACCATGCAATGGTTCATCAGCTTTTCCCAGGAATAAGAGTGCTCGGTGAATACCAAGGCACACCGTGAGGAGCGAACATCCGGAGATTTACCACAGTATTGTACGTCCAAGATATGGCGTCTGCCCGTTGGGTGTAGCAGCATCAGCCGCGTGCGTATGCTCCCACAGACCCACGATCCACTTGGGATGCGACCCCACCCTCCCGTTTACAGCGGTAGCATGTCTCCGGCAGTCTGGACTAGATTGGCGATCCTTTAGGTTAGAGTCCCTGACGTTGATCGGATGCTTGTCGACTGCGGGGGGGGAGGTAATCGTGCGATAGACTTTGTGCGCCTATTCGCGATTGTTGAATTGCCAGTCTGCAGCAAAGCAATCGCCTTCAATATGGTAGTCTTGACGAAAGAGACAATCGTATCGTCTGTTGAGCTAGGTCTTCGTGTTTTCATTGCGTATGTGTTATGCTGGGTCGTCTATACGAGATGTTTTCACCCACTGGCAAAAGTTCCTGGACCATGGCTGGCCTCAGTCACCCGAGCCGTAAGTAATCTGTCCTTGCCTCACGTGTGTTTGACTTGGAGACTGCCGCTCATCGGCATATGAGCACTGCGCTTAGTGCAACGAGTCATTGACATGGGGAATGGCAGTGGTATATGATACAAATTTTACGAGGTGACATGGAAAAGACTCAACGGTGAGCGGCTGGAAACATACCGTCGGAACTGACAACAGTTCCTGACAATGTACACAGGCAGCTTCACGCCAAGTATGGCCCGCTTCTGAGGATTGCCCCAGATGAGCTCACATGTGCGGATCCCAACGCCATCAAGTTGGTTTACAGGACACAAAATGCCCTGAACAAGACTGATTTCTATCCTGTGTGGAACAATCAGGTGAGATCCGTGAGTGTCCTCTCGCAGTGAACAGCCATACTGACGACCTGATCTAGAATTTTAGCAAGCATAAAGAGTATCTAAGCTCTTACCGTGGGCACGTCCCATAAGGCACATCACTGACGAGGTGGATAACTCAGTGCCTTCACCGAGACCAACGACAGGGCCCATGGCGAACGAAGACGGATCGTCAGTCATGTGTACTCTCTGGCCAACGTCTTGAAATCCGAGGAGTACATTGATAGATGCTCCGAGTTGATGATGGTCCGGCTGAAGGAGTGCGCCGAGGCAGATGAGCCGGTGATAAACCTGGGGCACTACCTCCAAATGTAACCCAAAGACCCACTCCGAAGCTGAGTCTCTGTGCTCGCAAGCTGATAACATCATCCCAGGTACGCGTTCGACGTGATTGGTGAGCTCTATCTTGGGGAGATGTTCGGGTTTCTCCAGAAGAATCATGACCATGGTGGGTGGATCCACTCACTGGACCTGCTGATGCCCTTTCTGTGTCTATGTGCCGTCGCACCAGCTTCGGCCCGTCCGTTGATCCTCGCCTCGTCCCTCTTTGTGCCCGGGTCGTTCAAGGCGCTGAAAGCCGTGGAAAATATTGGCATTTCCGCGAGAAGCTATGTGGCGAGACGGTTCGATGAGGCGCCCCGGCTGGATTCTCGGAAGCGGACAGACATGCTGCAGCAACTGTATGATGTCCAACTGCAGAAGGGAAACAAAATGGACTTCCACATGGGTGATATCGAACAAGAAGCATATGTTGGTATGTCTTCTTCTGACCTCCCTGGACCTTACCACAAAGTCATGCCTCAGGAACGTTGACAGAATGGACACAGCTCTGTTTGCAGGGTCTGACACGACGGCTATCGCGTTCCGGTCGTTGTTCTATCACCTGATCAAGAACTCGGATGTGTACAAGAAGCTCCAGGACGAGATCGACCATGCTTTCAGTTCCGGCCAGCTCAAGTCACCGGTGAAGTTCTCGGACGCCATCAAGCTTGATTTCCTGAGCGCTTGCATCAAGGAGGCCCTGCGAATACATCCAGGAGTGCAGTTGAGCATGGGCCGGGTCGTCCCAGCGGATGGGCTCGAGCTCTGCGGGATGTTCGTGCCAGGCGGTTACTGGGTAGGTTTAAACCCTGCCGTCGTCCACTTTGACAAGTCGGTCTTCGGCCAGGACGCAGATGAGTTCCGACCGGAGAGGTGGCTCGGGCCTGACGCAGCGATGATGGACCGCCATATCCTGTCGTTCGGACACGGCTCAAGGACCTGCATAGGCAAGAACATCTCTCTGGCTGAGCTGCATAAGCTGACACCCGAGGTGTTGAGAAGCTTCGGGTTGGAATTGGCGGACAAGAACAGCACGTGGAAGACACGGAACCTGTGGTTTTGCAAGCAGGAGAATGTAATTGTGAGGCTGAAGAAGCGAAAGGTCTGATGGCTTTGTCAAGTTTTGGGAAGGGAGGAGCCGGTATTGACCGAACCAGACCATAAATGGAAATCCTCGGGCATGGTCAGGTGGTGAGGAGGTATCGTGAGCCGCCGACGGCGCCGGCGGAGCAGGGTTTCGTCCGCTCAAGACGATCCGAGCGCGCGGGAATGACCTGCAGCCCGCGAGACGTCACGCTTATGTAATTGCTCAGCCGAAGCTGCCGGGATCGTTCGATGTTCATTCGAACGGCTCAGGATATTGACTTGGAATTTGTCCAAGATGTCATCACAGGGACTGGTCTGTTTCCTAGACTTTCTTATTTCAGCCTGCCGTTTTCGACCTAGATTTCTTCGCATCACTGCAAATAGCCAAATCGAGGCCGTACACACTCGAGCGATCTGCTTTCAGCTACAACGATTTCCAGGAGACGTTCTTTCGCGTGATAGATTTCCCTAGACAGCACCACCGGTCACCGACCATGGCACGCACGATTCATCCCCTGCAAAGACTGGCGTCGCCATCCAGGTCCATCTCTGCCATCATTCACATGCTCGGGATAGCGTCCTTCTCAGCGTCTTTCAGGTGGCTCTTCCAATACCCCACTCCCGAAAACGAAAAGTTCGGAGGCGTGTTTCAATTCTTGACCATCATCGGGTTGGCGCTCGCGCTGACGAGTATGGCCCTGGGACTGCTCGCCGACGTGACCTTGAGTTCTACCCTCTTCAATGCAAAGAACGTGATTTCGGTGTGCTCGACACCTCTGGAAGTCCTGGTCAGCATCCTCTATTGGGGCATCACTCTTATCGACAAGCGTCTCCTGGCCCCCGAAGAGTTCCAGCTACCTTTCTTGCCGGATTTCGGCTTCCACGCAAGTAAGCCGCCCCCAAAACCCGGTATGACCTTGTTTCTGTGGTCGTAGTCTCCCTCGTTGGTCATGCCAGGCCGTATCACGGGCTGTGAGCTGTGAGACAGACCGTGGGCAGAAAGTACCCGTCGAATTCCCTTCCAGCCCATGGAATTCTCCAATGGTGCATCGATAACTGATTCCGGAATCTGTAGTGCCAGCAATAATGTTGACATTGGATCTCCTGCTCCTCAGCCCTCCATGGACTATCAAATTCCAAGGTGCATTGACTCTTAGCACCTTCCTGGCCTTTGCTTATTGTAAGTCCTTGGGTAGAAGTACATGTTGCCCCTGGAGGAGATGTCTGTATCAACTGTAGCCATGGGGAAGTTACAGGCCAAAAATCTCCCTCTGCAGCCACTTCGCATATGGAAACGGAAGTACAATCACTGATAGCATTCAAGGGGCATGGATTGAATACACCTTCTCGTACAATCAGACGTGAGTTCCGCTTCTCAACAGGTAGACACGCCGAACTGACAAAATGATCAGTTACCCGTACCCCATCTTTACCCTTCTTACCACGCCTCAGAGGGTTGGACTCTTCACATTCTCTGGAATCACGTGTGCCATCAGTACTATGGGGCTTAAATGGTTATATGGAAAGATCAACGGCAGTAAGTGGAACCCTTTTTGAGTGTTGACTCTGCTCTTCGAGGGATGCCGGGGTCTTGCATCCAGAGCTTCAAGGGCATAGACCCTGGCATCGCTACCCCGAACCTGGAGCTCATCTCGGTACCATTCGACTCGCATTCTTGCCCTTGTTCATTATGCCCACAAGAGAAGGGCCAATGGCTGACAATTAGTAGTTGAGGAGTTCAAGAAAGAGGCTGCAAACCCGGTCAAGCTCGACTGAGCGACTTCAAGCTCCTTGTGCCACCGCACTCATGCCATCACATTCCATGTGTCGTGCAACAAACAGTTGGCTGCCGACTCTCGGTCTCGTCAGAAAGACTTCACGTGAGGATGTGACAGAAGTCCGTACTTTTGCGCGACGTTGGCTCGACGGCAAAGCCTGGGCCCTGGTTTGCTTCTCTGTGCCGTGACACCTGGTTACGGATCCACCCCAACACCGAATGCGCGGCTGTGTGTATGCCCGACAGGCGCCGAAACAAATTCTCAAAGGAGACAGTGTCCAAGGCGTGCCCATGAATTTCGATTTTGATAGAACACGTTGGATTGGTTGGTTTTTTATAGCGAATAGAGTCCGGCTGAAAGGGGTTGTTCCCTAGGCACAGCTCGCAGGGAGCTTAACAGCTTAGCAGCTCAAGCTAAGGGGTCCTCTGCCTGCCCCAACTGCTTCCCGGCCCCCACTGTAGGAGTGACTCAATGCTGAACCCAATGCGCTCTGGTTTGAAATAAGCATACGTCAATGGCTATCTCAAGGGCCCAAACTTTATCCATCTGATTCACACACCAACTACAAAGCTCTGCCCTGGGCCAAATTTCTCGGGCTTATTTTCGTGATACGTTCCAGCTTCTCCTTTCTTACTTTTCTCCCTACTTTTCTCCCTTTTCCTGATAGAGATACCCAGTCCCCAAGAGCGTGCATTGAAGCTTCCTTGCGTTCGACCTTCCCATCACAATGGCTGTAAGTGGACGAACCGCCCCGCTGCGCCGGACGCCGAGCTGCGGCCCACTCACGCCACACTCCCATGCCGATGACGCTGACTCACCTTCGACTCGCAGTCCTTCTACATCGAAAACAAGAACGTCGGCAACAAGGCCGAGAGCGAGGACTGGAGAAGTGAGTAGGACTGCGAGCCCCAAGCTCCTTGAACTACCGCGAAGAATCAGTGGCTAATTGCATCCTACGTTTCTAAGTCCGCGGCTACAACCCTCTCACAGCGCCCGACCTACTCCAACATGAGATCAAACAGACCCAGGAATCGAAGCGCACCGTGCTCGACGGCCGTGAGGAGGTTGTCGCAGTGGTCAATGGCACGGACGAGAAGCAGCGGCTGCTCGTGGTCATCGGCCCTTGCTCCATACACGACCCCCAGGCGGCCCTTGACTACTGTGACATGCTACTGAAAGAGAAGGAGAAGCACAAGGACGAGCTGCTGATTGTGATGCGCTCCTACCTGGAGAAGCCTCGCACGACTGTCGGCTGGAAGGGTCTTATTAACGACCCGGACATCGACAACAGCTTCAACATCAACAAGGGTCTGCGCCTTTCGAGACAACTTTTTGTGGACCTTACCTCGAAGGGCATGCCTCTTGCGAGCGAGATGTTGGATACCATCTCCCCACAGTTCGTGGCTGATGTGCTGTCCCTCGGTGCTGTCGGTGCGAGAACAACCGAGTCTCAACTGCACCGTGAGCTTGCAAGTGGTCTTAGTTTCCCCGTAGGCTTCAAGAACGGTACCGATGGGTCCCTAGGCGTTGCGATCGACGCGATCGGCGCTGTCAGGCACCCTCATCAGTTCCTGTCTGTCACCAAGCCCGGCGTGGCTGCCATCGTGGGCACGGTCGGCAACGACGACTGTTTCGTGATCCTGAGAGGAGGCACAAAAGGCACAAACTACGATGAGAAGAGCATCAAGGAGGCCAAGGCAGCGCTGCAGAAGGCGGGTGTACGCGAGCGGATGATGGTGGACTGCAGCCACGGCAACTCGCAGAAGAACCACAAGAACCAGCCCAAGGTGGCGGCCGTCCTGGCCGAGCAGCTCGCAAAGGGCGAGACTGGCATCATGGGCGTGATGATTGAGAGTAATATCAACGAGGGTGAGTTCCTGTCCAGGCGCGAACGATTGGCACGGAGCTCCAGAGCTGACCACATGCGCAGGATCCCAAAAGGTACCCAAGGAGGGCAAGGCAGGCCTTCAGTACGGCGTCAGCATCACCGACGCATGCATCGGCTGGCAGGACACCGAGTCTGTTCTGGCCCAGCTGGCTGACGGTGTGAAGAAGAGGCGAGCTGTCCTGGACGAGACCAAGGCGAAGGAGAACGGTGCATAGGGTGTCCGCCTTCCTCTTCGGCCGCGGCCAAACTGAGCCGTCAAAGATGTGGTCGCGGCGAACATGGTGACTTGTGACGCTGGGCTGGGAAAAGTGCTGTTCCAAGGCGTTTATTCTTATCAAAAACTGATGGCTGGCCAGGTCCAGCGGGAGTAGACGACATACAAATAATCAAATAAAACACGGGCAAATTCGGTAAATCTTGAATGCATTAGCAGGCAGACTGTACTCATGCCATATGCGTCGACCTCGACGAGCTTCACGTGGTCGTGGTGCGGATCGAGGGGGCACCTGTTCGCATTTATGCGTTTTTGAATGTGACCGTCATAGAGAGGTGCACGAGGTGGGATTGACCTTTTGGCTGGCGGGTGCAGCCAGGTCTCACAGTAGTCGTGTCTGCTGTGGTTGGCCCGTGCACGGTTGGGGGGTGTAATCGAGCAGCTTTCATTGGCAAATTCCTCGGGATCTTACGGCTGGCACAGGTTTTGCTCTGGCTCTCGACCTCAATCCAACGGCTACCGACCACTAGACCTCAAATCTCCAGGCATTGGGACTCGATCTCAACCCCACTCACCCACTCATCTCCTCGCAGCATCCTCTGAACGCCGAGCAGCAGCAGCTCCTTGCCCAAGATGTTTGCCCGGTCCTGCTTGCGCTCGACGCGCGCCTTCTCCGGGGCACGAAATGGCGCCATGAGCTTTGCGAAGGTACGAACCGATCCGTCCGCGGACGAAGGGGAGAACAGCTGGGCGAGATGCAGCACAACCGGCGCCCAAAATTCACGACCATCTCATACTGTGTTCGAGACGGACTCATCGCTTTCGGATTGGGGCTAACGGGCTATCTGGTTCATAGCGCGCCGCGTCCACGACCAGCAACGCAAACGCCGCCGAGGGAAGACGACTCAACATCGCCGCCGCAGCCTCGACTGCTGCCGCCCTCGGCTCCGTCGCTTGGTACTACCATCTCTACGGCTCCGATGCCTTCGCCGCGACACAGGCAGAAGAGGGGTGAGTGGATCAATTGCCCCTTGCTCGTACTCGGGAGCATTGATGCATCTGGGGGTGCCTGGACTGTATTGAGGCATATACAAACCGTCCAACCCCCAGGCGGCATTTCGAAGACGGGAACCTCAGAGCTGACAACAAACGCATAGTCTCCACCCTACCGCGTACCCCTGGGTGCACGAACAGTGGTTCAAGACCTTCGACCACCAGGCGTACGTGGAAACGCGATCCCTACACACCCCGAATGTGAACTCACACACCTGAACAGGCTCCGACGAGGCTTCCAAGTCTACCAAGAGGTCTGCGCGTCTTGCCACTCCCTTAGCAGAATTCCCTACCGATCTCTAGTCGGCTCCGTCCTCACCGTCGACGAGGCCAAGGCCATGGCCGAGGAGAACGAGTACGACAGTGAGCCCAACGACGAGGGCGAGATCGAGAAGCGGCCCGGCAAGCTTTCCGACTACCTCCCTGCACCCTACAAGAACGACGAGGCTGCCCGGGCTGCCAACAACGGCGCTCTGCCCCCAGATCTGTCCCTGATCGTCAAGGCCCGACACGGCGGCTGCAACTACATCTTCTCCCTGCTGACCGGCTACCCCGAGGAGCCCCCGGCGGGCGCCGTCGTCGGTGCCGGCCTCAACTTCAACCCCTACTTCCCTGGAACCGGTATCGCCATGGCTCGTGTCCTGTACAACGACCTGGTGGAATACGAGGACGAGACCCCTGCGACGACGTCACAGATGGCCAAGGACGTGGTTGAGTTCCTGAACTGGGCCGCCGAGCCCGAGATGGACCAGCGGAAGAAGATGGGTATGCAGGTGCTGATTGTGTCGACGGCTCTGTTTGCCATCAGCGTGTGGGTCAAGAGGTACAAGTGGGCCAACCTCAAGTCCCGCAAGGTCACCTACGACCCACCAGCAGAGTCCAAGGTGCGCCATTAAACACAAAGACAGCAATGCGGATAGAGCAGTGAGACAACGGGCCTGTCAAGGCCTGGCTGGTGGTCTCTTCATCAAAAGTGGCTGCTGTATGTGTATAATGTTATCAAACTTAGACTTCTTCCTCCCGGTTTCTCCTGTCTCACTCGCATTGACGAAGTAGAAAAAAAAGGAAAGACAGAAGAGACACGGGGACGGGGACAGGAGTAATATTCAGGGTTGGTAGAGTGTATATCAAAGCTTTCAGGTCTCAATTTTACCATTTTCTTGCGTCCTCAACACTGCTCAACACATGTGGTGAGAGGATGCTCGCTTAGCCTTGTGACTGGGACTGTGTACTGTGCGTGCACGCCTGGCCGTCTACTTGAAATATTGAACAAGCGGCCTGCATCGGGTCAACCCATAGCTTACATTACCGATCTATTTATGAAAATGCTCATCAAAAAGTCTACTTGGCATCGACCGAAAATCCTCCAGGCACGGCGAATTGATTAGAAGCGCCAGGAATTTGTTGGTGGTGCCTGAGACTTCAGGACCCAAGCGTGCCCAGGTACTGAGGTACTGTTTTGAGGGAGTCGTATGTCAGTGTTTTCTGGTCCGTGCTCACGCCTCAACGGCCACCTCGACTTCAATTCCAGAACTCAACTTTTCATTCCAGGCTTTGATCAGACGTGACGCTCTCTATGCGTCATCAAGAAATTTACACTGCAGGATTCATCACAGCCTCATTATGTGAGACTGTTTTGAGTCTTCACGTCACTCGAGATGGAGGCAGTTGTTACCGGGTCTGTCGCGGCCAAACGCCCCAGCGCGCGATCAACAACGCTCGATGCGGATGCAGCCAGAGACCTGCTCAACTATTTTGAGATTGACGAGAACGAGAAGGAGTTCCTCATCTCGGCCATCACGTCCAGCAAGGCGCACGAGGACGAGGTCAAGGCCCTCCTTCACGACCGCGCATTCTCTTCACACACGTCAGAGGATGACACGTCTGAGGATGACGACAACCAAAATGACAGCGCACCAACAGGCCGGCACTCAATACCATGGAGGACGCCGGAGAACCCAGAAGCCCCACCAATGGACGAAAACACGGCCCGCAACCTGCTTTGCGGTTTCAACATCGACGACGACCTGAGGGAATTTCTCATGGCCATTATCATGTCGGGCAAGGTTTTTGAGGATGATCTCAGGCAACTCTACAAGATCGGCCTCTCGGCTGGTTGGGAGACCTTTCAGGCACAGGTGCAGTGTGCAAAGTCATTGAGAGACAAGGTCCTCGCAAGGCATTACGGTGATGATCTCACGCTGTATCTGGGGATGTTGAGGGAGTCTGATCACATCGGGGACTTCAAGGAGAGGTACTGGCCTCTGGGGGCACCTGCACTCAATGCGAGCGACAAGCTCGTGGCGGGCAAGCATCTCTGGGGCGGACTGGTGGATGGCAACACGACGAGCCTGCAGAGCATCCAACTGGTTCATGACGACGACAGCCAAGTCATCAACAACATCGTGCCCATGGACAAGCCCCCGCCGGACTGGGTAGCAAGCAATCCTCAGCCCACCAAGACAGCAACCGATACCACCAAGAAGGCCAAGCCCAAGACGCAAAGTGCAGAGCAGGCTCCATCTTCCGCCAATGACGCCAGATTTGAGGTCGTCTGCCCTATACGGCGGCAGGACGGGTCCGTCTGTAACAAGCGCTGCTACGACGGAAAGGCCTACCGCTCCATGCAGGAGCACATCCGCAAAGTGCACAAGGACCATTACATACCAGGTCTCAACGCGAATGAAGAGAGCTTCCGTCGCATGGTCAACAACACACCCGGAGGGGAGTCCAACCTGCAGCAGGCCACAAACGGGGCCAAGAGCCCGGATGATCAGGCAGGAGCCTTCAACCCTCAGCTGGTCCGACCGGCTGACTTGTCTTTGCCGTTGGCCAACGGCGCGGCGGTGGACGCGGGAAAGCAGCAGCGAGTGGCCAAGAAAGCGAAACAGTCACATGAGAAGAGCGCTGCAAAGTCACCATTCTTTGTCGACCAGGGGCAGAATTTGCTGGATGTCAACGTCTCAGGGCCAATTTCTGGTATAATACCGGCGCAGTCTGCTCTTGGCGGCGCTTTTGATGAGAGGCAGTTTCTGTCGCCGTTTGATAGAGGCCAAGACGGATTCGGAGCAATGTCACTTGGACTAGATGCCACTATATCCCAGAGCCTGTTCCCACAGCATGTTGACGGCCCAGCTCACAGCTCAGTGTCATCAGATCGGAAGCGGAAGCGCGATGACACGAACTCCGAACCACAAGATCAGTCCTCGAGCCAGGACCTGCAGGGTGGACTCAATGGCTCAGCTGGCGAGCTCTATAACCCACCTGTAGACCCGAACCTTTTCTTCCAGACCTTACCACCACAGCCAGCACCCCCTGTCGCTCCCGATGTGTTCGACGAGATGATAGATATCCTCGGCCAGCTTCAAGAGGCTTCTCGAGAGAATAATGCGACGCGAGAGATGAACGGACCGACGACTGGGCACTACAACCCACCGGCTGAGTTCACGGCCTCACAAGCCCTGTCAGCCAAGCGTAACCCTTTCGCTGCGCCCACACCACCCGCAAAAGCGAAGCCTGCCCAGAAGCAGGCCGCATCCCACTTCTTTGTTTCTCCCAGCAAGAAAATCGACGAGGCACGCACCGCCTCAGTGACACCAAGCCCGACGGCTAAGAAGACAAGCCGACCGGCCCGGGGCACTGTGTCGGCACTTCCGATCCCCCCGTTGGCAGGAGACAGGTTCGGCCTTGTCCAGGAAGAGCTGGCCGGTGACCCCTTTCGACTCTTGGTTGCCGTCACCTTCCTGATTAGAACTCCTGGAAGGGTTGCAATCCCCGTGTTCCGCCAGCTGATGGAGCGCTACCCAACGCCGCAGGCCCTGGTCGAGGCGGGCCCGGCTGACATTGAGGCTATGATGCATCATCTCGGCCTGTCTAACCAACGGACCAAGACGATCCAGAAGTATGCGCGCACCTGGCTCGAGCGGCCCCCCTCGAAAGACGTGCGCTACGGGATCAAGGACTACCCGCAGAAGGGCGACGGCAAGGACGTCCGCGCGGCCGAGGTCTTTGGGCCCGAGGACCACCCCGGCGCCGACAAGGGCGACGGCAACCCCGGAAGCCCCGACTCTTCCAAAGAGAACGACCCCCAAGCCAAGACCACGGCTAGAGGCCACGGCACAGCCTGGGAGATCGGCCACCTGACGACGGGCCGGTACGCGCTCGACTCGTGGCGGATATTCTGCCGGGACGTCCTCCTGGGTCGCGCGCAGGACTGGAAGGGAAAAGGCCGCGACGGCGCCTTCCAGCCGGAGTGGATGCGCGTCCTGCCCGAGGACAAGGAGCTCAGGGCCTGCCTGCGGTGGATGTGGATGAAGGAGGGCTGGGAGTGGGACCCGAAAACCGGCGAGAAGACCCCGCTGCGGGAGGAGATGCGCCGGGCCGTCGACGAGGGCCGGGTCGCATATGACAACCTGGGCCAGCTGCAGATTCTGGAAAAGGTGGATGGTCAGGTCGATGGTAACGGAGTGGCTTGAGGGGGTGAACAAAAAAAAAAAGGCGCTGGTCTTTGGCTTTGGAGGCTGTCAGGTCGGTGAGGTTCGAGCATGCTGTGTACTGCCTGCTTGTGTTCATGTAAGGAAACGAACGAATGACATTGTAATTGCCCAAGCTTGCCACGGACGTCTGTTGTTTGTGTGGTCTCCTAGCCGTCGGCTTGAGGGTAAACGAAGATCCCTCTCCCGAAGCGACTTGCTTATCCGGAATCAGCACTGCTCTTGCTTGCCAACACTTATTCCTGTGATTCAACACAAGTTGTGGATCACTGGAGGAGCTTCACTCAGTACAGGTGAATTAGAACGCAACAAAAAGCCGCCTTCCCTCTACTTAAAAGAGCCGTCCGCAACAACTCTCTCCTCCAACTACACCATCTGACCCATCAGGACAACCATCAACAAAAGCAAATCACCCATCACCGACACTCAGTCAACATGAAGGTCTCTACCATCACCATCCTCGCCACCCTCGGCTTCTCTGGCATAACTTGCGCTTCCAGCCGCTTCAACACCACCTGCCATAACTTCGACATTCACGACCTCGACGGCAAGTCGGGCCGCGCTGTCCGGTTGTACGCAGAGTGCAAGAACTTCAATGGCGACTACGTGCAGACCAATCTGGACCTGAACACATGCTTTGGATGGGGCCCCGACTGTGAATTCGCTCCTTATGACAAGTATGACCCCAGACTTCCCTCTTGGGCGCGATCTGCCTGAACCTCCATGTGGAGCAAGCATTCTTCGTGGATACGAGCTGATAGCAGCGTCTCGCAGGGACTTCTCCCACACTTGCAACCATTGCGAGAACCCTTGGAATGGGGAGGACCAGTTTGGCATGAACTTCGGTGCGTCCAGCGGTCGCCATTCTAGTTGGGCAATACTGATGCTTCTACAGGTTGCGACGGTTACTGCGAGCACAAGAACGAGGATGGAAAGCAGATGCACTTTGCAACGATCAACCTTCGTGAGTGCGCGATACCGCCTGCTGGGCAAGCCTAGAAGTCGCTAACACAGGCTCCAACAGAGCAGTACATCGGCAACAGCAATGGCAGCCTTTACTGTTTGCCAAACATGTGAGGGCACGCCTCATTTGAGGAGCTGTATGTGACACTTCTTCGATTGGGGAGAAGGATCTGGCCCATTTTGGAATTTTGGTCGTTTGCTGTCTACAGGAGCCTATGTAGCCTTCAATGCAGTGGATTGGCAGGATCATCCATGTCTTCAGATTCCCTCCCGGGCTCAAAATGCCATAACGGAGTCACACTTCGGCTCCCATGCTACCTTTCCGAGTTAGCATGCAAGTTTATATACATAGAACACTCTGGTTCTGACCTCTACTCTTACCATGCGTGTGGTTCAAGATGGTTGGGCTGGAATTGTCCGGCAGACCCTGTGAGCCGCTTAAGTCTTCTGATGGACGGTTGATCCGAAGGATGACCTCAAATACAGAGCAAACCTGGAAGGTGGTAATGCTCCTTCCCTTTGCCTCCTCGGCTGCCTTTAGGTCCCTGTGACGTCTCTCTGTCGAACCCCCGGGCAATCTGTTAAGGCAACGACTCACGGTACGCAGTGACATAGTAGCCCATACAGCAAACAGTTCACATCTTTATGTTCGTGTCAGACCACAGTCGACAGCTCAGTAAGCAAGACTGCCTTCAACCCTCAAGGCGTATATGTAAGCTGAAGACGGTCTCGCACATGATTGAACCAGACCAGTTTTTTGAGTTGGAGCTGCTCGAGGAAAGGATTTGGAACTTCAGTGGCAAGCGAGATATCGCCATCCAATCTTGACAGTCTTGTATGAACATGAGCTCCCCTGAAAGCCCCCTCGACGTAAAATCGCCCCTTCCACAACTCACCCCATCGTGATTCGAAGACCAGCGCGTGCACCGCAACAACACAATCAGGATCTTTCCTCGTCTTTTAAGAGCTTTTCCTTACCTGCCCAGCCTCACTAATCGACTGCCTTGAGCTCCATCATGATGGAGGTCCTCATCCTTCTCGCTGCCCTTTTCCTTGCCACTCTGGCTGATGCTGTCCCCCAGTCTGCGGCGGGAGAACCCAGCGGAATCGGCGGAAATGTCGCAGGGTCTACCATCACCATTCCGACCGCAAGTCCTGTCCCCTACAACGAGTCCTGCGCGGTGGGCACCTACCTCCTCAACGGCAGCAGCCTTGGTGTTTACTGCAACACCGATGACTACTCCAACTGGTACTACGACTGGACCTCGTACGCGCTGCCCATAAACAAAGCTCAGATGGCAAGCAAACGCTGATAGACCCGCCCTCTAGAATCGATCTGGACGTCTGCGTTGGCAACAACGCTGGAACACTGGTTCCTTACCCGTTGTGAGCCAACAGCCCCGCGCTTGCCATGACACTCGTCTTCTGGTACTGGACGGTAGGAACTGACCCATGATGCGACGCAGCGGAAACTTTTCCAACAGCTGTGGCAACTGCAATGTCACGTGGAGCCACGTCGAGGAGGCCCCACACAGCACAACCTACATCATCGGCTACCACTCGTCCGTTGTGACCACCATCAGCACCCTCTTCACCCCTCGATGGGACGACCTGTACCTGACCTGCTCGGGCTGCAATGCTGGCCACAGCACCACCGTCGTGCCCCGTCAGCTTGCCCTCAGTAAGTTCTTGCAACCTTTCTGCCACGTCCTATGTGAGAGGCCTTGATCATCTGACTGGGGGTGACTGGGGGAATAGACCAGGTCCTAGTCAACAACGACGGCACCATCGGCTGCTTCAACGCCGATGGTTCTACCCAGCTGGCAGAGCCCACCGTTGAGCGTGTCGTTGTCCCTCGAACTGCCTTTGCGACGCCCACACAGACCTCAGATGGACAAGATGCGGCTGCCACGGCCTAATGGCAGGCTTCGAACTTGGGGAGCAAGGCTGTGCAATCATTGATGGACAGGGAGGGCCAGGGATGGGAGGCTCGTTTGTTACTTTTGGAAGACTCGACGTGATCCAGCAGTCCGATGATATTGCATTTGATGCCAAGAGGAATTTTGTTCAGGCATACTCGCTTTGAGCACTGCAAAACCAACGAAAATGGAGTGATGATGTGCAGGACGAGAACAAACTGTCATTGTTCCCCAGATTGAAAATGGCGCTTGCACTCACGAGAAGCAGATGCGTTGCCAACTGTGTGCTATGACCTGTATTGCAACGATCAGTACAAAAATTCGAGCCCAACATGGCCTTGTGCGTCTGTTGAGAATATGACGTTGAGACTTAGGTAGTACGGCAGTTTGATCAGACCCTTCAAAATCCCGCGCTACCAGCACCAAGCGGGTGATCATCGCGATATGACTTCCTCCATCTGCCGGCGTGGTCGATCAAGGCCGTGCCCCCTTCAGTGACACAGACACTGCGGGGGCCGAGGGCTTCCCAAGATCGACACCGGCGACTGCTGTCTCCCAGCTCGATGGGACCAGCCTGGGGAGCGAACGTCCGGATTCCGTGCTTTCCGGACCACATGCCTGAGCGTTCGTCGGGCCCGAAGGCCGTTGGACACGAGCGGAACGGTTTGCCTAGTAAACAACGTGTTGGCTAGACCTGCCGATCACCACGCTGTCTCCCCCCAAACTTCCAATCCGGGCATTGTCCGAGATAGTACACAGACCTGGGCTGCCAACGCATTGTCCGCGCGGGTGCAAGATCCGAGATCGAGACTCCGGCAGCCACCGTGCAAGAAGAGCAACGGGGAAGTGTGAATAGGGTGCTAGGGTGGCCGATAACAGCAGCCAGTTGCACGTCTGTGAATGGATTGGTGCTTACACAGCGAGATAGCTCTAAGCAGCTCACTGCACAGAGCTTCCCGTAACAGTATGAAGTATCCAGTAGTAGCCGGGTCAGGCTGGGCCACAAACTTTCGGCCTTGCCTCTCTGAGCGAGAGAGTTTCCATCTCAAGCCATGGCGCCCTGCTCCTGACACAGCCGTTAAGAGTTTTGCGATAGCTCTTGCTGGTGAGCATACCCAGTTGGGCAGCCTCGTCTCAGATGTCATTTGGCTGACCTTCAGATGACACATGATGTGTCCCTTGAAGAAACTCAATGGCGTGTCACACAGAATAGCCGTCTGCTTAGCCCAGGGGATTCCGAGTGAGAGGGTGTGTGTGTGCCCCCCTTTCTTCCAGCACCACCGGAGGAGCAGGGAACAGGTCGCGCTGCAGCAGAGGAGCTCTGGCCAAGTTCGGGTCCAAATCTCCGAATGGGCTGCTGGTGGGTGAGATCTAATCAAGATCTAGACCTGTGATCATCGATCCAATGGTGACTGAGGCCCACTCTGAGACACACGTCCTGTGGCGCGCTCTCTTTCATCGATGTCTTCCAGAAGAATCCTCCAGGTCCTCAAAGATCGGTTCACCCTGCAGAGGATACCCGATTGGGAACCTGGGCTACAATACAGTAGAGCCTGGTTCAATGCGGATGCCTTCCTTGTAATTAGCAAAGATGGCACATGTATCCATACGCTCCTCCACGACTTTATGTTCGTCTGAAGATCTGAAGGGCGGCCAATCATCACGCTAGGCTGTCCACCCCAGTCCTTCGACCTCGACCTGGGGTTGAGCTCCAGTGCGGTAGCGGCGTTCTAGCAAGGTCAACCTTGCCCCAGCAAGCTCAGATTGACAGCTGCACAGGGCCAGGAACCAGGAGATGCCTCTGGCGTCTGCCAGGGTGAGGGGGGCTTTCTCGAACAGCCAAACAGCCTCGAAGGATTGCAATTCAACACCGAGAGCCACATATGCGCCGGTGGACGCTTCAGCCAGTGTTTAACTCCACACTTGACCATATCCAACCTGGCTTATCATGACGGTCGAGTCTCGACAGACGAATCATCGACATGCCCTTGCTTGTGTTGATCCTGAGGAACAAGCCCACCAACAGCCACCTCACGCGAGAACGTGGCCCCTGGGTGGTTGTGCGACGCAAATGCCAGCCAGGATTACAGGAAGCATGCATGCCCGCCCCTAAAAGCCACCATGCTTTCCGTCCAAGGTAGCACCGCACATGATCCGCCGCCGTGAAGTTTCAAGTCGGCCGAAGAGGCGAGCTCCAGCCCCCAAAGCACCAAAAGCAAGCCTCTCATCCTGAGAACAGCCTGAACAAACCTTGGAGCGGGTGTCAGCTTCCCGTGGCAGTGGTATGGAAGGGAAGGGAAGGGAAGAAGGAAGGGCCCGCGGGATCCTAGGTCTTGCGTGCCCTGGTGCGCGCCATCGACTGTCAGATCCGGATAGGCGAGCGAGTGCCCCAATCAGAAGGCACTCTTCCTGGATTGGGTTGGGTTGGGTGTTGAGAGGTTTGGTTCGTGGTGCTTTGACTCGCTTTGCGCCACAAGGTTGGTGCCGGCGCGGTGGGAGAGGCACAGAGAAGACAAGGCAGGATGCCGAGCCATGCCGCGAGCCCGTGCAATGGCGCAAACGGCGGCTGGTGCGTTGAATTCCGAAGTGCCGTTCTCGCGCACGGAGACAGCGTGGACTTTTAACATGCTACGGTGTAGATCGGGCCCTCCGTCCGCTCGAGATGTTGTGTTGCGTCCGCTGTGACTCTGTGCGTGGAGTTGACAGGTCTGGCCAACGTCATCGTGATATGATGGCTTAGATGGTGTACTGATCGAGTACATGTGGGAACAGACACAGCCCGTACCTGTGTCGAGTTTGACACGAGGAAATGTTCAGCAAAAGTGTACTAGTTATTAGAGATCCTCAGCGATCCCGTGGGATTCAGAGCTGTAGATACACGTATTCTCTGTGACGAGATCTTCTTGCCATCCTGCTCATCAAGTCGTACGTAGAGGCACAAAGGAAATAAAAGAGCCGCTGATAATGCAATCGCACTCATAACGTATCCTCTATAGTTTTGCTTAAGCCGTTCCTGATCCCGCTGAGCCCTGTATCGGCAACGTCGTTGCCGAGGACGAAATCGAGCCCTGTTGGTGTGGGAAGGAATTGTGCGATCTCGGTTGTGATGAGATGTTGACAGACGTGTGTACATTAATGCCGCTTCCCTGAGCGGCGAAGTCCTCCCAAGGGGTGCTGGCGATCTTTGTTGACACGATTCCTTTCCCATGATACTGCGTAGGTACCGGATCTGGTCCCTGTGGCTGCATCTCAAAGTCCAGGTCGGATTCGTCGTTGTTTGATGTTGACTGGATGCCAGCCCCGGACTCGAGGCGTGACGAGTCGATCGTACTTGGGGAGAACGGCCCATCGCTGAGTTTCTGCATCGTGTTCCGACCAAGGCCCCAGGTGCGTCTGTCGGAGGCCGCCGAAGGCCCATAACGAGAGGAACCGTAGCCGTACCTCTGTGTCGTTGGCTTCCCGAAGCCCATGCTCTTGAAGAGTGGTCGCAAAGTCGCTACACAGCCGGCGATTATCCCAAGTGATGGTTCCATAACAGACCAGATCGCAACGTCCACTGTCTCGAACAGGAAGTCTGGCGTAATCGCTAATCTCTTGACGAATGGTATCCTCACAAGCAGAGCAATTCCAGCGCTGTAAGTTGTGAGTGTCAGTGCCTTGGTCCCCAGAGTGATCGGGTCAGAGAGTCTTACACTGCTCCCATGCTTAGCAACAAAGCAACCACAACCTTCGTCCTCTTGTTCAGCTGAACATCCCACAGCATGGCAACTGGAAGCGCAGCAAAGACCAAATCAGTCACCGCGCCAATTACGCTGTGGGCGATGACCGCGCTGGGCAGGACATTGATGTCCATGCACCCACCCGGCTTTCCCAGTACCTGCTCGTAGAAGTAGGAGGGTGGGTTGCACTGGAAGATGGCGATGAAGGTGAACACAAGGGAGATGATGTAAATGACGCCGAGATTGATCCATATGATCCACTTGTGGATGGACTCGGTGGCTACCCGGTAAAGGAACAGCGCGACCGAGGTCCTGACCATGGCCGAGATGGGTGCGTAGATGACTTCGCAGATGTACCACGCCTTGAGGCCGACCAATGTTTCTTCTAGGCTGAGATTGGTGATGTGCTTTCCTGTGCCTCCGTCGATGATCCCCCACAATGCCACGATCGAGTAAGCCGTGTATGCGAGCTGTTGGTCTAGTTAGTCCTGCTTGGTCCAGAGGAGTGCGAGAAGACACACAATACTAGCAAGCATCCACCAGTCGTCTGCCGCAACATTCTTGATCATGATGACTCTGACATATGCTCGAAGCAATACCTATCGGGTGCGTGTCAGTGATCATCCCAAGAGGCTGACTCCATCGAAAATCATACCAGTATCCATGCAAGACCCAACACGACCATCATGACAATGAATAGTTGAGTGCCGCGGTCCCCAGGGTTGCTGGAGAGAGCCATCTTGGTGAGGTAGTGTTCCGGTAGTTTCGTCATGTTGACTTCGAATATCTTCCTCGCCTTACACAAGCCGTGGTCATTGTAGGTGATTCACCCTGAATTCGTCCAGTATCGTAGCCAGAGAGGCTGAGGAGGCATGTCCTGCATAGTGTCTGGAGGACGGCTAGAGTGATATAGCACCCAACGTCGGAGATAACCATGACCGTATGGACAAGCCGTGCGTTCCCCTGTGGCATCTCGTCGAAGGTACGTACACCTCATGGGTGCTGTGCTGGGGTGGCACTTGGGCAGGTCTGGAGGGGGATGAACCTGGAACACACTTGTCGATCGTGGAGACCGGCGACTTGAGACGGCCCAGCACTTCATTGGCGCGACACTTGCGGCGACTTGCGTCCGCGCTTTGCTTTTGCCTGTGCTGGAGTACTCTGCTCGTCATCAGTCACCGATGGCCCCTGCAGCGCGGCAAGGGGCGATCGAGCGCTAGACAGCAATGTTCCCCCGTCTGTGGGGCCCCGGCGAGATCCCGTACCAGTATGATGAACGAAGCTACCGATGAGCTAAACTAGGCTCAGTGTGCGGTACTGTACTTGCACATGTGTGAGATCCCGAGCCATAAACCTGGAGCAGCTCGTGGCTTGGATCGAGTGCCGGGGCATTGGTCTGTAGCCACACCATTCGTGGACTCCAAGAACCATGAGCAGTCAGGGAACAGACCCATGGTTACTTCAAGCACAGGACTGGGGGCTCAGACCAGAGCATCGGGACCGGTTTAACCGAGATGAACGAGTAAAGACCATCATACTTCGGAACTAGGCCCAAGAGCTCAGTCCACTGGACTAAAGATCATGGTAGGCTCTGACGAATGCACGTGAGATGCAGGAAGAGGTCGCCTTCACGTGGGCGTCTGCGGACTTGATCCAGTTGAAAACCAAGGGAAACAAACCACGAGATTGTCTGAAACTATGCAGTTGTCCGGGCAGCTCATGTGTTGGGCCAGGAAACGCGCGCCGCGAGCGCCTCTACAGTTCTGACAGGTGACAAGTTCGCCAGCATTCTTCCGAGTGGGGGCTCACGATGCGAGGCGGGAAACTGGTGCGCGAGCTTGCAAGAGACTCGACGCTAGTGTGGCAGCCTCAAAAGCTTTGCTGAAACCACCGAAGAGAACGTTATTCTGATTCCAAAAGAGGAGCGAACCCGACGCAGCACTTGCGAAAGTGCAAGGGCGAAGGGGGTTTGGGCAAATGATAAGGGCGGATTAACCTCGGAATCCTGCGTGAAGTGCTCGAGGCTCTTCGCTGCAGCCGAAGACACATCTCGGGCTGAATTGGCTCTGATGTGGGCTAGTTGCTATCCGCTTGGAGTATACAACCTGGAGGGGCTCATTGAAGGTTTGAGGCGGATGTCAGAGCCTAGCCGTGAATTGATCGTTTAAGGCAATGTCCGACGCAGGGCGCCCTGGTCTACAAATGCTCCGCGGCTTCATGTGCCATCTCAGTGACAGCTGTCTAGATGAGCGACAAGACGGGGTCGGCCGTCTGAGCCAGGGTGATAGCCAAAGTTTGACATGAAATTGGAGCCGGATCAGCGCCATGCAGGAAATTGGACTCGATCGCCTCGTCACCATTTCCAGAAGACCGTCCATGAACCTGGAGGGTGCGTTGCAATAGCCGTGCTTCGGGTGCCATCGCGTAGGAAATACAGAGGAGCAGACCAAATCGCAGGGCGAGGGCGACTCACGCTGGTCTCTGCGGTCGGCCAGTGCCGGGAAACGATATATGATAGATGGCGTGATTAGGAAGCCGTCCCTCACTGGGAAACTGTGAACCGTGCTCAAGTTGAAGAAGCAAGATGTCAAAATAAAGTGGTGGATCTCGACCTGCACCCGAAACGTGGGTGGAGCTGCGGCTCGGGTGGCCCACTTCGAGCAATAGTCCGGAGAAATATGGATTATCTTTCCGGTCTCTGGGCGAGACCATAGCGTTTGAGGCTTTTGATGTGCATTTTCGTGCCCATTGGCCATGGTAGTGAGCCTTTTGGCCCTGCAGTTGCGAAAGGCCATACCGTAGAACAGGACGGCTTAGGTGGCGGAATACGCGCCTCCTCCATTGGGGTTGCTGTACGACGGTGGTTGCGAACGAGGGCCCATGCATGATGGAACGACGGCGTGGGCCATCATGCTGATTCTCATCTTCAGCCTGTTATGGTCGTGGTGTGATGTGCTGAAACACCTTCGGGATGGAGAGAGCAAGAGAAGGTGCCGAATGCAACCCATCAGCAACCTACTGGCCCGTCAGAGAGGTGCGCATTGAGCAAACTGATTGTGGCTGCAACATGATCGATGAGATCCGGACGCCGATGGTTAAATTCGACTCCATGGGTAGGTTTTCGCCAGACAGCCCTGTGAGGCTTGCATGCCGGCTGATCCCCCGGGTTGGAGCAACCTCAGGCGGCTTTTTTGGTTCCCGAAGAGACTCGGGCCGGTGTGGAGAAGGGCCATCTGAGCCAGCTTATATGAGGCTGATTTTAATTGCTGGGGCCCGAATAAACCTGCTTGGCGATCCGGGAGTAGGTAGGAGCAGATCCGACATTGGTGCGGGCCCAGGAGGGCTCCGGGATCTCGCTGCCGGGATGGGTGAGGGCACCACCAAAAACACCACATCGGCATTAGATATCAACTTTTTTGGCCAGGACGATGGCCTCGTAAGTGCATTTTTGCTCTCGACGGTCGTGCCTGCATTGACAGCTGATCGTCACTGTGAGCAAAGAGGAAGATGGGCCCACCGGTATCTAAGAATGACGTCGAGATCTCTTAACTGCCCATGTCGTCATTGATAGTCACCTGGGAGCTTTCCCTCCGGCCCTCTGTTTGTGATACAGTATATGAGCGAGGCCAAGAGGGACTGGACGGCTCGATTTCTTCTTCATCATCAACCTAGAGAACCACACCACGTCGCAGCTACAGATTTGATCTTGAAATACGAAGTACACAAACCATACCCCAGAAGCGTACCCATCATGGCGGACCAAGCAGACCAGTTCAAGCAGGGTAAGTCCGCGCATGCGGAATAACATTGGACCTTGCAAGGCGTTCTGACAGTATCTTGCAGGCCACAGCATTCCTGTGACCAAGCAGAGCTTCCCTGGAAAGGAGTCTGAGATGCCCAACGAGCCAGAGCCCCAGCGGACATACCTCCCAGGCGAGGAGGGACAGAAGATTCCCTATCTCGCAGCTGGAAAGCTCAAGGGAAAGAACGCCGTGATTACAGGAGGTGACTCAGGGATCGGACGGGCGACCGCGCTGCTCTTTGCCGAGGAGGGTGCCGACTCGCTGATCGCCTACCTTCCCGACGAGGAGAAAGACGCCCAGGACACCAAGAAGGCAGTCGAGGCTCGTGGCCGCAAGTGCCACCTGTTCTCGGCAGATCTCTCGAAGCAGGAGAACTGCAAGAAGCTGGCCGACCAGGCAGTCAAGACCTTTGACGGCAGGATTGACATCTTGTTCAACAATGCTGCTTACCAGATGATGGTTGAAGACATCAAAGACCTTCCGGAGTGAGTCCTGACAGAGACCGGTGGCGACCAACTTGGATGAGCGAAACACTGACGTCTCTCACTCTGTCAGGGATCAATGGGTGCACACGTTCAACATCAACATCCACTCTTTCTTCTACCTCTCCAAGTACCTGCTGCCACACATGAAGTACGGCAGCACCATCATCAACAACGCCTCCATCAACGCCTACATCGGACGGCCAGACCTGCTGGACTACACGTCAACAAAGGGCGCGATCGTGTCCTTCACCCGTGGACTGAGCAACCAATATGTCAGCAAGGGTATCCGCGTCAACGCGGTCGCGCCAGGGCCGGTTTGGACTCCGCTGATCCCTGCGACAATGAACGACGAGGCGCAGAAGCAGTTCACCGCTCCGATAGGCCGCCCCGGCCAGCCGAGCGAGATTGCGGCGTGTGTTGTGTTCCTGGCGAGCGCGGATTCATCATGCGTGGCAGGGCAGACAATCCACTGCAACGGGGGCGTGATTGTCAATGGTTAAGGGGGGGGGGCCCTATGCCGCGGAATTTTGGGTTTTTTGAGTTTTTTTGGGCTTGAGGACCTTGATGGCCAGCCAGAGAGGTTCCTGCCGGCTGGAAAATGCATGTTTCACGGTGCAGTGTCTCGGCCGTGCCGCGTGACAAATGAGACGCGATAACATAGATATGACCTTGATGAATTCAAAACATTGCCAGCAGACCACCTACCTCAGAACATCTTTATGTATTCTTGAGTGGATGTCTGGCCCTCTGTTGATGCCCTCAGGTATGAATCAAAATGAGACTCACAGGCTGACCAAAGTTGGTCTATCCGGGGGAAGGAGCTTACAGTTCCTGGCGCGGGCACGGCAGTACTCGGGTTGGACGGGGGGAATGAGGCCTAGTCCCGCCTGGGTTACATCACGTCAACTTGGCAGGGGCCCACAAGGCAGGCAAGTGGGGCGTGCCGACTCGGTGCCGTGCGGCTCTCGTCCCAATGGAAACGGTTCACCTGTCTGACCGAGAAACGTCTTACAAAGCAACATTTTGGGTCGCATTCCGGACACATTCCTTTCGCCCTCCCAAGGCTTCCATCTTTTTGCGTATTCTCCCCTAAGCCTCACCTCGCGTTCCGTCACACATGGGGCGGTCGGGTGTCTCTATCCTCTGGCTGTGCTGTTCTTGATCTGGGTTTTGCTGTAGTTCCTCGGGCGCGGTGTCAAATCTCTTCATTTATTGTCTGTCCTCTCCGCGCTGCATGGTCGCATCCGTCAACTTGCTCAATCAAGGGCTACTCTCATTTCATCAATCCCTCGCATTCAGGCGTTGATACAATCCGCGACATTGTTGAATCTCAGTTGCTAAAAGCAGGACCGGGCCGTCCGAAGGCTCCCGTCTCCAGATGACGACGCGTCATGACGACCTGAAGGCCGCGGCTGCCGGTGGTGAAGCCTTGCTGGTTGCGCTTCTGTCTATCCCGGTCGTTGTTCATTTCTTCGCCAAGGCAAGACTGTTCAAATCTAACGGCTATACGACCATCTCGGGCTTTTACGAGGATCGCGATGGAGAGGCTACCGAGAAGTCTACTCATGAGTATTCGGACCTGCTGCCTCGCGTGGGTGCATGGCTGAGCTCGGCTCTTGGGCTGGCAGCCTCGATCGTGGCAGGTGTATTGTACCATCATGGAGGCTCATCATCTGGGTTCCTTAATTTCCTGAGCAGATGGGCAGATGTGACTGCCTGGGTGAGTTCTATCGACCCTTGACGGTACCTCTTGGCGCTCGCTAATGCAGTCCAGGGGTTCATATTCTTCCAAACCGTCTTTCTCCCGCGCAGAGGTGATTACAGAGCTAAATATCGCTTGGCCAACTTTGCTCTCGTCTGCTCAGTGCTGATCCTCGCTTCTCTGGTCTACCGAAGCAAGTTTGGATATGTTCTCAGGGCTTCCGAACCCACGCGGCTTGCTCAAGGCGTATGCTGGCTCCTACAGGCAATCTCCGCTGTTGTTGGTTTTTTCGCTTTTGGTTTCTTCCCTCGCAGACCGGACGTGTACTTCAAAGGAACCCTAGTTGACCAGCAACACACCGTTTCGCTGCTATCCAAGATCTCGTTCTCATGGAACAGCTTCGTCTTTGATATCTCCAAGCAGCGACAGCTGGAGATGGAAGATCTTCCAAGGCTTGACTACCTTACCCGCTCACGCAATCTACACGATATGTTCACCGCCCGCGACGGCAGTGGGAGACTTTGGTGGCGGCTACTCAAGTTCCACTGGATTGAACTCGCTCAGCAATGGTGCTTGGTCTTCATTTCTGCCGTTCTTGCTCTGATTCCAAACTACATGATGTACAACCTTCTAGGGCGACTGGAACAACCCAGCACGCCTGATTCGAGCATCGCGGAGACTTTGGCCTGGGCGCTCGCTCTGTGCCTCAGCCTTTCACTCGACAACATAGTCGGTAGCCTTCTGAGCTGGTGGACGAATAGCCGACTGGTCATCCCTCTGGGGGCTGTGCTGCAAACTTTGGTGTTTGACAAGGCAATGAAGGAGCACGAAACGGCCATGCCACCCCCACGCACTCAGGACCAGGACGACCAAAAGGCTGATTCGAAGGACAAGAGCGACAAGGGAGATGCAGGACCAAAAGGGCAAGGGAAAGAGAAGAAGGACGAGGTCCGCCAATCAGTGATCAATCACATGAAACTCGACTCAGGCCGTGTCACCATGTTCTGCAGCTTCAACTACTATCTGCCTCTGGCTGTAGTCAAACTCATTCTCGCTGGCGGCTTCCTCGTCACTATTCTCGGCTGGAAAGCAGTCGTTGCTGGGCTTGGATCCGCCGCGTTGGTGATTCCTCTGAATACCTGGATGTCGAAGAAATACGCCAAGATCCAGTTTGGTCTCATGAGATACCGGGACGGCAAGGCCCATCTCCTGACGGAGGCCCTGCAAGGAATGCGGCAGATTAAGTACTCGGCTCTCGAACAGCATTGGGAAGACAAGATCCTCAAGTCCCGAAACGAGGAGTTGGCACAGTATTGGAAAGCCTCACTGTTCATGTGCGGTGTCATGCTCATCATGAATCTTGGCCCCCTCCTTCTTGCGTGCGTGTCGCAGAGCGTGTACGCGTGGGAACAAGGTGGCAACATCAAAGCCTCGGTCATTTTCGCTTCACTCGGACTGTTTGATCAGCTTGACGAAGCAACGGCACTGCTGCCCATCCTCCAAGTCTACATGATGGAAGCCTGGACTTCGTGCGTTAGGCTCGAGAAATACTTCTCACAGCCCGACAAGGCGCCTGTTGCTGTTTCTGGAGAGACCATCGTTTTCGACAATGCGACTGTCGCTTGGCCGAAGAAGGAGGACCCTGACGGAGCGCCTGAGACGACAGAAGAACGCTCTATGCTGCGAGATGTGTCGCTCAGCTTTCCCGAGGGAAAATTCAGCATCATAGCTGGAAAGACGGGTTCGGGAAAGTCTCTCCTTTTAGCGGCGATACTTGGCGAAGTCAAACTTCTTTCCGGGACTGTGAAGACCCCGACACCGCCCGCTGAGGAAGAGCTGGACGAAGCCAAGCCCATCCCGCAAGAGGAGTGGCTCATCCCGTCCCTGACCGCCTTCGTCTCCCAGACTCCTTGGATAGAGACTGGAACCGTCAGAGAGAACATCATTTTCGGTCTTCCTTTCATCGAGTCGCGCTACCAGGATGTCCTGCGCGCCTGTTCCTTGGAGAAAGATGTCGAGCTTCTTATCGATGGAGATGAAACAGAGGTCGGGCCAAAGGGTGTGACGCTCAGCGGCGGTCAGAGATGGCGTGTTGCCCTTGCTAGGGCTCTGTATTCTCGCGCGGGTATCATGATCTTGGATGACGTCCTCTCTGCAGTGGATGCTCATGTCGGGCGATGCATAGTAGACCTCGCGCTGACGGGAGAGCTGGCAGAAGGGAGGACCAGGATTCTGGCCACACACCACGCAGAGTTGTGCATGCCGAAAGCCAGTTACCTCGTACGGCTCCAGGACGGCCGAGTAGAGAGCGCTGAGGCTATCACGCCTACTGACACCACTATCGCCTCCTCAAGCGGGTCAAAACGCTCTTCCATCCACGACATCAGCGAGACTCAGACCATGATCGATGCTCAAGAGAGCCAGATTTCCTCCGAGGAAACAACCGTTGTTGGGACAGAACAACCCAATGGAAACAAGCAGAAGTCGAGCAAGGAAGACGAGGAAAAGCGCGAGACTGGTCGCGTCAAATGGAAGGTGTACATGACATACCTCCAAGCCAGTAGAGCACCGATACTTTGGTTCTTCGTCATCTTCTTCATTGTGTCCGGCGGACTCGCTAGTATCGGTCGTGTCTGGAGTTTTAAGAAACTCACAGATGGGTCGTCCGCTGAGGAGACGAGTAACTTCTCGGCTACATTCAACCGTTACGACAACTCGAGAGTCTTCCTGCAGGATCCCCAGAAGGGCATGCTATACTCCGAGGTGGTACCACATAGCATACACACAGCTGCGGAGGGCCACTCCATCTGGTTTTGGATTGGGATGAGTGTGGTGTTCTATGTGTTGATGGTCGTGCTTCAGGTTAGTACTTCACCTCCTATCTGCTTCTCATGTCATGAAGAGGATGCCATTCGATGACGCTGTGGCTGCCGCGCACAATCATTCCATCAAAGTTTGTATCAGCACCCCTGCTTGAGACGCCTGTACTAATGATCTGTTCGCAGGTTGCTCGGAGCATCACAATGACAGCAATTGGGCTTCGAACCTCTCGGGTCCTATTCGAGAGGATGACCCATGCTATCCTTCGAGCGCCGCTCCGCTGGGCCGACAGTGTCCCAGCTGGCAGAATCTTGAACCGCTTCACGTCTGATGCTTTCATGGTCGACAGGCGCCTGCCCGGTGATCTGGCCAACTTTTTGCACAGCAGCTTCTCGCTCGTCGTTACTATCGCGGCTAGCTTGTCTGTGTCTCTTTGGGTGATCTTTGCAGGCATTCTCCTCATGTTTGTCTACGCCCGGGTTGCGAGCAAGTACATTAATGTTGCCCGCGAGGTGAAGAGACTCAATTCCATCTCTCACTCCCCGATCTACGACCAATTTGGCTCTGTCCTGTCAGGTCTCTCAACAATCCGCGCCTTCCATCGCACGAACTTTTACATGGATCGGATGTCAGTCACAATTGTTTGTTCACCCAAAGCTCGAGAGTATATGCTGACACGTACGTAGGTTCAATCTCATTGATAACTCCCACAAAGCAAGCTGGGCACTGAGCTTGTCCGGCCGATGGATGTCGTTCCGGTTGTCCATGCTAGGCACAATCTTCGTCACTGTCGTCGCTATTGTTGCAGTCTCCGGTCACGTTGATGCCGCGCTAGCTGGATTCAGTCTTACCTTCGCGCTTAGGTACTCGTGGAGGCTGACTGCGCTGCTCTCAAGCATGACGTCCCTGGAACTAAGCTTCAACGCAGCTGAGCGTGTTATTGAATACTCTGAGATCGAGACTGAGCCAGAGGATGGGAAGGACGCACCTGCCGCATGGCCAGCCGAGGGCAGAATTGAGGTTGAGAAGCTGTCCGTCGCTTACAAGGACAGCCTTCCACCTGTATTGAAGAACCTCAACTTCGTGGTCAAGCCAGGTGAACGCATCGGCATTGTTGGAAGGACCGGCGCCGGAAAGTCGACCTTGGCGTCTGTCTTCTTCCGCCTACTCAAGCCGCGAGAGGGCTCTGTTGTCATCGACGGCATCGACATCGCAGACCTGAAGCTTACGCAGCTGCGCAGCCGGCTTGCAATCATTCCTCAGGATCCCTTCCTCTTTTCAGGATCATTAAGATCCAATCTTGACATGGACGACACAAAGGAGGACTATGAGCTCCAGACGACATTGCAGAGCGTCCACCTCGCCAGGCCGCAGCCAGTCAATACTGAGAGGCCTTCGCAGTACCCAGTGGTGTCCACTCACGAGGAGACGGTCGTCTCAACCACAGAGGCCATTCCAGAACCACCAAACCATGAGACCCCAGTCACTGGTGCCGCAGTCGAGAATGCCGACGGGGCGCCCTCTACAGCCGTCGTCACCACTACAGAGACGGAGTCCTCTGACAGTACCGACATCTTCAACAACCTATCCATGGATATCAGCACTGGAGGTGGCAATCTCTCCCAGGGGCAACGTCAGCTTGTGTGCCTCGCGCGAGCTCTTCTCGCCCGCCCCAAGATAGTGGTCATGGACGAAGCCACATCGGCCGTCGACCGGGCCACAGATGCCGCGATCCAGTCCAGCCTTCGGGACGCCTTCGCTGCCGCCGGCTGCACCGTGTTGGTGATTGCCCATCGTCTGAGCACTGTTGCGGACTTTGACAAGATCCTGGTCCTGGAGAAGGGCCGGATGGCGGAGATGGGGTCTCCGAGGGAGCTGCTCGAACAGGGGATGAAGAGAGACGAGCAGAAGAAGCCCGAGGATGCCGGGGAGGGCAATGGAACAGGGAAACAAAATGGTGACGGTGAGACCGGGCCAGATGAGGCCGAGGATGGCACGGGGGCATTCTGGGACTTGGTCCAGAGCAGTGCGGAGAAGGACAAGCTGGTTGAGATGATTGGGCAATGGGGATGCTGAGCGAGTTTGAATCTACTGACAGCGGGACCTTGACAGCTGGGGAACGACGGCTGGTGAGGGACGAAAAGAAAAGGAGTACACGGGGTTTGTTTTAGCGCTAGTTTCGAACGGTACCATAGACAGGTCAAAACGGAGTTGTTTGCACTGGGTGACCCTTTTCTGCTTCATATCTCCAGTGTGACATTTTCAGTCTGTAGTTGGGGATGTTTTGATTTGAACATTGGATTTTCTAATATGTGAATGGATTCTTCCAAACATCCACACAGTACTAATTGAAGAGAACTTCTTAACATTCTCATCATGACGTGCCAACAGACCCCATTCGGCACGTAGCCTTTTGGTCCACCAGGATGGTCTTCTCTTGATAGAGCAACCACTCAAGTCTATGTTCAAGCTGAAATTCCAGTCTCCTTCTCGCAGAACCCCAGGCGGCGTTCACATCGGCCGCACGCAACAGAATCTACTTCCTCGACTTATCCTCGTCCAGCAGCGCCGTGAACCCCTGCAGCAGGTCCTCTCTTAGGTCCTCCCAGCCCTCGACGCCGACGCTGACCCGCAGCACCGTCTTGGCGATGTTCTTGTCCGTGACGGCCCGCCACTCGATCAGGCTCTCGACGCCGCCCAGGCTCGTGGCGTGGTGGAACAGGTGCAGCTTGCTGGGCAGGCGGCGCGCGTGGTCGGCCTCGCGCATGATGATGCTGAACACGGGGCCCCAACCCCGGGGCATCTGTTTCCGCAGCCACGACCCTTCCTGCGCCGCCTCGGGCTGCAGGCTGGCGTGCTGCAGCTTCTCGACTGTCTTTGCCACGGGGCTGTTGCTGCCGCCCCCGTCCTTCTGCGCCGCCCGCAGCTCGCCGTCCAGCCACGCCACCAGCCTCGCCGCGCTGGCGCTCTGCCTCTCGACGCGCAGCTCCAGCGTCCGCAGGCTGCGCACCCCGAGCCAGCCCTCCATGCTCCCCATGACGCTCCCCAGGAACAGCCGCTCACCCAGCAGGCCCCTGACCCAGCCGTGCCGCTCCTCGCGCGCCGGGTGCACCGCCAGCACGCCGCACAGCAGGTCGCTGTGGCCCCCGAAATACTTCGTGCCTGAGTGCATCACGACGTCGACGCCGTGGTCAAAGGGCTGCTGCAACGGCGGCGGGGCGAACGTCGCGTCCACGGTGAGGTAGCAGCCGAGCTCGCGGGCCCTGGAGGCGTAGTGGTCGAGGTCGCGCGCCTCGCCCGTCGGGTTGAGCGGCGTCTCGACGTGGATCACGTCGCCCGGCTGCAGCGTCGCCAGCGCGGCCGAGTCCTCGAGCTCGACCTTCTGCAGCCCCGTGAGCTTGGCCACGAGGTCGATGACGCCGTGGCAGCCGTGGTAGCCGCCGCCGATGGCGATCCGCTTCGGGTTGAGGAACACGAGCAGGGCGTGGAAGGCCGCGAGCCCGGAGGAGTACGTGACGGCGGGCCCGCCCAGCAGGGCCGAGAGGACGGCCTCGAGCCGCGTCGTGTTGGGGGCGCTGTCGCGGCTGTAGATGTGACTGTCGTAGGGGGCGTTGTCGTCGGTGTTGTCCCACGCCCGCAGCCGGTCCGGGTCGTCGTTGTACCGGAACGTCGTGCTCACGTGCAGGGGAGGGGCCACGGCGCGGTGGTTGTTGATGTAGTCGTCGGCGTGCACCGACAGCGATGACAGGCCGAGCTTGTGATCGCCGAAGCGGGCGGCGAGCGCCCCCGGTCCCTCGACCGCCGCCGCGACAGTTGTGGAGGCCGGGCCGGACTCGTCGACCGGCAGTCCGTCCGGGTGGCTGCCGTTGGTTCCGGGCTGGGCCATGGCGAAAGATGTACTTGGCCGAGTAAGATGATGATTCATACTCACAATAGAGCACGGAGTGTATCTTGTGTGAGGAGATTCGCCGGGACCAGATCAAGGATCAGTAGTCATTGGAGACGAACACAGACTCCTAGGTGGGTGTACATGTATCACTGTAAAAACAAACTGTGTCGATGGCGCCAGTGACTCAAATCGCCGGCTCAATTGAGTCATTACTTGGTGGCGTCATGAACGCTCCGTCCCGCCCCGTTATCGGGGCCGGTTGATGGCCGCGCCGGAGGCAATGAGTTGGCAGGAAACAATCGTGGCATCGCAGCGGCTCCCGGCGGAACGGGTCTCAAATGAGCATAGCTGACGATTTCTGATGTATCATTTGTTCCAACACAGATTCAGGGGTTGCATTTGCCGGGCCGCATGTTCACACGCTTGCACCATAGTTGAAGCCGCTCACTCAATTGCATTGTCGAAAGGGCTCGACACTGCAGCAGCTGGTCATTTTGCTTTATTGTGAAAGCCGGATCCGCCGGTGGTTTGAATGCGTTGTACAATTATCATTTCATTAGGTATGAGAGTGAGTGATGGTACATCTCTCCCCCGTTTAGTATAATTCATGTCTGGTCCTCTTTGAGAAAGACCACCCCGAACTCCGTTTCCTAGGTACCTCTTCCTTAGCGAGTGTCCTATATCCGGTAACCGTCCATCCGGGCCCAGGTCTAACAAAAGGGCCGCAGTAAGCGATGCTAAAGGATCTATGAGCCCTTCTAGCAGGTAGCGGCTGAAATTTCCCAATGCGGTGTCGTTTTTGAGCAACCAGCATATAGACATTGTTGCTCGTTTCAAATCAAGCGTTGATGTCGTTCCCCGTTAAAGCCTCTCGTGTCGTAACAGCGACTAGCTGGCTAGTCGTCGCAATCGTCGTTCCAACAGCCGTTCCCATAGCAGTGAACTAGGCCTCTACCGGCTGAACATCTGTCATCTCGCGATCTCGGTTGGAAGACCTGGGCCTGTCTACTTGACCCAGCTCAGCGCCCTGGCCACTCTGGCCTCGCTTCCGACCAGGCAGGATGGAGAACCTGGACGTAGTCGGCGAGGGGGACGCCACTGGCGAGTGAGGGCTTTCCTGGTTGTTGTGGTCTGAGAACTTGGCAAAGAAGCCTCGCTTCTTCGGTGGCTGGGCTGGCGCCTGTTGCGGCTGGGGCTTGTAGTCATCGTTCAGTCCCACCTCCTCGAAGCCCTCGCCGAAGCCCTCGCCTTCCTCGGAGGTGGGAGGTTCGCGCTCGAAGAGGCGCTGACGAGGCATGCGCGTGCGTGGGTAGCGCGCCGAGTCCATGGACCGCCGGCTTGGGAAGGGGTCATTGACGGGAACAGGAGAGCGGGCGGAGACATCCTGTACGTAACCAGCAGGTCAGTCAGAGAATTCAGATCAAGCTGGGCTAGGTAGTCATCTTGGTGGGACCTACAAAAGACCGACGGTACGAGTCGAATGACTCCCGCGAGATGCCGAAGTGCTCGATTTCGCCAACGTCGCTCCTGGTGTCTGTAGAGTTGCGCGACAGGTAGCGACGGGGCCATGAGGGCTTGTCTTCGGAGGGCGAGGGAGGCAGGTACACGCCGCTGTCATTGACCACTGCGGATCCCCAGGGATTGTCAGCAATCGAGCCATCGAGAAAGAGAATGTCGCTTAATTGCGAGGCATTATCGATAGCGGGGTGGAGGGGCCGAGTGATCCATGACAAGCCATGGATGGCATGGCATGATGGTTCATGCGACGGAGTGGTTCGCACATACCCGACATCTTGTACTCGCCGGTATCATTGGAGCGGCGGCTGCTGATGCTCAATGCGGCCGACGAGGCCTTGGAGCCGACTGTGTCGACGCGCTCGAAGCCCGGGGGCGTCTTGAGCGGAGGGTCGATGCTCAACGGCGGGCGCAGACCCTCGTCGGCTTGAGGGCGCCGGGTGAAGGGGTTTCGGATAGGCATCTTGGAGCGTGCGTGCTTGGACTGCAGAGGGAGCCGAGTTGAGTGACGTCGCAAGGTCTGGGGCGATTGGGACAGCGATTGAAGATGGAGGCGATGCAAGCAATTGGACTGAAGTAAAGCACAGTCGGGATGTCGCAAGAGGATGAGGAAGGCGTCTCTAGTTCTAGTTCAGGCTTGGTTCTAGGTCAGGTTCCCAAGTCGGGGAGGTTCCGAGTCGATCAAGTCCGAGGGCGACGGGGGTCGAGTTTTTGTTTCGTCGGGGCAGATTAAACTATGAGGCAACTGAGACCTAGACCCGGGCCAGTCTTGGAAAGGGTTGGGCGCACGGAATTACTGTGAATAAGAGCCCCGTGCAGAGGAGATGAGATGAGACGGGACGGGCTGGGATGGCGCAGGATGGCTGGGCTGGGGGACAAGAGGGTGAGATGAGCCTGGGCACTTTCCTGCAGATCTTCCGCAGGGTTGAAGAGTGGACTTGGTTAACTGATGGGGATGAATTGATTGACTGGCCGGCTCGCTCGCTGACTGACTGACTGACTGGCTGGCTGGCTGGCTGTATGACGGATGATGGCTGAGGATGGAGATAGTGGGTGGGCAGATGGATGGATCGTCAGTGCTCCTGCGAAGCAGCAATGCAGCATACCTAGGTACGACAGGACAATACTGTAGTGGGCGGTTGGGCCCTGGGAATAGAAATCCGGGGCTCAGCTGAGAGAACTGAGGTCTTCGAATTGATCCTTCCAGGCGTTGGCGCAGGTGAGATGCAGGTGCCTTACATGTGGGCTATGTAGGTACGGTACCTTGCTGTGCCGCAATGTCGCCCCTTCTCTTTGGTCCCTTGCGCACGCTGATCTCATCGACTGCCTGTCTCCCTTCCTGCGTCTGGTCTCCCTGATCTGACTCTCCTGACTCCCGGGGTCCAGTCTCCTCCCTGGGGTCCCGGCAGGACGGGGTGACGGGCTGGACTGCAAGGACGGGCAGAACGGGCGGGCAGACGGACAGACCGTCACACGGTGCCTTGAATCCTTGGCAGGTGCATCCAGGGCTGCCGGGGCCCAAATGCACCCCTCGTTGGCTGCCGTTGTCTGGTGGGCAGGTGGGGTGGTTTTTGGCGCCCAGCGGACCGGCTGACGGCACACGCGCGATCGGCGCCGTCTCCACCTCCGTAACAGGGCAGCCACTCGTTGTCATTCCTGCCAGCCTGCCAGCCTGCCAGCCTGCCAGTCCTGGAAGGTGAAGTCAGTCCAACTTCCAAGATGGTCGACAAGGCCCCCAAGCCACCGTCGGGTAGGTATACAGTAGCCCACAGTAGCCCACAGTAGCTCACGGCGAGGGGACCATCGCATACGCACCAGGCACACCAAGCCTTGACCATGATCTCATCCCGCAACGTGGGTGCAACCATAGCCCCATTCCATGATTCTTCCATCGGGACGCCGGCGTGGAGAGAGCGACAAGATACGCGGTGCATCTCCCGTGTCAGCCTACCGACAGCCGATTGGACCCATCAACCGTTCGACTTGCTGCAGCATCTCCCCAGCCTGTCGTCACTCCACTCCGCGTGCCGAGAGACGACCACCTTCTGGGATCTGCGGTTAAAACCCTCAACGGATTCAACACCATCCAGTGCATCACGATGTCTACGTCTGCACACAAGACTGTGCACAGCACCAGCATTCGGCGCACGCACAATGCGTAGTGACCAGAGAGTAGCTGGTTCTCTCTAGCCATGGGAAGTAAATGCTTGATGTGAAACGAACAACCACTAGGAAGACACGTTCCTGACTCGCGCTGCGACCACCTCGCACCGGCGAGGACATCGATAGAGCAGCAATGCCTTGCGCCGCTATAAGAGTTTGTAGAGGCTGCATCAATACACAAGCAGCACAGTGGTCTCATCCTCCGCAATTTGTGCTCATCTACAGCACAGCCCAAACCACAGAATGCTACACCAAACCCAGGACTGGTTCAGACGCGGATGGAAGCGTCGCATCACAGACCCGAAAGCCTCTCCGCCGCCGTACGACTCCCTGGGCCCGATTCCGCGTGTACTCACTCCCTTGGCACAGCGTGACCCGGCTACCATGCGAACTTGTCAGCCTCTGCAATCACTGCCCGCGCCATCGCCGAGGGCCCGGACGCAGCCAGTGCCATGGACAAAGGGCTGCGACGGATCAACACTGCCGGCCCTAAGATCATTCGATCCTACGGTGTAGAGCACGATCACCGTCTTGTCGATTTCATATGGGCCGCTGCGATATCCGCCTCAGCTGACACTACTGCCCGTATCATTGCTCAGTCGCCCAACCCTTCATATGCCATCAATTTGGCCCGCAACACAGAGGCTAGCCTGGCCAATGGCTCCGCCGACGCGCTTGCTCTCTATTGCATCAACATCGCTCAAGCTGGCAGCGGTGTTCGAGTTCGACATAGGTTGTCTTTGGAGCCGAGGACGCACCCAAAGGATGGATTTGCTGGGTGAATGCTTTGCAACATCGCCACAATTACCAACTCTCCGCTTAGGTACTGGGGCACAACTCGCTATGGCAGCAGCGAGAATAGGAACTTGGGTATTTGTGCCAACTCGGTTTAAAACCCTTGAGTCCGTGTCACGGGGCGGTCTGGTCATGAGCATAGCTTGTCATGGACGTGTTCCCTTCGTGAAGCACAAAATCAACGCTCAGTTTCTCTGTCACACCCACCTGTTGAATGGCTTGCAACGGAGCTTGTTCCATTTCATGCTTTGGCACTCCTATGGGATAGTCTCCTCTGGCACAACCTCCTCTGGAATAGCCTCCCTGGGATATCCTCCTCTGGGATAACCTACTATGGGATAGCCTGCTCTGAGATAGCCTCCTCATTTAGTGTTGTAGAAGTGTCCGTGTTCAAAGTGGACGTATCTAAGGAATGGTGCCCAAGGCGTACCTGACAACGCAAGGCCGAGTGTATTCAAGTAGTTGTGGGAACACAGGATGATAGACACAAGGTTCGACACAGCAGAAAGAAAGAAGCCGCCCGAATGCCTGTCATTCTTTACATATTTACGTTCCCAAAAGAAAAAAACCCACCACCCTTCCCCCTTCCCCCTTCAGCTACCAAAAAAAACAACCCGGCACACCGCGCACACCCTCCCCTCCGCCCCCCCCCCAAGCCCTCTACGAAGGGTTGCGCTGGCGAGGCGCAGTCTCCGCCTCGGCTCTGGCGGTGGTGGCGGCTGCGGCGTGCAGGCTGGCGATGGGCAGGGGCCTGGGGCCGGCGCAGAGCCGCCCAGACGCGGACCTCGATGGCGGCGGTGGCGGGAGCGGTGGCGACGGGGCCCTAAACCAACGGAGAATGGTCCTCGGTCTTCATCATCGTCCTCGTCCTTGTCCTCGTCCTCGTCCTCGTCCTCGTCATCTTCGTTCTCGTCGTCTGGTGCTGGTGCTGGTGCTTGTGGTGCTGGTTGCGTGCGTGCGTGTGTGCGTGCGTGCGTGTGGGTGTGTGTGTGTCTGTCGGTCTGTTTATCTGTATATGTGCGCGTGTGGTGTGTGGGTGTGTGTGTACGTGTGTGTGTGTATGTGTGTGTATGTGTGTATTTCTGGGCCTGGCCCCTCAGGATCACTCCATGCGAGAATATGAGAAATTCGTGTCTTTGTTGTTGTTGTGCCTGGTTGTGTAGGTAAGCCTGCGCGTTAGAGGGCATAGACGTACTCGTCTTCCCTCTTCAGGCCAACTATTTTGCGGTTTTGTCTACTCACCTACTAAGACTGGTACCTTCCTCGTCAGGCCCGACTTCACGTCTCATGGACGGCAGGAATTCCCCTTGTGTTCTCGGCCCATAGACTTGGTTGGCTCTTGGCCACTCTGTCATGCTCGAATGGGAAGGACTGATTGAGGAAACAACAATCGCCTGTGTGGAGGTGTCTGCGGTAGGAATGTGACCAGGAATACCAAGAGGCTGTTTGATGGTTTCCAGTCTCTTTCCGCCCGGGTATGAAGGTATGATACAGAATTGCCTACCAAACTGTGAGCATCTCTCCTGAGAAGCTCACTTGGGCACGGGCACGGTTGGAACAGTCTTTACCTTAAGGCATCGGTGGTGGCAGCCATTGCTCTGGCCGCACAAGCATCGAGTACAACAATACGTGCCGAAGTTATAGTGGTTTCGATCGTGGGACAGTGCGCTCACTCAGTCCCAAGTACAGCTGAGAAGTACCCGATCCTCACTCGCGAATAAAGCTCATACTGCGGTGATCCAGGCCCGAAATCACCTTCCAATGTGACGATCCCCGTTCGTTGGTATCGATCATATGATTACACCTGCCCAAATAACATACAACTCAAGGGGGACCAGACCCTAATGCTCCTTGCTGATGCCTCTAGGTGTACCAGCCGGAAGTCTTCTATGTTACTCCCTCAATCTAGCATGTTCAAACTCCACGCAAGTATCTTGCCCTAAATTTCCCATCAAGCCCTTACAACAGATATCAAAGCAACGCTGCACCCAAGCGGTATAGTCCTCCCATAGTATCGTCTGCGCGATGCCGATCCAAAGAAACGCCAGTATGCCAGCCCTTGGCAAATTGCACCAAGGAAAAACAAAAGATAGTCCGAAAATAAACCCAATAGCCACAAGCCTTCAGTGCCCGTACCAGCCACGTTCCGGCGTCGCTCCGCCCTCGGCTCCCAGGAAATCCATCCACGCATCGTCCATAAACTGGTCCGCCGCCTCGAACGCTGGCACGTTAGGCCACATCATAGGGTACACACTGTTCATCTGCGTCTGGGGGCTCTCGTCAATGGGGAGCATCATCTCGTCCATGTGCTGCTGGTACGGGTCTTGCTGCTGTTGCTGTTGCTGTTGTTGCTGCTGATGCATCTGGCGGCTTCCGCTGTGGTGGTGACCGCTGTTGTTGTTGCCCGCGTGAGCTGCCATGTTGTGGCCGTTGGACGGTGTACCGCCCATGGAGGGCATGGCAGCGTTCGGGCTGGGCGATGCCTGCGGGAAAGGCGGCGGCACGTGGTCCAGGTATCGCCCACACAGCTCGGCGATGACGCCGTAGCACCGCTGCGCGCTGGCGTTGAAGGGCGCGAGGCCGGCGATGATTTGCAGGGTCATGGTGATTTGCTGGCGCCAGTCGGCGGCCTGGTCGGACAGGGGTAGATTGCGGAGGCATATGCAGGGGATCAGGGCTGCTTGAAAGATGAAGTACCTTCGGTCTGTGGTCAGCTTGGAGTTCAATTACATGGTAGGCCAGAGACGCGATACTTACAAGGCATACCATGCTGCCATGCGGCCCTGTTCACAGTTAACCCAGTAGTTACTGATGGACTGGATGGAGTATTTGGCATCGGCCAGGCAGGTGTTATACGCGTGCAGGCTCGCGGGGGTCTCATCCAGGTTTCGGCCATCTCGAGCTCGGAAAGCCTTTCGAATGACAAACGGCCTGTACATGATGATTCGGAAGTTTCGGTAGCGCCAGCTGATGGTGACGTGGGCAAAGGTGTACTTGGGCGGAACTTTGGCGGATTCGGCAAAGTAAGGAGGAACACTCTTGAGCCAAGGCTCGATACGCTCCTTGTCAAGCTCCACAAGCTCTTCAGCGCTCGGTAGGGGCTTGCCGATGACTCTTGTGTAGATGAAATTGGTGCCGAGATGGAAGGCTGCTTGTGTTCGTACTGCGGTGTAAGGCGTGATGTCGTCCGTCTCGGGAGGATAGTTGAGTGAATTTGGGGTTAGCTCCTGGCGTCTTTGTCAGTATCAACCCCATCGTGAGGCACCGGATAAGCAGCACATACTCTGTCGTGAACATTTCTTGGCAGAGACACCTCTACACCGTCAAAGGGCCATGTAAGCGGTCTGCTGAAAGTGATAGTGGCACCACAGTCGAAAACACACAGAGACCACCAGACGCGACGGCGAATCTCCATGTTCAATGGCGAAATGTTCCATCCCTGGAATTCCTTGTGCAGACCCAAGCCCATTGCCATCCTCACGGCCAGTCCTAGGTAGTTGTATGCAGAATTTGGCCGGTCCCGCTTCTGCTGGTAATTTGAGGTCAGAGTCAGTGCCTGGACCAGAGTCAAGTTGCCGAGCTCCAGGAAGTTGAACGACAGGATGGACCTGGCCTGCGCAAAAAGAGTGAGGTCGAGGTTGTCCGAAGTCTTCGCGGAGCTCCAAACACCGATGGCTGCGACAACGTAGGCGAGGACGAGCCAGGGGTCTCCGTGTGGTCGTGGTATGATCTCGGAGAATTGAGCCCGGAAGGTCGGCTCGTGGATGATGGGGTAGTTGAGGTGAAAGAGTTTGAAATAGGCGTCAATCATGATATCGGCGATTTGTCGGTTCGGGTTCGGTTGCATGGTCAAGGACGGGTACGAGGTCATTGATGGGCGTGACCTCGTCTGGATGGTCCTCCTCCTCATACTGGGCTCCAGCAGCCGTATGAAAGCAGCCCCTGAAGCGACGCCGAGATAGCCGCCCTCCTTCTCGCTCACCGTGAGCGAGGCCATACCATCCAGGGCCGCGTCGTCATCATTCATATCAGGGGAGAACGCAGCATTCACCATGTTGTCCTGCTCGTCCCATTCGAAGTCATCAGTCGCCGGCGGGCTCTCCAGGATGGTGGACATGCCTCTCTGAGGCACACGGTGAGGTGCAAGGCGGCCGGGCTCCCTCTGGGGCCCGTGGTCGCCGGGGGGCTTCACATCTACGACCGGCGGAGCGGGCGTTGCAGTCGAGCCAGGAGTGGGCTCAGCATCAAAGGGCGCATCATCGGAGGGATCGGGCTTTATGTGGGCCTGTCCTTCGGCGTTGTCCGAGGAGTGGGAAGATGAGCCGGGCTGATCAATCTTGCTGAAGTCAAAGGACGGGTCACTTGACGAGGGCCTGGCCCCCTGACCAGGAGAGGCATTCTTCCGGGGCAGCAGGTGAGGCGGCAGCACCGCGCGCATCTGGCGCACAAGGTGCTCCGCCCTCTCTCAAGTCTTTCCTCGACCTCGGTGAGATGTCTGCAGGGCCGGTCAGCAATGTTGAGCGCAAGAAATAAAGGCGAGGCAGTGGGGTTGGCTGGGATGGGACGCGACAGGGCGTGATGGAATGGATGGCTCATTGGCGCCGCAGCGGCGGTCCCTTCTCCAACTGACGTACGGAAGGGAAGACGGAAGACCCACTTTCTGGTTAAGGGAGTGCGCGAGTGCTTCTCATACAGACAGTGTCTCCGGTATTTGACGCAGAGGTTGCATGTCGGTATGGCCTTGTTGCACTTGGACTTGCGGCGGCGGCACTCCTTGCATGCCTGGTCTGCAAAGCCCAGCGGGGTGTCGAGATCTCCGAAGGCGGCGCCAAGGTTCAGGTCGCTGGAGTTGAAGCCGGCGTCTGAAACACTCATGTCGCCGCCCGGGGGAGGAATTGTCGTCCATGGTCATCAGGGAGCGATGAGGAAAGGGGGGAGGCCTGAGGGTGGCGCCGTGGCCTTGGGTGGAGGAGCAGCAGTGAAGGAAGCGAGGCACGGGTGAGAGGGAGAATGGGGGGCGAGGGTGACACGTTGGTAAAAGTTGGTCGCGGACCAAAACTCACGATGTTTTACGGCAGGTCTGTGAGTGGGCGCCACGGGCTCGGTGCTCCGTTTTGCTCTTTTACTCAGCAGGGCCCGACAAGCCCAAGGCCAAGCGCCCAACCATCCCAGTCCCAGTCCCAGCCCCAGCCCAAGTCCCCTACCGGCTGACAAGCTGGGGGTGTCGGGGGTCGGGGGGCGTCAAGTCAGGTGTGGAGGGGGACATCCCGCCTTTGGGGAAACCAGACTGGCACAGCGAAGACCCCCCACACTGCAAGCCCAGCAGTGGCAGCCAGCATCGCACCCCACCTCCAGGAAAAGAGCATACACGTCAAGCCCACTCATCTTCTCCGGTTTTCGTCGCCCCCCCGAGGCTGTCGCCATCTTTGCATCCTATCCAATTCTTCCCCTGGCTGCAAAGAGATGCCTTCCTCTTCTCCTGGAGCCAACCAGCCCCCGACTGTGTCTCCCTCCGTCCCTCGACCACCACAACCTCCGAGTCATGGCAAAACGTCCAGAAGAAGGGCAGAATGAAGAAAAATCATATTCGCCGCGACGTGGCGTTTTCGCCTCTCGGGAGACCTGATCGGGCATCTCGCAACGCCATCCTAGATCCGTGTGCGCCTACTGCAGGCAGACGGCTACAGTAGTGCCAGGAGGAACCCTTGGGCCCGGCGACAGGCGACTCGCAGAGATCGATCCAGAGACGTGGGTTGGCTCCAGGAACCAAAAACCTTCGTTCAGCCAGCCAGCCAGCCCTACCAACCGCCCGCGCTATTGGCGGACTGACAGACAAGGGCAGGGGCCTATGCCGTACGCTGCAGAATCTGACTTGAGAAGCTCCGACGGGAGAATCTCTACATCCTGACCCTCTCTAGCCCTCCCGGCCCGGCCGGAAGCTGTCAGTGGCATGATGGGACCAACGGCTGGAAGACATTTTTGTGACGAATGTCGTCATTTCGAAAATCCGTTGCCTGGTGTTCGAAGACTTTCGAGAATGTCCTCTCTCGGCGGGGCCCCAACAGGCCGGCTGACGTCTGCAGACATGGAACGATAGCCTAACCTCCCGCGAATCGAACCATCCCTGTTCAGCGATGACGGGCGATCATCCGAACCCTCTCCGCAGGAGATCGAAGCTGCTGCTCCGCGACCCCACGGCTGCGGCATCGCGTTGGGAAAGCTCAGACTGAAATGGCTCACACGGCAGTCCCAGCCTTGCCAGCAGCCATACGATTAGATCATAATTCGGGTCATTGGTCGCCCAGCCCATCGACACTGTCAACACGAAGGTATAACGTGCAGTCAAACGCTGCTTTAGACCCACCTCCGCAGCAAATGCTCCGAGATTCGCTTCCTGCGAAGATACGCCAGCCCCGGCCGGGTACAACGGCCGAATGTCATTGGAACTTGGACCCACTCGCGCCATCGGCCGGGACGGCCATCGCATTGTCGGGTTGATTGGACGGACATGATCAACGACTGAGGGACAGTGTCTATCCCTCCGCTCTGGGTACCGACAGCAGACAGACTGCTGTCTGAGCCTCCTGCTGTATTTACGATGCTTTGCAATAGTTTGTCTCCTCCCATTAGCTGTGCCAGCTTGTACGGGATCCTTCCTGTTGTGGGCGGCACCTCCACATCCAGCTCCCATTTCTTCCCATGGCACCTTTTCTGGCCACATCCCCCGCTGTATCATTCTGAGGGCTCTACACAATCATGCTGAATATTCACACAATTATGACGAATCTGGCGATTGGGTAGTGGCTTCTGACTACATGACCAGCTCATCTTGATACAGATTGGGGGTTGCCACCCCCCTTCGACAACGCTCACATGTCCGAGTCATGTTGATTGATTCAAGTAAGGGCGATGCTGTGAATGATTATCACAGACCGTCTATGGTGAAGCTCAAGGATGATGCGACTTCACCAGCCTCGCTTGTCCTCTCTGGAGCTCAACCCACCACCTCCGATTTGAAAGACACAGGCCTGTCACAGTGATTATGTCATTGTTTCACAACAGATATTCGGAACTAGGCTTCTAACCTAGCAGCTGGCAGGCAACGCTCAAGGGCTTTAGCACCGTCGACGACCAGCTCCGTGACAGACCGAAACTTGGGTATTTCCACAGCTCACCGTCCTCCAGCACAGTCTACCAGGCCTTGTGCCGGGTCAACTATGCGAGGGGCCTCCCACGCCAATAGCAGTTCTGCTCACATGCCCATCATCCTTTGATCCAAAGCCATTGATACATGTAAGTCACAGGGACTGCTCCGTAACTCTAACAAGCTCGCCATCTCGGCCGCTACTTCCATCTCCCCTATCTCGTACATGCCGTATTCCAGCTGGCGCATGAATTGAAGAACAAGAGGACTACTGTTTCCATGCTCCTCTTCCATGGCAACGACTGTCTGCTTCATGGATTCGATACACCGATCCAGTGCCCGGCGCGGCGCTGAAGAGTTGATGACGCCGATCGGAGCTTCAGGAGCCGTAGCTCGGGCATCAGCCGCCAGTCCTCGCAGATGCGCTGTATTACACGTTACCAACGTATCACTTTTCGGGCGCGGATCCCTTGCAAAATTCGAAGCAATCATTTCTTCGTATACTGCCTTGTTCCACAAGGAAGCCAGATACTTTGGACTTTGTCGGCCCTCTGCCTCATATCTCTTCGAGGTTTTGTCCAGGATGGCACCCATGTTTGTGGGCAGCTCGCTGACGCTGCACCCACCCAACGAGGCAATATTCAAATAGTCGACATTAGCGCTCCAAGCTGCTGGGTCCTTCATAATGTCGTACCATGACTGGCAGCCGACCTTCCAACCATTCCAAGCAGCCTGGAGTAGTTCGTCGTCGTCCACCCTCGCGAGGCAGTCAAACAGTCGGTACAAGGGATGCCCAGTAGATAAGTTGAGAAAGGCGGCGTTTTGGGCAAGGTAAGCCACACCGAATTTGATGAGGGCCTTGACAACCTTTAGAAATTGAGCGCCGGCCGGGTCCTGAGGCTCGATGAACCGAATGCTCTGTGCTAGGAATCGGAAGAAGTTGTTAAGAGTGTTGGAGGGCTGGTGCCTCAGTAGCAGCCCCAGCTCCTCCGGCGCATGGCGCATCCAGACTATGCTGTGACACATTAGCAATTTACGCCGCAAAGCAGGGTCCCAATCTCACTCATGGTCCCCGATAGAGAGATCATGAACAGCAATGGCATATACGTACGCATCATCCATCTTGCCCTCCTCGCAGGCAGCTTGAACGGCAGCGCTGAACCGCAGCCAGCGCCCCGAGTGTGGGTCCCACCCCCGCGCGATGTCAACCTCCTTTGGCGTGGTGATGGACTCCTCGAAGCGCCCCATCATGTACGCGCGCACGTTGGCATAGACCCCCTCGAGGACGCGGAACCTGTCCGGCGCGCAGACGACCGCCCCGGGCGAAAGCACTTCATACCGCCGTTTCCACTGGGAGGCGTTCCTGATCCTCGCCTTCCGCTTCAGGTGCATCGCGAGGCTCTTTGCGTCTACGAGCCGGCCGTTGGTGAGTTGCACGTACCCGTGCTGCTGGCGGGTGGCCGAGGCCCGGGTGCCGTCCGGGAATGCCTCTCGGACGACCGGTTCGTCATGATCAGCCTGCAGTTTAATGTACTTTGTCAAACCCCAGGCCTTGAGCCGGCGTTTATATGATTTGGCGCTGAGGAGACGCGTTAGCATCTGCCATCTCAGGGGTGGGTCGGGCTTGAATCACGTCGATCTGAAGCCATGCTCTCTCTCCATGACCTGCATGACTTCCCTCAGAGGTTTCTTCTCTTCAATGTACAAACGCTCGATGATGGGCTTGTATGTCGTCCACGGGTCGTCTGGCACGCTCGATGAAGCCGGCCGGTCTGGGAGGCGGTAAGTCGGCGGCTCAGGGGTCTCGTCGACAGCCTCGCCCGCGACTGCCGGGTCCGCAAGGGCTGCTTCAGAGGCCATCCCGGAAAGAGTGGACGTATCAAGTGCTCAACTCCGCTGTCCAACCTGAACATGGCCGGATGTGACGTGTAAATATCGAGATCTCTCGGCTGAGCCATGGGCTATCAGGGCACAGGCTGCGAATTGCGACCCCGATCTGGTGTTGCATGGAATGCGACGTTGAAATATGGGGGAGTGGATAGCGCTGACGGATCCGCAATCCTTGGTTATGGTGGCCCAAATTGGTGAGGCTTGTTGGTTGTTGGGTGTTAGTGCTATGTATAAAAGGGGGAATATTGATCTTTGAATGTCAGTCAGGTTGAATGATGCTGGGGGTTGAGCAAGACGGCTGAACAGGATTGGGCAAAAGAGTTGACTGGATCTAGAAAACCAGTCATCATACACACGGCTGGGAATGCTTACCTTTATATCTCGATTTGTGCTGACTTCGACGTCCAACAACGCGTAGATGACCGTTTCAAAGACGCTCGGCTTGGCGATGGATCCAGGCTCTCTCACTCAGCCCTCCTGCCCTCCTCCGCAGATCGATTCAATCCTCGATCTCTCCCCGCGTCTGGGAATCTCCGTGCTCCTGATATACACACAGCCTACCCGGGCTGCCACAAACTGACACATCGGCCAATTCTCCACCGCCATGCATCATTTAGCTGCCTGGCGGGGTTGAGACTGGGGACTCTCCCCGCATCGGCGATGTTCTCCAGTTTCTCCAACATTTCTATTCGAAAGTGAACAGTAATTAATTTTCTCAACTTTGTGTGTCAATGAATGTAGATATTTACAGCGTTCCTTGTCACAAGTGTAAGTGTTAGCTCGACCTGGACTAGAACATCTCTACTACAACCCCCATCGAAAACAGATTATAGACCAACACAGGCACAATGGTTCTCGCCAGCCACCCCAACCCAAAGGCCCCGGTCCTCTCCCACTTCGACCTCACTGGCAAGGTCGCCATAGTCACAGGAGGTTGCCGTGGAATTGGGCTGGAAGTAGCCCGCGGGCTCGCAGAGGCAGGCGCCAACGTGGCCATCACTTACACGAGCCAGAAGCCCGCCGACGCGGACGCCACGGCGGCCTCCCTCGCCGCCACCACTGGGAGGGTGGTGAAGGCGCTCAAGTGCGATGTTAAGAGCAGGGACGACGTCTTCGGGGCCGTGGAGAGGGTCGTCGCCGACAGGGAGCTCAGCCCGGACGGAAGGCTCGACATCGCCGTCGCCAACGCCGGCACGGCGTGCAACACCCCGGCGCTGGACTACCCGGAGGACAAGTTCAGGGAGATGCTGGACGTCAACTTCCACGGGACGTTCTGGGTGGCCCAGGCGGCTGCGCAGGTTTTTGAGAGGCAGTGGAAGGCGGACGGTGGGGAGGAGGGCGGCGCGCAGAGCCGGTGTAGTATTATGTGAGGTTGCCTTCCGACTTGAAGACTTATAAGCGCGTGTGGCTAATTCAGGGGCAACGGTGTAGTTTCACGGCTTCGGCGTCGGCGATCCTGGTCAACGTCCCGCAGAAGCAGGCCGCTTACAACGCCAGCAAGGCCGCGCAGGTTCACCTGGCCAAGTCTCTGGCGGTGGAGTGGGCGGACTTTGCGAGAGTCATGTTGGGGGATGACTAAGCACTCCCCTCTCTTCTAATACACTACACCTTCCGTAGCCCGCTTAGCATTAGCTTCTCTTAACAATACATACACTCTGCGAGATACTTTAATTAAATTGGTTATTAGCAACCCCATTTAGTTCCCTAATCTAGTTTTAAAAGCCCTTGTATATTTCGTTATATAATAGCTATAACTTAATTTAACTTTTCATTGCTTTTATGCTAAAATTTAACTATTAATTTAATATTAATTATTTATAATTATTTAAATAATTGCATTTCCTTAATATATAATTAATTTAATAACCTTATCAACCTTAGCTTAATTAGCTAAAGGCCTTAAATATTATTAATAATGTTTTAAATAATTATTAATAAGCCTTATATTTATTAAGTTATAATATTTATTAGCTTAATAGCTTTAATAAACTTTTAGCCATTAAAACCCTTTAATTAAATAACTTTTAACTCCAATTCAAAACCTTTTTATAAATAACTCTATAAGCAAGGCAAGAAATAAGCTTCCTTAAAATGCAAAAAGAATGTTTTATTACTGCTAAACCGCTTTAACTAAAACTAAATTAACTTTTTAAACTTATTAATGCATTAAAATTAGCTTAAAAAGCTTCTTTTATTTTTATATAATTAATATTAATCCTTGCTTTTACTTAAAAAAAACTTTAAGTATAACTTATAATAATTAAGGCATTAAATTATAACTTTCTTTTTAATAAAATATAACTTAAAAAAATATAAAGCATTAATTAAGCCTTATTAAGCTTTATTAACTCCCTTAACTTAATTTAATAACCTTTCTTTAATTCTTTACCTTAAGATTTTTTAAGGGTTTCTTAGTTTTAAAAGCCAGCCATTCCTTATAATTAATTTCCTAATTAAAATAAATTTAATATTAACTTATCCCCTTTAATTAAAATTAACTAAAATAAAGAATATAAAACCCCTTTTATTAAAATAGGTTGGCAAGATAATTAAGGTAAAACTATCTTAAAATTATGCTTGCTTATTAAGACTTAAGGATTATTTTAAGGAGTTTCGTTTTAAACTTGCTAAGCGCTTTATATATATTTAGCCTTTAGCTCCTTTTATATAAATACCCTTATATACTTAAAGCAATTATTTCTTTAATATAATTATTATTTATGCTATTAAGCAAAGTATAGTTTTAAGAATGCATTTAAAACTTTATTTTATTATATTAAATTAATTCTCCGTTTAAATTTAATAAATTATAAAGAACTTTAGCAAGGTAAAACATTAAAATTAAGTAATAATAACTTATTATTCCTTTATAAAACTTATAAGTGCTACTTTTTTTAAAAAACTTTTTTTACATTAATTAATTATTTTATTCTTAATTCTTAGCAAGCCTTTTTTAAGCTAAAGAATTATAAAAATAAATAAAATATAAGTAGCTAGCTTATCCGCTCCCTTTATTATAAGTATTGCTATAACTCCCTTTATTTATTAATTAAAAATTGCAACTCTCTTAGTTAACGCTTTATTTATAGTATTCCCCTTAAATTAAATATAAAGGATAAAATTAATAATTATTATTAATACCCTTATTAAAAATGCTTTCTTTAATAAAAAGCTTTTTACCCTTAAGATTACTTTTATTATAGCTAGGATTATTATATTTAGCAAGGTAATTTAAATTAAATATTTATATTAACTTATGAAAATAATTTATGCTTAAAGCTAAAGATATTTAAGTTTTATAGCTTTAAAGTAAATATATATATTGCTTATATTTAATATTTTGCAAAAACTTACGGCAAAGCTATAATTCTTGCTAACCTTTTTATTAAAATTATCTTAAATTTAAATTTAAATAGTGCTTATTAATTTATATTATTAATTAAATATAAGTAAGAAAATTTTATTAATAACTTAAATTTATAAAAAGCTAAGCTTTATTAATGCTTTTATAAGGATTATAATAACTTTATAATTAAAGTAAATAAAATATCCTATTTTTTTAATAAGAAGGATACTTTACCTTTATATAAATATATTAATAATAAGATTTATCTTTATAATAAAATTAAAAAGCTAAATAAAAACGCTTAAGTTTATTAAATTTATATTAAATTAAATCTTAAGTTATATGTAATAATTATTTTATAAACTTAGCATAATAAGCTTAAAGATTTTAAGCAACTTATTAATTAAAATAAATATAATATTTATTAAAAATAGCAAAAGAATAAGAAAGCAAAGGAAACTTAAAGCTATGAAATTTATAAGCTATAAGAGCAACTTACCGCCCTTTAAAAGAATAATAATTATTATAAAAAACTTAAATAATTAAACTATTTCCTATAATATAATAATTAAAAATAAATTTCTTACCCTTATTGCGATACTTATAAGTAAACCTGTAATTATAGCCTTAACTACCTATATAATTTAGCGTATTTACACAGCCCTAGCTATGAATATAAAGCAATATATAACGTTCCGTTTTTAACTAAAAAAATAATTAATAATCTTATAATTAATAAGTATAAAAAATATAAAAATCATTTTAATTAAACTACTTATAATAAATTAAATAAGCTAAACCGCTTTGCTTATAAATATTTCCCTTTATAAAACCATTAAAATGGCATTTTATAACTTTCTTTATAAGCATATATTATAAATATTAATAAAGAACCTAAAACCCTTTCTTAAAAGATTCTTAATAATATTTAATAATTTTATAGTTTAATATAGGATTTACTTAATATAGGTAATAATTTTAAATTAAACCTTAATTTAAAATTAAAATAAAAAAATAACTTAATAAATATCTTTAAGAATATATTTACTATATAAAAAGTTCTTAATTTTTCTTATTTTTAACTTTATTAAAGTTAATATTATTATTAACCCTTTAAAATAATTTCTTTATAACTTATCTTTATAAAAAAATAATAAAAAGCTTAAGCTTATATTAATATTTATTTTTATACTTAAATTAAAGATTTCCTTAAAATAAAATAATTTTATTATTTTAATAATATATAAAGATATTATAAAAAGCATTATTAATATTATTTTCTTATATTTAATAAAATAAAATGCATTTTATCCTTTTTATTCTTTATTTAAGTTAAATTATCTTTATATTATACTTATTATACTTAATAAAAAACTTATTAATAATATTTTTAATATTACTTTAAGTGCTTTGCTTATATTTTAAGAAGTATTCTTATTATATTATTTTAAATTAAAGTATAAATTATTATAAACTCCTTTTTTTTTAATTAAAGTTAAAGTTAACCTTATTATTATTATTTATAAAGTTAAATTATTTATTAATATCCTTAATTAAAATAAGTAATTTTAATTTATTAAAAAAAATGCTTATATTATTAATAATTTATCTTATAACTTATTTTTTAATCTTTCTTTTTTAAAAAAGCGTTAATTATATATATATTAAGGTTTTTTAAATAATAATAAGTTAATTATTATTTTAAATATAAATTAAAAGATTTATATTACTTATATTAAATATTTTTTTATTTAATATAAAATAATTATTATTAAGATAATTTATAAATACTTTATCTTATTTAGCAAAGATTTTAATATTTAAATTTATTCTTAAGAATTCTTAATTTAAGCTTTTAAATACTTTATTAAACTTAAAGTTATTTTAAATTATTATAACTTAATTTATAGCTTTTTTATTAATAATATTATAAATAATGCTATTATTATTTTATTTTTTTTTAATTTTAAAAATTAACTTATAATAATTTATAAAGAATAGCTTTTTAAATACTTAAAGGCTATATTTATTACTTTTAACTTAAAAACCTTTTTAATATAAAAAAATTCCACCTTAATTACTATTCCTTTATTAAAAATATTTAATAATATACCCTTTAATAAAAAAAAAATAATTTTTAAATAGCTATTCTTTTAATATATTAATCTTAAATTTATAATTTAATATTAATAATATAAATATAAATCTTAATTAAGGCTTTAATAAAATATATAAAATTAAATAAATTATCCTTTAATATATTTAATTATTTTAATTAAAGCTAAAATAATTTAATAATAATATAAAAATAAAGATTTCTTTAAAATTAAATATTAATCTTAATAACTTAATTTAAAAGCTATATAATATATTATAAAAAGATTATAAAGCCTTTAATAAAATTATTAATAAATTAATTAAAATAAGCATAATAAAATTAATTTAATTAAAAGAAAATTATATAATTATAATATTAATCTTTATTATTTAATATAATAATAAACTTTAAATAATTATTAATCTTTATTAAATTAATATTAAGCTTATTTTTTATAATTATTTATTATTTTAATAAAATAATATACTTAACTTTTTTAAAGGTTATAATATATTTATTATTATAAATATTTTTAAAGGCTTTTTTTAATAATTTATTACTTTTAAAGATTATTAAAAGATAATCTTTATTATTCTTTATTAAGGCCTTAAGTATATAGCTATAATTATTATAAGTTTTATAATTTCCCCCCCTTTTTTTTAATATTATATAAAAAGCCTTTTTAATATATATCTTTAAAAATTTATATTAATTTATATTAATAATATTATAATCTTTTCTTACTTTATTAATAAATATATTTAATACCTTAAGCTTATCTTTATAATATTAAAAAATAATAGCTATATAATATCTTTATTAAAGTATTATTTTACTTAAGTTAAATTAAAGGCTTTTAAGCATTATATATTTAAGCTTAAACTTTTTATAATTATAAATAAAATAAAGGCTATTTATAATCTTAAAATATTATTTAATCTTATAAAACTAAAATAAGGTACTAGCTTTATAAGTTATTATTATAATTTCATTTTAAATTATGCTATTATTATTAATTTATTAAATAAACTTAAGACCTTGGGATTTAAGGGTAATTTATAAGCAAACTTATAAAGAAATACCCATGCTTAACATTACTTATTTCTTTCTTAAGTAATGCATTTTGCCTTAAATG